TATTTCCAGTTCGATTTCAATTTGGTTTCAAGTTTGCAAAAAAAAATAAATCCAGCGATTCGATGAAAAATAGCAAAAATTAAAATTGCTCACATGATCCCGAATATGCAAGTGGAAAAATGAAGTAAATTTTTCCCCATCAAAGATCAAATCCCCAATGATTGTGCGGCATTGAATGATGGAAAAATAATCGACTATAGCTTGCTCATTTGGATCGCCGCAGACTAAAACAACCAAAAAAATGATGGGCGTTTCATGATCGATCGATCAACGCCTACCGTCAGTGTAAAGAATCGATTTCCGATCGGGGGATTTATCAATGTAAGCCATCTAAAACTCCAACGTCGTTTTCAAAAAATACGTATTTGAAAAAAAAAAAGAAAATCTTGTTTTTTTTGGACTTACAGCCATTAGATCGTTCATCAATTTTGGAATATTATTAATAATATAAAATCGACTTGAATATATCAAATCAAGGACTCGATTGCAATTTAACAAATTTAGAGAAGTATAAAGGCCAATAAAGCGAAGATTAAGATTTTCACCCATAACCACAACTGCAGAACCTTCTGAAAATTGCATTTTTTGCGGTGTTGTGCGCCGCGAGACCCTTTACTTAATTAATTGCCATGGTCCCAATGGTTTTGGAAATTTTGGGGTTCAAAAAATTGAAATAAATTAATTCAGCAAATCATTAAGGGCTCATAGTGATGTTTAGATGGTAGGGGGGGGGGTCTCGTGGCGACAGATTTTGATAGCATGCAAAAAATTGGAAAATTTAATTAAAAAACAATAATTCATTGAAATTACCATAATTTTTCATAACGTCCGTATAAGGCCTAGGCTTGCATCTAATTATGTGTAATTGACGAATAAACGGTATATAAGTGAGATTTGTGTTATTAATGATTATTTGACCATTATGTATTTCTTTGATTTTCAAATACCTAAAAATGAGTAGAATTATATTATAGGAAAATGCAGAAAATAAAGCATTACAAATTTTTTTCTTTTTTTTTGAATTTTGAAAATCTGAATAGAAAACTAAAATTCAAGAAAAAACGAGCGCCTTGACTAATTGTGAACCATTGCACATTTTCGTGGCGGTAATTCAAATTTGAATTTAAACGGTGGGAATAAGAATGCCAAAGTTTTTTTTTGCGATTTTATAGTTGGGAGAAAATCGTCCAATAAAGTGCATTAGGTGCAAACACACGCGGCCATTTCGATGCAGACTTTTCCATTTTATTTGACGACAATTCCCAACTATTTTTTTTTTTGAAAATTGATATTAATAACCAATTTGATACATGTTTAACGTAGAATTCGAAATATTTCCGGATAGATTGATATCGCCATGATATTCAACGCACTTTTCCTTTTTTGCTATTGAATATTGATCACATGCTAAAATTGAGACAAATAATATTATTAAATTCGATTAAAATTTTTACATTCGCAGATATTTGAGATGTAAGCGTAAGGCTCATGAAATGCTTCATTCCAATTGTGCACCGAGTTTTTTGAAACACAAAATGATGTGTTCACCAGATTGATATAGAGTTTCTGAGAAAAATCTTTAAAAATCTTACAGGTAAATGAAAATCAATCGGATTCGAAAATAAAATAAAAATAATAATTTAAATTAATTTGTTTCGAATCATTCCAGAAAGATTTCAAAATTGAAATTGAGAAATAAATCAATCGATTTCGAAGATTTTCAATTTGAATTTTAATTATTTTTTTTATCGAATTAGGTCAATTTATATTTTATTTTTCTCCGAATTCAATTGATTTTCATTTATTTGAAATTTTGAGAACTCCTTACTGGTTTTTTGATTTTAGGAAATCGAATTTCTTTTCTAATTAACAATTCGCCATCCTTCATCGAGACATTCCTTATATCGATCATATCATTCTCATCTAAATTCATCGGCCATCGAATTTCAGAATTTGGCGATTTCAAAACTTTTCATTGCGATAAATTTGACATTCATCAATTCTTCGAACGGACACTTTCCGCCGTGAATTTGCTCGTCGTAATTGTAAATTTTAAGCGATTCGATCACATTTCTACAATTTGTTTGTTTTTTTTCCCACAAATTCACATCAATTAAATCAGAAACCAACATTTGCTTGAATTTTTTGCACTCGTAGAACACCGATTCATTAATGAAATCCCAGTGAACCTTCAATACGATGCCTGTTGATTGTTTGATTGCGTACAATATGAATAATATCAGTTTTGAATTCATTTTTTATTAGGAATACCCAAAAATAGGCAAATATTGCTCGAATTGAATGTCACGTTTTCACGAAATCCATTAACTTCTTTAAAAAATCTCTCGGAAAATTATGTCAAATAAAAAAAGCTTCAGTCTTTTTCTAGAACATCAATGCTTACGTTTTTAAATTGTAGATTTCGAATCGAAGGAAAATTTATATTCGATTCAGATTGAAAAATAAATTTTTTTACGAATCCGTTTGATTTAACTGAGTATAGAATCGCCACTTGCGATGACATTTCTGAAGATCAGACGGCAAGTATGACGTATTTGTAGAATTATACAAAATAGTTCTAGATGGAAATTTTGAAATCTTCTCTCAAAATCTGCTCCCATTTCAGAGTTTATTGAATTAGAAGAATTTATTTCAAAGAAGGAAGAATCAATGAAACATAAAGCTGAAGTCTGGTAACGAATTCCATAGATTAAATTTCTTTATCCATTGTAGCCAGTAGCTCATAATGCTTAAAACAAGCGCGCTCCATCTTGTTACAGCGTTGTTCGGGAACCACAGTATCGCGGGTAAGCGCGTCAGAGGGGTCAGAGAGTGTGCAGACATGAGAGGATCAACGAACACTTGGCGTCGATTTGCGGTTCGTTTCGACAAATGCGCTCTATTGCATGTTTTGCACTGACACCAGTGGCACTCTAAAAGGCCGGCGGATGCGAAATTTCATCAGTTCTTGTAGCTCCTCGAGTTGCGGGAAGCCCGCGGATCTTGCGGGCTCGTCGTGCCCCGCATAACCTGCGGGCTCCTCGACATGCCCCGTCAATCCTGTGGGCTCGCCGTGGCCAAGGATCCCATCGGTATGTCACATTCATCGCAATCCTTTTCTTAATTCCTTGTATTGCAGATCCGATGAGAGCCACAGTCGTTGCTCATTCGAGCTCTTCGGATGTGATAGGTCGAAAGTGTCGGGGATTCTCGACTGGTGCGACTCCGTTAGCCAGTACTAACCCTACTGCAGTGTCGCGTCCAGGCCGATGTTAAACCCACATTGCATGAGTAGACGTATCACGTGATGTAGAGCAAGAATGGGGAATGGCGAAAGATCGATGCTGCCCGGGGCGTCGAACCGATCGATGATAAGGATTTCATTGGTAAAGAAGGAGTCACAGTCTATCAGAATAACTCGGATCATTGCAGGAATCTTGAATCAAATGGATCCGATCGGAGGCGACGAGGAAGGAGCAAAAGCGTCTGGTATTTGGTAATTTCTGGTCCGGGCCAATTTTTTATTATTACTATTTTTCACTTGCCCCAGTGGTACCACTTACGACTGTCCCCTTCTATATCCCACCACTTGGGATTCTCTCCGTACATTCGTACCACTTACGTCTGTACTTCCTCTCGGTCCTACCGTTTGGGACCATCTTTTTTCGGGGAATGCCGGCTTCCCCTTCCCCTTTCTGCCGCCAGTCGTACCACTTGCGCCTGTCCCCTTTTCTCTATCAGTCGACTGATCCCCCTGCCGTACCACTCGCGGCTTCCTCCTCTATATCCCACCACTTGGGATTCTCTCTCTTTCTTTTTCGGTCCTACCGTTTGGGACCACCCATTTCTTCGACTTTTCCGGGGGAAAACCGTACCACTTACGGTCATGCCAGTCGTTCCACTAATGACTGGCTTCCCCCTTTGTTTTTAATCTATTCTTCGTATTAATTTCTCTGTACATATTTTTTTTAGGTGTTTAGGTATCGTCGATGCTGCTGCTGCTGATCGAAGGACCCTGCCGGTGAATCGATTCACCATCACCCAACCATTAAGCATAACCCCATACTAAGGTCCTCTATTTATTTTCTACTTAATCCGCTGTAGTCAGCGATATTAGGGCCGTAGTCGGCCATTCCCCCAAACGCCAAGGCTTCCCGTCCCCTGTAGTGCCGAGGCGTTGGCTGGATGGCGGCTTAACCGCTGTATCCTAAATTCGGGTGATTGGCCTGGCAAGCCCTTCAGCCCTGATTCCGTAGCCGGGAATCGAACCCTACCCAAACGCCCCCGTTTCAAGCACTCTCGATGTCATCTGGCCCAGACCTATATTGACGTGGATTGGCCAGCTATGTCAATATGTCCAGCCTTTCGGGTGCACATGGACCGTGCTTCTTGGCATAGTAGCTTGCTACTTTGTAGTGGCTTGCTACTACTTTGTAGTAAGTTGCTATGTTGAGAACACAAAAATCACATTACCATATCACCAGTAGACCCGGGGCCCAGCCAGACGTGGCTTGCCCAACCACTTCTACTTCTATTATCCTCGGATGATAGTTGTGGGATGTCCTTGGGTGATCCCCATGGTGGGATCGGCGATGACCCACATCAGGCTTCGGCCTGATGCTGGTGAGCCTCTCCTTCAAGTGTCGAGCCTCTACGTGGCGAAGGAGATCAACTGACTCGGTCCTCATTCTTTGGGGGTCGAGTCAGGCTAATCGGCACACGAATTCCAAACGGCCCTCTTCAGGGCCCCTTCAGCTATTTGTTTTTTTTTGTTTAAAGACAGTTCTTTTTTCAAACTAGTCTTTTAAATTAGCTTGAGATCGGATCAGTTAATTTTCTTTGAAATTCCTTTTAATTGTTTTTTAATTATACTAATTATCGTGATCATCAAACTGACAACCTAATTTCCACATAATTTTACTGAAAACGCGTTTTTTTTAGAATAAATCGAAAACAGTTGAATTTTTTTCAATATTAATTAATTTTTTTTTGATTTCCAATCATGTATAAGGAAGCGGTGTGAAAGTGCATTCAATTTCTTCTTCTGATTGTCGTCGATTCACTTGATATATCTAAAATGTTAAATATTTCCTTTTAAAAATGTTTTTTTTTCTACCGCCTGCTTTCGAATAACATTAAATCGAAAAATGAGTTTTTCCAGCATAAAAAGAACAATCGATATTCCCATTCCAATGAGGAATATATAAAATATTTGCTCAAGATGCTTCTTCAAGCTGAGCCGAGTTTTTTTCACCTAGAATCATTTGATTTCGCACGTGTTTGATTTCAAAATCGATTCCAACCTGTACGGTGATGTCTTCCGACTGCTTGCGAGTCCCATAGCCGGGACCAAGTGTGATCGTTGAGACACCGGGCAGAATTTTGATGAGCGCCTTGTTGAACATCTTGCACAATTTCGGATTGTTGATGCTGAAGCCGAACGCCACATAGCTCACGATTCCTGAAAATTGGTGTTGCAAGCAATATCAGATTATTTTTTTTTCTGACAAAGAAAAAATAAGAGACTAGGCTTCCAATATATCCCTTGAAGTTATTTCTTCTCAAAAATTTTGCGATTCGATTTACGAGCATCAACAGTTTTTGCTTTTAATATTCCAACATTCTGCGGGGTTTTTTAAAGGCGCAGAAGCCGTCCACAATCGTACCTGTTGTATCGCGGATGACGGTAAGCTCTTGCCGTTTGTCCCATGTGCTCACCGCTTGCGGCAGAAATTCCGTATCGTATGTCGAATAGAATACACCTCCTCGTCTGCAAAAAAAGAGACAGTAGAATTCAAAACTGTAACATTTGGGTCTCGTATGGAAACCCTCATAAGAGCTAGTTGGAGGCCATATTTTTAAAACGAATTTTTTTTTAGGTATATTGAGGGAAATTTCATTTTGGTGTGATTTTTCGATCCTTGATTTAAAATTTTTTTCGCTTATTAATATTCTACAAAATTACCCCCTTGTACCTTTAAAATCTACAGTAATCTTTGAGACGGGAAAAATTACAGCAAAACCTACTTGATCTCTTTAACCAACTCGGATTCCCTTCCTCGTACCACTATCGGATTGTAGGCCAACGCTCGTTTGATAGCTTTCTCATTCTTCGTATTCGATCCTTCCAGCGTCAAATTGAAATAGTATGTCAAATAGGTCTTCTTGTGCTCCAATTGATCTGAAAATATTCAGATTTGACCTCATCCCTTTTCAAAAAAGAGCAATCACCGATGAGTTGGGCCTGATGCAAAAATGGGATTCTTGACGACGGCGGCGCCGTTAGCAACGAGTTCATCGTTGTCTGATAGTAGTTGGCGGTTATCATCATCGCCAGTATCAGACATCCTTCAAGGAACTGCAAACATTTTCAAATGATCACTCCCCCAACGCTCGACGTACCATAGTCGACACCACTGTCGGACTTTGGACTCGTTGTTTGAGCATTAATCCAAAGGTTTCCTAAACGAATGTTGACGACGATTGTCGGGAATTGCGAGGGACCCACGAGAACACTGCTGAAATAGATGTTGAATTTCGAGCCAACGCGACTGTCCCAATAGAGAGCGCAAGCAAATCGCATTGACGAGACGGCTAGAATTGTGGCGAGTAGAAGAAACCACATCTGGAAGAATCGATGAATCGAACTATTGGATAGGTTTGATACGCAGCCAAATCGCCTTGTTCAAATTTCGGCGCCCTTAGGAAGTCATCGGTCTTCGACGAAAAAAAAAGAGGCGAAATTCATTTTGATTGAAAAATTTTGTCTATAATTTTCAGGTCTGTTAAAAATAAAAAAAAAAAAAACATTTTTTTGCCTGGAAAATTTCCAATCGAGTTACCCATTGGTTCGTGTGCTTTTCTATATTCGATAGAGAGACGGACCATCATTTTCAAACCCAATTTTGATATCTGCCAATAGAAATGACAATAAAAAATTATGGCGTATTGGGGAAGAAGCTTTTCGAAAGAGCGTTCCACAGATCGAAAAATTTGAAAAAAAAAATAAAAATAAAAAATACGATTAATTAGAAATGTGCTTTTTTTTGGCATCGACCAAACTTTTGTGTGATTCAGAAAAAATGAATGAAAAAAATGAGAGCCGATGTCTTATTTTTCTAAAACCCCGATTTCATTGTAAATCATCTGCGGACATTTTTCGCGAATAATTCTTTTTGTCAGTTGGCGGCAATTCAAAAAAAAATGACCATGAACTTTTCGTTTTTTTTTTTGGAAATCTCGGGATTGAAAAATATTGAGTTTAAATAATTTGGTTAGTTTTTTTTTCTTCAAATTTTAGAAAAAATCGATTTTTCAAAAATTTTGCTTTTTTCTTTAAATTTTCAACTATTTTTGGATGGTTCTGTAATTGGCTATTAATTTCTGAAAACGGGGTTATTGGGGAATATTAACTATGTTTAAAATTTGTGATTGAAAGCTCATCTAAAAAAATCAAAAATTCATTTTTGAGCTTTACTATAAAGTGACTGAGAACTGGGAAACCCGATGGTGGGGAAAAATGCTTCCCTCACACCAAAAATGGTCAATTATAGACGAGCGTAGTGGCTGGCAAATTAGAGCAATTATGAATTGAGAACCTGAGTCGTAAACGGAGCAAATATGATGTTTCGAAAATCGTTTTCCGGCGGCCTTCGGACGATATAAACTTGCTAGAATGCATTGATTTTGAAATTTGGGAAGAAAAAAAAATTTGAACTTGAAAATATCGAATTGGAAATGTGAAATGGGCGAACTTCATTCGAGATGGTGTGATTCTCATCGACAATCCGCTCATGTCAATCTTGTCTTTTGCCAGAAGGCCAAGAATTCCGCTGGAAAAGTCGGAAATTTAATTTTCTTCTCGTCAAAATTCACCTAATATTTCCATCGGGTTGCAAGTCGCCGAAATCGTTGACAACATTGAACTCTTTTTCAGTATCAATCTGAAATTATAGATAACGAAATGATCGATTTAATATTATATTTGTGTGGGCAATTCGTACCACTTCCCATTGCCAATCGAGAATCTTCATGACCATGTCGATGATTTCCATTTCGGCGCCCGGTTTGGCACATGGCTGAAATTCCGCAAAAATTGATATCAAATTTGTTATTTTGACGATGTCAGCCAAACTCGAAAATTTTCAAGAAATGAGAACGTTTGAATTGCCGCCCGCCAAAACGGGGAAAAAATTTTTTTTGATGAAATAAATGGTATTGTGTGCAAACACCGAGGCGCAAATATTACAGAAAAATCCAAAAAAAAATCTATCTAATTTGAATTTTATATTTTTAGAATGTCATTAAATTTGAAATTGCAGATTTTTACAAAAAAAAATAAGTAGATCGTCACGAGACCCAACCAACAAGCTTGAAAAAATAGCCTAATTGAATTTCCAAAAAAAAAACAATTGTGAGTACGGTAAGTAAGTGAAGTTGGGTCCCGTGCCGATAATTTTTTTGTACCTTCCTCGGCATCCGCCGAAAACAATTGAAAGCGTCGGGATCGTGCTCAAACAGTCCGACACGAATCGGGCGACCGAGAGGGGACCAACTCATATCGACTGAATCTCAAGTGAGTTTTGAAATCGATACTCCTCCTCTTGACGCGACTACTTATCCCAAGTGGATTATGCATTTCTCAAATTGTTTTTTTTTTTTCGAAAAGAATGAAAGTAAAACAAAAAATAAGCGGGCAAAAATTCAAGCGGGATTCGTGCCCGATTCGAGCGCGTCGACACGCGTCTCATTTTTCGCCAACATTTTCCAAATCGTATTCCGAATGATCGGATTGTAGAGGAAGAATATGACGAAGTTGATGCACGAATAGCAATAGAAGTTGAGAAATGCGGCGATGTGAAGGACGAAATTCGGAAAATTGCGCATTGCCTGAAAAAAAAGCAACAATGCGAACGGGCGGTTCTTTTTTTTTCGGCGATGACGATTTTGATCGACACACTTCTTTCTGGAATACGTAAAGAATTGAATAGGCAACGCTGACCAGCAGAATTGTTGAAAGCGCGAATGAGGTTATAATAAGACGTCTGAAAAATGAAAAGAGCAGTTTGAGGAATCGTGGACCATCGGCGGGACGGCGGCAATTCAAATTTTTGCACTCTCAATGTCTCCCTTCTTTTTTTTTTTCTCTGCCTCTCTCATATTTGTATGATCTTGTGGCACTATAGAAGCTCTAGTTTTAAGATTCGACAAAAATAAAAGAAATTGCAAATGTTGCGATGCGCCTTTAAATACCTACCGTACCCGCTGGATTTTTTTTCCAAAAAATTGCCCCCCTGAGAGAACCTTTCACGATTCGCATCATCCTCTTTAACAAATCGATAGATCCTCGCGAATATCCCATTATTCGCCATTATCGATTTTTGCTTTTCCATCAATAAAACCACAATCACATTGATAATCAAACTCAACAATGGTAGAAGAAAATTAATACTGTATAGAATATAGTCAAACTGTAGAATGAATTGGAATTATTATATACTATATGTATTAGTGCATATTTTACCCGATACGTCTCGAATGTGCAGCTCAAGTGTCGCCGATAAAACGTGAAGTTCATTCGGATGAAGCAGCCGTGAAACCAGAGCCATGTGAAGAATCCAATGTTGATGATCTTGAAATGAATTGGGAACTTCCTCCCGAACCCCCCCGACAGACGTACCGTGCAAGTCGTCAAATAGATGAATAGGCGTCTCGTCGCGAAAATCGCGCTCTCGCCGGGTCTCCAAACGACCCAAAATCGGTGGAGCGAACCGACAAACGAGATGACGTACAGCATTTCGAACGCCACCATATTCGTTATGGTGACGATCAGCATATACCACAGTTTGTACTGTTCCGCGGTCTGCCAGCCGACGAAAATGTACGGCACCTCGGCGATGAGAATTTGTGTGATGTTGATGATGATCTCGCACACAATCAAATAGCTCAAATAGATCACAGAATGGATTACTGTAATTCGGTTTATTTGAATTGTGAAGTCCCCCGTGTCCCACTAGGCTCACATTTTTTAGTGACTATCAAATAAATGAGGAGGCCGTTGAATAGAAATGATAAGAGATGGACTATCGTGGAACAGATAAAGAAGACGAGATTCATGAGGGGGGGGGGCGCAATAATAGGAAATGGGGATTTCAATGAAAAAAAAAATGGAAGATGATTATATGGTTTTGACATCGCCGATGACTCGAGTCACATATAAAATTGAGGGTTTCTCGCGTTGGAATATCGAGATGACATGCTTTCGGACAAAAGGATGCAGAATGAAATAGAGAAGCAGATTGAGCAGGTTGTTCAGGTAGACGTTGAGCGCGTATATATGCGTTTTGATCAAATATGGTAATGAGTCGAATGCCTGAAATCGTCTATTTTTTAAATTATACAAGCAAGGTGTTGGAATCATTTGAATTGGGTCTCGTGTGGAAAACGAAATCTTAGAAGCGTTTTTCTTGGTTAAATCATTTTTTTTTTCAAAAATTACATTTTCACAGTTTCAAATGAGGGAATATTTTTTATTTCACGTAACCAATTTATTTTACGGCCCGCGAAATTCAAATTTTTAAAAATAAATTTTTTTTCAATATTTTTTTGCAGATATCACGATTTTGTTGAAAATCAAACTAGCGCTATAAAATTTTTTTATTCAGCTTCTGGTTGGGACAAAAAAAATTCAAACCGTCCTCAAAATGGTCCCATGCTCTACGGGCTTTTATTTAAAATCTTCCCACAAAAATTTTGAGTCTAAATTCTCAGTGTTAGCTGATTTTTTTTTTGAGATTTCCCCGCAGGACCCGGCAGCTTGTATGGAAAATTGTTGAAAATTAATTTTTTTGGGCATTTTTTCAAATTTTAAAAATTTCTATATTGTGAAATAAAATCTCACTGTGAGCCTAGTGAAAAACTGAAAATCGTTGGGGGAAAAAAAGAATTTTCTTAAATTTAATTTTTTGGGATGCTATTTGTAGATCAAAGAGTACATATTTTCAAAGTGCATGACTTCTCGCAAATATTCAAGCTGGAAATTTTTTTGCAAAATTTAAAGGCGCATCATCATCATCATATCAATCCGATCGGATTGATTCCAGAGCCGAATACTGTCATATCCAATTGGGTTTTTTAAATTAATTAATTGCGACATAATACCTCTGGATAATTGGCCGTGATAAATTCGAAGCCATATGGTTCAGACATGACGGCGAATACAATCAGCGCATGGAACACAAATCGATTCTCGTGCTTCTTTCGCTTCGTCTCCGAGTTTCTCGAAACACGCGCCACAACTAGAATTATCATTTTCAGTCCAAGGAGTTTATAGGCAAGAATTGAAATTATAAATCGTCGACTACAAGGAATCAAGACCCCCACTTATATTAATTTGACAATTTCAGAAGGCTTTTGCTGAATACGGTACTTAAAGGCGCATAAAGTGGAAGAAAAATGCGAAATTTGAATATCATTGGTACCTAATATGCTAACTATATGGACTAACTATAATTTGATTTTCATATGAAATTAGCCTTCTCTTTCATATATTTTTGATATTTTCGTAACGCTTTATTCTCTTTTCATACCGAAACGCCCCATATTAGTCCCATCTCTAGCTTTTCCCCTATATGGACCTGCTATCATCGAGCTTCATCTCTACCTGATTTGAAGGCGGGCAATCGTCGAATTTTGGTGTAAACCACCGCTAGAATATTGATGATACACGTGACCGCCAGAATGTGAAACGAGTTGACGATATAGAATGGCTGAATTCTGGCGGGGCTCATCATCATCATCATCGAGTTCCATCAGCTCACCTCGCTCTCATAATTGTCGCATATGAGCACATAATTGGTATACTCGCATGAGCACATTATGTAAATTACATTGATGATTGCAAGGCACGACTGGAATTTGTTTTGTTGGAATTTTTCATCTGCGGACAATTTCGCCGAAATTTTTTTGCTCGAATTTGAATTAAATCATTTTTCTTGGTAATTCCCCCCCCCCCCATCCTCACCCATATAATGAAGCAATAATATTTGAGCATTTCCTGTGTGAACAGCTTGTTGAGAATCGGACAAAGTGTGACGATCAATCGATTGACACTCATCAGAAAGCTGACAATGTAGCGCAATTGGGTGCAGAGTAGACTGAGGTATCGGAATAGAATGATGAGCAATCGGAATTGGATGTCCGACGAGGCGATGAACCAGAAGATCTCAATGTAGAAATGTTGGCTCAGATTGATGAGAATCTCGGCGGCCACCATATTTGTAATATAAATTCGCGTTTTTAAAGCTGGAAAAAAAATTAGAGATTAGAAATTTCAAAAGGGGCACCTCGTTTCCTCAACACCAAATAGAGAAGAGTGAAATTGAAGGCATAGCTGAGCAAGTGAATGAGTATTGTGAAGGTTTTAACGCTAAATGTGTCCTGAAATTTAAAAAAATTGGATTTTCAGAGCGAAACGACCAACCTGGAATTGTTGTTTCATCGAGATCGAATGGAGTTGTTTGGCGACGTCGAAATTGACCAAAGATACAACAAAAATTGTGTTTGAAAATATAAAAAATTGTAATGCTCAATGTTTTCGCGTTTGTTTCATCATCGCATTTCCAGTCAACCGCATTGAATTCTTTAATAGAAGAGAAAAAAATTGTCTTGGGTTATTTCATTGAACGAATTCCATATTTGGCGATGAATTGCATTAATTGGGAGTCAGGGTTCGACGAGTTCGAAAATTGCGAGAAAACAACTTTTTTTTTTGATTTTTTCATTATAAAAATTTTTTTGAATTTCCAATTTTAATTTTTTTCTATTTTGATTTTTAAAATTTTAACGGGATCATAATTTGCTCAAAATCTTTGTGATTTATTTTTTTGGCTAATTTTGAAATTTATCGTTTGATCTTTGAGCGAAATGAGCATTTTGATGAATGCGCCTTTAAAGAATACTGTATTTTATGAATTGAAAACGAGATCAAATCTATTGCATGAATATGGCGTCAAAAATCGAGTCACAAGCAAAATTCCAGTGTCGCTTATAAAACGAGCCCCCCACTGCGTGGGCGGATTCGTAAATTCAAATTTGAATTACCGCCACGAAAAAGTGCGATGGTCCACAATTGCTCAAGATGCTCATTCTTGTTGTGATCGCAGTGGAGAATGATTGGGAAAAATTCAATTGAAGTAGCAAATTTAGGGCGCTTGTTTGAATTGCCGCCAATAACAGCAAATAGGCGATTCCCGGAAAATGTCCGCAGATGGTTTGCAACGAAACAACAAAAAAAAAACGCAGCTCCCACTTTGACAACCCTGATCTCACTAGATTATAAAAAATTGGCATTTCAGTGGTCCCAAATTTCGGTCAAGAATTACAAGCAGATCGTTGACGCTTCTGTAGAGTGTTGGCAAGAAGGTGAAGCCAGATTTCTGAACCTGCTTCAGATTGCCAGACGAGCTTGCTACTAGAGGGGTCTTTCTAATAAATCTGTAGATTGCTCAGGGGTCCGTTTGTCATTGATGGTTTGACCACTAAACGATAGGCGTGAAATTCCATAGAGAAAGGAACTACTTATGATAGGAGGGGCTGTAGATCATCAAGCAAGGTTAGAAGAAGTATTGAAATAGGAAAATCTGAGAGAGAGGATTGATCAAAGAACCTTCATTAAAAAAAGAGGGGAAATGAGGAAAAAAAGCGAAATGATTAGAAGACACGCAAAACCTATACAAATTGCAGAAAGGGTGAAAAAAAATGGAATTGGAATCACGAAACGAGAAAGCAAAAAAAAATATTTTTTCCGATGACGTGACTCTCAAAACAAATTTTTTCAGAAGTCGTTCTGAAAATTTTCACCGAACGATTTGCGCCTGAAAGAAAAAAAATCGGAATTGAAGACGTTGAACTAAAAGAAAAATAGGCATGGAAGAAAAATTGAGTATTTTTGCAAAAAAAAATAAGAGAAATGGGAAAATTTGAGAATTTTTGAAAAATGTTTGGAAGAAAGCATCTAATTGAGTTAGCATAATTATTATAAAATACACATAATTTATATATGAAATTGTCTCTGCCAAAATAGTTTAACGAGCTATTTCAGGCCTCGTACTCTAAAAAATTCAAATCTGACATTTAAATTGTTTAATTCAAAAAAATATTGTATTTAGTAATAATTGCGCGGGTAGATTTACGGCGTGCGCCTTTCGAAATGGTCTCGTCACTCGCGAGGGCTTATTTTGAAATATTCATGTGAACATCATATTAACATTTTGTATATCTGTTGTGATTTGGTCCATCACAACCGAAGTGGCCGTGGCCGTCTTGTATATGGCCGTGGCCGACTCGGGCCGGTGTACTCCACCCGGAAGAGTGAATAATTAATTGTTCGCGTTTTGCGCCGCCCATCCAGCTTTACCCTTTTGAATTTCATTAAATAATTTTTATTTTTTAATTATTATTCCTCACGCGCATTTTTAGATGCGTTTTCGCCTACGAATTTATTCTCTTGCTCCCCGTGCGTCCAATTGTTGTGCCATTTATTTAGACCCAAAATATGATTTTTTAATTTACACCCAATATATATATATTTTTTTTTGTTTGACGTTTCGTTTCTTTTTATAATTTGGTTTAATTACCCACGTTTGAGAATATATCACTGGTTTGATTGTCCAACTGGACCACCAGGACCTGCTGGAGGACCGGGGCCAAAAGGACCACCAGGACCACCAGGAGGAAGCGGAGAACCGGGACCGGCTGGCCGTGGAGGACCACGCGGACCACCAGGAGAAGCCGGAGAAGATGGAGGACCAGGAAAACTGGGACAACCTGGACAGACGAGAACTCTTCCATCGCCACCAGGAGAGCCAGGACAACCAGGAGAGCCAGCGAAACGAACTGTTTGTTTTGAGCACGGAAGAAAACCAACGTGCTAACTTATCTTTGAATATTTAATATCAATAAAAAAATATCGGGATGACTTTTATAAAGCTAAATAAAACACTTAGGTTTTGGGTATCGATAATACCTCACTGGAGTTAAAGGAACCCAATGCCGAACCGGGGGGTCCCATACGGCGATTTTTGGTCTAGCCGATGTAATATTCTCATGAAGTCCAATAACCTTAAATAAGGTCCGCGCGAGACCAAGAGAAAGACGCATCGCCCGTAAATCTACCAGCATACAAGAAACAGTTCGGGACCCTAACAACAAATTTTTTTAAATTCTGTCAAAGCGCGTAATAAGCAACTTTTAATTTTTTCCATTAAAATATTTGAATAAAATTTGAAACATAAATTCACAATTTTTAAAATATGCTTATTTTGATGAATTTTTGAAATAAAAAGGATCGGTTGTGGAAAAAAAATGCACATTTCAAAAAATTGGGCCCGAAGTTGTTTTATTGTTCGAATTGCCCAGCACATTTCCGGACTTTTTTTTGGCAATGGACCAAATTTTTCTCATATGGTCCGTTTTTTTGATGATCATGGGAATTTTGAGACTCCCTGATCGAACAACGAGCAAACAGTGGCTCGATGAATACCAGTCTTTACCGTTTGGCTGAAAATTAGTATTTTTGTTCGAAACTTGGAAAAACAATAGAAAACGCATTAAAGAATGGAAAAAAATTGTGAGCTCACAAAAAAAAAGCGCCATCATGAGTCACCATGGCGCAAAAAAAATTATGCCCGACCCTGTATATTCCATTTGATTATCAGAAGCATGACCGGCCTTTAAAGATGTACATTCGCGGAGAAGCTCTCGATCATTTCGAATATTCAAGAAACTGATTTCAAGCAGAATTTATACTTTTAAACGATACTGATTTCGCGAATTTGAAGGTGGTCCCCCCCCCTTCAGTCGTCCCGACGAGGGGGGGGGGGCATAAATATTGCGCTATTTAACACACGGAATAAAAATATCAAATTAAGAGATTTTTTCTGAAAATCGAAAAAAAATGTTTATTAAGTAACCAATAACATAATTTTTTAACAGTTTTCGAATCTGCCACCGATCGCCTTGATCAAAGTCCCTTCGGGAATGCGTCAATGACGGCACGAAGGTAGTTGGTGTCTAGATCGTCCCATACCTTATTGAGGGCAACGTCCAATCTTGAATAGTGTTTAGTGGAAACCTTCTGAACCTTCTGAAATATCCCCACATCGCGTAAACCGTCGGGTTCAAATCTGGGTGGAACAATGAACTCAGGGAAATGAGTTGGACACCACTGATGAGTGACTTTGGCCCTATGAGCCGGAGCTCCGACTTGTTCCAATGGTTATTTCCGTAGCGAAATTGGGTCCAGAGTAGCATTTTCGACTCCAAAATGTTCTTCTCGTAGAAGTCTTGATTTATTTTGGCGCTAACATCGACGAAAACAAGAGGTGGTGGGACTTCAGGCATCTTCTCAAATTTTGCCAAATATGGGTAGTACGAAGAAAATTGAAAATGGCACTTTAAAATTTGAAAAAAAAAAGAGTTTTTTCGTAGAAATTTAAAATTAGAATAAAATTTATTAAGAATAATTTTTGTCAGAAATAAAAAGGTCGGATTAGTCAACCAAGCGGCTTGTCGAGATTCTCATTGCGAATATTCTCGTATCGACAATCCGACATCAGACAGGTCGGACATCGATGGGTCCCGCGCGGAATTTCTAAACAGCTAACGACGAGGCACAATCAACACTATTGCGAAAACAAATATTTATTCGCTGTCGAACTTAGGTAGCGCAAAAAAAAACTTCTAAAAGCTTGTAGACTAAAATAAACATGTGTTGTTGCAAATAACCGATTTGGCAGAGATTCGAACAGAATTGAATGTTGTCGGTGTGGAAATGCCAAATAAGGAGCGAAATGGGTATTTTCAATATGGCTCATTTGCAGCGATTAAAGAGATGGTTGCCGTGTATTGATAGAATTACGAAGCCGACGTTGGTGGAGATTTGATTATAATAGCCAAGGCATGGTGCGAAATAGATGAGAAGAGCTGGAAATCGAATAATAGCGAATCGGATTGATGTTGTAGAATTTTCGTTCGTCTCTATTTGATGATTTTTTCGAGGCGCTAAATAATCAATGAATAACGAGACACATAGTATATAATTTGGATTAGGATAAAAATCAGATAGATCACGACGCAGCTTAATCGTTCCATGTCGACTTGCGGACATGGTACGATTTTGAGAAAATCGAAATTTGCTTATAGCTCATTGATTTTGTCTAAATATACTGGCAATAGAGGGGCTTAATAGGCGTAGCGAGTCGCAAAATTTGACAGTTCCATGGGGTGTCGATCATAGTTGTTTTCGAATAGAAGTACTACAGAGATTCCGAAGCCTTTAAGAATTGAGGAAAGTTTTGAAAAAAAAAATTATATAGGGGGGGGGGGAAATGTGGTGCGGACGAATTTTTTTGTTGAAACCTCGTCCACGGCCACTTCTTACAAAAACGAAAGTATTGGAAAAAAACAAATTTCCGTAATAGAATTGAACATTTTTTCGGCTCGGAAAAAAGTACCACTGAATCTCAATTGTCCAATAAATATTTCAATAACAAGGGAGGTCTTTTTGCAGCCCGTCTTAAATGTTTATTTTATATTTTTCTTTTATGATCATAATCTGAAGGTGATGGGTTCGAGCCTCACCGGGAGCAGAGCTGCACGGAATTCCGTTTTCCGTGTTCCTCTTGATATACCTAGCACGTCTAGCGAATCTAATACGGTGAAAAACCATGGCAGCAGAAATTTGTTCGACAAAAAGAAGGTCAGCACTTGGTAAATCTCACATTCTGCAGAATTAATTTCAAAATATTCGAGTTAGATTAACTTTGGGTTCCGTTTTCCCTATTCCATTAAAAAAAAATCGTTCCGTATTCCATCTCTGACCGGAAGCATGGTTTGCTCTTATTCACATTTTTTGCGCGTCCCATTTGAAGTGATCGATCGCAATATTATTATTATTATTAGTCATCATTAACAATTTCATCAAACTTTCGCTTCATTCGCTCGCCCTCCGATAAACAAACCAACGCGTAATATTTTGAGGGAGTTCGAAGTAAAGAAAAACTCAAACATTGGCAGTATTTGCGTTGATTCGATTTGGCACCGATTTTGAGGCTTACTGAAAATTGGGGGAGGCGCCGCGTTTAAAAGCGCGTCGAGTCGACGGCTCGATGAGCATTCGACACGAGATGTTACTCACGATTCTATTGGTTGTCGGCGTTGCCGCGCAACAACAAAGTAAGTGGTAGATCAAATCCATATATGTATCCCATTATTCAGCCTCGAACGCCCAATATGTATCAAGCAATCAGTACACCGCTGGATATTCATCTGGCGGTGCCCAATATGATCCTTCTGGACAGCAGCAGCAGCAGACGTTGAACTACAATTCCGGCGCAACGTCGACCCCAATCATGTACGATGCTCAGAGTCAGCAGCAATACGGTGGAAGCCAATACAACGCCCAGAATCAGCAATATGGCACTCAATATGATGCGCAGGGCAATCAGCAGTACAATTCTGGAAGTCAGGTTCAAGGGTATTCGACGAATGGTATCTCGACGTCGAACTCGCAGTATAGTCAGAATGCGGCGAGCTCGGGATCGAGTAGCGTCTCATTGATGGACTACTCATTCAACAATGGCAATTGTCAGTACAAGGACGGTCAGGTTATTGAGAATGGCCAGACGCGTCAGGCCACCCAGCAAGAGTTGGCGCAGATCCAGCAATACCGGCAGGCGGTCGACAACTACATGAGCCAGGTGAACGGCTACGTCGGCAACTGGATCAACTCGGTGTTCCAATCGCTTCCGTCCACCAACGGCTCGTTCCCCAACATTCCGACGATGCCGACAATGCCGCAGGTACGATAGCGCGAGTTTTTCGGTTTGAATCGATTACGGCAAAATTTGTAGGCTCCATGTTTGTGCAGTCAACAGAATTGCGGCACGGTGTCGAATTTGTCGAGCGCCGCCGGCACGTCGCCGCAAATGGATTATTCCGGCAATCAGCAGTACTCGCAAAATCGGCAGTACAACCAACAGCAACAATATGGTCAGACGGCACAGTATGATCAGTCGCAGCAGCAGTACGGCCAGACGGCTCAGCAGCAGCAATATGGACAACAGCAGCAGTACGGCCAGACGGCCCAGTATGATCAGTCGCAGCAGCAGTATGGTAAGACGACTCAGCCGCAGCAATATGGGCAGCAGCAGCAGTACGGCCAAACGGCTCAGTATGATCAGTCGCAGCAGCAGCAGCAGAATCCACAGTACATCAACAACCAGCAGCAGCAGCAATACTACGGACGAAAAAAGTGAACGAATCGATTTTGTTGTTGCTTCTTGCCTGTATAAATACCCAAATAAAGGTTTCCTCTCGGAGTTGAATATCACAAGAGTCGGATTTTTTCGGAATGGTCAGAATTGAAATGCAAAAATTAAAAAAAAAGTTAGTGAAAAAAAGAAGCAAAAATTCACATTTGTGGAAAATCTACAAAATGCGAAAATCAGAATGGCGAGAAGCTAAGTGTAGATTTACGATGCAGAAGGATAGGTTAAAGGCGCATGCCGCGCACCGAGACCTCTTTTTCAGATTTAGCCAGTTTTCCGGAGCTTGAATAAAACATGAAATTTCATTTTAAAAAATTAATTATGTCGCAATTTAAAGAGACCTAATTTTTCTCGAGAAAATATCCATGAATAAGAAATCCATTTGAACCGTAAGAATTGAATTTCAATGCTGCTCTATGGCAAATTTGAAGTCACCATGATGGCTGAATAGCTGATGCTGATTATTTGAAACTGGAATCAGATAAAATCACTATGTCATTTAGTCGGGTCGTCAGCATTCCAAGCATTTTGGTCCTAGGCTTTGGTGGTCCGCTGAATGGTCTTCCTCTTCGGAAGAAGTAAAATAGTATTCAAATAGACTGATCTACGGACAATCGAAAAGTTTGAAATTTGTCCGCAGATGAGAAAAGCAAAGAAAGTGGATATTTTGGAAAATTTGAAATTGAAGAAAACAAGAATTCAAAAAATAATGAGCAAAAACGTGAATTGATTTGTGTGAATTCGTCGCCATCAATTCGCATTTTGTTTCTCGCACTTTTTAGCAAATAAGTTTCACTATCGCACGGTAATTATTCGATTTTTGTTTGGAAGGAATTCGATGTCTCAAATCCAATACAAATTCCAGCAACGATGGGTGATCTAATCCAATTGGAGGTCGGCAAAATGGTGAAAAAGTGGAGAATCGATAAGAAATTGGGCGAGGGCGCGTTCGGCGCGGTTTACAAGTGTAGCAACGAGAAAGGCGATTTGTATGCGTTGAAGGTGCTCATTTGAGCAACACCAAAAAAATTATGCGCGATTTTTAGGTTGAAGGAAAAGACGAGAAAATTCAACTTCTCAAAATGGAAGTGTTCGTGCTGTCAGAATTGAACAAAAACGGCGGTCGTCATTTTTGTCGGATCGAGGATAAAGTTGATCGGGGGGGTGGCTCTATTTTCGAATCTTCTCTGCTTTTCAGGGCCAATACGAGAATTTCAATTATGTGGTGATGACGTTTGTCGGAATGTCGCTGGCCGATTTGCGGATGAGCAGTCCCAACAAGCGATTCTCGTAAGTCCGATTTTGCCTCGCGGTGAATTTTGAAGCCTTGTTTGTCGACGCTCAGCATGGGAACCGCGATATCGGTGGGTCGTCAATGCCTCGAGGCGCTCGAAGAATTGCACAACATTGGCTATTTGCATCGCGACGTCAAACCCGGCAATTACACGATCGGACGCGCCGAGCTTGACGAGCTGCGCAAAGTGTACGTGCTCGATTTCGGCATGGCTCGCAAATTTGTGCACGAGGACGGCACGATCAAAAAGCCGCGAAACGTGGCCGGCTTTCGCGGCACCGTCAAATACGCGCCGGTGAGTTGTCATGCGATGCGCGAGCTGTGCCGTCAGGACGATTGCGAGACATGGCTCTACATGCTCGTCGAGCTCACCAAAGGCTCGCTGCCGTGGCGAAACATGACCGACATCGCGCAAATCGGCAACGAGAAGCGCGCGATTCGAATGAACGAGGTGGCGCAGAAGAAATTCTACGGCGGATGCCCAAGAGAGTACATCGACATTATGCGGACCATCGACAGCGGTCGATTCTTCGACGAGCCCAACTATCAACGAATATACTACCTGTTGAGATCCGCTATGGAGAACACGGGAGCCAAGGTGAAAATATGAGAATATCCTTTTTTGCACTGACCAAAATGCAAGATTGTAGGAATACCCGTATGATTGGGAAGAATGGCTGATGAAGAAGTACAAGGAGGAGAAGGAGAAGAAGAAAGCTGGAGGCGGAGGTGGCGGCGAGAAGAAGGAGGAGAAGAAGGAGAAGAAGAAGGACGAGGAGATTCCCGACGGCAAATCGCTTAAAGAGAAGAAGGAGAAGGATGAGGATAAAGAAAAGAAGGATGAGAAGAAGGATGATAAAGAATAATTGATTTATTCAAAATTTTCATAAATTATTTTCGAAAATTTATTATTAGAATTATCAGAAATCAATTATAGCAGTTCACTCTGTTTGGGATGCGGCGTCTCAATCGCGAAAGCACTTGAAGTCGTTGGTTGCGATCCTTCGGTCTGCAATCATTTTTTTTCATTGGGATGCTTAAAGGCGCATCACCTGTTCCTCTTGTGTGACTTTTGTGACGTGGAAATAATTTCCGGGCGTCGTTCCGGGCGGTCGAACGACGAGATCGGCGGTGCTTCGCGCCTCGCCAGCGAGATTCTCGGCGAGACACGTGAATTGGCCGCTGTCGGCGCCTTCGACCTTCACTATTATCAACGAATGATATCCATTTCCCTCCTGAATAATTGAGCATTTCGATGTGTCGCTGGCGTTTCATTGCTCTCGACTCACATCGATGATGCGAACCTCCTCGCAATCGGGAATTTCGTAGCCGTCGCGAAGCCACGTGACCTTTGGCATCGGATCGCCGGTCACACGCACCGTCCATTTCAATTGGCGGCCTTCTTCGATCTCCTCGCTGATCAGCCGCTGAATGAAATCCGGAGCGATCGTTTTGGCTGGAAAAATTTCGGGGGCATGCCTTTTTTCGGTTTTTTTTGAAACGAGATTCCACAAAATCGCACACGCCAATTTTTTGTTCAAAAAACCAAAAATGCGCTCACGAAGAGAATGAGTGAAATTTCGAGAAATGATTTTGAATTCTGCAAACACTCGACGCACAAATGCAGACTTTGCTTTATATTAGAGCTTTTTCCAAAAAAAAGACGGTCATCAGAAGTATTCGTGGCAAGACCAAGCTAAATAATGGACATTTAGTCAAATTTTCTTTTCCTTTTTTTTGCCCATTCTGAAACAATTTTCTAGTTTCAGTAGTAAAAATTATTTTCTTTCTTTTTTTCAACGACAACGATTCCAGAATCGACTCACGTCTAACGACAAGCTGGGCGCTGCTCGTCGCCACCCCGCTCGAATTCTTCGCCGTGCACATGTATTTGCCGGCGTGCGCCAATTGGCAATTGGCGAAGTTGAGCGAAACGCGTCCGCCGATGTTCGACACTTTCACGTCGCGCATGTCCAGCGGCCGTCCGTCGATCGTCCACTCGACGGTCGGCGCCGGCCATCCGGTGACGATGCCCTCGAATTTGGTCGCCTCGCCGGCGGCGACCACCACCGACACGAGCGTCTGCGTGAAGTGCGGCGGATGGCCGACGGCCTTTTGGCCTTCCATATCGTACTGCTCCAAGTGCTCCTCGTCGCTTTTGTGAATCTGCTGAATGCGTTTCGCCGGCGGCGGTGTCGCCAATTTGCTCGCCTCGTGCTTCAATGGACGTCGCTGCTCATATTCGAACATGGCGAACTCCTCCTCGACCTGAATGCCATCAATGCGATCGCCTAGGTCTTGCGCTCATTTCCTACCGTAACATGCTCGGTCGGCTTCGGCAATTGTCGCTGCTTCTGTTGGTACTCTTGAAGCGATCTGGGTCTCACGTGGAGTACCGTAAGCGTCTCGGTGATTCCCCTCTTGTTCTCGGCGATCATCTTGTAATATCCGGCGTGCTCCAATCTCGCCGGACTAATGATTATCGAGTAAGTGTCATTGACGTGACAGATTTTCAGGAATTCCGTCTTCTCGGTGACGATTTTGTTGTTGAAAAAGAAGCGAGTGGCGGGCTTCGGATTGCCGACGAGAATGCACTCGATCGCGATTCGACCGCCCTCCTCGACGGTGTATTCTCGTTCGAACGCCTTGATGAACTCCGGCTCGGTTGTCGTTCGCGAGAGACCGATCCGCTGCATATTGTCCTCGGCGGTGCTGCGATGCAGCGGCACCGGCGGTGGTGTCGGCGATGCTGTGTAGGCGCCATCCGTCCAGAATCCCTCGATGTCAGATGCCTAAACCGATTTGCGATTGAAGATCATCTATTGGATCATCATACCATAATAAAACTATCTCGTTGCCTAACTGAACTCTCATCGTCAGTCAGCTTCTTGAATTCCATACTAATCGGTCGACTACCCTAAATTGTCCAATCATCATCAACATCCATCTTATAACTGATTCAAACCGCTTTCGTCGCCTCCTCCTCAATTCCTAACTTCTTCACGACAACCGTCGATGCTTGCGGATTCCTAAAATCGGTGTGCACATTCTGAACCCATCCCTCGCCCGACACGCTCTCGTTGATCGTCGTCGTCGTCTTCGGCTCTCGCTTAATCGGAATTCGCGACTCCTGATGCTTCTCAGTGCCCTCTTGAATCATTGTTGCCTTCTGCCGATTGACGCTACTCTCCTCATCAATGTCTAATCGCTTCACCGTTATCTGAGAAGGTTGATCGCCTTCCTGACGCACTTGCTGAATCCATCCTTCCCCAGACGTCGTCTCAGTAACCGTCTTGGTCGTTTTCGGCACCGGTATTCTCGATTCGATTCGAGTTCTCGAACCTTCCTCCTCTTCTTCTCGTGTCTTCTGAATCTGCTGTTGTTGAGCGCGTTCCAAATTCTAAAAAACTGATCTTTGAGAACATCACTACAAATCTCAAATCCGACTTTTCTAATATTTTCTTCCTCTTCAATATCTAGTCGTTTCACCGTAATCTTATTGAGATGCGGTTGCTCAATATTCTGATCAACTTGCTGAACCCAACCTTCACCAGTGGTGGTCTCGGTAACCGTCATCGTGGTCTTCGGCTCCTGACGGATTGGGATCTTCGACTCCTGCTTAACCACATGCTCTTCCTCAGCATGCTCGTACTTGTTGGTAGTAGCAGGTCGTCCAATATTCTGAATTCCAAAAAACACCTAAAAGACAGAAGATTCGTCATTGAATACCTGTTGTGTGATTCTCTCCGTCTCATCGACATCCAGCTTCTTGATGGTGATCGTCGACTTGTGCGGCTCGACGAAATCTTGATGCTGATGACGCACCCATCCCTCATTGTCCGTGGTTTCGGTGACGGTCGTCGCTTGTTGCTGCGTCGTCTTCGTCGGCTGCTCTTGACGCTGCTCGTCGACGTCGCCGGTGGTTGTGATCGTTTGACGAACCGTCGTCGTCACCTTCTCCTCTTGTGGAGCGGCAAGAATGTCGTCGATGCGATCAATCTTTGGCATGTTGGTGATGGTTTGTTGAACGTCGGGATTCGCCGGATGATGGACTTGCGCGATATTGGCGACTGGTTGACGAGACGCCGTCGTCGCCTGATGAACGTCGGGCTGCGTTGCCGGCTGATATTTGGCAATGTTCTCAACCGACGGCGATTTTCGCGTCAACGTTGATCGATGAGTTTCCGGTACCGGTGATTGCCGAATCTTGGCGACATTCTCAACCGACGGCGATCGCCTCGTGATGGTAGATCGATGAGTCTCGGGAATTGGCGACTGTCGAATCTTGGCGACATTCTCAACCGACGGCGATCGCCTCGTGATTGTTGATCGATGAGTCTCCGGCACTGGCGATTGTCGAATTGTCGCGACGTGCTCCGACGTGGGTCCCGGCGTTGTGCGCGCTTCGTGCACTTCTCGTTGTGGAGACTGCCGAATCGTCGCGACGTTCATCGTCTTCTTCGATTCGTCAGTGGTGACGGTCTGAATTATATCCGGCTGAGTCGGCTGATGCGATTGTCCGATGTGCGAAACTGTCGTCGTGGTGGTGTTGGATTGTTGGATGATCGGCTGCGATTGCTGATACACATTATGCGCGCTGTAGTGATCCATTCCCGTCGACGTGCGACTCTCTCTGACTTCGGTCTCGCGAACTGGCGACCAGATCTCGTCAATGGTATCAACCCATCGCTGTTGCGATTCGACCCGTTTGCGTTCGGTGATTTGCGGAATTGGCGACGTCGACGCCTGCGACAGATGCTCTTCAAAGTGTTGCTCGATGACTTCAACCCAACGCTTGTCGTCGACAATCTTCTCAGGCTCGCGCGGTTGCGGGAAATCCGTCCGCTGATATTCCCGATTCGTCGTCGTGATCACTGTCTTCTGAACCGGTTGGCCAATTAGCTCAGCGACGTCTTCCTGGAAGTGCTGCTCGGTGGTCACCGAGCGTTGATTCAACGATGGCTGAACATGAACCGTCGCACCGCTGACGGCCTCGCCCATCTCATTTTCAGCGATCACCGTGTACATTCCAGTGTGCGTCGGCGAGATGTGCGGAATCGTCACACGATGCCATCCGTCCTCCTGACTGGTGACAACCACCTCCGTTGTCTGCTGTTGAAGCGGCGCGTCGTTGAACATCCATCTGACGTCAGGCTTCGGCTCGCCCTGAACGAACACTTGCAGTGTCGCCGTCTCGCCCTCCTGCCAGACGGTGTTGGTGAGTTGCGGCTGAATCGACGGTGGTCGTTGCATGATGCGCGGCTTCGGCGGTGCCATCGGCGCCGTCTTCTTCGGTATCACCCGCAGCTGGCAGAAGTTGGCCACCTCGCCATGGACATTCTTCGCGCGAACTGTATAAACACCGCTGTCCAATGGAATCGTGTTCTCAATGATCATCTGGCAGTGATCGCCGCTGAATGTGAGATGGACCCTATCGCTCTCCTTCACAGCGACCTCCTCCTTGAACCAAGCCTGAACAAAACCGAATGGAAGGCTTGAGATAGAAGAAAAAAGAAACAGAGCCTACCACTTCCGGCTCGGGCCTTCCAATCACCACACAATCAAGTGTGGCCGTCGTTCCCTCGTTGACCTGCACATTCTGAATCTGCTTGACAAATCGCGGTTTGTCCTCGTCGAGAATTGCCGATGACATTGCACTTCGAGCTGTAATCGAATTGTCATGATGATGCTAGAACCTCTCCCATCGTGTCAGCTTACACTTGACAACCAAATGCGCGCTGCTCTCCGCAATCCCACCGGGATTCGTCGCTTTGACAGTGTAGGTGGCCGTGTCCTCGATGAAGCTCTCCTCAATCACCAATGTGGCGACGCCGTTGATGTACTCCTGACGATAGTCGATGTTGCTCTTCACGTCGATGCCGTCTTTGAGCCACGAGATCACCGGCTCGGGTTCGCCTTCGATTCGAGCGGCGAACTCGAACCGAGCGCCCTCTTCCACCTCCGAGTCCTCGAGCTTCTTGAGAATTTGCGGAGCGCGAACACGCTGACGCGCCACCTCGTGCTTCTTAACAATGAGATTCTGCTCGGCGGCCTGAAACCATTTGAAGGTGAAAAAAAAATTATTTTTTTGCTCTCCTTACTCGTTCGTATAATTCCTTGACCAACTGTTGAACCTGAGCTTGTTTCGTTCTCGTCTCCTCGATCGTCTTGTTGAAGGTCTCGTCTGAAAAAATGATTGTCAACAATTTGACGAATCAATCCCAGAAACCTTTCGTGAACCTCGCCGCATCCTCGATTCTCACATTTTGCGCTTCGACGGTCTGCTGAATCTCGTGAACGCGTTTGACGACGTCCTCCGTTTCTTGTACGGTTCGCATCGGCGAATTGTCGACGAGTCGAATGATCTCGACGATCTCCTCCTGCCACATTTGGATTTCCTCGACGATCTTCTTGAGAATTTGAAGCTCCTTCTTCTCCTCGGGTGTTAATGTGATCTCGGTGGTCTCGAATCGCGTGAGATCCACGGTCTTCGTCTCTTCAATCGTTTCTTGCGGCTTCGACAACTCGATATTCGCCTCGATTGCCTTGCGCTCGAGTTTTTCCGTCATCTGCTTGATGTGATTCTGATGTTGAATGACTTGAGCGATCTGCGTCTTCAATCGATCGGCTGCAAAAAAAAAACAAATTGAAAAATTCAGTCTTCATCGTCCCTTACTTTGCGCTTTCGCGACCACTTCCTCAATCTTTGGCTGCTGCAAATCAATGGCTTCCCTCACAAGCTTCACCTTCTCCTGAAGCTCGTCGGCCGCTTGAACGGTCCTGATCGGCGTCGTGTCGAACATCCGAATAATCTCCGTCATCTCTTCCTGCCACATTTGCACCTGTTCGGTGACTTTAACGAGCTTCTCCTCTCGAATCTTCTCATCAAGCTCAATGGCGAGATGGCGAATCTGCTCCTGCACGTGCTCGACCTCGTCCATTTTGCGCGTGAACTCCGGTATCGTCGACATTCGCTTGATCTCGCCGATTCGCAACGATTTCGATTCGATCGTCTCGCGAAGATCGCCAACACGGTCGATGAGCTCATTGGCCTCTTGCACACTTCCCGGCCGACTCTTGTCGATCATTCGAATGATCTCGATGGCCTCCTCCTGCCACATTTGGATCTCCTCGACGACCCGAATCAATTTCGAGAGTTCCAACTAGAATATTATAATTTTTTTGAAGAGACCCCCCCCCCCAAAAAAAAATACCTTCTGCTGAAGCTCGTGCGTCGTCTTTCGGATTTGCTCCTGATTCGAAATCGTCTTCTGCAGCTGGCTCTGGTAGACGTCATTCTGGGACAATGATCGCAACGATTCCAAATAATCCGATTTGCGATCGACGGCCACATTCAAGTCGTCAATTTTGCGACGAACGTGCTCATATTGCTGAAATTCACGATTGCAAAAAAAAAGAAGAATCAATGATTCTCAAATACCTCCTGATTATTGGTTTGAGTGGAAATGACCTGATTCAAATTGCGAATGATTTCCACCATTTCCTCTTGCCAAATTTGGACATCCTCGACAACTTTGAGAACCGATGTAAGCTCGAGCTGAATCGCGATCAATTGTCTTCAAAAAATTTCGCAACAATGCTCAAACCTTGGCTTCAAGCTGCTCCAATCGTTTCTTGATGTAATCTTGCTTATCAATGAGCACATTGATTCGACTCAGTTGCTCCTCATCTGAAACATTGGCACAATTTTGAAAGTCAATCCATTCAACAACGTCCTACTCAATGTCTCATTCTTCAATTGCTCCATTCGAAGAAGCTCCCCATCAACCGCCGATTTGTACTTGAGCAATCTCTTCTTGTACTCTTCGGCTTCATCCCGACTCATTGTCGTGTTTCGGTCGACAGTCGCAATGAACTCGAGCACCTCTTGCTGCCACATTTGGATCTCCTCGATGACGCGCTCGACCAACGTCTGCGCGTTCTTGTCGCGTTGCCACTCGTTCCATTTCAATTGCACGTACTTCAATCGATTCTCGTGATCGATGATCATGTTCTGCACCGACTCGCCGGCTCGCCGAATATTCAGCCATTCATCGTCTTTGCCGATTTGGGTGGCGTTCGCGAGGAACTTCTCCGCTTGATGCTTCTCTTGCGTCAACGTCTCCTGAATCATCTGGAACACGTTGGCGATTTGTCCGCACACCTTCTCGTTCGTGTACTCCTGATTGTTTTCGAGCAGCGTTTGAAGCGCGTCGAACGAGCCCTCGAGATCTTTGCCAAATTTGTGAACCTGCTCGTACGTCGTGCCGATTTGAATGCGATTCTCCAGAATATCTTTGACTTTCTCATAGCTCTTCACAAACGCCGTCAACTCTTGATCCTCGTCCGGCGACATTTGCGAACGCGACGAAAGAAGGCCCATGAGATCGGCGTCGCGATTCTGGAAACCAAGCCCTGAAATTTTTTAAGCGCACACCATTTCACCAACCAAAACTTCCGTCGAGAATTGCTTGTGAGCATTGACAAACTCGCGAGCGTCATTCAAATTGCCACCCATGTCACCCTTTTGCGCCAAAAATGCCGCCGCCGGACCATCGAGCCAAGCTTTTATTGTGCTCAACTAAATTATACATACATGATTCCATTCAATTCTCACAAAAAATAAAAAATCGCCCCAACCTTCTCATTCGTTATTCCCGACGCTTTTCGCTGCTTGGCCAACTCCAAAATCTCGTTAAGCTTGAGCTCAAGATCCTGGCAAAGCTGTCGCACCAATCGTTGCTCCTCATAATTCAACACTTCCTTGGCTTCAAAAATTGATATTGATTCGCTTTCCAACTCAATCAACTCAATAATTACCAGCAATTTCTTTGCCTTCGGCCACCAATGGTTGCGTTTTTTGTTTCGCCAATGGCGCCAGCTCTCCGGCCATCGCAGCGTTCGCATTCTTCATATCCGACGCCATCATCGTCAATTGGGACATCATCTATAATTCACATGCAGGTTTCTATTTTTAATCAAATTCAATATATCATTCTGAAGCTAATCCGGGGATTCATTTCTAGCAACCGAAAAAAAAGAAATACCGATTTGGCGGCTTGAATAAACGACTGAATGCGTTGCGATCGGTTCATTCTCGTCTTCAGATAGTGTAGGAATTCCTCAATTCTTCCCGACAGATGAGAAACGCGACCGCCATCGGTGTCGGGACTCTGAGCAATCTCACGAAGGCGAGCAATATGATTCTAGAAAATCGAATGCATTTATACGGCTTCTGTCGATTTCCGCCTACATTTCCCTCCTTCAACACCTGCTTCTGACCGCTCTCATTCAGCGCTTTCACTCGTTTTTCAGCATATGTCAACCATTGCTCGATGACAACCAGCTCGTCTTCGGTGGTCGTCGTTTTTCTCTCGTGCTTCTCCACTTCGACTTTTCGCTGTTGCCAAGATTGTTCGGATCGCTCCCAATCGGCGGCAACCCTGTCAGGTAGGAGAATGGCATTGGAATATCGAATATGATATACCTTAGCATGACATTCTCAATGAAAACGCAAGATTGGAGAATCTCTTGCGGACGCTCCGGATTGTCATCGACGTGCCCGATGGTTCGAATCTGGGTGATCACCGATGAGCCGAGTTCGACAACGGCGGCGGTCACGTCGATAATGTCTGAGCGGAACATTATTTTTGTGTTCTCTTTATCTCAACACTCACCGTTGATTAGTTGATCAACACCCGATTGCAATTGTCTCGAATTCTCCGAATTGTATTTCGCGACAATCTGAGCCGTTCGATCAGCAAGCTAGAAGACGAGTCATTCATGAATACTGAAATTCCAAAGCCCCCCCCCAATACCTCTTGATGTTTGTCGGCCATCTGGTAGAAGTGCAGCGTCTCGCGAAGCAGATAACCTCGAAGAATGAGCTGCCGATTCAATGTTGACCACGTCTACACAACATTTCGCGTTAGTTAATGCGAGAATTGCGGTTGAAGCAAACCTCGCGGAGGCTTTTCGCCATGTCGTCGTAAATGATCACTTCGTTCGGGTCGCTCTTTTCGCCGCTCAGATGATCAGCGCGATCCAGCAACGCGGCGACTTGATCGCTTTTGTCGTCGAGACGCCTCATCAGATCGTCATGGATGCTCAACAATCCTTGCGTCTCCCGAGCGGAAGCACCGATCGTCAATAATTTTGGTTGCATTTCGTCGACGCGCAGTTGAATATAATCAGCGCTCTAGAAAACAAGGGTAGATCAAAATTATTCGCGAAAGCAGAAAACAAAAATTGATGCCTTTAGAAGAGCGATGACTATCGAAGCGTTCACGCCAGCTCGAACTGCAATTGTCGAAATCGTTGTGGTCGTTTTGTCGTTGGTGTGATGGTGCGCCAATGAGTTGGTGACATTGGCGTCGGTTGGTGGCACGCCGACCGGCGCCATTTTCGCGGTCTTCTGAAAATTGCCTCATATTGATCTCATGAATATATTGGTGAGAATGTCTTCCATCAAAACGAGAGAAGGATTCTCGGCGAGGATCGCAAAAAAAAAAGAATCTCTCATTCTCTCCACCCCCGCTGATGTTTCTCATCGGCACAGAGTGCAATTCACATTATGATAAATGGGTTGTATGTAGAATTGATAAATTTGGCAGAAAAAAAAATCATGCACCCAATGCACCAATTGCTTGGGTGTGGTAGTTACCAGGTGCACACAGACTTTCGTTCTCAAATTTCGGATCCTTAGAAAATAATAAATAATCGAATTCTGGGTGATTTCTAAATAACTAATTTCCAGGTATTTTTTTTTCAGAAATGCCTATTGGTTAGAGGTTTTTGGGAACCCAAAATGCGAGAAATTCGAATATTAAAAATTATTTTTAAAAATTTTTAAATTATTGGACCGTCTAATTGAAATTTAATTTTATGCGCTAGGCTTTTGGGGGTCCATTTATGGGAATGCTCGCTTCACTGCGGGGAATCTAGGAATAATTTTTTTTGAGGATTTCATATTCAAAATGAGAATTTGCTATGATTGAGAATCCCATAAAAATTGGTTTTTTTTGTGAAATTCAAAATATGCTATATTTTTCCACACAACCCTATGTATTTATTAAAATTGTAATTCAAAAAAAAACAAAAAAAAAAACTAAAAGTGCAACTCAAATATTCAAATCAAGTGCCGCCCACTCGTCGTCAAATCGATCTCGTTTATCGATATCTCGCGTTGTCTCTTCTACTACATACTAGTGGCAAAATGTGTTGCCGCTCGAAAGAATTGTGTAAAACACCCAAAAGCTCGACGCGTTCTTTTTGCTCGTCGCTGAGCACAAGACAGAATGAGAGAAATACAGCAATAATGAGCAACAAAAAATCTGGCGGGGGAACGAAATTAATTTTTTTTTGTTCGATTTCCCCCTCGCATGAGTTTTATTGGAATCAGATTCCAAGAATCTCACCACATGGGAAAATCTCGAAACGATTCTTCAATGGGCTCATGTTGATTCAATATCAATTCTAGGTAATTAGCGCTAATTAAAATCTAAATAATTGGTTTCTACATGGCGGTGTGATTAGCAGAAGAACCATATCGAAAAATTCAGCAAGCTGGTTGGATAGACAACTGATGAAAAGATTGGTGCAATAAAAATGGTGCATAGACCCACACACACCCACTTGGTGGGACCTGTGGCGGAGAATATGTGTGTAACGGACGTTGTGTTGTATACTTGTGCGCTGCCTCGTCGGGATCCCGTCCGGTCTACCACCATTACAACGTGTGCACCTCAATCTCTCAAGCTTCATCCTCTTCGTCTCACTCTTGCGACTGCTGCTCGCGTCGATGTTGTTGCCGATGATCGGAAGAAGCAAATGAACAGAGCAAAAAAAAACTTAGAAGAAACCTCGCGACGAGTTGAAGGAAATGATACTTTATTAATTTTTGATTTGATCTGAGGATTTCTGAATTGTTAAATGTAGAAATTTTTTGCAAAGGTTCTGTGAAGATTTCTGAAAATAAATCACAACAAAACTCTAAAATCTCTATAAATTTTCAACGGAAAAAATTATTGTATAAAATCCAGTTTTTTGAGTTGTCTTTTTTCCCAAACGCTAGCGTGATACTTTATTTTTTTTTTAAGTAAAAGAAAACGCTTAATTAGAATATTCAATTTTCAAAAAAAAGCAGTTATCGACTATTTTCAAACTGTTATGTGGAGCTGAAACATAATTTCGAGGGTGTACGGTACACACTTCGGTGAATGCACACACACACTAGTTGACGCGCATATACAGAGTTTTTGAGATTTGTGTAAGTTTCTTTTTTTTCTAGCTAAAAATCCTTTTGAAAAGAGTTTTAAAATAGCTTAAAATGCATTGAATTGGACAACACTTCCTCATACTAAATTCATATTCTTTTTTTTCAGATAATGACAACAAAAAAAAACATTTTTCTCCTGGTCGTTGAAGTGGAAATTCTAGAAGCCGATTCGTTTCAGAATGCGCTATCGAAGCCATAGTAAGTCGTGCTCATTTTTTGGGATTGAAATGTAAATTAAATCTTTCAGTGTTTCGATTATTCACCATCTAAAAATAAACTATTTTGACTGGACACAGTAAAAGACGTCACAATTTGTTTTCAAATGAAAAATGTCTTTAATTAGTTAATTGTTGTATGATAATAATAAGTAAAAACAATTGGCAATTATAGCGTTTTTTTTTTGTTGGCAAAAGTGAAATTTAAAAATAGTTTTATTCAGATTTCTGAGTTTTGCTCCTCAAACCTTCTTCCATTTTTCAGAAAAAAAATTGTTTTTTAATTTCTAATTAATTGTTTTATTAAAATACCGTAAAAATTATAGAACAGTCAGAGAAGGTATTCAGAAGTGCCGGAGAAATTTGATCCAAAAAGGGAAGTCATTATCCAATGAAGATTTGGAAATTCTGACATTCGGTTCAATTAAATTTTAAGAAATTAAGTTATTTTCTATAAACTTTTCCTTCTTTTATGCTCTTCTCTATTCATTTCGTAGAATTGCAGGTGTTAATTTTCTACGGCAAAACTGCCAATGGTATTGAGAATTGAGGGAAAAAAAAATTTCAAAATAAAAAAATATATTTCGCACCCCGGCCAGTTGTTGAAGGAATTCGACACAAAAAATTTATAATCAATTAGAGGCGTTCTCAGCTTTTTCGAAATTTTCTCGAAACTCCCGCGCGCCGCACTTTTGAATTAATTTGATTTTTTTCCGGTAGATCAACGAGCATGCCTAACAAACCATTCACAAAATTCAAAAAACCATATTATTCAAAAAACCAAACATTCAAATCGAGACATGGCAATTGAGGATAGTAGAGGTCCTGATAATTCTCTTCGGATTGAAGGTAGAGATCATCGATGGAATGCTTGGCGAATAGCGGCCAGAATGATGAATACGATAATGAAAACGACGATTCTGGAAAACGCGATGATCAACATTTTCGCAAGATTCGCCAGGACTCACATTCTCAAGAATAGCGTTCCCAATTCGATGTCAGCCGCATAAGCGGCAATCAATTTTGTGGCGCTTGTGCTCATGATTGAGAGAATCACCAAATGAACGAATTTGCGATGAAAGCGAGCACGCCTTCACAAATTGATAATCACCTCGAATTCTGAGAAGTGATGCGGCTAGTTTCGAGTCGCGTACAAATTAATATAGTTGAAGGCATTTATATGGTGAAAGGTGAGACGGGTCCGCTTCGATTCAAATTTGAACCACGGCGTTTTTAAGAGCACCCTTCAAAATGGAATATAATATATAACACATAATTATAGATTCTACATATTTTGGAGTATCTCGGCGTAAACTAATTGCACAAAAAAATTGCAAAATGTTTTGGAATCCTTGCTCTTTGTTGAGCACTTACCGATCCGATCATCAACGGAATTTTTGACAGATTTTTTGATGCTGGAATCTTGATTATTCTGAAGTTTGGCTGAATCGTCGAGTTGCCATGGAAACGCGTGCCGAAGCTTATGATAATGTCTACCACACATTTATTTTTCGTCAAGCTTAATATAATGGATCGCCATCGAATTGCTCGTCATCGGATGAGTGCTGATTGCGGCGTTGGTGGAATTCTCGTTTCACAGTGTGGTACAAGACGATGAGAATATAGGTGGCCAATGAGAAAACGCTGAGCGGTATTTCAATTTTTTTTTTGGAAATTTGATTCTCACATTGCGCACATCGCCAGATGCACATGATTTTCGAACATCGCCGGAATCAAATAATCGAATGTTGGGCCGAGGAGAAGCATTATCATAAGGAAGAACGCAATACTAGGAAGGAGCACGTCGAAGAAATGGCAGAGCGACCCGAAAATAATAATGAGGAAGAGCATGAAGAAATACATTCTCGTTTTTGCTGGATTCTCCAATGTGATGGACTCGGAGTGTTTTATTTTGGACAGACATGGGCCTCTTGGGATTTTGGCGATGTGTCACGATGTTTGTGATTTTTTTATTAATTAGTTGGTACGTTTAAAGGCGCACGTTAGGCATTGAATATCACTAGTTGAGGGTTTGGATTGGATCGAACATTTATTCAAAAAAGAAACCAATCAAATCAATGAGGTAGAACAAATTGACGTCGTCAGATCGAGTGCAACTCAGGAATCGTTTGGCGAACGCCGGTGGTCCACACATTCATTGGTGCGATTTGACGATTGCGACGACGCCACTCGGCGAATCCTATCGCGGTCATCATTGCGGTGAGAAGAGCGATGCTGAAAGATGAAAAAGAGCACGTCCGAATGGATTATTGCTGGTACAATATGAATGGCGAGAGGTTTCTGAACAACTCCGACAATTGAATTGGCGGCGAAGCGACGGCGACGACGGTTGGAACGACGACGACGACGAGGAGAGCGATGATGGCCGGGTGCATCGCGCAGGTCGAGCTTTTGACTGAAATGAGCGCAGCGCGACTGAGACTGATGATCATATCATGCGTGAAATTGGGCAGATCATTTGGCTGGAGGGACATTGGAAATCGGTAAACAAATTTGCGAATATGTCGATTCTCAGAATTGCGGTTTATTGCAAAAAAAAATATACACATCGTCAATTAGTCTGGAAGCGTTTCAGCAGCATCGACGGCCGCAACAATTGCCGGCGTTGCGCTTTCGATTCGCGCGGCATCGTTCGAAAATTTTCTTGGTGTAGATCAGAATGAGGCCGATGAGCAGCATGGCGAAACAGCCGCTGAGACAGTTTGCGAGTTCGCCGCGAATCGACGAGTCGAGCTCTCACCCGGCGGCCCATTGTTGGATGGCGCTGTTCGGCGTCATCGGATTCGTCCTGAATTCTGGAAGGGTGGCGGCGAGCGGAAGTTGGATGAGCGTCAGCCAAACGGCGAGCATGATATTGAAATAGGAATCGAGAAACTGAAATAGTTAGAAGGAAGGGGCGGCGTTTTGACAATCGTGAGGCATTGGAGCGAGTGAATTGGAATGAAACGATGAGAAGCCCCATTGACGTAGCATTCTCAACGTCATCCGTGAATAATGCGACAACGGCTCGAGGTGTTCTGTAATACGACGGCAAACTAGAAATAGAAGTGGATGGTCAGATGATCGAATATCTCGATTTCACAAAAATTATTGGAAAGGCCTAATTTTTTGGAAATCGGTCGATGATTTGAAGACGACGGCAACCTGACAAAATGACATGTGTACTCCACGCGGACAATATTGTGTGCAGCTTGTTGAAACCCACAAATATCAAATTTGAAAGTTTTTTTTCGAACATCTCAGAATACAATCTGAATCATCACGACCCTCAGTTTTATTATTCTTGAAAGAATCGACCTAGCTGAAGATGAGCCTTTTTCAACAAAAAAAAAACGTTATTTAATTAAAGTGCTATAATTACAATGGGGTCTTCTCAGAAACCCCCTATATTTCTGCCCTTTTTCCATTTTTTTTGCCAAACTCCTCAAAAAATAAAATGTTAAAAAGCTTCGCTAGAAATTGAAAGCGATTTTTTTTAATTCTTGCTCATTTTGTTGCTATTTTCAGCACGCAAAAATGTATGTTTTTTTTTTTCTTCTTTGATCGCCACACATTATTTTTTGTTTTAAGACAAGTCTGACTATTCTGCGGCCACACTCTCATCGCTCTCGCTCTCTGCGTCTCCGTTTTAGGCGCGAGCCAATCAAACGAGAGCATCGACTGTGGTGAAAACGCCCCAAGGGGATGGAGGGCAACATGTCTGGAACAATTGATTTATTCGGGTTACGATTCGAAACATCCAATTGGTAGATCAAAGAGTCGATTCGTCGAATACACGATATTGAACGATATTTGGCGATTGTTCGGGAGTCTTGAGGCACTTGAAAATCATTCCGACGATCAGCAGCATAATCACGATGAGACTATAAATGAGCAACTCCGATAGAAGGAGAAGCTTGAACGACTTACATTGGAACGATTAGATGTGGAAGGAACATCACCGAGCCGATTGTTGAGGCGTCGGTGACGTGCACGAGAGAGAGCATCAGAATACCAGGCAGCATTTGGTAGGTCGAATGAATGAACGCACCTGCGGAAGCAGCGCAGCCCCCGCCCCACGAAAATAGTGTGACGCGAGAGACGGATATCCGAAACCGGATAATAGAGAACCGAATTGAAAAGAGAGGCTCATTGGAAGTAATCCTGAATTACGGTAGCTTATCTATTATCTTGATTCGCGCACAGACGGCATTCAGAACGCTGTTGAATCATTTGAATTGGTTTCGTCAAACCATGAGAAGAATCACGTGAGCAATATCACGCTCATAATCAATTATTTGGAGGCGGCTAGTCTTCGAAGTGATTCATCTTGTGGCCGACGAAGCGATTATTCGATTGAATGGAACACGATGAGCCGAGTTCTGAGAAGAGGAATCGGAAGTCGGCGGGCGAGGCAGAGGAAAAGCTTCGAAGGAAACTATGATTATGGATATATTGGTTTTCTCAGGAAAACTTTTTTTTGTCTGACCGTTCGACCATTTGGACTAGCTTTTTCCTCGGCCACGATTTTTCGGTGGTGAAAAACAGATTATACCATATTTATTAAAGACAAATTGAAAATGATGTGTTGTATCATATTCGGAGCAATTTTCTTGAGGATGACATAGAGGAAGAGCCAGTAAAAGAGAATGCTGAAAATCATCAAATAATTATTGCTGCGAGCTCGAAATATGAATTTGAATTTTATTAGAGAAATGCCGGTTTTTTTTATTAGAAAATGCCTAAAAGAGGGCCCTTTATAGACAATTCTAGCAAGGGGCATTTCGTTTGCCACAAAGTCCATTACGATCTTTAAAGAAAACACACACCTTAAAATCAATAGCCAGAAATTGGAAGCAAAGTCATTAAAGCTATCCAGAAGGTTTTCGGCCTTCTTCTGAACACAATCAACACAATGCGTCGAAATGAGAATGATGAGGTAGATGGCGAGCATGGCCGGGGACCCGGGGAATGATTGACGGGGAGGGGGGGACCAATGAGATTCGGCGGCGGTCCGGATGGGAGGCGGGGATTTGCGTCGGGTACGGTGGCGCGCGAGTCATTCATTCATAATTGCCCATTGTTGTTTCACGCGCGCTCATTGCATGAAAATTGCAATTTGAATATTTTTTAATTTACCGTAGATATGTATGTTTCAAATTGACTCCCTCTTTTTTGAGAACTACCGAGTTTCCATTAAATGATGACTCAAAATTGTTCAAAGCATTCCGCCTAATATAGTATAGATGCTTCCTGTGGTGTTTTAATGGTCCGTTCGATTTAGTCGTCTATCAAGTTGAGTATTGCTCACTTGCGAGCCCATCAGATGTGCTCAGTCGGCCTCTGGATGACCGGTGCCTTTAGCATTCCTTGAAGTGATTTGGAATTGCTATATCGTAGAACCGCGACGCGAGCCGCAGCGCATAAAAAATTATAGTTAATGAATTCGTAATGATAGCTTGAATATCCGATCAATTATTTTTTAAATTTCAACTCAACAAAATTCTTAATCATCATTGAAAACAACAGAATGGATTGTTCAGAAGACGTGGAATTCACGAGCGATTCCACACGACGCCCATGACGCACATGAGGATGGCGAGAAGGACAAGACCAATTCCGCTGAAATCACATCGAATTGCTAATCCAATTGATGTTCAATCTTACACAAGGGTCATTACTGGATTCTCCTTGACGTATGCGATCAATGGCTCAAAGTCGAGAGCCTGAGTGACAGAGGTGAGAGCGAGCAGGAGGACGAGCGACATCGCTGCCAATGATATGATCGTCCAAATTTCTTTTTTGTGCTTCTCGAGCTCCCCCCCCCCACGCCCATTAGCAATATTTCTATGAAGGGTGTTGTTTATATATTCTCTCAAATCGACCAAAGACGAGAGAACTCACCTCATCAAGTTGTAGGAGAGATTCGCTGGATTTGTATGATTGCCTCGAAGGATTAGAGTTGCACGCGTTTCATTATTTCGCCAATGAAGTGATATTACGGATCTTCTCGAATTTTGGAAAACCAGATGGATTGATTTTTGATGGGTCCGAAAAAAAAATTGGAAAATTTTTGGGTCATTGTGGTTCGGAAGGGTTGAAGGGCCCTGTCAATTACAGATGATGCGGCAAATAAAGTGTGCACCAATTTAACGCAAGCTCATGCGCCACTGACGCATTTTTTGCGCATTTTAACTTTTGGATTTTAGTAGATCATAAAAGCATTCTTTTTCCAAAAACGATTTGTTTAGAATTTTCCATAAATCTTCATTTTTCCCCTTGAGCCCTAAAATCGTTCTGAATGGTTTTTGATGGTTTTAATTTTTTTTTCTACCCCCACCTCACCCTTCGCCCACACCCTTGCCGCTATTTTAATTGCCTCTTCGATTTCGAGCTTTTAGAAAAATGTTTGAAATTGACTATCCTGTCTTCACCGCCTACGTGAAAATATTATCCTGGTTTGAAAAAGCCAATTTAACGATGTGGTGTATCTCGGATAATGTCCGCAGGTGTTTATAATGAAATATTTTTTTTTAAATCTGGCTCATCGCATTGTCCCTGTGGAGTACACAGACGCCACCTCATCCCTGGCTCCCTGCCAATTTTCTCGCAGTCGCTCGACTTCGCCAATATGTTCGCCAGAGGCGACGCTGAGCAGGTGGTCATGGCAACACATATTCGATGTGAAATCATGGAGATTGCGATGCTCAAAGAAAAAAAAACGAGAATTTTGAAGAAGTTGTGGAATCAAAATGTTAAAGGTTTCTGTAAGTCTACTAAATAAAAAAAATTATAAAATTTGATATAAGGCCCAAGATTTGTCACCAAAAAATTTTATAAAGAGATTTGCCACGAAAAAAGTTTTTTTTGAAAATTCAAAAAAATTCAAAAATCTGAATTTAGAGTGCTTTAAAATTGCTATAAATCAATTCTTTTGGTTTCCACGAGTGTTATAAAAATTCAAAAAATGAAAGAAATGTCCGAAAGACTGCGATCTGTGCATTTCGGCGTCGCGCTTAAAATCATCGCGCGTTCGAACTTTAAAAGCTCATCACTCATTGGTTTTGCTGTCAAAAAATTATTGGTCTTGATTTTTGCTCTTGACAGACAACAACAATTCGATTGGTACCATCAGAATTCTCAACAAATTAACTAATCAGCACTTTCGCGATTTTTCCCGAATTGCATTTGGTGCGTCTTTGACACCCATTAATGAGCGGACCATCATTCGACCCGTCCACCTCAACTCAAAATTGCTCTCGTGGACAGAATTGAATAAAATATGAGTTACTTACTCGTATCACAAGATCGACATATTAATTATCAGATAATTTGATCATAATTATCAGATCAAATAGTACTCCGGTGTATCTCTCATAAAGAAATACTCGCCGAATCTAAAAATATTTCGATGGAATAATAGAAAATGGCTGAATCGCAGGTTGAAATTTCAAAGTTGATCCATAGAGATGAAGCGCGACGAAAAGCATTATGGAAGGATAACCCGATTCTCAGACGAATATGCTTCCTGTAGCTTCCAGGAGGAGTATCTAGAATATGAATAGTATATCTAAGAGCATCTAAGAGCTTAACTCTTTTATTCCTTTTCGACCAATCTATTACTTATTATCTTGTGGGTAAATTGACCTTCCCTGATGATGATCTAAAGAGCGAAACGTCGGATAAACATTTCAACACTGTGCAAGGCATTTCAAATAAAGGGTCATATCAAGAAGATCTCTTCTACTTAACAATAATCCACACGATGCACTCAAAACAAGTCGCTCCACAACTCACAATACTAAGAGCATAACGCTAATTTATGTTTCTATATAGCTAGGAATGAAGATTCCGATGATATACGCGGATTTCATGAGGCTTCCAGCCGCGCAGTTATCGTTTTCTCATAGTGCCAGAGCATAACGCCCGCCATAATTATAATGATCAAACCATTTTAATTGTTTTAATTTCACAATTAAGTATGTACATCAAAAACTACCAATTGAATATGAGCAGAATGTAAAAAATACATATTTCTGGTGCACCGTTTGCCCAAATTAACAAATTGGCGGAAGCGATATTCTGAAACCACACAGCTATAAATTTGTAGAGTCACCGTTATGGTATTCGCGTGCTCGTCGATTCTTGTTGGCTTAGTTTCTCGGTTATAGAGCCACGATTAGTCGGACTAGCATCAGAAACAGATCGGACGTCAATCAGAGTTGGGAGGAATGACTAATTTGAAAATTAGTGGAAGTGGAAGAAAATGCGTTCAAAGGGGTACCTTGAAAAATTAGGGTAGTCGGATTTTTTGCGGAATGCGGACTTCCGCCCAACAGTGTGAAACGAAATGTGTGCAAATTTGCGTCGGTGTGTAAACGGACAAAAATGTTACTGTGCTTATTATACAGTTGCTGTTTTTTTTTTTTGGTGGAACAGTCTATGCATTTTTTATTTTTAGCATTTTAATATCAAGCTCAATATTTTTCGTTTGCTGATCCTTGGGGAACGGGGATAATTGATGGATCATTAATCTGATGATCTGATAATTATGATCAAATTATCTGATAATTAATATGTCGATCTTGTGATACGAGTAAGTAACTCATATTTTATTCAATTCTGTCCACGAGAGCAATTTTGAGTTGAGGTGGACGGGTCGAATGATGGTCCGCTCATTAATGGGTGTCAAAGACGCACCAAATGCAATTCGGGAAAAATCGCGAAAGTGCTGATTAGTTAATTTGTTGAGAATTCTGATGGTACCAATCGAATTGTTGTTGTCTGTCAAGAGCAAAAATCAAGACCAATAATTTTTTGACAGCAAAACCAATGAGTGATGAGCTTTTAAAGTTCGAACGCGCGATGATTTTAAGCGCGACGCCGAAATGCACAGATCGCAGTCTTTCGGACATTTCTTTCATTTTTTGAATTTTTATAACACTCGTGGAAACCAAAAGAATTGATTTATAGCAATTTTAAAGCACTCTAAATTCAGATTTTTGAATTTTTTTGAATTTTCAATTTTCTAAAAAAATTGAAAATTCAAAATGCAAAATCTCTCAATAGAATTTCTTGGTGACAAATCTTATATCAAATTTTATAAATTATTTTTATTTAGTAGACTCACAGAAACCTTTAACATTTTGATTCCACAACTTCTTCAAAATTCTCGTTTTTTTTTTCTTGGAGCATCGCAATCTGCATGATTTCACATCGAATATGTGTTGCCATGACCACCTGCTCAGCGTCGCCTCTGGCGAACATATTGGCGAAGTCGAGCGACTGCGAGAAAATTGGCAGGGAGTCAGGGATGAGGTGGCGTCTGTGTACTCCACAGGGACAATGTGATGAGCCAAAATGATTTCATTGTAACCACCTGCGGACATTTTCCGAGATACAACATCACATCATTAAATCTGCTTTGGCGGCAATTCAAACCTGGATGATATGTTCATGTAGGCGGTGAAGGCAAGATCGTAGATTTCCGAATTTTTCTCACAAAATACTAGTATCCTTCTAATCATGATTCTAATTTCCCGCTAATTCTGCTCTCAAAATAGTGCTCGATTTTTCTTTTTTGCTCTCATCCAATTATTACGCTTAACGATGCGAGATAAATTTTTCACCAAAAAGAAATGTTCATTGTTCAAGAAATGTGAAGTTCTGAAAAAAAAATTGCCAATGAAAGCAAAGCAATGACAAAAAAAATAATTTAGACGGTGTGATGCGATGATGGAGGTGTCGTCGATTCAACGAAGGCGGTCGCCCGGTTTTCTCGCCGCAAATTGTCTGAGCGCGAGGCGTATCAGAACGAGAATGACGATGAACGACATGAGGTTGACAACGCTGAAATACGACAACGATCACTACAAACGAGACGCACATGACTCACACTTGAGACGAATCACCAGGCGGTGGTGTCGAGTCGCCCATTCGGTTGTGCGCGAGTCGACTGGACAAATTGTGGTGGGCCATTCGAGCGGAGACGTCACGCCTACTGGAAATGAGCGCAATACACGTTTTTTGGCATTATCGATCTATAAAAATTAGTCCTTCGACTTTTTCAATCTTTATTCGGAAAAATTCAATGCTGGGCCATAATTCTATAAAAAACCGCATTTTCTGTCATAGCCTTTTTGATCTGAAATTTTTCAGCAAAATTTCTGACACTATGTCCTACTAAATCACCGATCCAGCTGTTTTGAATTTCAGAAAAAAACGAAAAATTGAAAAAATGAGAGACAGCACTCAAATTTAATTTTTAAAAAATTATAAAAATAAAAATACGATGCTCCGCGTGTACGGTAAAAATTTCAGCCAACTTTGAAAAAAGTTATGGTCTAAAACGCGATTTTTAATTGAATTATGGCCAACCCTGTATGCAGTGCGTTTCACATTCATAAAGCCACCCCAAGAAGTGTGTGTTGAAACGCTAATGGTCAAAAATTTGCTCAAAAATCGAAAATCAAATGATCAGATAATGAAGAAGCTTAGTTGCTCACGTGAAAACTCAATGAATCTCTAATATATTTATGAAACTCAAGAAAATTCAAAATGTCGATTAATGGCCCCCAAGATAATTGTTATCAATTATTTCTCATTATGGCTCAAGGCGATGGACTACAACTACATAGCAACGACCGGATTGTTTCTTGGGACCATTGAGGAGAGTCGAAGATAGTTCAAGTACACCCAGGAGGTCTAAAAAGGTCTCTTCAAGATTATCAATAAATATTTCAAAGATTTGTAATATTTTTAAAAAAGAACAAGCTGTAAATTGTCAGGGTCCTTATTTTTTATATGTATAAATAGTCGAAAATGAATATTTCAAATACAAGATTTAAGGCGAAATGACGAGAAAAATTGATTTTCTTTCAAATTTATTCCATTCTTCGCAAAATTTGAAAAAAGGCAAATTAAACCAAAAAAAAAAATGAACCTCGATTCTGTGGTTGACGTCAGTTGTCCACCTTCAAATCGAAATTCGATGAGCTGCGATGTATTAGAAATTTAATTGACAACGCGATTCGTCAAATTGGCCATTGTAAATCGCGTATTCCAATTTTCATGTTGCCCGAATTACAATTCGCCGAGTTCGCTTAAAATTCTAGCCACACAAAATGGTATTCCCCTGATTGGCGGACCACTCAAAAACGGGTGGGCAGGTGAGAGAGCCTCCTAATTGGCTCGATACGATCTCGAACGCCAATGTGACAATGAGAGCCGACTCACAGGTGGGCGAACGGAAATTGGAGATGTCAGGATGATTCGAATCGCCTTGTGCAATTATCGACAATCAGTCGGATAATTGGCGCGGATTATTCCCTGACGATGAGAGGGTCCCGATTGAATTAGAAGATTGATATATCGGGTCCGGTCTTCAGGCTCGCCCCCCAAAGGGGAACCTCATATGAGATTCAGCTTTCAGAAGATCGAGAGGATCGATAAATACGAAAAATTGATAAAATCAAAAAAAAAACAAAAAAATTAAAAATAAAATTAATTTTTTAAGATGATGCAATTTTATCGTTTCCAAGGTTGCGCAACTGTGTTTAGCGTTTACAGTAAAAATTTCAGCCCAATCGGCCGCGTTTGTGCCAAGTTATGCTCAAAAAACACTAGGCGAACATCATTATGGCCAGTACTGTATATATTAAAATAAATAAAAATTGGCCCGCTATTGTAAAGCGGTACACCCATTCACCACACCAAGTCTAATTTCGAATTTTGGAAGCATCTCGCCAAAAATGATCCTGAGAATCCCGGTCGAATTTTGCAACAAAAAAAACTGCTTGAAAAATTTTTTGAATAGTATTAAAATATATTTAAAACTGTACAAAAAAAGCGCAATTTGGTTGCGAAATGAGAAAACCAAAAAAAATCCAGAAAATTCAGACAGAAATTACATATATAGTTTATATTATAATACACATAAGTTTCATGATTTTCCATTGGAAAATTAGAATTTCAAGGTTATTAATGGATACTCCTTAAAGGAGGGCGAGGGTTCTCTTTAAAAGTATTTTTTTAATAATTTAAACAAAATAAAATATCAAAAAAATTATTACTAAAGGCAAATTCTACTTTAATAATAAGAAAATCGATCACGAAATAAACATCATGTGAATTGTCGTCAAATAAAATGCACAAGTCCGCAATGTCATATTCAGCGAAATTTCGCTTCTTCTTTCTGTTCAATTTATTACCTCACAGGCCTGAATTCATAATTGAGAACAAAATTGAAAGACGTGTTTACACCTAATGCATTTTATTCTACGCCTTTTTTTTACGTGTAATTTTTCACGTGATTATTAAATAATTTGAATTTTTGGGCTTTCGAGGTCTCTGAATTAAACAATTCCCGTGAAAATAAGCGGAATTGAAATCATTGCGGACTTGTGCATTTTATTTGACGACAATTCGCATTTTGTTTACTTTTCGATTTTTTTCTCAGAATTCTTTTTTTTAAATATTTTTTTTTCATTTTCATGATTTTTGTTAATTCTTTTAAAGATTACCCCCCCCCTTTTATCCAGTATAAATATGTATTCTATAGAGAATCGCGTTGAGGCGGTCACCTCGGAAACCAGGCTCTCATTGGTGATGGACGTCCACCAACAATGTTGGTGAAAAATCGCCCAACTCGCCCATTACTAATTTGTTCAAGATTCTGATTACATCTTCGGAATCCTCATTGCATGGAGAAGAGAAAAATGAAAGAATTAAATTTTTTAACAACGAAACCATTGAATTGGATGCTTTTAAAGTTCTCGAAGAGGAAAAGCTTAAAAACTATATAAATATATATAGAAGCCAGTGGAAAGAAGGGACCATCTAAATGCATTATTTTTTTTTTATTTTGAAATTCGTCTTGCAATTTTCGATGGCGATTTGCGGCCGACCAAAGCGTCGACGGCCAACGCAACATCTTGCGTTCAAATCGCTACCGCGTCCGCTTGAACATCAATAATTACATCGACGAATTGGCGAGGCTCCAATTCGGATTCGGAAACATCAAAAAAATCGATCCGACGTAATACGGTTGACGGCGAGCCGACTCAACTCGAAGCAGGTGTGAAATCCGAGAAGCTCTCGATTCTCATGACGATTCGAACGAGCAGCGCGATTTTATCCGAAAAATTGATGAGGGACTAAAAAAAATGAAGGAGAAATTCATCATTTAATCACGTGACAGACAAATTAAATTCCAATTATTTCTGGATTTTTTCTTGTGACCAATTATGAAGGTTTAGTCTCAAAGAAATGTTTTTCCCAATCGAAATGCTTCAGAAAAATGAGAACTCATCGAATGTGCCAACGAGAACGTAAGTGATGCTTTTACTATGAGGATTCGAAAAATTAATCCAAAAACCTCGGCCACGGCCAGATTTTGTTCAAGGCTTCAGTATCACAGGTTTTGTTGATTCATTGCAATTTTTATCGCGTGCGCCTTTAAATTTAATTTGAAAGAAAAACGACTTGGATAAAAATATTTTTTTTACTGTTGGCTTCGAAAAATCTGGACGTGGCCTAGATTTTTGGAAGTTGTGTTTTTTTTCAGCAATATCGCGTTTTTAAAATTTTTTTTGAGTTTTCCTAATCTGCATAGTACCATAAAGTGGACTAAATTTGAAGACGGTAAAAATCAAAATTGAACATTTGAATTAAATTAAATGTTTTGAAAATTTTTGTTAATCACAAAATTACAAAAAAAATGCATAAAAATGTTTTTCTCTGATGGTTAAATTAAACAAATCTCATTTCGCCGAGATTTTTTTCCATGCGAGACCCAAGGCGGCAATTCAAATGACACAGTAATTTGAAATTGAGCATTTTCTGGCCTTGGGTCCAAATGGGATCCCTGTGCGCACTAAATCCCTATAAGGCGGGGCTCAAGATTGATATGGCCTTCTACATATATTAAAGAAAGACAAAAAAATTCTCATTGTAAACATCTGAGGACATTTTACGGGTCCCGCCACATTCCCTGAATAAGTCCCAATTTTTACTCTTAATATTCAAGGAAGACAACAAATTGGAGCACGACGTCGTCGGCTGCGACCACGGCTTCGTCGCTTCATCCATCCGACACGCACTATGGCGTCGAATCATTGATCTCCGATTTGGAGGGCGAACTCACCGGCGCCGAGCCAACGGCGGCCGAAATCGAGTGGATCGAGTTGGCGAAGGAGTTCACCTCGAAAGAAATCCCGTTTCGCGCTCCGCCTCGAAATAAGAAAGTGGTTCGCAAACTGCAAATTCGCCATCCGAAGCGACACTATTCATGGACGACGATTCGACGACAGGTTTGAAATAATTCCATGTGTGGAGCATTGCAAATCTCTTGCCTTCTCAGCTCAATGGTATTGATGATATTGCGGAATTGAACAATGGAGAAACTGGAAGTAGTACGAAGAGCTCGTCGAAGAGCAGCTCGAGCAACTGTTGATGCTTAATAAATTTGATTGTGCTATTTGGTTCAAAGATTAGAAGAAGCTTCAGCAAGGTTTTTGAAATTGTTTTATTGGTAGAAGCTTTCGTTTTTCGAACATGACCATTTTACGACAAAAAAATGGAAAAATAATATTTTATTTTCACATTTTTGAAACCCAAAGTAAAAATGTCTCTGTGAATGCATTTTCACACATTTGGTGAGCTCTGGACGAGCTCCTCGATGTTTCCTTGATTCTTCAAAGTGGTATGTTGCCATTGGTCCCGATCATCTTTCTTATGGACGCCTGTTCTGTCCCAAGCATACCCTATTCTTTTGGTCCGGCGGTCGTTGCCCAGAGCCGCGTTTTCTGCGGTGGATCACGGGAATGTTAAAAATGTCGTTATGGAGTGCTCGTTGGAGTCTTCTGGAGCTGCTCTTCAGGGTTGCTCACGTTTCGGCTCCGTGGAAGGTTGAATTATTGGGCTATGCTGATTTTGGAAAAGAAGACGCAACCAAGTGGGTATGTAAAACGAAAAGCACATTTCATGAAAAATAATACAATTTTTTGACGTAGAGTTGTTTCCAAGCGAGACCCAAAAACCAAAAAGTTCGGCCACGGCCATTTTGGCTAAGACTAACCGAATTTGAATTAATGAAACATAATGGGGAAATTGTTGAAGATGGAGATTTTGCGAAAAAAAAATATTTTAAAAAAAGGTTAAAAATGTATTTTTAAAAACTCCAAAAACGCAATGCAGATTTCGCAAAAAAACGACATTTTTTTTTTAATTTTTCGAGTTTTCGTCTCAAAATGAGCAAAATTGATAGCAGTTCAAAAAATTGTTAACTCCAGAAGTTGAAGTGCCTGAAATCGAGACACCCTTGGCACAAAACCAAATTTTTTTTCAAAATTTTATCCGACAAAATCGCCATAATAATTCAGTTTCCGAAAAAAAACGAAAGAGAGAAAAAAATGCGATTTTTAATGAAAAAAAATTGAATCATGTTGGAAAAGTGGGGATAATCCTTCAGATTATCAACCAAAAAAATTCCATTCTATTCTCAATTTCCCCCCAATTTTCATCGTTCATACGCGCATTGCTCTATGATTTTTCTGAAAATCTTTCAAGAAATCTGAATGACGCACAAAAACTCAACCTAGACTCTATTTTGCATCTCTCTCTTATGCTCGATGAAAAAAAAAAGAACCTGCCATGGCTGACAATTCGTTAATGATATCGCTATGACAACCAAGGCTATTGACGAATTCTGAAACTCGGCAGCATTTTTTTTTCTGCCCCTCTCTCTCTCACACTTTCTCATTTCCGCTAATCATGCGGCTCGCGATGATTTGCGCCACCATTTTTTTGGTGTCGGTTTCTGGCAAAGGTGGCGGCTCGCGTGGCGGCGGTGGTGGTAGTCGTGGGTTCAGCGGCTCGCGATCCTCGAGCTCGTCGTTTCGCTCGTCATCGGGCTCCTCAGGCTCAAAGAGGTAACTCAATTAATGTCTCTCCATAGTTCGACGAGTTTTTTTTTTTTTGAAGTTTTGGCCATTTCTCAAATTCGAGATCAAATGGAGGCCCTAGGTAAACCGGATTTTGTCCGCATATACAATTCATTATATCCATTAAGCTATTCGCGTTCGACGTACACGACGCAAATGCGCTCCACGGTGTTCAGAAGCGGTGTGTCCAGCAATCATTTGACCTACATGCCATCATCACACGTCTACGTCATTTCGAGCCCGTCGTACCCAATGATGTAATTCCTCCTCCCTCCCCCCTCCATTCTAAATTCTCATTCCCTTTTAAGGTATGGCGGTTATCATTACTATTGGGGTGGCCATTATGTTTCCGATCCATCGCGACCCACAATATGCGAATATGAAATAACCGACGAGGACGACGAATTCCGAAATGTGCGATTCGCTTCAAGACCCAACCCCCCAAATCAATTCATTCAGGTCACATTCACGAATGGAACTCATCCGAAGACGATCACCTTCGGATGTCCGCAGAAGAAGGAATGTTGTGGAATGGAGTGTTGCAATAAGGATTCCACAAATTTCTGCATTATCATGTAAGGCTGTTTTTCGTTTTGATCTACCGCTAATGTCAAATAGAGTGTGGTTTGATGAATGGTTTTCAATGATCAGAAATTATTATTACATATCAAATTTGTTTGAATTGCTAAATGTCTAGATAAGGTGTGGTATTAGAAGAAGTTGATAATCCACTAAAATTGAAAGCGGCAGGATCCATTTTGAATGATCCAGATCCAAATTATTTCTCATAGAATCTGATTGAAGCCTAACCACGATTTTCAGATATTCGACAGCTGAGTATGGTTGATTAATTTTGAACAAAAAAAAGAATCATTTAATAGAAATTGATTTCGATTATTTTGTTCGTGTGGAGTACACAGACACAATTTTTCGATTTGAGATCATTCGTGACAAGTTTGACAATGAAACATTATGGAAATTTTTTTTTGAAATTTTAGGGCTGCCATTCAGAGCCCTAAATGTATTGGGTCTCATATGGAAAAATCCTTATGATTGGCATCTACGCTTTCTTGCAGCTATAATATGAAAGAGCGTAAATTTTACCGGCTGTTTTTCGTTTTGATCTACCATTAATGTCAAATAGAGTGTGGTTCGATGATTGGTTTTCAATGAGCATAAATTACTACATATGAAATTTTGTTTGAGTTGCTAAATGTCGAAAGGCGTGGCGTTAGAAGCAATTGATAATCGAAAATAAAATTGGAAGCGGGGGCCATTTTGGGTGATCGGGTTCAAATGATTTTTTAGAGAATCTGTTTGAACAGCTGAATATGGTGTATGATTCATTTTGAACCAAAAATAAAAGAATAATTTTGTAGCCATTTAATTTCAATTATTTTGTTCGTGTGGAGTACACAGACACAATTTGTCGATTTGAGATTCGTGACTTTTTAACAATAAAAAATTCATGGAAAATTTTTTTTTGAAATGGAAAAAACCCCCTTATGAACGGTTTTTATGCTTCTTGCAGCCATAATATGAAAGAGCAGATTTTTTTTTTCATTTTCTTTTGCTAGTTTTAAAGAGCAGATTATATTGCAGTCCCTCCATTGAAAATTTTCAAACTCATCCATGTTCTCATTTTTTTTTCTTAAATTTTATCTGATAATTCAAAAATGGCTTATATTTATTATTATAAAAGTTTTTTTTCAAATAAATCAACGAAAGAAAAAAAGCAAAAAATTGAAAAATTAATAAATTATTTATGGCCGACGTGAAATGTGTGATGGCCGAACAATTCGCGGCCGCCCCCGTGTAACCTTATCGACCAATTCATGAAATGTATTTTTTATACAATAAATGCCCATTTTTGTACATACCTGCTTGAAAAAAATGTTTTCATTGCATGAATAGGCCCATAAAATTAATTTAGACGGACTAGTTTTTTTCTAGGCCACCTATTTTCTTCCAACATTGATGGCAATGAAACTCATAGTTTCTGAGTGCTTTCCCAATAAATTTCACTATATTTTTTTCCAGGCATGAAAATGAATAAGCCTTTGAAGATTCGCGAAGTTCAAATTTTTTAATCACGTTTCGCAACCAACAAGAATAATTCAGATTGTGCTCGATTTTTAAATTTTTATTGTATGAACATATCTATAAAAATAATTTAGACGGACTAGTTTTTTCTAGGCCATCAATTTTCTTCCAACATTCGCTGTTGCTGATAAATTTGGTCTGATTTGGAATTCAAAACTTGACGTTTTTCAAAAAAGAAATTAAAATCAATTTTTGCAGCGGCTTCGTCGTAATGGCGCTCGTCGTCGCTTGCTGCTTCGGAACATGCAAATACGGCTGCAATTGCAATGATACCGAGACGGTCACCGTCGTGACGACCACCACGACGTCGAGCCAACCGCCAGTGTACACCCCGCAATTCGTTCCGCCGCCATTGCCGCCGTATCCCGGCGAAACCGTTCTACCATTCAGCGTGCCGATCAGTGTGCAAGAAGTGAAGACAAAAATCATTTGATTCGTCGTGAGCTCCGATATTTCTCTCGAATGAATTTTGTTTCTTTTTTTTTCACACGTCACTCTGTGCATTTTTTTTTCTCTAGGCAGGTTTTCGTCGAATGAACCAATCGGCTTTTTCAAAATATGTGCAAATGCTGAAATTTCAGATAGCTAAAAATGGAGTAACATGGTGAGGTCTCGAGACGAACAGAGTGTTTCTTGAATTCCTTAAAAGGAGGAGACGAATTTGTTTTGGCCCAAATCGAAATTATTTTGTCGAAATTTGAAAGTCAGAGATTTCATGAAAAAATGTATGTGCTGTTTCAACGAGATTCTGGAAATTCCGTGCGTAAATATCCCCCAACTAGCTCGTAAATCGACACGAGACGTTCAATAGAGCGCGTTTTCAACATTGCCACCTTCTCCAACGTTTTTATTTGAAATTAGTACACTGATATGAGTCAGACCCTATCGGAATTATTCAAGCATTAAAAAATTATATTAAAAGCGCATTTTTTAGAATTTTTTTTTAAATTAGTAATGCGTGAATAAGTCCATTTTACGCAATTCAGAGGAGATTAAAAAAATGAAAAAAAGTGATAAAATTAATTATTTTTGTTCCCCCCAAATTTAATTATTAATCAAGCTTCACAAGATTTGATGTTGTGTTATAATTGCAATTAGTCGAATGCGCCTAATTAATATAGACTTAATGTTATTCAGTAAATCGAGTATTCCATGATACCCTTTTGAAAACAAATTTGCTCGAGTACAAATTCTTGGCGCTCATTTTCTCGTCATTCTTTTGTATCAAAAGGTTAAGCAAACTTTCACAAAAAAATTTAGGGTAACTAACAAAGAAAATGGCGGTATGATAATGAGTGGTTAGCAGGCATAATTAACCCAAGATTTTTTTTCTAGGTTAGATATGGCATATCAAAATCTCATATGTTATTTTCTCAAAAAATCAAAACCAAAAATGACATGCTACAATTTGGACTATAAAATCGGGTCGCTAGGGATTTTCTGATATCATTTTTTTTAAGTGATTGTGATTTTAAAGAATTTTCAGACTGGGTTCAAAATTCGCTCTCTATTGCTCACCAAACTAATTCACAAAAATTCTCAAAAACAATTTTTCAAACAAAATAATTTAATTAATATGAGTCAGGCTATAATGAGCTCTCATAGTGATTCCAAGATTTGTGCAAAAAGAAAAATCGAGGTACATTTTTTTCTCAAATCTGCCAATCCTCTTCTTAAAATATGTGCTATTATTTAAGAGAATCAAAAAAATCGATAAAAAAGAACTTTCTCAAGAACTTTTGATAGCAAAAAAAAAGCACCGAGTTAGCAGCAGGCTAGTCAGTTTCCATAGCGATTTCACACTTGTTTCTCCATTATATATATATAATATATATTATGTGTTGTGTATGCGAACCAGCTTTTCCTTCCTTTTTTCCAACCTTCTCAATTTTCAGACCACACCCTACAATGCCAGGTTTAAATCCCATATATCTAATACCACTATTCGGCATTATTACAACAATTGCTCTTGTCGATTCGCAGAGATTAGTCGTCTCGCGGCCGCTAGTCATGTTCGATTTCAACACTCGCCGAATTGTTGGTTCAACCATTTCAGGGAGACTCATTTGACGGGCTCCGAGTTTGAAGAGAGCTTCATCCGCTCGCTGATCAATTCGACGCAGCTTGATCCCATTGATGAAGAGGTGTCCCTTCTCTTATATGGTAACAATATTAGCTATACAATTGTTGATCCCGCGACGCCATTCGAGTAAGTTTCGCATTGTGTTGACTTGAGGGGGGGTAATGAAAGCTCATTATTGGAACACAGAGGGTTTCTTGCGAATATGGCCAGTTGTATCTCGTTGTCGACATTCACACGATTCAATTTCGTATGGGAACAAATTTTGTTTTTGATTGATATTCCAAAAAATTAATTTCATATGTTTTGAAAATGGACCTCAATCATTGGGATCTCATTTTAAACATCTGCCGACATTTCACGGGGTGGCGGCAATTCGAATTTCAGCTTCATCGATCGCAATTATTATTGGAGTACGGAGGCGTTCGACGCGGCGGCGTCCCAGGACAACTCAACCAAATTCACATGGATATGCGTTTATAATATTTCCGACGACGACAAATTCTTCACCGAGGTGCGCGCTTTCCGTTGAGCACAATTGCAAAAGCGTCTCGCACAGATCGAATTTTCGAATGGCTCCCGATTGGAATCGATCACATTCGGTTGCGAGAACGGCAAAGAATGCTGCGGATTGAAGTGTTGCGGTGACGATGTGCTAATCAATATTATCATGTGAGCGCTGGAAATCGCTGAAAAATTCGCAAAATTGCACAATTTAAGCGTCGGCGCAATTAGCATCGCGTTGCTCCTTCTGCTCCTCTGCAATATTCTCATTGGATTCAAGAAGCGGCGAGGTTAAGCCAATGCGTTCCCTTCGAATCGTTCATTTTTTTGTTTGGTTTAGAAGGGCGTAAGAGCAACGCGGCAGTGGTGTATGGCGCACGCCAAAATGACAACACCATCGAGATTGGCGAGGAAATCGACGCCAATCAAATCACGTTGCAGACGCGACATGTCGCTTCATCTCCAACTCGAGATCGAACTGAAATTTCCTAATACTGATTCAAATATTTTTTTTTTTCATTCTTCATATTTTTCTTAAATAAATCTTAAGCTACAGATGAGCGTTGAAAATCATCAAAACAAATAGAAATTTCGAAAATATTTTCAAAAAATTGATTTATCCGATTTGAGTGCGCGTACACACTGACGCAAACTTGCACACATTTCATCAAGGCTCAATTATTTTTTTATTAACGCAATTGTTTTGAATTTTTCTGTGATTTTACCGATAATTATATAAAATGTTGAAGTTTTGAATTAATTTTTATTCATGATATATTTTTTTAAAAAGTTTAAACATTAATAAAACAGCATTTTCGCATAGTTAAATTTTTTCTGGTTGTCATCAAATTTTTGCCCAATTCATCGAAAATTCCGGAAAAAAAAAATTTTGTGTGAGCCGAAATGTTTGCAATCAAGATGAGCATCATCAGCATCATCGTCATGTATGCTTGCGAGGATTGCGAACGAAACGGATTCCTGCGGCGGCGGCGGCGCGACCGGCCGGCCGGCCACCGAATTGATAATTCGGCTGAAGAGTGCAAACACAACATTTAGACACCGTTTTTATCAGGAGACATGTGCAAGCTCCTCAAGAGTGACCATCAGTCGCCCCCCGAATCGCGATCGACACCACCGTCGAACAACATTCTCGACAAACACGACGTACCGTCGGAATGCTAGGCGCACCATTACAAACATTATTTATCAACTCGAAATGTTACTTGCTGGTAAAAAACGAGAGCGGCTTGCAATTTGTTGACCAAAAAAAACACAATGGGAAGATCAACGCACTTCCGGGCGGGCGGCTCGCGCGGAAGGAAGTGCTCGTGCGAGTTGACCTTCGACTTGGTAGATCAAACGATATGACTGAAAATGGGTGGCGAATAGGAGGTTTTCGATACGGGACCCAAGTCAAACAAGGAACAAATTGAACCTCCATAATATAGTTGAATATTAAGCGATCAATCGGTTCAAATATACAAATTAAGCGCGTATGCATACATGCACTTTTGAATTTTCAATTTCAACCTCATTTTGTACCCTGAAGTGGAAAAATTTGTACGAGAAGGCTCTAAGTCAACAATTTTTTATAATATTTTCGAGTTTTGCACTTTTTTTCAGATATTGGCTAGAATAAAATATTTAAGAATTTCTATAAGACCTCTGAAAGTCAACACGGCCTTCACCGCATTGGAGGGGGGATGTGGCCGTGAAAAAATCTAGGCCATCAAATTTAAATTTTGCTTCCTCATGCCGATTTTTTTCAACATATTTAATTTCATGGGATAAAAATAAATTAAAAATATTCATAATTTACTATGAAAAAATATTTTTGGAATATTGTTGTCAGCTCCCGCGGGAAAAACGATAAGCAGTTTTTGTTCCGTTCCATTTCCTAACATGGACCCAAATATTTTGAATTTCGCCGACTGCCATTTTCTCGCTTCATCGTGTTGTTCCACACGAGACCCACCGGCGGCAATTCAAATTTTGTTAACTAAATCGCACACGACAATAAGGAATATTTCCCAAATAGCCAAAAACAAAATTATTGCTTGATTCGATTCTCGACACGAATCGCGTAAATCGATCCAACCATCAGCGTCGACGTCGAACGCGTCATCTTGTTTCGCATTCTTTGCTCGATGGTAGATCATAAAGTTGAATGAGAGGAATTTCTATGTTGCGTGTTGTTTGCATGAATATTATTGCGCAAAAAGAGAGAGAGAGAGACAAAAAAAATAATAGGCACAAAAGCAGGAGCATCATGGACTACTCGACCCAATCGCAACCGGCAACCGGTCTCCGTTGCCGACCGGGCGGTGACGCGAATGTGGCGGTCATCGGCACCGGCCGAATATAAAACGCCGAGTTTCCGTGGCAGCAAACATTCCGGCGTTGAATGCCGGCGACAATCTTTGCTCTTTCTCTTCGGAACATGTCCGCAGCAAGCATTGAGTTGGTCCAGGCCAGGCGCCTTCTATATTTAATCGCTCGACGCCTATTTTTGGAGTTGTCCTCCAATTTTTTTTTGTCGGTTCCTGTGTACACTATACGATGTTGTGAAGCCGGCGGAGCCGTGATGATAAAAACGTCCCCCCCCCTTTTCTCTCTCGCGCTTAATACGGACAAGCAGAAGCAGCAGCAGCTCAAGTATTTCGCCGATGAGGAGCCTCCCCACGACCGGCACACACACTCTCTATTTCTCTCTCTCTGTCTCTCTCTCTCTCTGTGTCAGTCCGCCTCATACAGTTCGAGGAATTATGCTCCACCTACTTTTTGCGGACTGACCAGACGCTTCTCGATTTTCTAATTGGGCGCTCCGACCACAGCCGTTGCTTGACTCCATATTTCAAATCGCCTCCATTTTCAGGTGTTTGCCGGTGACACACTAGGCGCTGAATTGTTATAGTTATCATTCATTCACTCCAAAAATCAACGATAAGCGCATTTGAACGATGAAACGCCTAGCTATTTCATTCTTCATCGTCCTTCCGCTCGCCTGCTTCTACGTCCTCAGAGCCGACGACGCTCCAGAAGGTACCACTATATTATGAAGGCATTCGATTTTATAAATGATTTTGAAGCGCCCGAGAATCGCGAGGCCAACTCGACGGTATTCCGATCGAAGAGACAATTCGGATGCCCGGCCAATTGCTACTCATCGTGCCAATCGAACGCGCAATGCACACGGTATTCGGTGACCGCCATCTGCGTTCAAGGATGCTGCTGTCCGGGAAACAACAACAATCTTGAAAGTGAGCTTTTCATGATATTGGCAAAATTTCAACGGGGGTGGGGAGGTTGGGTTCGATTTATCATTCGCCAAGTCGACGCGGTCACTCCATACCAAATTTCCTCGAGGAGTCCGTCGGCCTGCGAAAAAGTAAATACAAAATATTTGTGCGACGCCGGACGATTCGATGTTTGCGCAACGAATTTGGTGGTGGTGGTTGTCTCAAGATTTCGCGCTCTCACGAACTATTTATCTTGAGGAGCACACACACACACAAATTGAGAGCCAACTATGGGGGGATGGGGGGAAGCGATTCAAACAGTGAAGCTAATGGCTATTAATTTTCAGCCGCCTGCTCCGGTGGACCAGCTGTTGCCGCTTGCCTCGGCGGCCTCTGCGGACAGGGCTTCTTCTGCTCGAACAACAACTACTGCTGTAGATGTCAGTCAGGCAACAGCACCGGTAATCGACGGCTTCCCCCCCTCCCTCCACCTCATTCGTTTCAGGACCATGCGTCAATCAGCAATGCCCAACCGGATACATGTGCAACACGAACAACTATTGCTGCCCGCTCGGCTCCGGCGGTGTTCTCGGTGAGAGCCAAAAAGCGAAAACTCGGACGCGCCTTTAAACTGAATCGTTCCAGGTTCCTGCGTGAACGGCGCGTGCCCAACAGGATACACATGCGGCGCCGGCAACCTTTGCTATTTGACGAGCGGAAAGTAAATTGATGGTTCGATGGAAAGATACAGCGGGATCGTTTTTCATTTTTCTTAAAACAACTCAAAAAAAATTCGAAAGAAACGTTCTCAACTCTTTCATGCAAACATTGCCCATTTTCAATAGATTTCCCCTCCCGTCTTCCCCCAACAAAAAAAAAACGAAACTAATATTTTATTTTGTCTTTCCCCTCCCCCGCGCGTTGTTTCACATGGTTTCATTTTTGTCCTTCATTTTTTTCTTTTTCAACTCTTATTTATTCTATTTATTCGAATTTAAATGCAACAAGAATAAAAATAAATATTTATTGTTGAATGAGTGTACCGGTAGGATGGCTACTACGATGCTATTATGCTAGACAGTCAATCACGTTAAAGTTTTCGAGGAGCAACGGAGATTCGAAAATGTCACCAACACAATTATGTATTATGAAATATGGAATTTGAGCAGGTGGGCCGTCAAACGACTTTGTGCTCGTCGTGCGGATGATGATCGTAGTCATAATCGGTGTGCACAAACGCTCTTTCAACCTGCAATCATCGTTCAGTGAGACCGAATCCCATCAATCAGATACTGTAGTCTTGGTCTCGGGTCTTAAACAGCCGCAATTATACTGTAGCTACAGTAACCCTCTGGACAATGATATCTTATTCAATATACTATTTGGATACCGTGTTCCACTCATTTACTAAAATCATATTTCTATGAAGACCATTATAATTTTCAACGTTGGATTACTGTAGGATTACGGTATCTACCGAAAAAATTTTCAGATCCAAACTTGGTGGGTCTTTGATGAAATAATGTTACTGTAGAAATATTTAAATTGGATTACGGTAACTTGGAAAATTGTTTTCGAAAAATACCCTTTTAATGACTGAAATTTTTTCAAATTTTTTCAAAAATAAAGAACGTCAAATATATACATATATTGTAATTTGAAAGTAAGATTAAAAATTAAAAATTCGAAAAATAAAAATTTTTCCACAATCGTTAAACTAAAAAATTTGAACAAAATTCAATTATGAAAAACCAAAGCTGCATGTTTGAATTTCAAAAAAAAATTTAATTTGAAACTAACAAAAATGAAAAATTAGCGCGAAATTCAAAAAAATGTAATTTTTTTCGTTTACAGTATTTAAAGACGCATGCCGTTGATTTATGCGATGGGTCTTGATGCGAATCCAACGAAAACACGGGTATCTTCGATTTTTTTTCTTTTTTTTCTGCAATGCCCTCTAGCTAAAATTAACCAACCTCTGGCAAACTTTCAATATTGGCTTGAAGTGTCTCGCTGATATCATGCGAATCCTTCAATATCATATTCTCATCGAGAACAATGTGAACCTAAATTTCCATCATTTAATATATACATATATAATTTATTTAATGAGCTGACCTCCACCAAAAATTTGCTTCCAAAATGATAAACATAAACCGTATCAATATGTGTGATTCTTGCATCATGATCAATGCAAACTTTGATGATGCGATTGATGAATTCGGGATCGGCAGTCCTTCCAGATAATTTGTTCAAATGCTCTTTGCCGGTTTGCACCCATGTGTACAGAATATACAATGAAACGAGAATCGCGCCAATCGGATCAATGTAGTACGAGTACCTCAAAATCACGTTAATGATAATTGTTTCAACAATAAAATTAATGATACTGAGTTCCCAGCCATGCGCACAAAAGAGCAACCGAGTTTGATAAGCAGTCATTGCGATGGTCCATCGCTAACACATTCACCGATGGATCGGTGTACCTTTAAAATTGCGGTGATACGGTAATTGATTGGTTAAAGGTTCATATACCCTTTACAAACAATATACAATGTGAGTTTGACGACGACAGTGAACACCATGATTCCGACCGATACCAGGGTGACATCGAGGCGAGCAGCTTCGCCTTCCCCTAAAAATTGAAAATTCAAATATGAAAAAGGGCATTTGTTATAGAAAATTCAATGTTTTAAGCTTCCCCGCATAACAAAAAATCCAAAAGAAAAACTCTGCCATTTATTTTTAAAGGCGCATTTGAAAAGTTTGGCGGCTCTTCTGAATTGGCGTCCATTTTTAAGAATTATGTACAAACCCAATTTTTTTGGCCATAAAATGAGATTGAAAATTTGTTTTACGCAATTTTTGAGGCAATCTTAAAAATGATAATAAGACACAGTTTAACAATTTTAAGAGAGGGGTTCGTAAATCTGAAATTGGCTTGAAATTGCTATTTTTTTCAATTTTTCAATATTTTTTCACAAAAACGCTTGATTTTTTATTGTTTTCAAAAAATTTTAATTTTTTTTAAGAGAGGGGTTCGAAAATCTGAAATTGGTTCAAAATTTCAGATTTACTATTTTTCAATTTATCAATTTAAAAAAACCTTAATTTTTTAATTTATACATTTTTTGGTTTTCTAAGGTTCTCAACTCATTTAGAGCACTAGTTGATACCCAAAAAAAATTCGCGAACACTTTATAAGGGACCATTATGTTTGGCAAAGTTTTTTTGAATTTCATTTGACCACATTTGCACCTTAATTAGACGGTTTTAAAATTTATTTTAATATACAAATAAATTGTATTTGATTTGCTATCTTAAATGAAAATACATTATTAAATTTTTTAAAACCAAATATTGCTGCGGACATTTTTTGAGCACAATTTCAATGATTTTGAGGGTAATTTGAAGGGAATAATTCAAAAAAATAAAAATGAAACCTACCGTATACATCGAATAGTATCGCCGAATGAATGCGATTCACCGATGCGAAAATCAATTGAATCGATGCGATTCCCATAATCATGCTGATAATTATCTAAATTGCTTCACTTCAATAAAATCCAAATTTTTCTCTCTCACCAGCGCCAAAGGCTCAAGCCGCGTGCGTCCACGCGGATACAAATACGGGTCCCGCTTCTTGATCATGTGCTCCGACATGCTGATGACAGCGCCGCTGGTTATATCGACAATCGAGTCGACCATCGATGATATTATTGACATCGAGCCGGACAGAACCGAAGCGGTGATCTTTAAAATTGATTGTTTGACATTCGATCGCCACAAGACCCAAATAAATTTTCCGCACTATGAACCTTTAATCAATTATTTTATTTATTTTTATGTTGAGTCCCAACCTCACAATTTTCATGGAAATTTCTTTATATTCAAATGTCAAAAAAAATAGAAAAATAATTGAAAATTAAAAAGAAAATGGTCGAAATCATCAGTTTTGAAAAAATTGAGGAATTCTCGAAATTCGATAAAATTTTTTGAATACAGTAATAAAAAATACACCCAAATTTTTGCAGCGGTAATTCAAATTTCGATTTGAACATTGGGCAATTCAATTCGTAATATTCATAGTCGATTTCTTTAAAAAAAAAATACGCGCGCCTCTCAATGCCGTCAGACGCGTTGCGGTTCGCGTGCGGTTCACACAAAACCAAAACATCATCAGTTGATTTCAATTATTCCCTATATCTATTTCACATCCCGTTTTTCAAATACCATTAGGCGAACCGCAACGCGTCCAACAACATTGGTCTCGCCGCGGCTTTCCATTTTCAGCATCTCCCACTAGGTAGAAATTCAATGCGCTCCTATCTCTCAAAACTACCCGATAATCACGTGTAATTCACGAAGCCATCACAAAATAGAAAAATTGCAGATTCCATTCGTCGAATGATAACACGAAACCATCAAAGAAATGAGACCTTGGCACACATGAGCATAAAATTGATGCACAATGTGATTTTGGCGAGTCGCGACGCCGCTCCGGAATCCTCTTTTCCCGACGACTTCACACTTCCATCGGTCGCGTCGGTGTCGCCGGCGATTCGCTGAACAAAAAACCAAACATCGTTCGGGTTGTCTAACCGCCATCAATAACCTTGGGCCGAAGTTTCGGACTATATGGGTGCGCAACAATGACTACTTCGGGCTCGTCTTTTCCATCCTTCAATAATAATAATCAATACTAGGTAATTTGCGTGTCTCGAACAATTCTTGATGCACTCACCACGTACTCGACAATCGGAGCGGTGGGCTCTTTCTCGAGCTCCTCTTCCTCTTCGCGAACTTCGGGCACCAGATCGATGTCATCATTATTACTAATTGTTCGTTTGCGTGTTCGATTGAATTGCTTCAAACAAATGAGCACTCAATGTTATTCGTTTTCTAGATCGGCTCACCTCGATTTGTTCGCTGTCGTTCTTGAAATTCTCAAGAAGCTCGTTCTGCTTCCTGTAGAACTTGTTGATCTTTTTCGCTTTTTTCGAGCCCTAAAATTTCATTTTTCATCATCAAAAAACAAAAAACAAAATCATTTTCGACATTCAACAGTTGCGACGACAACGACGTCATCGAGCCGGTGACCGTTTTGTGGAGCTCGACACAACTCGACGGCTGATCGCTTCCATTGTCTTGACTCTCCAAATCTTTTCCCGATGATGGCGCTTGCGAATGCGAGATTGAACGAAGCGACGGCCTGCAATTCGGAAATTTCGGCGAATTATCATTTATGCCATCTGCGGACAATTGAGGCCCACAAAAGTGTAGATCTTCAACGGCAAAAAGCTTACCGAGAATCACTTGAATTGAAAATCTTGGCTCGATTATCAAACACAGCTAGTATAAGGACTTCCATGTTTGGAAATAAAACGAAAATCATGCAAACCAGGCCATGATGACTAACAATTAAGTGAACACCCAACTGATCTGTGTTTATTCAGCGAAAAATCGAACCTTTGATAATTATGCGTTGGCGACGCGACGTCTTCTCGCGTCTCGTCCTCCTCGACGTCCTCCAATAAACCGAATCGCACTTCTGCTTCGGTCATACCCGATGATAATCTGAACAATTATCGCAATTTAGGCAAATTTTTTTTCTTTGCATTCGACGAGCTTCATGAACTCTCACTCTCGAAACATTTTACACAACAATTTGATGAAATAATGATGGCGAATGAGAGAACATTGAGACGAGGCAAAAATAATATGAATGACCATGACGAATAGATATGAAGACATAGAGATGATGTTGTTTAAACACTTCATAGTTGACTTTTTTTTTTCTTTCTTTAAATCGTTTTACAATCATTTTGGCGCTGCAGCCTTTTGAAGATCAATCTTCTGTTTCAAGAGATGATTAAACCAATTTGCATTTTATAATAATTATGGCATCATTTTGATTAATATTCTCAATTTTCTTGAAAAATAATTGGAAGGTTAAGGCGCAAGAAGTAAATTATCGATTTTCAGCGAAAATCTCGATTATTAAACTCTATTTTTTTCGATAAAAATTCAAATAAATTTATTTTAAAGCTAGAATTCATTGAAAATAATCAAATGTGTGCGAGAGAGCGAAAGCCGAATTTCTCTCAAAGGTGCCCATATGAACCCCATATAGGCTTGTGCCATTAATAACTTATAACAAGCATAGCTAAAATTTTCAATTTTTTTTAAATGAAGATATTAATATTCTAATAATCTACTCAATCCTAAAAAAAATGAGAAAAAAAATGTTGCTGAACTTCGGATTTATGAAATTCCACAAAAAGATTGAACTTTTCCAGAATTGTAAGCTGTAATTACTTTGTTATTTGAGCTCAATGGTTTGATGTAATAAAAATTATGTGAAATTCGTTTTTTTTTCTAATTTTCCGCAAATGCTCTTGTCCATAATTGGCAGCCTTCTAAGCTCCGCCCAATTTATCACACCAATTCCCGTAATTGCAACACGTTTTGTGGGAAAAATGAAAACTTGAAGCATAAAATCGACACAAAAAAAAACAACTTACTCGATTTGCGCATAAACGAGACGGGGGAAAATGCAAAACAAATAAACGAAGGACAAAAAGCATAAGAAAGTGCCAATTATAAAATTGATTGGGTGGCAGTGGGAGAAAAAAAAAACACAGAATTTAAGGAGATGGTGATATCGTGGAGATTTGAGGGTGAAAAAGCAAACGGGTAGTGGTGAAGAATTTTGCAAATCAAAATCTTGAAGAATTTTGTGGAAGTCCGAAGAACATTATTTTTGAAATTTTTTTGAGATCTATTTTTTGGTGCATTTCTTTTCTATTTTCAAAGATCACCATTGGATATTAAAAAAATATATATATATATACTTCAAAATGAAATTTTGAATGTTTTCTTAAAGGAGCAAGCACTAGCCTAATTTGAAGCGCATTTTAAAATTAGTTTAAAATGTGAAAATATAAGCTTTTTTTGCTAAAAGCAAACAAATTGCAAATTTTCCCAAATCGAATTTTTTTCACACAAGCGCACAAGCAGAAATATATATTTTTTTAAATATAGTTGGAATAAAAAATTTATAATAATAACTAAATTCATTTTTAGAAATGAAATGGAGTTCAAAAATCAAGTACTCGAATCTTAAATGAAATTAACAATCAAAAAAAAAGAAATTCGATACGGCTTTGCAAAAATGTTTTGGACCCAACCCCTCACTACCGCCGAAAATCAATGATCGCGCAAGAAGAACCGAATTGTTGATTTTCGATTTAATACCGCTTTTCCGAATTTTTCTATTTAGATAGGCGACCATCATCACTACAAATATTGCAATCGAAATTGAGTGCGAGACGGATTTTGTTGTTTTATTTTTTGGCAATTTGCAACAAAAAAAATGCGGAAAAGCATTATAAATGCCTATAAACATCATTTTTCAATTATTTTCTCGAAAATATCATCATTCGTTTTATTTTCAACTCCATTCCCCGTTTTCGAGGCAAATTACCAATAAAAAACACGAATTTGTTTGTTTATCGGTGTTTGCACACAATGCGCACTATCATACGACACGCTTAATTTGATGTTTTTTTGTCAAATTCAATCTAAAATTCTTAAAAGCTATGATTTTCAAAGAAAAATAAATAAAAAATACTTACTAATTGAATTAATTGTTTCATAATCGAAATATAATATATAACATTGCCGTCTAAATCTTAGTTTGAGGAAACGTTTCATCTGTCAAAAAATAACGCAAGAAAAAGGCAGCTGAAATCCAAATCAAATCACAAATTCATTGTCAAGGCGAAACGAGCAAAAACGCAAACTCCAACTTTCCATCATGCTTCGCTTTAAACTGAGCTCGACGAGCTGGTTGATGGTCCGCTAGTGCAGCGGAGCACGTTTGCCGCTTTCAAAAGCCAACTTACAAGTTTATTTCACAGAATCGAAAACGAGCAACGAACAACGGAAATTATGAAACACTGGATGATTGAGGGTAGATCATTGGGGCGCGGCGGCGCCAATGCGAAGAATGCTCGATTTCTCGCCGCGAATTCCACCAAAACCGATGGGCTAAACGCAAAAAATTGAATAAATCGGCCGCCAAATATGCAAATGGGATTCGAACAAAAACCTGAATCTGAACCGTATGCGACGAATGTTCGTCTAAATCCGTAATTCGCGCCGAATTATTTTTGCCGATTACTTGACCACAATGTTTTCCATCAATCACGATCTCGTAGCCTATAAATTCTTCCATAAGAAACATCTCCGATTTTGAAAAAAAAATTAAAGACCCAGTTTTTCCGCAATATCAGAACTTTAATGGTACTACGCAGATTTCGCAGCTCAAAAAAAAAAAGATTTAAAATAAATTAAAAAATCAAAAAGCAGAATGAGAAAAAAAACTTTTGGGGTTTTTTCGAAAAAAAATCTGCATAGAACCATTAAAGGGCCTTTTTTTGAATCGAGCGATTCCATTTTGAAAAGAAATGGAAAAAAATAGAAAAAAGAAAGTTTATTTTTGTGGAATCATTTTTTCTTTTTTAAGCGCCCCATTATTGCTCATAAATCATCAATTTTTAACTTCATATGTTCGATTTTCGATGTAAAACACGAGAATCGCTCATCAAAAACAGCTGTTCCCATTTTTTAAAGCTTTCTCAACACAATTCACCAAGTAAATCATTTTTCACAAAATATATCGCGTATGCGCCTTTAAAAATTCAAATCAGTTGTTATCAGTCGACGTTCGCGGCGTCTCTGCCTTATCAATTTTCTAAAAAAATATTTAAAAACCTTGAACAACGGGCATTTCCCAACGCAGCACATAAGTATTATCCTCATCTTTCAACGGCGAGAACGTCAAATTCCTCGGCGTCGGCACAACGTTCTTCAGCGTCGTTTTCATCTCCTCCTGATCACTTTCGTATTTTCGCGTGAAATTCTCCAAAAAATCGACGAGACCCTCGTTCTTTTCGGTGAGCTTCTCATTCTGTTCGACAAGCTTCATCAGCTGCTCCTCAAGAAACGCAACACGTTTCTCGAGTTTCTAAAATTTGAAAAAAAAAATCCCAAATGTTGTTTGCTTTTCGTTTTTTCCCTTACAGATTGTTTCGTCTCGTGCTGATCGTCTATTGTCGACACATCAGCAACACTGGGACCTCGGGGAAGTGGTTGAGATTCAGACTCGGCGCTTCTAAACATCTCCTTGGACGGTGTCGGTGTATTTTGATTCTGATCATCAATCGAAATCGAAGTTTCCGCTCTAAACGCTCAAATTCTTAATTGTGCTAAAAATATACGACAAAACCTCGCCGAAGATAGAACAACAGTCAATGTCGAATCAATGGAGTTCGTTCGAGAAATCGTCGATTGACTAGATGACTCATCTAAAAATTTCAGATTTATTTTAAGCTTCGGACGCCTATGAGAAGAGGTCTCGGCGCGAAGCTAAATGTGTAGATTTACGGACACATTTCGTCTTTTAATTCTTCACGGTCGTCGACGACATTTTAATGATAACAAACTTTTATAAGCAGGCTCCCAGTTTCGCTGAGACCTCGGCGGCGAGCATTGTCGAATCGAACTGGGCAAAATTCGAGTATTCTTGAATTCATCTAAAGCAAATATGAGTAAAATGTAAAATTACTAATTTTCGGACCTCTCTTTGGCTGATTGTCATCCAATACGATCGAATCAATGCTTTTGTTGAGCTTTGCCAGTGCTTCGGAACGATTTCTCAACTCGCTAATTGTTTCGTTGTATAAAAAAACACGAAATTCTACCTTTCAGAGTGCTGATCGATCGTTCCCCTCCGCGCTTTTTCATTCCATTCCGAAAACGGCGAATAAATCGAACCGGTCGTCCGATCCGAATAGTTGGCTTGCGAGGATCCACTCTCACGCCGCTTTTGTAGAACCTCAAGAATTGTTCGATCAGTACGAAACAAATCTCCATTACCTTATGACACGTCTTCTGCGCCGGCGTCAATGGTCCGTTATCGGCTTGCAATGGTAAATGAGTGGCAATATATTCGCAAAGTTCTCGATGATGCCCGGGTCGAATATTCCGCACGTGGCCTTGAATGAACAGCCATTCACCTAAAAATGGGGGAAAATGATGAAGCTCACAAAAACGCGGAGACCTTCAATCCGAACGCGATCCTCAATTTCGATATCATCAATCATTTCGAGTTTTTCGGTCAAACATGCGACAATATAAGCGCGCACTTCGAAGCTTGGATCCACCAGGAACTCATCAAGACATTTGTTGTTGGCTGGAAAAAATGGTTTGAGAGCCATGTAGTCAATTACTGAAAAATTCGGATACCAGAATCATCAGCTGCCGTAAGATAAAGCTAATATTCAGCACTATGTGCCTTTAATCAATAATATTATTCAACGAATTCCGTAGGTTTTAAGGCAATTTAAAAAGTTGATTGGGTTTCGCAAAATTGTTTTTTGGATACTGTATTAAAGGCGCACACAGTTGAGATTCTAATAGCCCCATTTTTCTTTAGAAATGACTAGACCAATATAAATATGTGTGAGATTCGTAAACGGGGCAAGAAGAGCAAATTGTGAGAGATCATCGATTTGATTCGAGGAGAGATCGAGACGTGTTAGTGATTCGCTGCACACGTGATGTCCGAGATTCTACAATTTGGCATGATAACCTATTAATCGCCATTCACATCATACCATAAGATTTGTTAAGCGATTAGTTGAAATATTCAGTGTGCTCAATTTTGTACATTTGCTCAGATCGGGAAATTCTGACAAATTATTTCCACTCACATCGAGATATTCGAGGTTTTTAAGGCTCAACGCGAACGTTTCCTGCAATTTCCACATTTTTATAACGAGCGCAAAAAAAAAACAATTGTTGAAAAACTACCTCAATTGCGTTGCACGATAGATCAAGTTTGGCGAGATTCTCGAATCGGTTAAACTCGACGGCATGTTTAATTTGATTATTCGATAAATTCAAGATTTTTCTGCAAAAAAAATACAATTAAAAATAAAATCGGAAAATTTTGAACGCTTACAGTGTCCTATTTACAGAAGTCGCGAGAAACTTTCGAATATGATTGTCTTGAGCATTCACCTAGAGAACAAAAACCAAACATTTTCTCCAAAATGACAACTCACAGTTACGCAATTTTTAAAAAGGTCCATACAATTAAAATATTGAAATTCGTTGCGACTTATATCCAAATTCCTGACCTAAACATGTTAAATTTTGAAAATATTATTATTAGCAGGCATATAAGAAACATCAAACCTTTAAATACTCAGCTTTCAGTAAATTTGATATGTTGGTTAAGGAAAGATTCGACAAATCCAATACGCCCTCTTTCGACACTTGCGCATCTTGATTCTCAACTCTAAAATTTGGTTTTAATTGTTTGTTGAATCGATGAGAAATAAAAACAAAAAAACTAATCCGGCTTAGCATGACTCTTTGAAGCTTGCCTTGCTGGTATCATGCAGATTTCGCCCAAAAAAACTCATAAATCGATTTTTTAATCTCTAAAAATCTATGAAAACCATATGACGCGTTTTTTACAACATTTAAAAAATAAATATAGAGAAAATTTCAATTAAAAAAAAGCATAAAAAGAATAATAAAAATCATTTTCTTTCCTTTTTCTTTGCTACATTGAAATTTATTTCATTTCTTAATTTTTTGCATTGCCCTTCGATTTGAAAATCGAGATTGATTTATTTTAAATTTAATTTTCATATCGAAATCCTCGGATGCAAATTATTTTAATCGAAAATGTAATTTTATTTTGATTTTTAAGATTGGTTTTCGAGTTTTGAAGACATAATATTTGACGGCAAAAATCAGACCATTAAGAATTGATAGGACATTTTCACAATTTTCATAATCTCGCTTTTTTTACCTATGCGAGTTCAGTGTCGAATTAAACGTGCAATCCGATATCGACGATTCCGAGCGTAAATCCTACAAAATTCAAATTTGCCAATAAAAATTGAATTCCGCGTTCTCCCACATTATTCTCCTTGTCGTCGTCAACAATCTTATTCTCAGAATCGATCATTTCTAAAATCTTCATTCCATTTTCAAAACTGCAATCATTCTGCAAATGTATTAGGACAACAAACCCTAAATTACATCTAATAATTCTGATTTCTAACATTTCACCAAATTTATTTTGTTTCAATATAATTGAAATATCGAAAATTCAATGGTGATAGGCGAGAAACATTTCTAATCAAGGAATTAGAAGAATCAAGATAATTATGTAAAAAAAAGAAACCATAGAATGGAGAATATTATGGTGAACAGGGTCCATGAGGAAAAACAACTACAGCGAGATACTACTCATACACGGTGAGCGAGAAATTATGCACTAACTAATGAAATACGACAAAAAAAGAAAAAAGGTCAAATTGTGAAAAAAGAAGACATGAAATATGGGTATCCTGAGAAATTACAAAATGGGATCTGTTCGGAAAAAAATGGTGAAAAGAAATAACGCGCAAAAAAAATAATTAGACGCAAAAAGGCACTTAAAAAACGAACATTGGGTGGACAGGTGGATAGAGGTTTAATTATGGGGCACAAATTATTGTCTCACGATCAAGGACTCGCGTTCGGCTCCAACCCCAATGTAGACAATCGGCACCTGCAAATTTTTTAAGTAATTTCGAAGAGAACCCATTTTCTGACAACCTTAATAAAATCCTCAATGAACTCAATGTACTTTCGGCATTTCTCCGGCAGCTCTTCATACTTCCTAACACCGACTGTTGGCTGCTGCCAACCTTCCAGCTCCAGGTACTCAACTTCAATCTTCTCCCAAGCGTTTGCTTGAGCTAAATAAAACTTTTAACTTTGTTAAAGAAACTGGAATTCAAAAATTACCTGGCGGACACGTCAGCTTCTCACCGTTCAATTTGTAACCCACAGCAACTTTGATAGTCTAATAAATAACGATTTATTTGTTTTAAATTTTAAAAATCCTACAGGAAACGTGTCGAGAATGTCCAATTTCGTCAAAGCGATAGCAGTGTATCCATTAATCATCGCCGAGCGTCGAAGCAAGAACAAATCAATCCAACCACATCTACAAAATAAGAATGTTTCAATAATAATCGAAACTAGCCAATAATCACCTTCTCTTCCTTCCAGTGGTCACTCCGACTTCTTTTCCAATCTGCTGCAATTTGGCGCCAGTCTCATCGAACAACTCGGTTGGGAATGGTCCAGTTCCGACACGAGTCTGGTATGCTTTGACGACACCGATAACATTGGAAATCGCAGTTGGCGGAATGCCCAAACCGGTGCACGCTCCGCCGACAGTCGAATTCGACGACGTCACATAAGGATAAGTTCCAAAGTCGATATCCAAAAGAGCACCATTGGCTCCTTCAATCAAAATTTGTTTGCCGGCAGCGCGCTGTTCATGCAAGAATCCAACGGTATCACCAACAAGCTTCAATTCCGCCAATTTCTCACGATGCCTCTTGAACTTAGCGAGCTCCTCGTCAACATTCACATCGATTGTCGGAAATTGCTTTTTGTAATGCTCAACGAGACGACGATACTTCTCCGAAAACGCCTCGAAATCGGCCATCAAATCGGCAACACGAATTCCGTTTCGGAAACATTTCGAGCTATATGTCGGCCCAATTCCTCTATTAGTGGTTCCAATCTTGCTAAAATCATGAAATAGGATAAAATCATTTCTACTCAACAGAAATTGTACTTTTGAGTCGACAATGAGTCCTCTTGACGTCCATCAACCTGAGAATGAACTCCAAATACGAGATGAGCCTCACTCGAAATCAATATCCTTTAAAAATTTCGCAAGATTATTCGCCATTATCTTTTCATTCGACAACCTTTTCTCCCATCCAGGCTCCGAGAGAATCCCGTTGTGCTCAAGCTCCGAGAAAAACGCGTCCAAGTTCACAACAACCCCGTTTCCTATGACGTTGAAGCACTAAAAAACCACAACTCTCCGTTTCTTCAAAATCTTCGAGTTCAAACATACAGTTGGGCTGATAATACCGCTAGGAAGAATGTGAAAATCATATTTTCTTCCGTTCGCAACTACCGTATGCCCGGCATTGTTTCCTCCTTGGCATCTTGCGGTGACGTTGACCTTAATGATAAAGCACATTGGTTTTTGAACACATGTTCATTGCGTTTTTGTTTTTTCAACGTCATTCACTGATAAGAATTGCAACGAGATAAAAAAAAAGATTGAAATTGAAAATTCGGTGGCGAAATCAATGCCTATGACGTGATTAGGTGTAATTTCTTTCGAATGCCGAAAATCAAATCTCTTTTGGGAATTCAATTGAAATATCAAAAATGAGTCACTTTTCTCACAAATTCATACAAAACCAATTAGTATTGACGCTAAATGACTGAAAGTTTTGGAAAAAATGAAAAAATATTGGCTATTTGCCAAATGTCTCGCGAATTTCTCATTAACGAGGAAAGCTACACTGAGGGTCGTCTGACGCAACAAATAAAAATTTTTGAAAAACTGGACACGTCGAAAAAAGATCAAGAATTCCAAAATCATTTCTTTTTAATAATCAAAGCATATTGACTTACACCATGTCTTTCAATGAGATAATCGATGATTTTTCCTTTGCCTTCGTCTCCCCATTGTGCTCCCAGTAACACGGAAACGTTTTTCGAAGCGCCAGACATCTGAAATAGCTTTTTGAACAATCCAACACATTTGAAACAATTTTTAGATTAGAAAAACAAAAAAAATGTTATAGTTAACAATAGCGAAATTGAAAAGCAAATAGGGAATCGAAATGAAAAATGGCAAACAGCACGAGGGAAAGAAGAAAGTTTTTTGTAGCGTTCAAATTTAAAGAAAATTATGCCAAACGCAAACATACAGTGGCCTTCCTCGAATTGCCGAAAAATGAGTTCAGGTTCTCCTTCGAGTTTCCCGCGCCCATTGTTTAAAACGAATCGAATCGAATAATATAAATGATAAGTGAACAAAATTGAAGAATCGGCCGAGATCGCGAAGCACACGCACGGAATAGATCTCAAGCGAGAACAGCAACAGCAAAAACAACAACTCAGAACCGAAAAAATGAAAATTCACGGCGAAAAGCACACGTCGACGGGCGCACACAAGCGAAACAGGGAACAAAAAAAATATATATGAGCTCGTCGCGTTGTGTAATTCTCCGCGATTCACTTTGTCTAAACTCAATGACATATATTTATATCACATGAAAAATTGAGAAAGTCGACTCATATATACAAAAATTTTGAAACTTGGAAATAAAAGCAAATGTCATCGAAATCAACAATGCGATAGCCAATTCGAATTTCCGGTTTTACAGCTCACATGCTCCCTACGTAATATGAAAGACCAATAAGATTATAGATTAGCAAATATAAATATGAGCATACTGATAACACATAATTGAAAACAATAACGAGTATGCGAAATTCGCTCAAATTGGGGAAAAATTCACTACTATTACACTTGCGTCTCGGTTTCTCATTCACTTGATAGCAAATATCAAAAACCAAAAGTTAAATCAACGGAGATGAAACGGAAAGAGTATTAAACAGACATTGACAGAAGCAAATACAATCTGGCCATTAGATATGAACGATTTATTACTCTATTTGTTCATTTTTTTGACATTTTTTCTTCTTAAACATAAAAAAAAAACAAAAAAATACAATGCGAAACAAAAAACATTGTAAAACGTTTAGAAATTACAAGGGGAAGCATTAGATTGGGAGACCATTTAGAGAACGAAATCGACAGATTTGTTCTCAAAAAATTTAACCGTGATATTCAACAATTACAGTGAATCGAAGATGAACTATTTTTTAAACAATAACAACAAAAATCTGAATATAACTTAAAACATCTGTCCATCTTCGACACAAGGCAAAAAACAAAGAATCAAACTAAACACACTACTATCCTAAAAAAAAATCCTACTAAAATTAATAACAATCTAGTGAAGCGAATTTTTGACACAAGAAACAGCGATTGTGCGATTAAAATAATTAGTTCTGGTCCTTCTTTGGCTCTTCAGCGGTCTTGGCTTCTTCGGCTCCTCCACTGTTCTTGGCGGCCATGTTCTTATAAGCAGCCTAAAAATAATTTATTTAAAACAGAATATTTTGCGCAATCCAAAGTAGAAACTAAATAGGATGTTCATTAGTATCATACTTTTCTTTATATTTAGAAAATTTGAGTTAAAAATTACCTCGAAGAGTTTGAGAGATTGTTGCTGAAGAGTGTTGCAGGCTTCCTTGATAGCTTCTGGTGTCTCATTTTCCTTGTTCTCAAGGATCTTCTTTGTTTCAGCAATCTTGGTGCGCAGGGCTTCGCATTCCTCCTTCGGCAATTGGTCAGCAAACTCGGTCATCTTGCTCTCGGTGTCATGGATAATTCCTTCCGCTTGGTTGATAACTTCAACAAGCTCCTTTCTCTTAGCATCTTCAGCGGCGTTCTTCTCGGCTTCCTTGATCATGTTCTCGATCTGGTCCTTGGACAATCCTCCCGAAGATTGGATAACAACTAAAAAATTCGAATTTCAAAAAAAAGTCAATTAATAAAATCGTACTCTGTTGCTCCTTTCCGGTACCACGATCTCTGGCGGAAACGTTGACGATTCCATTAGCATCAATATCGAAGGTAACCTCAATTTGTGGAACACCACGTGGTGCTGGCGGAATTCCGACAAGTGAGAATTGTCCGAGCATCTTGTTATCGTTGGCCATTTCACGTTCTCCTTGGTAGACCTTGATTTGCACCTGAGTTTGTCCATCAGCAGCGGTGGAGAACACCTGTAATATTATGAAATAAATAAATTATTAATTTTTATTTAATCTCACCTGCGACTTCTTGGTAGGAATAGTAGTGTTTCTAGTGATGAGTTTGGTCATAACTCCACCAAGAGTCTCAATACCAAGAGAAAGTGGGGTCACATCAAGAAGAAGAACGTCAGTGACGTCTCCAGCAAGAACGGCTCCCTGAATAGCAGCTCCCATGGCGACAGCCTCATCCGGGTTGACAGCCTTGGATGGAACCTTTCCGAAAATCTCTTGGACGGTAGCCTGGACCTTTGGCATTCTGCTCATTCCTCCGACAAGAAGAACGTCTCCGATCTTGGATGCTGGAACTTCGGCATCATGAAGAGCTTTTCGGCACGGCTCAACAGTTCTCTTAATAAGATCTCCAACGATCTGCTCGAATTTGGCTCTGGTAAGTTTGAGGTTCATGTGTTTTGGTCCAGATTGATCCATCGTGATGTATGGAAGGTTGATGTCGGTTTGGGTGATGGAAGAAAGTTCGCATTTAGCCTTCTCGGCGGCCTCACGAAGACGTTGCATGGCTTGTGGGTCCTAGATAATCAAAAATAAAATCAAATAAGTGAAAATTCAAAATTGCCTTTGTAAGATCGATTCCTTGATCTTTCTTAAACTCAGCCACCAAATGATGAACAAGAGCATGATCAAAATCTTCTCCTCCAAGGAAGGTATCTCCGTTGGTGGACTTGACTTCAAAAACTCCCTTCTGGATCTCAAGAATAGAAATATCGAAGGTACCACCTCCAAGATCGTAAACAGCAATGCTAAATTTCAATAATTTAAAAACGAAATAAATTTTTTAAACATACATCTTATCCTCTGATTTATCCAAACCATAGGCAAGTGCAGCAGCAGTTGGCTCGTTGATAACACGAAGAACGTTCAAGCCAGCAATTTGTCCAGCGTCCTTGGTGGCCTGACGTTGAGAATCGTTGAAGTAAGCTGGAACAGTAACAACAGCGTTGTGAACGGTTGTTCCCAGGTAGCTCTCTGCGGTCTCTTTCATTTTCATAAGAACAAAGGCTCCAATCTAAAATATGATAAATACCAATATTTTTTGAAATTAAATACCTGTGATGGAGAATACACTTTTCCTTGAGCTTCAACCCAGGCGTCGCCATTGCTAGCTTTGACAATTTTATATGGAACAACTTTCCTGAAAAGAATAATCTTATGTTGAAAATTCAAAATATGATAAACATAATGCCTGAAAAAATACTTACAAGTCTTTCTGAACCTCTGGATCTTCGAAACGTCTTCCAATCAATCTCTTTGTGGCAAAAAGTGTGTTAGCAGAGTTTGTAACGGCTTGACGTTTAGCTGGAGCTCCAACAAGTCTCTCACCGTCAGCAGTGAAGGCAACAGTGGATGGAGTCGTTCGGACTCCTTCTGCGTTTTCAATAACCTAAAATTACATATTTTCTCCATATTGATAATTCATTTTGTACTTTAGCTTGTTTTCCTTCCATAACACTAACGCAACTGTTTGTGGTACCCAAATCGATACCAATAACGTGACCCTTTGGTTTGTCTGAACTGAAAGTGCAAAAGTAAAAAAAATTAACTTTTGTGATCCTTACAATGTTCTCGCATTGAGAAGGGATGTTCTTGCAAGCGAGCGAGCAGATGACAGAAATGATCGCGCTGTGAGCATTTTCTGAAGAAAAATTACATTATTTTCTTACCACTTGCCAAATGAAAAATAAAGAAAATAATTGCATCATTCATTAAGACTCAGTAAATCGTGCATTAGAAACGACAGGAAAAGGTTTCGATAAAATGCCGAAAAAGGGAATGTCTCCGTCCATCACAATCACACTCTCTTAAACACTTCACAAATTTCGTCTGAAATACTATCCACCTGCCGTTTCTACGGCGCGATTCCTTGAGGTATGTCTTTATGAGACCTACTATTACATCATTGTGAACAGAAAGCCTAAAATGTCGAATTTAAATTTAGAAATGATACAGAAATAAGTGAAAACGAGAAATTTTTCATCATCTCTTGGAGAAACGGCAACGAACATTCAAAAATTTTCAAGAGAATTCTTTTCTCCGCCCTTCCCAGATTACGGTAGAAAAAATCTTTCGCCACGAAAAGTGTAGTGTGCGCCAGTTGCACATAAATTGCAACACGCGGCGCAGTTTTTGAGGATTTATTTTTTCACTGTGAATTTTTCGAACAATATTTTCGAAAGCGTTAAAGTATCTTGATATCGAGAATTCAAGACTTTTGAATTTGTTCAAAAATAGTTTAATCTCAATTTATTTTAGAGCAAACATGGGGTTCGCTTCTGCTTCTCGCGAAGAGAAGCTAAAAATGATGAAAACGTCGAACACAAAGAAAACTTCAAAAAAATTAAATAGAGCTGCTCGGAAAGGAAAACTTTCCAAAGAAATCCGAGATTCTATCAAGTCAATCAAGCAAAGAAAATCAAAAGAAGCCACTCAGCGAATGCTTGACGTATAATTTTATTTTAATTAATATGAGCAATGATTTTGCATTTAGATCGAGGATGATTTCGTCGCTGATCGTGAAGCACACTATCACGAAGATATAGAGGAGCTACCACTGGATATGCTGGATGCTGATATTGATTGGGAAAACAGTGCCTTCGCGCTCTCGAAGAGGAGATTGGAATCAAGTTTATTAAATCTTCAAATAATAATAGTGCAATTTTAAATTATAGAAAGAAAAGTAGCTAATGATGAAAATGATGAAGATGACTTGGAAGCAAAGAGGAGAAAGTTTGCCGGCCAATTAGAAGAAGGCCAAGAAGAACTTCTTCCCATCAAACTGAAAGATGGAACTTTGATTCGTCCAACTCGTGAAAAACAAAGAAAAGACAAGAATGACGATGAAGATGAAAAAGATGACGATGATGATGAAGAAGAAAATGAACCACATCAAGAGGTTTTTTTCTAAACGGAACACTTTATTTTTTAATTTCTAGGACTTCTCTCATTTATCAGCGTCGGAACTTTTAGCCAAACGACGTGAATTGCTTCAAGATTACAAAAATACTATTGCGTCACATGCCAATATGCTTTTGTCAAGTCCGCAAAATAACGTAAGAATCGATTTTCTTTGAGAAAATTTAGATCCCTGATTACTATAGATCACTCGCCTTCGTGATTTGTACCATCTATGTAATGGCGAAAAAGTCCACTCGTTGGTCCGAGAGCCTGTGCAGAAGCTGGCAATGGCGAGCACGATGCAAGTCATCATTGATATCATCCCTGGGTACGCGATTCGTGAACAAACTGCCGAAGAAAAGGCTCAAAAGCAGAAGAAGGAGACTCGAATGTTGGCTGCGTTTGAAGAGTCGCTTCTCCGATATTATTTGAAATATTTGCAGCTTTGCGAAAAATTATCGAATAGTGAGATTGATTTTTGAAGTCTGATTTAAAAATGAATTTCTTTCAGAACTTGTCGGAAAAGATAGGCACCAAGATGAAACGACTTTCACATTCAAAATGGGTATTTTGGCAGTCAAGGTATAACTTTTTCAATAAACTGGTGAAAAAACTCCATGACGAAAAATGAATTCAGGCTATGACTCGCATCGTAATTGCCGCACCACATTTCAATTTCTCAACAAACATCATCTCCAGCTTGGTGAGATTATCGCTAGCAAAAAATGATACGGTACAAATTATGCCTACATTTTCATTCCTTTTTTTTTCATACTCTCTAGGTGATTAAAGAGGTATGCGATGCCTTGAAAACCGTTTTCAAAGAAGATTTGCACCTTCGAATGACGCTATTCACGACCCGTTCAATTTCTTCTTTGGTCACGAAGCGAAAAGGCCGTGTTCCGCCGCAATTGATTCAAACGATGCTCTACATGAACATTACTGTAAGCGTCGCAAAAGTTTCGAATATTTGTAAAATTGTAGGAAGTAAAAAATGAGGACAAGAAATCGGAAAAAGGGAAAATAATTGCGAGAAAGTATCAATTGAAGAAAGAAAGAGCAAATAAAACAGCAAAGAGGGTATTTTAATAGATTTTCAATGTTCGTTATTATTTAATGTGTTTAGTATAAGAAGCAGTTGAAGAAATTAGAAGCTGATTTGGAAGAAATTGAAGCGGAAGAATCCTTGACGAAGAAAATGAAGAATGTGAGCTTGTTTTATTTTCCATTTTATGAATTATCCCTCTTTTTTTAGGCGACTGAAGCTATGAAATTTGCCTTTCAAGCATATTTTTCGATTTTGAAAAGAATGCCGAATAGTGCTCTCCTTGAGCTGGTATTAGAGGGCCTCAGTAAATTTGCGCATTTACTGAGTATCGAGTTTTTCGATGACATCATTAATACAATGGAGAGTCTTGTACAAAATCAGGTATTTTCGAATTTTTGAAAATTTTTAGACTTCATTTTCTAGGGTCTTCGCACTCTCGATCAGCTTCATTGTATTAATACGGTGTTCGTAATTCTTTCTGGCGATGGTCAAATTCTGAATGTGGATCCATCGAAATTTTATAGACTAGCGTATCGCATATTGAACAGTTTGCCGTTTGAAAAGAGACCCCGTAAGCTTTTGAAAAAATTTCATAGGTTAAAATGGATTGTTTTAGAGCAAAGACTTGCCCAAATCATAATGACTGCGAAAACATTGGACACAATGCTTATTGATAGGAGGAAAGCGGTGCCATTATCTCGAGTTGCAGCTTTTGCCAAGCGACTATTGTCGGTGGCGACCGTTTTAGATGATTATCCGGCTCTTTGCTTAGTTTCTCTGGTTCGAGTCCTGTTCATTGTAAGCTTGTGTCCTTTTTATGTTTTGAAATCCGGTTTCCAATTTGTAGGCTCATCCAAAATTGACATCAATGGTTGAAGATGAAGAAGGTGGCGGTGCTGGTGTTTATCGTCAGGATATTGATGATCCCGATGTTGCAAATGCGTTGGCTACCGATGTTCGAAGTGAATTGTCGATGCTGGCGAGGGTAGGCTTTTCAATTTTTTTCCCCGCGAAATTTTAATTTTGGTGTTTTTTAGAGGCGAAATCCGGAATTATCGCGTTTCGCCAACAATATTTTATATGGAGTTCCATCCACGGGAATTTTCAAGCTTAATCCGCAGTTGAGCTCGTTGTAAGTTATCAAATTGACATGCTCGTAGTAATCGAATTGAAATGACAGAAAACCATGGGTTCTGATCAATCAGTTAATGGAAAACTCGTCGTATGAGAAAGTTGACACTAAGTATCTTGATGATCTCGAAAAAGCGGCCAAGGTTTGTTAAGTTCTAATGGATGATTATTGGACTTTTGGAAATTTTCAGAAGCGAAACACTGAATTGACACCGAAAAATATTAATTTCTACATTTCGAATTGGGTAAATGCCGCTTCCAGATGAATTATATATACATATATACAGAAGCTTGTTGTTATTGATTGTTGATTTTTATTGTTAATGAATTTTATTTGAATTAGAGCGTTTCTTCAAATTTTTGCCATTGATTGCTTGATGTTTATTGAGAGAATTGATAAATATTGCGAAATTCGGTAGAAGAGAGATGGACGAAAAAGTTTTTCTGACCTAGGACAGAAAATTTTGTGTTCTTTGGAAAAGAATAATTTTGATCAAGAATGACTGACGAAACTTCAAAAAGAAGAATGAGAAGGTATTATTTTGGATTTCGATTTCCGCCTAATCATTTCACGTTGCTCATTTCTTCACATTCGATTATGTCGAACGAGTCGTCGCAAATTGAATATCCTTGGTTTTTCATTTTTCTGCATTTGATTTTTGCATTCGCGTCTTTCGAATTATTTCGTTTCAGGTTCCCATTTATCGGTCAAATGGCTCGAATGCAAAAGCTCGAAGAGTCTGAGAGGCGCATTTTTGCTTCTTTGGGCATCGAATACGTTTCAAGAATGATTAAAGTAAGTTCGCTGGAAGCGAATTTTAAGTCTTCTGCTAAAAAATTATTTTCCACGCTTTAACCAATAATTCATTTTTCTTTGAATTTCGCGATTGAATTCGGATTAGTCATAATTTCGAAAAGGTTGTTTTGTTGGATAATGACGCAATTTTTTAGATTCCGTTCAAAAATTCTGAAATCTATACAATTAGTGTGCAATGCGATGCGCCGGAAAAAACGCTCGATCATCCAATTGTGCTCGTGCACGGCTTCGGAGCCGGCGTTGCAATGTGGGGAGCCGCAATTCGGATGTTTTCCAAATTTCAAACGGTGCACGCTTTTGATCTACTCGGTAAGCTTTTGAATCAAATGTTTTACTAATAATAAATGCCAAAATACGTTTAAAAATTAAATTGTGTTCAACTCAACAATAGAATTATTTTCATATGCGGCCAGCAGGTTCATGAACATTATTGATTATTTTTGAAAATTGAAGAACATTTATATTCCAGCATTTGTTTTAGTCATTATTGAAACTTCACTGTTCTATGTAAAATATAATGGTGTCTTTATCCTTTCCAGTTGTATGGGTTGCAAGCTTAAACGCAAAATGAGCTCATAGCTTTCTCAATTTTCCATTTGGGAAATAGTGCACACAACACACATTGGATATCAAGTGTTTTGGTTTTGCTGCAATTCTGCACGTCGTCGTGTTGAAACAATTCCTTCCAGAATACATTAGAATACGATATGAGCTTCTTTTTTTCAGGCTTCGGACGCTCATCTCGTCCAACATTCTCAACGAATCATCGCGACGCCGAAAACGAGATGGTCGAGTCGATCGAAATGTGGCGCAATGAGATGAGCATTAACAAAATGAATTTGGTGGCGCATTCGTTTGGTGGATACTTGGCAACATCGTACGCGATAAAATACCCGAGTCGCGTCAATAAATTGGTGCTCGCCGATCCGTGGGGATTCAATGAAGTGAATCCAACATTTGAGCAGAATGTTTGAAAACAAAAATTCCATTGACTAAATTTACTTTCCCATCCTTCTTTTTCAGCTTTCAACGACCGCTAAAGTTATCTCGTCGGTTTATCTCAAATTCAATCCGCTCGCTTTATTGAGAGCAGTTGGATCTTATGGTTCGTGTACTTTTGCGAACGTGACTATTCCTATGTATTTTCAAGGACCTTCAATGATGCGGCGATTCCGACCAGACTTGCGTGAAAAATACTCGGATCATGTTTATGATTATGTCTACTTGTGCAACTCACAATCGCCAACCGGCGAGGCGGCATTCAAAAGTTTGGCCGAGAAGCTGGCGTGGGCAAAAGAGCCGATGAGCAAACGATTCCACGGTCTCGATGAGAATCTTCCAGTGGTGTTTATTCATGGGCAACGAAGTTGGATTGATTGGACATCGATTAGCGATTTGATTAGCGGACGAAGTAATACTGATATGATGGTATGGTTGGAATGAGACTTGAGCGAGCTGAAATTTTTTTAGATTATTGAAGAAGCCGGACATCACGTTTACGCAGATAACACAAGTCGATTCACGGAGATTGTAATCGAATCGTTGAGAAAAGGTGTTCAAGACGACATGAATGATAGTAAAAGAGAGCCCGTTGAAGTTGAATCTTAATAAATGTTTGTATCATATGATTGTATATATCTAAAAATGGAATATGGACTCTGGAAAATCTGTTCTACGAATTGGAAAATGTTTCTTTTCTTATTTAGAAGCGTAAAAAATGCAGATTGTTTCGCTAATTATCGTAATCTTTTTTATCGATTTTTAAAGGCACATGAGATAAAATCAGTTTGGTCTTGGCACAGAAATCGTAATTTCATAATTTTTATCGATTTTAAAAATTTCATTTCCTGTATTTTTGTTCGTTTTTTTTTTTGAATTATTTTATTTCTTTTCAATTTTGAATTGCATTTCACGATTGAAATTTCTGTATGTTCGTAAAATAAATGAAAATTGAACGATCACATCGGTGGTTTTCAAGACAGTTTGGGACTTTTACTTAAAGGCCCAGTTTTTTGAAGAATGGTTCTCAAAGCCGCGTATTTTTTTTTTCAGAAACAGACTATATGTGTTGACATCAATGCAGAAAGACCAGAGATCGTCTATTCCCGATTTTGGGAATTCATTAATGTATCATTCTTACTCGTATCAATTTTCAAGTTTTTTTTTCTTTTCTGACCATACAAACGTCATGAAAAAAGGCGGCATTTTCCCAGTAGAATTCATAATTGTTGGTTCATGATGGCATTTTTTATTCGAATGCCTGGATAATGCCGTTTTTGAGCTTTTATTCACGGCAGACTTCACACTTGTATACGTGGGCGGCTAGTATCCTTATAAAAGCAATGTTTTTTTTATTCGCAAACGTTTCTGAATTTGGTTTCGCGGTAGCACTGCATTCGCTTCTGAACCTAATAATTATATGGATCCAGCGCGTGACTCAAATAAAATTTGCTCACTCACCTCGTGAAGACGAGAAGTTGACATTCAACGCCAATGAATAGAAGCTTGATTTAATTCATCATTGAGCTCGTCACGAAATATGAAACGAGGATTTCTCAAAATTTAACGTCTACTCGACTTTAGAAAATTGAAAAAAAAAATCTATGGTCAGAAATTGTGAAGCTTTATCTTAAAGAGTGCGGAGAATAATCTTGATTGGAAATTTAATTAATTCTATAACTTTGTCTTTTTCGAGTAGTTTTTGCATCTCCTTTTATTTTGCCTGCTCCACCCTGATGTCTTTATTTAGTAGTTAAAGTCCGCATACATAAAACAACAGGGATTAACACTTTATTACAAAGCGAATGATGCAATTTTCACAAGTCCAACTCCCCAGTGGTTAATTAGTTTTATTATCGGTTGGCCCTCCAAAACAATAGGATATTTAGATAGTTATATTTTCCGAATGATTCTATAAATACTAAATTCGATTCAGGCAAATGAAGACGATTATGTATGGGTGCAAGAATGGTGAGCTAGTCCATTTCCATAACGGGCTCTTCGTTCTGAAAAATGTCACAACAATGTTTCATTGAATAATTTTTCATGTGACTTACATTGGTGATATCATTCAACGCTGGGTAGGCGTCGAGTTGCTCCATCGGCATACTTCGGTACATTCGGCGGGGGAGGAGGCGTGTGGCGGTGAATCGCGACCTGAATTGAGAATTCGGTGATCGCACTTCAGGACTTGGTTTGAACCAGTGCGAGCTGCGATCGACGCGAGACATCGCGTTCGTCGATTCGATGCCTGAAAACAAAATGATAAGGTAAACCATTGAATTCCATGTCGTCAATTGCCTACCGAATGCGGCGATGATGATGACAATGACGGCGAGCACGAGCGGAGTGAACGAGCGCATTGCTTTCGAAATGATTCTGAATTTGGATTCGCTTTGGTTTTGTCCCCCCCCGAGCCTCTCGCTGGCTGTGGGCGGAGTCGGACAGAGAGAACGCAAAAAAGGGGGTGGGTGAGGTGTGTTAACTCTCGTGAGACAAGCATCGATTAAAAAATCGCCAATTAAGGTCCATGAATCATGAAAACTTCGGTATGAGCTGTCAGAAGGCATCAAATTCCAATAGAAATCATGGCTGTAAGGAATTAAAGAACTATGAATGGATGAATGTATTATCGTTGCTAATGGGTTAACGGACCATCGGCATGGTTTTCGTTTCTTTTTTTAGGCGTAGACTTACGAGCTCGTTTTTCTATCATGGTCTCGCCACGATGTTTATTTGAATATTTTCACTGGAATTCTTTGCATCTCGGAGGTGCGAAATAGCCAGTTAGTCCGTGCGAGACCACAGCCCCCGTAAATCTACCCTAAGCCGGACTTCAATGGAACTATTCAGGAAATTATTTTTTTTTTCAATAAAAAAAGTTAAAATCAAATTTAATGTGGATTTTTTAGCAAGCCTGCGTTGCAAAAATGTGAAATTTTTACATTTTTACAATTTTCCCTCATTTTTATCCGTTATCACATGACGTGTTTGAAAGCATTAATCCATTTCAATTTATTTTCGTTTATTCCATTGAATTCGGAAAATTGCGAAAATTGACATTGACTTTTTTTCTAAAAGAAATGCACCTTTCAACTTTCGCGTGTGAAATTATGGAAAGCTTTTTCTTGCCTTCAAAATCATTTTGAAATTTTTTTTTGCAACCCACTGGGATATAATTATGTAGAAGGTTAAGCCACCTGACGGAATTGTCTGAACCCTATGTCTGTGTAGATCAGACATAAAATGTCTAAGATAATTAGCAAAAAATATGCACGTTCAAACTTCTATGATCTATTTATTTTTTTCAAAAAAAAAAATCTAAATTGCACAAGTGTGGGAGTATGCTAAACATAGAGCAAAATCTAATTTCCGATAAATGTTGCGAGCTCGAAACCTCGCAATTTCTATAATAGAGAATCTGCGATATTTTTGTCTGGACAACATTTTCGAAAGGTTGACCAGACGAACAGAATGGGAATCTGAAATACTATGTCTGAAGCCGTTTAGGATTGAATTACTTATTGGGGGGAATGCACTTTACTTTTTTCTCCAAAATTCTTTAGACTATTTTTTTAAAATAAGCTTAAATGTATAATTATTGAATGAAAACATGTATTCATGAAGGTAAACAGATTACTCATATTCCTCTATTATTCTACGATTTCATGAAATTGGCAACAAAAATCATACAAGAAGGAAGTTTTAATATGTCAAAAAGGGCCAAGAATTTGCACAAGGCTATCAATTAGGAATTGGTGTGCAGAAAATTGGAAGTTTTATGGGTTTGGTATTCGAGGCCCCATAACACACGAATGGGATGATGTTGGATGAAATGCCAAAGATCCATTTCAATTCAAACTCAATTACCAATATACAGGGGTCGTCAAAGCGAGTGGGTTTTTAGCAGAAAGAAGATGTGCAAACTGGTCATTCAGCTTTTTTTTTTGAATTTTGGAATTTCAAAAAAAAATTGGGCATTTTATACCAAGTCTCTCTCGTCGCTGTCGGGGTCCGACGACTGCTGCACACGGGTAGATTTACGGGTGATGCGTGTTTCTCTTGGTCTCGCGCGGACTAACAGGTTATTTCGCATTTTATGGGTCGGTGCGATTTTCAAATCGAACGATGTGGGGAAATTCAAGGAAGTGCCAAAGTCATCAAGAAAAAATAAACAATTCGCGTGAAAACAGCAAAATAAGCTATCAAACGTGGCGAGACCATTTTGAAAGGCGCAGTCCGTAAATCTACAAACAGCAGTTGCCTGACGCCGACTATATGTCATTTAAAAATTTTTTAATTAAAAATTTGTTATTTTGAATGTAGTGTCTACTGTAAAGTTGGGTCTCGCAACATGAGCGTCGATTTACGCCGCCTTGTTAAGTGTGGATTGTCCGTGTGGAGTACACACAATGTCTCAGACCATTTCTGACATTAAGCCAAATTTTTTTTGGTAATTTAGTCACACCATTTTCATAGTATCTACTAAAGAACGGTTTCCATAAATCTACCCAAACATGAATTAAACAATCATGAAGGGGAGGGAGGTTCGCGAATGTCTTTTTTCATATTTTCCGATTTAATAAGATATTCCCGACATCTACCTTCTTTTCAGTTCGCGTTTTGAATGAAACAAGCAGCTTCGTTACGATTTAATTCAAATTATGAAAATTATCAATTAATAATTAAGTGAATCATCTAATTAAATTGTTATTACTAATTATCAAGAAGTGGTTGAAAAACAATGATGTTTCATACGTTCATACATCATCATCATTTCAAATCAAAATATTATTGTCTGCGGAAAATTCTCAAAATTATTTGTCCAAAAATAGTTGTTTTAAGCAGTCAAGACGTGCACAAACCTTGAAAATTACATCAAATTATGGCGAGGAGTAATTAGCCAAGAGCATTCTTATGAAAGGGGGTAGCTAATTGGGATATAATTGTATTTCTCAGTTTTCAGATTTTTTTAAATTTTAGGTAGAAAAAAATTATTTTATTTCTAGTGGTTATTCTTTAAATCCAATTAAAATTTTATGAATTTCAAGATTCGCCGTTCAATTTTTTCTTGGGAGAAAACAATTCGCAATTTTTGCGCGTAAATTAATATGCAAGTACGCAGAGTGTATGTTGTGTGAATGCAGAAAAATCTGATTTGACTCGCCACTCAGGCAAATGAAAAAAAATATTTTGAGACAATTCTAAAATCTTATGAGGTTCGTTGAGAGGCTAACGTGTCTCTATAATATTTTAGATTTGTCTCAATAAACTTTATGAAATCTCATAAGATTTTAGAATTTATCAATAAGTTTCAATGAATATTGTGAGACTTTAAAGTTTATCAATAAGTTTTAGATTTGTCTCAATAAACTTTAAAGTTTATCAATAAGTTTTAGATTTGTCTCAATAAACTTTAGAATATATCAATAAATTTTAGATTGTTCTCAATAAACTCTGTCCAATATTATGTAATATCATACGTTATCGAGCAATTTTCACACAAATAGAATGTAATAACATCCATAATAATTGAATATGTATGAACATTTCATTTATTACAATATTAATGCGAAATGAATATATTAATAATAAAAATCAGAAAAAAAAATAAATGAATCAATTTATTCTTTTCGCATTTTCTCCTTTTTCTGCGAATGACGCACAACGTTGCTATAAGGAATTCGTTGCATATATTGAAAGAAAATGTTGAACTTACAAATTTTGATGATTGAATTTGTCGTTTTTCGATTAATTTCATGAGTTCTTTGCGATAAAATGACTTCTTAATTAAATCCGGATTCGCGTTGAAACGCATTTTCAATGAAATCTCGTGATATAGTTTATAGCTGAAAATTGTCAGTTTTAAAAAATAACTGAATGAGTCTAACTTTCTCAAAATACTATATCCAATCCCGTTTGTCTGTTCCGAGCACATGTTTCTCTTGATAACGTGATAAATGTGCTCATGCGCTTGCGTGCTTATTGCCGACAGCTGACCACACCGCCTGACATTACTGTACAAATGGTATATAAGTTGCTGAAACAATAAATACAGTAATCATTAGTAAAAAAAAAACGACTTACGTGCACTTTTGAACCAGAAAACAATTGAGGCGCCCCATCTCAAATTAGAATTTCTAATAATTTGCAAATACCTGCGATCTGAAATAAAAATTTTCTATTATGTACATAGCTAACGATCCCATATTACTTTGTTATATTACTAGCGAGTCGGTGACACCATCCATCGGTAGCAGGCATGTATAAGCAACACAACAGCTGAACCTAACGGAGGGATGGTTCCGATCATGGCGTTAGAAACAATTTTCACTTCAAAAATCTTCAAAGGATGATAATTGCAAGTGGTAAATTAACTTACACTAGCTTTTTCGGACCTATTAATGTCATTGAATTTTCCTGATAGCGACTTTACCGAAGATGGCAGTCTCGCTTTCACATCAATAGCTTCGCATCGAAAAATATTTATTTCGTTTTTAACGAAGACTTCTAAAAGACAATCTTCAATTTTTAAATGCTGAAAAAGGAGAGACATAATTGAAGTACCTTTTATTATACGTGTTCCCTCGTGAAAAAGGTGGAAAATATCCATGGCCGTGATCCACATGGGCACCTGCTCATTGAATTTGCTGTATTTACCTCGTTCCTTAAATCTATCGGCCAATGTTTCTGGAATGTTTGTTCCACACTTTTCCCGATCTTCTAAAATATCGAAATCATTAGAAACTGAAGTATAATTGTAATTAATTGTAATAATTGTGCGTATTTTTAAAATTCATGAACCTGTTCATGCAATGACATGTTTAGACACAACTGTTTCAAATTCAGCATGTAAAACAATGCAGATTTAAGGTAGTGTTAAACATTTATTATAAAAACTTGCATTTCATGAATACGTCCATCACTGAAGTGAAGAAACTATTACAAAAAGCTAAAAAAAAACGGAAGGAACATCAAAAACATAAATTATTTATTGGAATTTGGGAGATCTTAAAAAGAGACGCCGCAAATTGCGTCAGTGGAAGTCATAAGGGCCCTATTCAAATTTTAAAGTCTCACAATATATTGAGATACTTTACACTTTCTCAAAAGATTTAACTTTCTCAAAAGATTTAATTTACAAATTCCAAATTTTTAAAATTTATTGATTCTCAATAAGTTTTAGAAAGTATCAATAGACTTTAGAATTTCTCAAAATATTTTAGAGTTTATCACTGAATATTTGATTCTCAAAATATTTTATTTGATTTGCCTGAGCATCAAAGCAGCAATTTTTTTGGAATAAAAGACGAATAAGAGAAGAATATTCTTTTTTTAGATTTGCAACTTTGGTAGCTCAAAGCCAATTCGGCTCCGCAATCAACTAGATCCGGCTGGTTTTGAGTTAACAAAGATGGTGAATACATTCTAGAGCGAATTCCAGAAATTCATTTTAAAGAGAAGAACTCCTTAAAAGCACAATTATGAAGAACTGCTCGACTCAAAAAATGAAAACAAAAACTCAATAATTGTGGATAAAACGGCACATCTCGCTCGACGCTGCAAAATGATCCCTTGAGCTTCTCCGAACCCGCCGGGTCTCCCCAATTAAAAAGGAATTGTGCACGAATAGTTGCCTTATCCATGGAATGCATTTTTTTCTCGTTAATTAGCGACTTGTATTATTTCTAGCTAAATTTTAATGTTCGCCTTGAAATGAATTTGCGGACGCAGTGATCGTAATACGTGTAGATATATTTATTTTCGTGCAGCCCCAAAATCCAATTCTCATTCACTCGACAGGGATTATAGAGATCCTAATGGATAAATACGTTCGGATGCGGGAAGGGGGGAGGGGTCGGATTGAATGTGACCCCTCAATTTTAAAAAATGCAAACAAAAGAAATCGCATTGTAAACAATTTGCGGACTTTTTTTCCTGAAATTAGCCGCAATTCAAATAAGAGATCCTGTAAGATGGTCTCGAAGGGCCTTCCTATTTTCAACAGATTTCGGGTTTGAAGTAAACAATGCACTTATAAAAAACGATTGAAGATGAAATTAAAAAAAAAATGAAATCCTTAATTCGGATTTGAAAAGGGCTTATATGGGAAATTTGATTCCGAAAAGGATATCTAGGGAAATGGATTTTCAACAATTCGAATAAAATCCAAATAAAATGGATCAAAATTTGACGATCAGTGAAAATGCTTAAATTTGAAACTTCATTTATTCAAGGATAAAAAATTCAATTTTTAAACTCAACACAAACACGCCATCATTGAAAAAAAGTAGAAGGAAATTTAAGTAATGTTGGCCTGTCAATTAAAGAGCCTTCTATAAATATTCACATAAAAGGTAAGCATTTTTCGTTTTGGTGGACATGAATTATTCAAATACCCGGCTTTGGAAGCGACCAGAAAAAAAAACAACAATAATAACGAAATAAATAATTCTCTAGAAATTGCGTTTTCGATTCACAATTGGCTCCTCGTAGAATTTTTGATAATCGCTTGTGAACTGATCAATGATATCAAACACCTTCTTCGGTTCCGGCTTTTCTGAAATAATTCCGACGTTTTCAATAATTGTGTTTTGTTCGCTCACCAAACTCGGACGCTTCTCGTTTTCCGCGTCGTTGTCGCTCGAACTCATCATGAGCCGCTTTGAGCTCAACGAGTCTAAAATAGATTCAAATATCTTGACTGACGATTTTCAAAGAAGGGTGAAAATTTTGGGCTCAATGGCAAACGGTGCTCATTTGGCGAAAATTTATAGGGAGTTTGTTAAGGGAATATATTGAAATTTAACCACCCTATTGGCCTTATTGGGAGGGTCCCAATTTCAGCATTGCCTTAAATTTGAGCTACTCAATTTTGGGTCTCGTAATAATTTACGCATTGACAGAGTATCAATAATAAAGACAACTTCCGGATCAAAGGCGAATGCAAGAACACAAAAATCATGAGACGAGTGATTTCAAAGTCAAATCGAGGATTTTAGAAAATAATTTTGGTTACGGTGATTAAAGGCACATTCTGTTTTTGAGCTGAGTCTTCTGTTTTTGAGCTGAGGGCAATCGAAAAATCGCGCATAAAAAATTGATGGCCCAAAATTACTCAAGCTTGTCGTTTTTTTTGCTGATAATCGCGATTTCGGAAAATGAGCTAAATTTCAAAAGCTCTCAAGCTCTCGAAAATCTACAGATTTAATATTTCTTACTTCTCTGGCGACAGAATTTCAGCAAGATATTCATCCATCGATTCTTTGACCATATCCTCGCTAACCCCAGCATTCCGAGCCAACACAATTATATTGTGAAGAGTTTTCTTTAAAAAAATAACTGGTTGCGATCGTGAACGTGCTCACAAACCTGTTGGTCGTCGGTCAAAAATGTGGCCAACGGTGACATTCGGCATGGTCCGCCGGACACGTTCCATAATAGACACAAGAAAGCGAAAACAAAGAAACGCGACATCTCTCGAAATAATTCGAATCTCAAGTGCAACGAAAACCTCGAATGAGTGGATTGAGTCGGCCTCCGCACTCCCTTTTTGACCACAGCAACACTCGAGTGTTTTTCGTGTCCTCGATTGACAAAACACGGAAGTCAAGAAGCTCAAACGGTTTCTGTCTGTTCTGGATGCCCAAACAAACAATGGGCGAGCCAGCAGATGACCATCCCGAGCACCAAATGTTGACACACAGGCCAACACAATAAATCCTCATTATTTATTTTCGAATAAATAGACTTACAAAAAAACCATCAAATTCTCGGTCTAACCAGTGTTCTGACAAAAAATAAAAAAAAAGAAAATCGAAAACGTGATGAAATCAAGAGTTTACTACTCATTGGCGACGCTTTGATCTTAATCATGCCGCTTGAGTAATAAACTAACGAGTTCTTATTATTAGATTAACATGTTTATGCAGTCGCCGTCCATTTGTACTTCTTCGTGTTCACAATAGACGACGTTGGAACGGCCGTTGCTGTGGGTTTATGGTAAAAATAGCAGCCTGTGTTTCGACAATTTGCGCCAAATTTGCATTCCTATAATGTTTCAATGAAAATGAAAAATGGAAATGAGAAAAACCCTACTTTTGGATGTTTAAACGGACAAGCTGCATTTTTACATCCTCCCGCGAATCGGCAAAAAATGCTGCTCTGCGGAGTTGGACCTGAAGCAGCTGGAACAGCAAGAGTAGCACTAGCGGGAGCAGCAGACGCCCTATATGTTTAATATTTACAACAACTTAATTCTTCTCAACGCACTCTGTCTTTTTCACCGGCGAGTCCATCTTCTTTCCATTCTCCTTGGTATTCGCATCAGCCGGAGAAGACGACGACGCCGCTGTTGAAGTTTCCACCTCCTGCTTGACTTCAGTTTTTACAGCTGCCGCTTTTTTAGCTTCCAATGAAGCAGCAAGCTGAAATAACATCCCATAGAAAAACGGATTCAACCAAAAATTCCAACCTTAGCTGCAATTGACGACAATGGCCCCTTCGGCAACGGCTGCTCAACGACTGGTTTCGGAAGTGGCGCTACCGTAGCTGTTGGCCGTTTGTTGCTAGTCAACGGAAGAGAAGAAGCAGCCGGAGCAGTAGAAGCAGGTGTATTTCCATAATGAGTGAAAGGACAAATGGCCTTCTAAAAAGAAAGAAAAACACGAATAAGATTATTGGTCTATTTCAGAATAATGAAAAATTATCGAACATGGCATTTTTAGTGGCAAATTTTACAAATTTCACGGGATTGCGAAAAAAAAAAATATAATTTCGCAAGCAATGAATCAATTATAAAAGTTCGAACCTTGGTGCAGAGAGCATCAAAACGACAAGGTGGATGAATGAAATGACACCGGTTTCCAAATGAGCAATTGGGGAAGTTTCTGAAAAAAAAGTTCATTCTAGTTATAAAAACGATTAGATAAAACATACGTGCATGCTTTGACAGGATGATAATATTGGCAAGGGTCCTTTTTGCAATTCGGCCAGAAATGGCATCGCTCTCTCGAAACAGCTTCCTCTTTCGGCGTGAACGCGGGCGGCTCCGCTGGATTGTACATGTTCACCATATTTTTTTGATCGTTGAGAACACTGATCGGTGTCGGAACGTAGGCAGGAACATTCGCATCGGTCTAAAACAAGAAATTCGAGCACATCATTTTATTTTTGGGCGGAAATCAAAAGTACATGAAGTGTGTAGTTGATGCCAGACAATTGCCGCATCGGCGGCAACTTTTCCATATTGTCATTCGAAGTTACGCGAGTTTCGGCAAGAATTGCATCGATATGAGCCTCTTCGTCACTTGAATCCGATTCTCCAATCTGGATCTGACCATCCCACTTTTTCAACGTGAGCACATCCGGCTCGGCTTCATCTCTTGGTGGTGTCAAATCAAATATTATTCGCTCATGCTTCGATTTCGGCTGATCAGAATTCTCACCTTCAGCGCCTAAAATTCCAATAATTCGTTTTGAGTCGAACAAAACTCCCTTCTCACCATCAGCAATCTTTCTTTTCAACTGTTTCCGATTTAAATTTGATTTGTCAGCAACCACAATTCGATCATGAACACGAAGTTTCTTTATTGCCTCTTTTCCGCCAGCCAGCGTCACAATCATCTGCGGACCACCTTGTTTGGCATTGTTTAAGACAACCGTGTCGTCTTCTTCTTCTTTCTGTGGTGTTACATTCCGACTGAAAAACGAAGAAACTAATCATCAAAAACTTAGTTTCTTGAACGTACGGTCTTTTGTAAGCTAGACGTTCCTTGACATTCAATTTCGCTTTCTTGGATGGTAGCGCATCCTGAAAATCAAAATTGCAACAAAAACTATCAAATTGACTTACAATATCTGACATATCATCGTCCATTTCTTCACCCTCATTTTCCTCGGCACTCTTTTTCTTTATTGATCCATATCCAGCACTAACACTTGCTTCATTCATCGCCTTCAAGAACATCGAACTGCGAGCTTTCATGGTAGCATTGCTTAATAAAACGAATTATAAGTAATGACTAATCAACACTTACTCTCCAGAAGGTCGCACATTCCGCTTAACAACTACTGTCGATTGGACCTTTAAAGGTTCCGGACTAATCGATTGCGCTTTATGTACAACAGTTGAAGCAACCTTCTTCTTTTCGTGAGATCTTGGCTGATGATCTTTTCGCCGTTCGCTGCTTCGTCTTCTTGGCTTGACGGGTTCTTCATCGGACCATGTTTTAGATCTACTCCTTCGGTGACGACTTCTGTAAACATTAGTTAAAACTCAAACTACAAAAAAATAATCACCTCTCTTCTTTTTCATGTTTTCTATGTTTTTCTTTCTCCTTTTCCTTTTCATTCCTAAAATTTCAATAATTTACTGGTTAAAATTTAAATCAAACCTTTGTTTAGCGCGTTCGCGTTCTCGCTCTTTTTCCCGTTCTTTATCACGCTCTTCTCGTTCTCGCCGTGATTTCTCCTCACTAATTTTCTTTTTTTCAGCATCTGCAAATTTTCAGAATTCGCAATTATCGTGAACACCGAGATTACTACCTTTCTTTTTCTGCTCTTCTTCTTTCTTACGTTTTTCTTCGTCCTCTTTGTTTTTGACGGGTTGAGACGATTTTTCAGGTTGTTTTCCTGAAGCAGATTCGAGACGATTGAAAAGTTCGAATAACCTAAAAAAAATTAAACATCTACATGGCACTGAAAATGATAAAATTTACCAATCCACAAATTTGTTGGTATTTTTTCCAATGAACAATGCCAGATCCTCCTTCATTTGTTTTTGCTCTTTTTTATTGGCAATCATCACCATTATATAATCAGGAAGCTCATCATCGACATATACACCTAGTTCTTCAAGTTTCGCTCGAATAGCGGCCTGGAAAAGTTTTTGATAATAATGAAAGTTCAAGCAACATACCTTCAACTTCTTTTTAACTTCTGACGTACCAGATTGAGAACTCATCTTTTGAATCAAATCCGCCTGTAATGGAATTTATGGTTACTCGGGGAATGTTCAATAGTTTCGAAAATGTGCCAGCATACACTACCACATGCAAGTGCGCTCCATCGGACTGCGTAGAGAAATCGAGATTGTGTGTGTAATATGAGAACAATCAGAAACTGGTTAATCATTGAACATTTCAAAGTAAAAATTTAGTTTTGTTTACACGTTTTGTTTGTTTGAACGTATAATCGCTATAATCAATGAATAGTGTTAAAACAAAAAAATATTTGGGTAAAAATCCAAATTTATAATTTTTCGATGAAAAAAAAACAAAATTCAAAATAATTTCGAAACCTCAAATATTGTTTATATAGTATATTTTGTTGCTAAATAAGAACAATTGAGCAATTATATGGAAAAATCAAATAATAAATTGAAAAAACGAGAATTGCGTTTACCACTCAAAAATTTTGAAGTCTCACGCGGGTTTTCAAAAATTGAAAAACTCGAAATATTTCTACAGAAAACATTAAACCCTACGTAAAGGCTCACTATTATTACTGTAGATTGAAATTTTGAATTTGAAAAATTTTAAAATTTTCCCTATTTTTTAAAATCTCCACTCTTCATTTTTTCATATTTCATTACCTTCTTTTTAAAAGTAAATAAATGCTGGTGATTTTAACTGTTTTTCAAATTGATTTCCTCCAATTCTCCTCATCCATTTTAAAGTGTACTATTTCAAAATTACACAATTTAGGAACTGATGGTGATTCTCTTCGACGTTTCCCAGTTTTCGCGAGACATTCTTTGTTCCTAATTAGCGAGAATAAATTGATCTTCGTTTATGTGAATTGTTGGGAACGCCTCCCGTTCCCGTTTAAAATCAATAAAGCAACTAGTTGGAAAAAAATTGAACAAGGCCAGTTTCTATCTCTTGCAAAATCACATCTCATCTTCTTTTATCACATACAAAATCGTTCACTTTTTGTCTTTTTCGCCTCATTGCATTGCTTAGCATGCGAGTCAGTGTAATCATTATCATCAACATCATCATACCATCGTCTCCCTCTTTCTCTCTCCCTCTCGATCATTTGTACTGAACACAAAACAATTCATTTTCAGACGATGCGCGAGAAATGAATAGCAACATGAACATCTCAATGTATTCTGCGTCCTCTGACACAGCCTCATTGACAAGTCGTAATACGTTTCTGAGCTCGAGCTCATTATGGTCTAATATTTTTGATGAACGCATTTATCAAGTAAGTGAAACAATTCAATAATCAAATTTTTGAAATTTTATTTTTAGATTTGTAATCTCGTTCATCCCGGGCTTCCAATTGAAACTGAAGCTGTTCAACAAATCCGATTGTTTCTTCAGAACATTGTAACCGAAGTATGTTTATTTGGATTGAGATATTAGTAAACAAGCGGCAAGTTAGGTTTCTTACCTTCTATGGTGAATAAAATTGAAATAATGATAGTATTAGCAGAAATCGCACGTAACGTTTGAAAACATGCATAACTCATATGCAACGGATAAAATGCCAACTTTTTTTTTTGAAAATGAAGCTTTAACGTCTTTCAAACTTGTGATCTTGCAGATAGTCGATCAAAAATGTACAAGTGTTGTTGAAGTCGACAAAGTCTCGAAACGATTGTTCGGCGCAAGTCTCAATTCGGTCGTCAAAGATGCTTGGGACAACATGCAAGCCCAAATGCAAAAAGGCTACAAATTTCAAAAATCGACGAAGGCCATCTTTGAGAATCAGCACAAGCTCGCCGGCTACATCAAGGTAAGATCGTTGTGCGATTGGCACATTATCCCCAAATTGTTGAGGATGTTCTGGGAACCCGTGAGAAGGAGAAACGCGACCGCGATAAAAAGGAAATAGATCGAATGGCCGCTTATATCTATTATGCGTGCGAAAGTGTCACCGAGGATATCGTGCGATTGACCGGCAATTATGTCAAGAATATCAGGAATGGCGAGCAGAAGATCACGATGGCGAATTTGGATGTCGCTCTGAATGCTGATCGTGCGCTGATGGAGTTGCGAACCAAATTGAAGAATGAAGAAGAAGCTGAATCTCCTGGTGGATTTGGATTCCTTGCCGAGTTTGATGACTATGTTGCTGAAGAATTCGATCCGAATCAGCAGAGTAACTCGAAGCAGACCTATGAATCGGTAGGTCTTCTTTTTGTCATTACAATAGTCCGCGCTAATGGTCTCATCTGTCGCTGTCTTTTTCCTTATTAAGTGATTTAAAAGAAAAAAATGTCGCCCATTATTTTGCGAGATCCCATTAAAGTCGAAGACAAATTGTACATTCCTAGGTTTCCGCGGAATTTCTGCGCGACGAGCGTCGCTTCATACGAGAACTCAATCGAATCAACGTGTTTAAACGGAGAATGGAATCAGTTTTAGTCGATGATGATAAGGTAATTGATCTTCATCGCATTAGTCCCCCCGTGTTAATGAGATTTATTCTTAAAGCAATACCTCACGACACTGTTCGGCAATATTTCGGAGATTTATGAATTGGCGATGAAGATTGAGCGAATTTTGGAAGATGCCATTGAGCTCAGCGATACGCAATGCGTTGGAATGGGCATTTGGGATCTTGCAGAAGCTTATGAGTTTGATACGTAAGAATGCTTGTTTTTTTTTTGAAAATTGAAAAGAAATTGCCCAACATTTCAGGTACACTACTTATTTAATACGTGAAACCGATAGTGGCGAGCGAAAACTTGCAACATTTGTTATCAACGATATGGTGGAGTTCATTGTGAACACACCGAGATTTGCTCCCCTTTTTGAGGTCTTAACTCCAATTTTTCTTTAAAAATCGGATTTTTTTAGTCTGAAGATAATGTGTTTAATAGCTCACTTGATGGTCCATCATTCAAATTGGCTCTTCAATATGTTTTGCCAAATCTTTTGCATATTCCGTTATTCCATATTTTCCAATATATTGAATACATAAGTGTAAGCGTATTTCGATGATGTATTTCGAAATGTTCTAGTTTATTTTTTCAGAGACTCACAAGGTTATCGAAAAACGAAGAGGATAGAACGGATTTGAAAAATTGCCAAAGTAGCTTGATGAGTGTTCGAACTACTGTTGACACAATGTGCTCCGAGCATCCTGAAATGAAGGTCATGATATCATCGTTCCTGTAAGAATTAGGATTTTAATCCAATATAACTGTGAATTTATAGGGAGCAAATAACCAAAAGTGAGAAAATCTACAATGTCAAACGTCTTCACGAAATACAATCTTCAATTGATGGCTTCACGGGAAGTCCAATCGGAAAAACTTGCAATGAATTGGAGCACGGTATTCGAATTTTGGCTTAATAAAAAAATATAACGTTGTAATTTTCTTGTCAATTTTTTTTTGAAAATGCGCTTCTTAGCGTGGTTATCAAAATGGTAGAAATGGTTTTTAAAAATTCAGTGTTGAATTTAAATTTGTTGAAATTTGAAACCAGCAACCCTTTTTTCACACGATCTATTAAAAATTATATCGATCCACGTATTCTGATACGCGGATTTCAAATCAACAAACGAGCTGTAGAATACTCTTTGCGGGATATTGACCGTAACTTTAAGCAACATACCTTCTTCCGTTCTAAAGATTCCTTTTTTATTCCTTAAAGGTTTTTTTAATCAGGAGATGATTGCTTTGCATTTCACGAAAACCCATATTCATGGATTATGAGTTTAAGGTTTTGAATTACTCGGCGCGATGCCAAAAGTCACTGAAATTAGGCGCCCTATACTTAAAAACTATCCTATAGGGTGAAATTTGTTTCTTCCGATTGAATTTTTGTTATTTCTGTAATTTCAGAAGGAGATTTGAGCATCATAAGACCTTCACTTACATTTTCACCAGATGTAATTAAAAATAAACGTTGGAAAACTGAACGGTATGCCTAATTTCTTCGATTTTTTCGCAAAAATTCATGGTTTTCAGTTATGTTTACGTATTTGATCAACTTATTGTACTTTGCAAGAAGCATAGAAATTCGCAAAAATTCAAAGATCGCCTTCCTGTCCATTCGATAGATGTTTTTGATGTAAATGATTATGAAGGTAATATTTTGCTCTGTTTTATTTTTTTTGGAAAACGTGAAACTTTTCAGGTATTCCGCATTGTTTTCGAATTGTGTCGCGCGACAAATCGTGCCTTCCCAAAACGTATTATTTTGTTTGTAAAAATGCGGACGAGAAAAAACAATGGATGACGGTTTTGGTGAAAGTCACAAGCAAAAGGTGGGCTAATGATTTACGAAGAAAATTGTCAAACTGTAAGCGGAGCCTATTAAAAACCGAAAATTAAAATGAGAATTTCGATTTTTTTTTCCACAAACCTTCAGCTTTTTCAGTATATTCCCATTGTGTTGTGTTACAAAACGTAAGTTGACAAACGTTGTCCCGTGAGCATGTCTCCTTATCTCCCCCAAAATTGACTAGTCCGTTTCTGAAGAAGAAAATCCGGCTTTCAGAATCAGTCGCCACGAGACCCATTTCATTATAAACGTTAACTCAATTTTCGTTGAAATTTCGAACAATTTTAATCAATAAGAATTAAATTGATTGAAAATTGAGAACGAAAACCACGAATTTGGTGGTTTTTAGAACAATTTGAGAAGATTTTTTGGGTACGGTAGTTAAAGGTTCGTGCAATTTTTGGAACGGAGTCTCGCGGCCAACGATTCTGGTTGGACATCGGTTTTCAGAAACAGACTATTTGGATTTCATATCTTCACAATTCCATCCACCATACGTTTGCATTTTCAGTGTTCTCGATCGAATTTTGGATAATTTTGAAAAAGAGGAGGCGAAAAGGATACCGCTGGTGATTCCTGGCCCTGAACAATACAGGTTTTGCGAAATTTGGTTGAATCTTCTCAATTCCGGTACATTTTAGATTCGCCGAACCGGATTCTGATGAGAATATTTCGTTTGAGGATTACACATCGAGCAGCGGAATACCGGTTATTCGAAATGGAACCGTGTTGAAGCTTGTGGAGAGGCTTACCTATCATTCGTATGAATTTTTGAGCCCGTTTTTTTAATTACTTTTATTTTTCAGTTATACTGATAGCAAGTACATTCAGACATTTTTAATCTCGTATCGATCGTTTTGCACACCAAACGACTTTTTGAGTTTACTCATTGAACGATTCAATATTCCAATACCAAATAAATTACTGCCGCAACATTCGAAATCGTGAGTTTTGAAATAATGAATATCTCAGACCAAAAGAAAATTTATAGAGGAGGACCATTGGCTGGTCGATACGATACAGTTCAATCCCATGGATTGTCGTCCAGCACGTCATATTCGCCAATTTTTGAGCAGAGCTTCCAAAGATTCCGAAAAGAGTATGAAAGACCGATTCAATTAAAGTGAGCGTTTTAAGTAATTAAAAAAATCGTAATGATCCAAATTTAGGGTTTTGAGCGTTATTAATCAATGGGTGAAATTCCATTGGTACGATTTCCAATGCGATTCGAGTCTCCTCGAAGCACTTGAAATATTCCTTCAAAAATGTATAGAGCCGCGAGAGAAGCTCACGAAACAACACAAAAAGTTTTGCAAAACGATTTTGGCGACAATTGAGAAGCGTGTGAAGAATCCGCCGAGTTTTTCGAATGATTTGGCTCAAAATTGTGGCGATGAGGGCCATGTGAATGGCGCGTTCGTATATGGAGAAGACCATCAACCAACGGCCTATGCAAACGAGGAAAATGGAGAGCCATCGTTTGTATCGAGAAAGCCTGAGGTAAGAATTTGGCAACTAATGGGACTGTTTTAGGTTGTTGAAAAAGCGATTTCGACAATTTTTTAGTTGCAAGAGTTTTCCATAACTAAATCGTTCCAAATGAGTTTTTCAGCCAGTTTGGCATACTGCCCAAAAAGGAGATATTGGGAATTATGATTTACTCACATTGCATCCGTTGGAGATTGGAAGACAGGTAAGAATCATCGTGGAAAATTATGAAAATTTTGTTTTTCAGCTGACTTTGCTTCATTTTGACTTGTATCGCGCTATCAAACCCATTGAACTCGTCGAAGCCGCCTGGACGAAAGCTGATAAATATCGTAAAAGTCCACAATTGTTGCGGTTGACCGACCACTCGACATTGGTAACAATTTTGTCTCTCAAGATTTTTATTTCTTTATGTTTTTTCGCTTATTTAGCTCACTTATTGGGTGTCTCGATCAATTGTCGAAACGGAATCGTTGGAGGAGCGAGTGGCAATGTTCAATCGAGCATTGGAAGTGATGTCGGTTTTCGAAGAGCTTCACAATTTCACTGGACTTGTCGCATTCTTTGCGGCACTCCATTCAGCGTGCCTTCATCGCCTTAGTTGGTGTTTCGATGTATGTCTCAATGTTCCCAAACGCTAAAGCAAAATTTGATTGAATTTGTTGCAGCGGCTCGACAATGAGAAGCAGAAGTGCTTCTCGCGATTCGCATCTCTTTGTGATCCTCGATGGGTTGAGATGAAGCATCGACTGCAAACCATAAATCCGCCATGCATTCCGTTTTTCGGTCACTATCTCACCAATATTTATTTTTTTGAGCAAGGAAATAGCACGTTTGTCAAGTCGAAAGATCGAGAGAATTTGAATACTTCGGTAAGCTTTTTTTAATGGTTGCTGAAGGTTTTGTGGATGCGATTGATTAAAAATTTAATTGCCTCATCGGAATTCGAGTAGAAGAAATTTTAATAGTTTTTTTTTTATTTAACCATCTTAAAGTAAAATAACATAATTTCGAAATTTCAATATTTGGCTATAATTTTAAAAATGCCAAGTGACGGGGAATGGAATTTTTTCGTGGCCAAAATCAGCGCGAGAAATTCAAAATTTTAAAATTTGTAGAAAATTGGTCGAATACATTTTCTAATGAACCTTTTACGTTTTGAGAAAAAAAAATAATAAAAGTCTATTCCGGAAATTGATTAATTGGATTAAAAAAAATAGGAAAAAACATTTTCGGATCCTGAAGCAATTTCTTTTAAATCTCAACACGAAAATTTATCGTTTTTTTTTTAAATATTAATATCATAATTCAAAATATATTTTTATTGTGTAATTTTTTTATCATTCAATGAAAATCGATTTTTTTTCAAGGAATCATCGGATTCGAACAACAAACGAGTACTGGTCTCGTTTTTCAAATGTCGCCGCATATCCGATTTGATTCGCGAGATTCAAATGTACCAAAATGAGCCTTATTCGTTGACACTTGAGCCGAGCATCCGGGTACGCGAACGTTTTTTTTTCTTTTCAATTTCAATTCACAGCATTTTTTCCCATATTTGTCGTATATGTTCATCAATGTCGGTGTTGTTTTGCGCGCGACAAATGACAAAAAAAACTCCAAAATTGACGGTCGTCGTTTCGCGAACAAAAGTGTGAATTTGACAGTGAGCGATGTGGGAATTAGACGAACTCGAATAGTGGATGAGACCACCCGTCTATCGTTTTTTTTTTCGCCTTCCCCTCCACCCCGTGACATTATTCACGTTTCATTTAACGATACTTTGTTTCCGGTGGTTTTGCGTCGAATTTGATTACTGTGAAAATCGGGCGAAATGCCAACGTCGTCTCATCAAAGACGCAATGAAATTTGAAAATGTGAAGAACTTTTAATTTAATCCAACGATAGTGATGCCGAATGAATGAGTATTGAGGGAATTTATTGCTCGAAATGTGAGAATATCCCAAAAGACAATTGTAGCGCCGCAGAGGCAATCCTGACGAGGCTGGTTCGACCCTAACACGGCGGAGAAATCTGACTTTTGCGAAATTCCTACCTTTCTTTTTAAATATAGGCTCCGATGGGAGATTTATTCGCATTTTTTTGGCATTTCACTTTTCAGCAAAAAATCCATTGAATTTTATTCTTCTGACGGATATTCGGAAATCGCGGGGAATTTTTGGGGAGCTCCAGCTGAGGTCCACCAATTTCGAAAATTTGCCCACTTTACTAAATTTTGCCGGAAATTTTCTTTTTTTTTGAAGGGAGAATAATAGAGAGGCGTTTTGCGCGTGTTTTTTTTTTTCGTCGGCCTTCAGACCAGTTTTTTCTTGCCTAGTAAACGTTCCAATCTTTTATCCTCGAGTGGTCAATTATTCACCCGTCTCCTCATCCTTCGTTGGCGTTTGTGTTGAAAGCTCATGTCTTCTCGAACTTTTAACAGCAGCTCATATGCACACACATCAACGTTGTCCGCATTGTTAGTATAATTGCAATCTAATTAGTCGAACAATAATGGAATGCAGCGGCAGGCGGCGCGATCAAATGGTTGCGCGAAGTGCGACTTCCTTCCTCTCTTCCATTGACTTTTATTTGTGCGCGGAAATTATGCAAACCGTATGCTCTCCTTTTGTGTGCCTTTCTCTTTCTTGATACCAGCAACATGTGTGCGGAAGTTTTTTTCTCTTAAATGAGACGATCTTTATTGCAGATTAAATTTCTAGTAATAAATCGAGCCATCAAATTTGTGTATATCATCTTTATGCCCATAATCTGCTTATAATCTAGAAATGGCGTTTTACGCTGTGAGCAGCGAAACAGTATTGCTTCTTCATTATTGCATTTTTTTTGTCGAGAGCACAACAATAAACAAGAAAATATGCAAAACGCGCGAAATTATTCTCGGTGAAAATGCATTTTTTTTGTCGACACACACAGTTTCTGGGAATGCGGCGCTTCTCGGAAAAATCGCGACGATTTTTGAGCAGACGTTGGCGTGAATGTCGCGCCAATTCTAGGAATTCTTTCATTTAGTTTTTTTTTTCTCGTTCTTGTGTGTGTGTGTTTTTTTTGTGTTTCGTTTCTTTAAGCCCCACTCGCCGTGTTTGTTATATCCGTTCTCTTCATTAACGTTATGATGATGTTGATGACGATGAAGTCCTCCATTAATACCAAATTCGTGGAAAATTCGCGTCGGTTTTTCGCTTTTTTTTTTTGAAACGTTTTTCGGTTCAATGTGACGTCTACTACCCCCTCCCATTTTCATTTTTTTTTTCATTCAATGAAAACTACTTGCCAGAATGAAGCATTTTTAATAGAAAAAATAGAAGCGAGAAGGAAAGAGTAACTAGCGCAAATTTTTTTGTTCGTCTCTGTTTGTCCTATTTGTTATTGAAAATGTTGGTTGTCGACATGGGCCACCGGTATTTTTAAATTAGGGGAAACAGATTTGGCACGTTAACGCATTTTTTCTAATGGTCCAATGCAGAGATTGGGAAAAAAACTCGAAACCTCTCAAAATCTAGTTTTTTTTTTGTCCAATATGCATAATTTTTTTGAGTTTTCGTGAAATCTCCATGGTTCCATAAGCGAAATATTATGCATTATTACTATTTTTTTAACAAATAGGAATTATTGAGAATTCGGTTCAATTTTGGAAAGCTTATAAGAATTTTTTCTTTTTTTTTTTTTTTTGAAGAAGTGACAAATGTAGGCGAAATTTTGAATAAAAATTCCAATGTTCTGAGAAAATTGTTGGGAATTTTAAACGTAAAAATTCGTTTCTGCTCTTTTTTTTTCTCCAATTTTTCTTATTAATTTTGCTTCTAATATCTTCTTAGAACTCCTTTAATCATGAGAATTATATATAAATCGAAATCTTGCCATTTTCTTAAATTAAAAATGCTCGTATTTTTTCCACACAAACGGACAAATCTCAATAAGCATCGGTGTGGAATGATATCATCCATTGTCTATTGTTGTGCTCCTTCTTCTTTTTTTTTGCTGCTCCCTCTTTCGAAAAAATTCAATCACAGTAACAAAATTAACTGGCTGCGAACGTGACGGCATCGAATAAATTGAGATATTTCGAGATCCTCTTTCTCAGTAAGTATTGTTGTTGTGAGAAAATTTCAGTTAAGTGGGGTTCATATCGAAATTCCTTTTTTAGTCATATTTTATTCTTGACCATTGCAATATTGGAGAGATTATTTTGGAATTTTGGAGTTAAAATTTAAGATTCGACATTTTTATTCGATAGATGAACAAATTTTGCAATGTTAATTTTATGTAATGATGGGTAACTGGGTGAAAAATTAATTTTTAAAGAACTTTTTTTCCTTTGATTTTTTGGAAAATTTTGAAAATTAGTTCGATTTTCATGGTCCTCTAATAAAGAAATGCGATCCTTTTCCACAAATTCATTTGAACTTTAAAATTGTTACGGTATCTCTCAGCAGCATCAAAGTGTTGCCACAACTACTAGACAAAATTAACGTTTTTATTTGTCGCACTTTGTTGGTAACAATTTTAGCCCAGCTCTTCACAGATATTTGTTATTTTGAACTTGTGCGCCAAATAAAACGAAGAAAATAAAAATAATTGTCTACCGGAACCGGTGGTTGAAATATGGGCTCGTGGGCGGCGAGACAGATAAATGTGATTGATATCGTTCTTCCTGAAAACTTTTCCGTCGATTGATCGTATTTTTTTTGTCTCATTTCAAATCATCGAACTTTCTCAATTTTGTGCCCAACAAATCAATCTTGTCCATCTTTTTCTCTCCTGTGCTCTCATCTGCACTGAATCGTTCCTATTAAATATTGATGGATTCGTGGTTGGTGGTCATCGTTGCACACGTCGTTTTTTTCTAACTGTGTGTAGCTCTTTTTTCAATCTTTCCTGTGCTCAGAAATCATTTAGTGCCGTCGCGAAGTGGATCGAGGTGGTGGTGCCTCGGCCAACACGTGTTGGGTGACGATTTGCATATGAGAGCGCATTTAATCATCACCACCCACGATTTTTGTTTTTGATATTGATTGGTGAGCTCCCCACCGTCTTCGATTATTTTCTGCTATCTGTTTCATACCACCCCCTGTTTCGTAATCTTGGTAGTTTCAAAGTCGATGTTGATTTTTTTTTTGAAATTTTGGTTGGTGCCTCATATTGTCAGGAAAACTTGTCACAATCTTGAACCGACCTTTCATTTTCATAGAATTTTGAAAACCGATCTCTCGAAATTGATTTCTCTTTTAATCGTTCTTTTTTTTCAAAACTTTTTTTTTTCGAACGATTGTTTTATTTGCTAACAACTTTCTTTATGACTCATTCTTGAATATTTGCAATGTAAATCGGCAGATATTAAAAATTGAATACTTGGAATCGTGTTTCATGTCAACATTAAAAATCGTATTCTTGGAATAATTTTCACGCAACATTTCATGGGAAGCAAAACTTTATATAAACAATAAAAATGATACTCGAGATCTGAAACGCGAAGAAATTTTTCAATTCGTTGCCGATTTATCTTTTTTTATATTAGGAAGGAATATTTTATGATTCCTCGAATCCATATAAATTATTCATAAAATCTTGGGACACAAATTCTGATTGTTTGAGAACATAGAAAAAACACAAAAACTGTACTAAATGTTTTAAAAGAAGATTTTCGGATTATTACTCATTAGAATTAAAAGAAGCAAAGAATTATTTCAATATAATTTTTTAAAGAAAATTGTTCCACTTGCATTAGAAAAAGCTGTATTGTTGAAAGTATTTTTAAATGTTTTAACTTGTTTACTATTTGTTTTTATTTATCCTAATTTACGAAACATAAATAAGTAATTCGTAAATTTACATGTAATTGACTCCGTCCCGAGTTTTATATTCCGTAAAAGTCACGTAGATATGAGAATGAGTAATACTTGAAAGTCAAAGATTCATACTGTGGAGGAAAAAAAAGCAGAAGCGCACAAATCTGTAGAAAATGCCTATTTTAGAGGAATTCGTCGAGTTTTGTTTGTCTTCTCGTTTTTGATTCTCTATTAAATTGAATTCGTTTTATTTCGTAACTCATATTTGCCGACTCTTTCCGCTTTCTTGAAACCTAAATTCACTTTTTGTATATCGTTCCAGAAGTGTGTAATGTTTATACTAAAACTGCGCCGCAAATTGCGACGAACTCGATTGGATTCGGATCGAGAGTATCTCATTGAAGCGCCTCCGATTACTAGTCGGCCGGTTCGACGCCGTCAAAACGGTCGGGTGAAGCGTTTGATTGCGCGATTTCGGATTGTGGTAGGTTGAATTCAACTCTAGTAATTCTCGTTTGTTGCGCTTATAGGCATTTTCGAAATTGAAAAATTTAGTCTTTGAAACTGGTCAGACTCTCCCCCTCCCAATTCTAAACTCTTGGAATTTATTTTTTTGGGGTGGTGGGGGGGGGTGAATAATTTGAATGAATAAGCTCGATTAGTGAGATTGATGTGGTGACGAATGCGGTGCGGAGCGGCAGCTGCTGCTTCTGCTTAAAATGGCGATATTTGTGGAAATTCCCATTAAATGACCACAATCCACAACAACAAATGAGTCAGGCACGCGACTCTACGCGGCTCGCCTTGTTTCTCGTCTTCTCGCCGCCCGTTTTCGTTTCTTTGGTTTTTTTTGCCTCTTTCCCTTCACGCACAAAACACAAAATTTGTAATCCGCAGTTGTGTTAATCATTCCGCGGTTTCGGGATGATGATTAAAAAATTGGGCTCAATGGCCGACCAACGGTGTTTGATATTCACCAGTGGATATTTTTGCTATGTGAAGCGATGGATACGCGATGATGCGAATGGGGAACGCTATAAATTGATATCCATCGATATATTGGTAACTAAATATTATCGAATTACCGTAATCTACAGTAACCTTTGGAGTTTGCATTGAAGAAGAATGAGAAGAAAAGCTGGCTTACATTGTCGTGGTCGGACGAATTTGGGATGGAATTGATTTCGACTTTGAATTGCCGCCATGGGTCTAGTATGGAAAGCTCTTGGGAACTATCATAATATTTTTTAAAAAAATTAATGGATTTTGCGCCCCGCAAAATGTAAACGTTTATGAGAATAAGTAATCATTAGAGGTCTTAAAATCTACATTAAAAAAACTAAATGTATCCAACGTTGGGATATTTATTGAAGCCTTAAAAATTCACCAACACTTGATGTTGAATTAGTCTCATTAAAAATTATTGAAAATGCCGCAATTGCAAATTCATCAATTTTTAGTTCCTGATGCTCTTTGAGCCGAAGCCAAACATCCAATATGCTAATCCCTCATCGAGTTTTAATATAAACATTTTCGAATTGAATCGAAACCGGAAATAGCGGAAAATGTTGAAAATAGATTTGAAGCCACCGAATTTTTGGATTTCAAAAAATTGGGAATTTGTTTTTTTTTTGGCGAGCGTGTAATTGAAACTAGTAGCTGCGCTTTTATTTTTTATTTTTCGGCAATGTTGTATTTATAATAAGTGTTGGTTTGCATGAATCACATCTATGAATGATGCAGCTTACTTCGCCTCCGATATCTATCTTATGTATATATATATATACATATTATTTTTTTTCTTGTTTCTGGCGTCCGCTGCCTGGCACGGAGCGCGCCTCTTACTTTTCGCCGCCGGCCGCCGCTGTTTTCCTTGCTGCTCGCGTCGTCTTCTCCATCTTCATCATCGTCGTCGAGACATCTCTGCCGACTCCGCCCACAAATTGTTGCTGTTGTGCGGCTCCAACGAAGCGCGAGGCGAGCGCGAGACGAGACGTGAGTCATTCAAGATCGCGATCGCCTAGCGAATGGCGTCAACTCGGTTGCCACCGATCGAGGACGAGCCGATCCTCAAATTCTTCTACTTCGGACCACCGCGCTCAAATTCCGCATCGGCGGCACGACGATCATGGCATCATCGCGAAGAAATGCTCGTCATTCATGAATCGTCGCGTCCGCGACCCTATTCCTATTCGTTCACTGGAACGCCGATCGGCGAATTGGCGCCGAGACCGCCGCCGCTTGTTCTGCCGGCGAGATGTCGAACAACCGCACCGCTCAAAACGAATAAGAAGAAAAAGAAGAGCAAGATGAAGGCGCTTCAGAAGTTCAAGGTGCTTAACTGCTTCCTCGCGTGCTTTCATTGTGTTTAACCGATTAACAAAATTTCATTGAGTGATTTTTCTTGCCAATTCGCGAATCTTCGAAGGAATACGCTAAGAACACAAAAAAAACAAACGACAACTCGCCAATCTCTTTCATTTGTTCTATTTTTTTTTGCTCTCCCCGCTTTTCTGGCGTCTTGCAAATTATTCTTATCGACATTTCGCAAAAGTCAGGGAATCTAGGCTTTCGTTTTTCTTTTCTCGTTTGATTTCGAAAACAATGCAAATTTTCAATCAGTGAAGCTCATCATCCATATCCGCCTTCAATTTATTTATTGTAGTTTTCGAAACCATGTGATGCCCCATAGTTCCAATTTCTTTCTTCAAATGACTCATTCTCTGTTCCTTCATTAACAATTACTTGATTGTGACCAACAATATTTTGTTTGTTTATTTTTTTTAATTTAAAACGACTACTACACATATGATAATTATTTTTGTTCGGTTTTGTTTTGTGTGAGTTTGTGTGGAAGATTCCCATAAAGGCAACAACAAAAAAGGAATGATGGGTGCAAAATTTCGCACCTCATTGTCAATGTTTGTGTGTCGAAAATGTGCGAACAACAAGTAGCTGTCGAGTATGCGATGAGCATTGATGGCGTGTAACGAACCCACCACTTATGTGCACCTGGTGTCAACGGGGCGGGGCTTGCGTTGCTCGTATACGATCCCGTCAATCAGTCAGTGTCAGTGAGCGTTTATTAGCGTGTGAGAAGATTGCGTCTAACGATATGTTGCTTGTACGACAATATGGGGTAAGTATCGCTTTTTGTTTCTGTTCCTTGTTTTTTTTTGTTAATAGTTAATAATATTAACCAAAAAAAATAGTAAATGCTAATCTTATGTCTAGACCAGAGACAAATAAATCCTAGATGGTGCTCATCTCGAAAATTGTCATCTTAGGAGCTGTAATGATGTTGTCTAGAAATAACTCAAAAATTACAATTGTTTCCAATCCATAAATGCAAATTTGATGGAGTTTTTTTTTACATTTTTTTGTGTTTCATGGATAGATTCGGATGCGGACGAAATTCACTTAAGATTTTTGCGTGCGCTTATGATGAGAACTATAATTTTCAAATTTAATCAAAACAAAATTGATACAAGATGGCAGCGAAAAAATCTTAATCGCCCACCTTAATTCGCCCGCGTTTGACAAAATTTCGAAAAGTTCCTTGTTTGGTTTTCTCAGAAACGAAATGATCAAAGAGTTGTTTTAATTAGAAATTGCAAACCGGCCGCCTACGGTATCGTTAGGCACGCTTAATTGGCTTAAAATTTTCGCAGAATCTCTTGTTCTTCATATATTACGTATGTTTGAAGGTGTAAGGCGACCAATTTTACTTGTCATTTTTGTTAGAGAAATATTCGAAATTAAGTGCTCGAGTCGATTCACACTAAAAACGAGCAAATAATTATGTTAATTTTTTCGTGATGATTTCATCATTCTTTGCTTTGCACCCCGAGATTCTAAGAATTGTTTACCGGGCTTCCTGTTTGCAGGATAACTCGCTTGAATTCCTGAAATAGTCAGGCTTCAGTGTTTAATTAGAATTCATGATATTCATAGGTAACACCCCGTGTGTTTTTTTCTTTCTGGAAATTAATCATTGCGGAAATTAGTTGATAATCCCCCCACACCCCGGAATTCTTATCCTGCTCTGCACCACCTTCTCCTTCGCTTCCTCCTTGTGTTGGCGTTGATAGTGATTTTTATAGCGTTTCGCTAAAAAAAAATGTTTATGCTCACATGCATTACTCATAAACTGCAATATGATTAATGGAAATAGACTTTGTCGCGAGGCTCGCCGGCCGGCCTTCTAATCCATTCAGTCGAAATTAGGTGTCGATGAGAAATAGCGAGCGGATAGCGGGTGGGGGGATTGGAGGCTCCGTTTATTTTGTTTTTTTTTGCGAGATGGCACGCACCGAATCTCGATAATTGAATGCTAGTTCATCTTCAACATCATCTTCAGTTTGTCACTCGCGAAAATAGAAATGAGTCGATTAAAAAAACTTGTCGAGACAGAGATCGAAAACGTTTGACTCAGATGTTGGCATGTCTTTTTTTGAGTGATCTCGGAAAAGTGTTCTTTTTCTCTCTCGTTTGGTCGTTGCGTGACCACTTGAAGCATCAGAATAGCACTTGGTGGTGGAAATCGAGAAATCGTCACTATTTTTTGATTCTCGCAAAATTTGTGTGTGATTTTGATCAGGATTTTGCTAATAGCATTTTTTCCGTCGTCGTCGTCGTCGTCGTCTCCGTCCTCCCCCACCCGGAGAAAAATATTTTTACAACGCGAAGAACAGCTTTTTCTGCAAGAAAAATCGCACACACATTTTTCGACTTTTCTTCATTCTTTGACCGAAGGCAGACGGCAAATGAATGTGATTTTGTCACATCCAACCCATTTCTTTTTTCTCGCTGATTTCCGGAAAATTTTGATTGGTGTAAAAGTGGAAGATGACGAAAAAACACAAATCGATGGAGCAGTTGTTGTTGTTGGTGGTGGTGGTGGCGGCGGCGCTGTTTCTAGAGATTTTGCACCCTCGCCACCGGAAGTCATGTCGTAATGGATATCGGAATCGAACTTTACACTATGGACTCTCTCATTCGTTTCGATTTTCGATTTATCGACGCGAGGTGCGTCTAAAAATAGGCGGGATTGCAACTAAAAATAGAACGCGCCGGATGTTGATATTTTGCGCGATCGACAACTAGAGTAATCATATGTTCGATCGCTGCAAAAAAAAAATGATAGCAAGCTTGACCGATCAACGATAATTTATGTGAGATATCAAATTCCTCAAAAACAGGGGTCCGATAGAAACTGAGTGTGGAATTACACAATATTTCTGTTTCAAAGGTCGCGACCTTGCAAAATTTATAGTGTAGATTTTCAGTTGAGATAATTGTGATTGATTGGAAGCAAGCATCATCCGAAAACCAGAGTTGATTGTCTTCATTCGACTTCCGATTGACACTTTTGTAATAACCACGACAACATTTTTGCGTTCCACTAATTCGCCAAATGCTTTTGCCTCATTCCATTGCATTGCGGATGTTGCTTGTCTTGTTTCCCCCATCGAGCGATGGAGACGATAAGCAGAGAGAATTGATTGATTTGGAAGGGCTCACATAATAATTGGTTGTGCGCATGTTTGAATCGTCGTTGTGTTCGATTCTTTTTTTGTCTCAAATTTTCCCCCCAAACCGGAAACCGTGTTGTTTCAATGCTCTTGTGCACCTGGTACCGAAATTCGCAGCGAAAACACAATGTGTTGGGTGTGCAATTGGTACATTGAAGAATGATGATTAGATGTTTTCGTGCGATTCACATCGTTTGCCGGATTGCACAAGCGGACACCTGCTCATTCGAATCGAATACAATGTCTAATCACATAATATGAGTGGGATGGTTGCGCGATTCGCACCTCGGATAAATGTCGGAGGATTTAGCGATGATTAAAGGCGCTCGCTCAATGAGCCTCTAATTGGATTTGGCGCATTCGTTCACACAATTATAATTATTACTATCATCACAAAAAGAAATTCCGATAAATCCGGGCCATCGAATGATTGTCGACGAGCTAGTTCAAATTTTGATTCAAACGGTTGGAATTTTTTTCAAAAAAAAATCCAAATATCTTCCAAAGAGCTTCACTATTTCCCAAATCAACACTTTCCTGTTTGCAAATGATGATATAAATATGGTCTTGTGATTAGTGATCCTCATGTGATCCGATCCGAACCGTTTTTTTCTCAGCGTGATCATCATCAGCCGAGAAAAAATGTGTGAGAAAACTATTTGTTTGCGCGCTTATTTACATGAATATGATGTTCCAATTTGACAACTTCCGTCCGACCTGTTTTGATATCGAGTGTGACTACTGAAAGGGGGATAGAAGAAGAAGAAGAAAAAATGGATGAATCGACTTGCGCGGGTCCACCATTCATCCATTACTCTCACGCGTCGCTCAGAGACGTTCGCTTATTGTTGTTCGTCATTTCCATTCATCATTTCATCGATGTTCTCGTGCCATTTCGGCTACTGCTGCTGCTGCTGTTGCTCCTCCTCGCCGCAATCTCCGATTGATCGCGGCGATTTGAGGCGACCGTTCAAAGTCAGTCGGTGTGATCGAAATTTGTCGGTTGACTGTGTGAGATGTTGATTAAAAGAGAAAAAAGAATATATAAATGGGGGCGAAACGTTGTTGGTGGTTTTTGACAGACAAAACCGGAAGTCGAGAGTGAATCTGTCTTGATTAATTACAATGATCAAGTGTTATCGTAATTGCACTTTTAGGGTGAACTGATAAAACGTGATATTAGACTTTGAACTGCGAATTTTCTCAAATTTGAGCGAATGTGTGTTTTTTGCAACTGATAGTCGAATTTCTAGTGAATGTAATACTACTATTAATCCTATCCACCCACACAGTTTTTGTTGCTTTCGTTATTCACTCGAACTACATGATCTTCTGGTTTCAGCAATTTTTCGAATCGATCAATCCGAAGAGCGATTTTAAAAATGACGAGGCTCTTGAGACGTACTTGTACCAGAAATCCATCGAGGTTCAGCCGAAGAATTGCGATCCACCGGTTAATGATGTGGTAGGGGTAGAGACGTTTTGATTCTGAATCGCTAGCCATGTTTTGCAGAAGCCTCGACACAGTCCGACAACGCTTCGATCGCCTGGAATCAAGGCGCCGAAACCGCAATCGCAAAGCAATAATTATTCGATCAATCATCCGGTTTCCATGATCACCCATCGGAATCACTCGAACACCGTTCCGAACACACCTGTTGCTCCGCATGAGACGAAAAGGTTTGGAAAAAAAGAATCGAACGCTATAATTATTTTTGTTCGATTTTCAGAAGTTTTTCGCACAACTCTGAAGCCGATCATCATTATAATGAGCGCCGCGGGCACCATAATTATCATGCTCACCAGCAGCAACAACAACAACAACAACAAAAAATACGTGAGTTTTTCAACGGAATTTCTAAACGAGATTGGGCATGACTCAGTGTTTTCGAGAAGACTGAACCCAAGATTATTAGCCTAATATGGAAGTGGCATTCATTGATCAGGGTCGGGGGGGGGGGGGTTGTCTCGAATCAAAACCCCACGAGCCAGTGTAATGGCAAATGTTCAAAGTTCGGACCGGAAGTTGTAATATTATTTCAAGGTTCTCGAAAAGAAATTTTCAATGGCATTCCGCAACTTGATTTTTTCACTGGTTATTTATTCTTGCTGCTTCTGGCCCACACTTTACACAGTGTTGCTTCTTCGTCTTCTTCGGCGTTTTTCTTGTCGACGCAATTTAAGGGGGGGGGATCGTTAAAAAATTCGTCATTGAGCGAAATGAAAACAAAAGGCTTCCGGTGTTTGGGGAGAGGGGGTGGGGTCTAACGCGATTTCACCGAACTGAAAATGCGTCAAAAAATGGGAGGAACGAATGGGGAGAATTTTTTTTGAAATTAAATAAAGAAGGAAGTGTGGCGATACGATCTCGACGATGTTCGCGATTTGATGCGAGACGCAGCAAACTGTTAACTGTGTGTGTTCGTGATTCAATCTCGCTGAATGAACTTTCTATTACGACGTCGTAGTAGGACGCCGACGAGGACGCCGGCATCGCCATCGTCGCCGCTCAAGTTTGAATTTGTCAAGCCGCCGGTCACGCCCACTTTTGACGTTCGCCCACCACCACCACCACCAACAACAACAATAACAACGACGATGGTGGCAGGCGAGAAGAATAAGAACACCGCAGGTCATTCAGTAGTCAGTCAGTCAGCCAGTCATTCCGTTGCCCCTCCTCCCCGCCTAGTCAACCTCCTCTCCCCTCCCGTTCCCCCTTGCTAGCGTGTCACGTTTCGTCCAATTTTCGCGAACGCCCGAAAAAAATGGTATAAATATTAAAAAACGATATCAATGTTTCAGCTGTTCTTCAACCGCCGCCTGGCTATCGTTCCGCTCGACGACCGCCACCGCCGCCAATTCAACCGCCAACACAAAACGCGCCAATGGCACCACAAGTGAGATCATCGCCGACAGGCTCGACGACGACACCCGCAACGGGAGTGGCGCCGCCGAAATTGCATCCGAGACGCGTTGCGATGTCGCCGCTCACCAAGTCGCCATTGACGCCATCCAATGGTATGCATATCGAAATTGCCTTTTCGTCATCGAGTTGGATTTCAATTTTAGATAATCATCATCAATCGACGAGTGCTTTCCAATTTCCGAATGTTTACGATATGGCGCCACCACTTCCGCCAAGACCATCGACAGAATCGACATCGCCGCCGAGCACTTCAACATCGGCTAAGGAGAATCATGATCAGTTGCCAATTATCTTCGATAGGTGAGGAGGAGAATTTCCCAATTTTGCGGAACCGAATTTGGTGAATTGCAAAAATTTTCAGAGAAGAGTCTCACTCTCCGACTGTTCGACTTTCTGTCGCACTTCCGCCGGCGCTTCCGCCACCAAGAGGTTCGGCGTTCTCGCGCCCACCGCCACCGATCCCACCAAAATCCACGTAAGTTGAAAAGTGCCACATTAGTAGTCGAAAATTTGAACAACAACAAAAAAAAAGAAATTGAATTGGCGAACGTTTTCAACAATACACAATCCGGTTTTGTTGTGTGAAAGTTTATCATATGATCGTCGGCGTGAAGTGATCGGTTACGAGATTTTGATGATTTTCAGACGAGCCCACAGCAGCAGCCCGACGAACTCGGCGTCGCCGCGCGATTTGCTCCTTGAGCCTGCTAGTACGCCACCGCCGCCGTTGCCACCAAAGACCTACAAGACAAGAAAGAATTGATACGATTCGAAATGATGTTCCCACTATATTTTTTTCCCATGATCTCATGTACCTTCCTGCTGATATTTGTTCTACTTAAATTTTCCAACCGATCATTCCTACCCATCCTTTCGGCCTCCTGAAATGAATGTTCCAAAATCCAAATAGTGTTGATCCCTGTGATACGTTTTTTTTTGGAACGAATTTGCTCGTTGTTTTTTTTATTTCAAACAATTTTATGATTCTTTTATTTGTTTTACTTTGCCAATGAATAAACAAGACTTTCAATTATTATCGATTAAGAAAAACCTCAATGGAAATTAGAAGAAGTTGAACGAAATTAAATGCGATGAAAACGCGAATGTAGCGCTGGGTTGAGCTGTGCACGTCGATCATCATCCATTCCGGGTTCATCATCGGCCGACTACTGAAGATGGTCTCGAACACGAGAAGAAGATTGACGCAAATTGTGAAGCTCGTGATCATACAGTTGAATATTCTGCAAATGTTCCCATAATTTGTGGGACAATTGAAAAACCAGTATTATTGGCGCCAAAATAATTTGAATGTCCGAAATTTGGGATATTCACTCTTTTATCCACTCATCCAATTGTATAATTGGTCGGCGACTTTTGAAAATTGGCAATGTGCCAAAAAATATGACAGCGAGCAAAATTGGATGTGTCGATCGATTAAAGGCGCACAGGCTTGTGTCATAGTTTCGCCAATTTTCAAAAGTCGACGATTATGGCCATATTCTGCAAAAAAAAGCGATGGACGCGAGGCTCGTCGGAAAAAGAAAACTGCATGTCCCTTTAATTACGGTATCCAAGAAATAAATCTCACTGATTTTAGGCAAATTTTGTCATAATTTTAAGAATTATACGAAATTTTAAATGAATTTGAAAATGCGATATTTAATGGAAAAATTAATGGCTCATTGTGAGGGAAAATGAGTTGGGTCTCGCGGCGAAAAAAATTGAAAAAATTCGCCTCTAAATACAGTTTTGTTTGTTGGCGTGAAATTAACCAAAATGATTTGCATGGGCCTTTAAATTGATTTCTTTGCGAGACCGAATCGTCTCGCTCATAGCTTCACGATTATCATTCGAAGCGAGAACCTTTCTGGAAAATTCCTCAACGACACCGTCAATTGTACGATGGCGGATTTCATCGAGGTATAATGATTCATTCCTGTCGTCAGCACGCCCGAACAATAATGAAGATCGAAATCCTTGGCCTCAACTACGCGGACGGATCATTAGAATACAGGCAATTCGATGATGACTCGCCTTACTTGTATCAATCAGCTCAAAAGATTTGATATACAACTGAATTCGGTTCAATGGGTATCTGATGTTTTTTTCCGTGAACACCGCAGTGAAAACGGTGGCCGAGATTCCAATCGTTAGCATCGCTGCGAGTATTATCATAATACTAAATAGCTAGAAATTATTGGAGAAATGAATTATACGTATCTCATACATGAAATCAAAAATATGTAGGGTGTATATTGGGGGATAACCGTCATAATGGTCCTTAGTCAGAAGGCCATTTGAATGTACTGAAAATGGGCAAAATTGAGGATATTGGTGGTGGCAAAAATCTCACGAAAAATTTCATCTTCCTCTTCGTTATTCACTTTTTTTGCCTGCGCTCCTTCATCCTCGTCAGAGCTTAAAAAATGCTTTAATATAGGAATTGTGCAATGCTAGAGTATCTTGTTCAAATCCTGATTCCGGCTGACGAGCTGTTGTTTCGTTCTGGAACGGCTCCAACTCTTCGCCGGTCATTTCTTTGTTCCACACTTTCGGAAGTTCGACGGTTTGCCGCAAACACTCAAGAAAAAAATTTTTTGGAAATTTTCCTAATATCTGCATTAATGGTTCTTTTCTAGGGATCATAGGAACTTAAAAAATAACTTTAAAAAAATTTTTTTTGCTGCCGAGCAGGATCTTAATCGAGTGGACGACCCCCTTCCCCACTAGCTCACATCATGATGAGGAAGAAGACTAGAAGAATAGACGGAAGATACTCTTCAAAGAAAGGGAGTGACGGAATTGGACATGGCCAAGAGGAAGCCCTCCAATGAGATGGTAGGACTCGAAGAAGATCACCATAAGAACAGCTGACGGAGTCGTAAGCATACCAAGGTCCATCTAAGCTAAGAATCGGAGAAGCTTGGGATGTTGTGATTCGGGCCTCAATAGGAGAAGAGCGAACCAACTAGAAAGGGGGCTAATGTAAGTAAGAAGCATTTAATTGGTCCCGTGGCACTTCTGCTAAATTTCATGAATAGCTTTCATTTTATGATAGATGAAAAAATGCAAAAATTGTTCCTACGAGTGTTCCCATACGAGACCCAAGGAGGAAATTGAAATGTGAAATCAGTCGCACCAAAAACTGAATACCAAAAATGGGAGGCCAAAAGTGCTTACATTCTGCACTCCCAAATCTTCCTCCATTTTTTTCTGCCGTCGATGCCATTCGAATCGAAACTCTTCGGTTCGATACAATGCTCGTTCCCAAGAATGCAATTGCATCAAATCTAAAAAAAAAAATAAAAACAGGGGGGTCCTCTATTCCGCCAATCAAATCACCCAACATTTGATAAATGCAAACGCGATTGTGATCGAAGCGACTCGCATTAGATTCAGCGCAACGTACCGCGAGTTGCGCGTCATTTCCAAAATTGAAAATAATACATCATAGATATAGCACTTCAATCAATTCGATATTTTGATTTTGCAATTTTTTTTTTGAAAATTACCGGAAAAAAATGAGAATTCGCATCAAGATAGACATTTTTCAAAAAACCTGACATATTTGTTGTTATAATTTAAAAAAAAAAATAGTAAAAAATGAATTGAAATACGTGAAATTGAAATTCTTGTGTTTCTACGTACTGATTTCAGGATTTTCTTTTCATTTTTACAAATTTCCGGTCAGATTATTACATATTTCCAATTAATTATAGAATAAACTTTGGTTCTTCAAATGCAGGATAATTATGACTTCAAATGAATGGAACGGATTGATTTTAAAAGATTTTTTGAGGGTATCGAATTTTTCTAAAAGAAAAAACCGAATATTTTTATTTTTGCTATCCAGAAATTTTCATGTTGGAGCCCACCATGAGGATAAAAGCGAACTATTCAAATATGCCTTACAAGCTGACAATGGAAAAACACCTTGAATTTTCAGATGGCCATAACTCACCTCTAAGCCCCCAGTGATCGCTGGAATTTTGTGAACACACTCAGAATACCTTCTAGTTTACGTGTGCAAAGCTACAAAAAATTCAAAGACGGGAGGTAAAATGACTACCCTCGTTAGCGATTTGAACTAGGTAGAATAGTTATATTATTATTATTATCGTTAGTGATTTTCTTCTCCTTTGGATTATTTCAAAAAAAAATTCTGCGGAATCACGAAAACTTAGGTTAAAAATTAAAATAAAATATTTTTCCGGGCAAATTTTATGAATAGAATTAGGCGGGAAAAAACTTATCAAAAAACATAACATAAGCACATCACTTTTCTGGATTTTTATTAGAAATTTATTTTTAGCAATTCCACATTTTTCAAAAAAATCTCAAATCCTTCTAAAAAAACACGACCAGTAAATTGATTTGTGTTGATTTCAAATTGATCGCGTTTCAACGATCTCGAGATTGTTTACGATGATCGCCCCAAAATGCGAACCAAATTGTTGTCCCCCGTGTTATCGATAATTTTTGGTGGCCACTAGAAGTTTCGATCGACGTTATCAAACATATATCAATTTTTTTGTGTTGTCCATTATGCGATTGTTGTTCGTCTATTTACCACGAACCGCGAAGAGCGAAAACTGTTTGGTGATCTCTTGCCTCGGTCGAGCATCGCGTCGTCAAAGTGCCACTGCTTTCGATTACCCCAACCTCCCGCTACCAGAATTTTCTCATTTTTCGCCTAATTCATTCTTACAGGATGACCGCTGAGACTGTGACCCTCAACACTGGCGCAAAGCTGCCATTGTTCGGTCTGGGAACCTGGCAGGTAGGATGCCAATGGGACCACCGACATTTATTGGGTTTCAGGTACGCGACGAGTCCGATCTGAAAGTTGCTCTTCGTGCCGCTCTTGACGCTGGATATCGTCTCATCGACACCGCGTTTTTGTATCAAAACGAGCATATTATTGGAGAGGTGCTTCAAGAGTACATTTCGGCGGGAAAAATCAAACGAGAGGAGCTCTTCATCACCACGAAGGTAGCTTAGCAAAAAAAGGTGAATTGCATTTCCCTCTTCCGACTTTCCAGCTTCCATTCACTGCTCATGCTCCCGGCGATGTGCGCAAATGCGTCGAGCAGCAACTCAAAGCTCTTCAACTCGACTATGTCGATTTGTATTTGATCCATTGCCCGTGCCCATTCAAACACAAAGAGGGCAGCTTCCTACCGGAGATTGACGACGGACTGTTCATCGTTGACGAGACGCCACACATTGAGACGTGGAGAGAAATGGAGAAGCTCTACCATGAGAAGAAGTTGAGAGTGGGTCGGACAAATCCAGTCAAATGCAAGTTGTCTGATGTTGTAGGCTCTTGGAATTTCCAACTTCAACGCCAAACAGATTCAGGATCTTTATGATGCTGCTGAGGTGAAGCCGGCGAACCTTCAGGTAGGTTTTCTCTTGAAATCTTGCAATATCTCTGAATCGCCTCTCTCAGGTGGAACTTCACATCTATTGGCCGCAATTCGAATTGCGCGAACTCTGCAAGAAGCTCAACATCACGGTGACCGCGTACGCGCCGCTCGGCTCGCCAGGTCGTAAGGTTCGTCGGGGGGGCTTATTTACGACGCCAACGTTTTATTCGGTTTAATATGATTAGGCTGCGCGACCAGACGGCGTTTGGCCAGAAGGTGACCCGCTTCTCGAGCCGATCGTGAAGGAGATCGCCGAGAGATACCACAAAACGCCGGCGCAGGTAACCGTGGCGATTCGTGTTGGCGATCGAACGCAATTTGTCTGTAGATACTCCTCCGTCATTGCACACAAGCCGGCATCTCGGCGATTCCGAAAAGTGTGAGCCCGGATCGTCTTGTTGAGAACATCTCGATTTTTGACTTCAAACTCGCTCCGGAAGACGTCGAGAAGCTCAACAACGTCAAATCAAAAGTCCGCCTCTTCATTTTCGATTTGTACGTGTTTTTTCTTGGTGAATGGACGAATTTGAATTGCCGCCTTTGGTCTCGCGTGGAAAAGTGCCAAATTCGCCGAGTTTGGGCGAATTTCAAAATTTTCAAATTTGCCCTTTCAAAATTTTCAAATTTGCCCAAATTTTCAAATTTGCCCTTCTGTGTGTCTTCCGAAACGGTTCTCAATTTTCAGCGCTGCCCGCCATCCATTCTTCCCGCACGACGACGTCGACAAGTCGAAAATCCCGAAGAGCATCATCCGATTGCACTAATTCGAACCTAATTCCCATTAATTTTCTTTCTTTTTTTGCTGTTCTAGATTCGCGCATTACTAATCGCTTTATTTAATGGTAATTCTATCCTCGCGCGCGATTTATAGACATTCATAAGTGTTGGCGAAACAATAAAGATGAGCGAGTGGAGTCAATGAGGATTATCGTCAAATAATTGGTGGCCGACGAGTTCAAAAGAGCCGCGCGTGCGTGCACCGCTAGCCTAACGCTCGACCTTCGCCTCGTCGAAGAGAGGCACCGACGAGCGTTGCGCAATTTGCCAAGTTTGCTAAGATTTATATCGACCATCATAACGATATCCAATCGGATATATCAACATATATAAACAATATTGTTTTGGGTTTGCGTCGGAGCCGCAAATTCTCATAAATTTGAAAATGAGTATTTGAGAAAAAATTGAAACCTTCAAATCCCTGAAAATCTAGTTTTTTTTCCAATTTTTCCGCATTCTGGGAATCGTGGAAATCGATTTTCATGAATCTGAAATTTCAGAGATATTAAAAATCAAAATCCTTCCCCCACCCCCCTCAAAAATTCCAACATCCTTTGCATAGTGTTTCAATGGGGGAAAGTGTAATAATTCGGTGCAATACACATGCATCTTTGACGTGGGGTAATTCATATAATTTATGAGGCTGAGGCTCGAGACTCAGGAATTGATCTGTCGGACAGGTATTGCCACAACACTTTTATTTTGGCCTTTAAAAAATGCGATTGTTTTGGATCTTTAGCTAACACAGTTATGGCTTCAAATTGAGCATTTAATGATTTTTGGAGGGGGGGGGGGTTCTGAAACATTTTTTTTTCTAAAAAAATCTTATTTCTAGATTGATTGCCTTCTAAAAATTTATCGTTGAAGTTTCATAATCGAAATTATAACCCTGTAGAAAGTCTCACATAAATTTCAGACTTTTAATTTTTAAAAAAAAAAACCCTCCAAAAAAATCAGCATAACTGAATTTCAAAAATAATATGAATTCAAAAATCGATTTTTTTCTAAAATTTCAAGACATCTTGTCAATTTTTTTTCGAATATTTCTAAAAAAAATGGAATAATCCTTTAAAGAGGCGACAATGCTTTGCTGCAAATCCCGACAATAATTAGATAATATCGTATGGCGAGCAGTTGTTGCTCAAATGCTCATCGCTGGCTCATGATTACGCAACATTCAACAGGTCTCGAGATTATCCGTATGTTGTAAAAATGTGCGCATTCTTCCGCGCATCATCATCCCCATTATTATTGCTCATTATACTTTTCATTTTTTTTTGGTTGTCATTGCATTCAATTCGTTTCTGCTCATCACATTCTCATTTCCTTCCTACTGTGGATTACTGTAGGTGGGCAATTTCATTGAGCAGCCGACTGGATAATGTGCGCGTGTGTGTATGTTTATACAAGAAAACGACGACCGGAGACGAGTTGTCAATCAAAAAACATTTCAATTTTGGTTTCGACTCTTTATTTCTTGGAAAGAGCCCATCACACACAGGCTCTGCTCCGTTCTCTTATTTTATGGTACTTGTTTGGGCACGTCAATCAAATTCGCATTTTATTAGGGTCCCCCCCCCCCAACACCAATATCTATACCAAGCGGCTCAAGAAAGGCTTAATTAGATGGTCCGATGGGAGACGGAACTGGCAAATTGTTCGATCTTAAAATTTTCAAAGGATATTGTTCGCTCTTCCTTTGGATCTTATAGAATCCAGACGAGGGGCAGGAAAAAGAAGAAGAAGAAGGCTTCAGAACATGTTGAACCTGAATAGTGTAGCTTCTAGTAGATAATGAGGATTGCTATTCTGAACTTAGCAGATTCAAGACCCTAAGAATTCTGCCTGCAGTGTACATTCTTCAAACCTTACATCTTCTAAAAGACTCCTTCCATCTTCGAAGCTCACAATTTCAAACCAAGCTCGTCTGTCACTACTTATTAGGCAATTAGTGGCAACATTCGAAATCCGTTATTCTAATCAATGTGACATGCAAAAATTCAAATTCAACCCCCCCCCCTTCTACAGTAATCTAAGCCCCGCCCAATTATGACATCTGGAAGAAAGAAAGAAAACGTCAATGCCATCAATCATTGTGACAATTTTTTGTTCGCATATTCGTGCTATGGATTTCCCGTTGATTCGTTTCCCCGGCCATTGTTCTTTAATTATGAGTATGATATGTGTTGACCACAAATAGGTGGAGTCGGCGATACGATGATGGATTAGGTGCGGAAATAGTGATCGGATTGTTTGTGTATTTGCACCACCAAAACCCGCTGCTTATTGATCAAGCTACCGTAACCCCCACAATGATCGGCCACCATTTGGTACAGTGGGGTGTGTTTCGCTTTCACACACACACAGGCAAATATCTCTGCTCTCGGCCGTTTCGTTTTTGTGCTATTTCGTGCCTCCTTCTGTTCAAATTCATTTCGGGACCCGCCGAGCTCACCGGCTTCATCGTCGCCTTCATCATATCAATTTATTTGAGCAACTCGACAAATTCATCATCGCAATGGTGTGGCGCTTCTTCTTTCTCGTCTGATTTATCAACTAATCCTCATCCATTTGTCTTTCAGAAAACCGCAAATTATATTTATGAGGCTCTCGGCGTTCTTTCGCTCACTCTCGCTGGTAGAGGAGTGGATGTCGCTTTTTGCAATTCGCTCGGCTTCTCATCGAACTCCTATTGATTAGACATGCTGCGGACATCATACAAGCCGCGTGCACCTTTAAAATAAACTGCAATTTTTCCATCGCTTTCGTAATCCCTTAAAAATGATAACGCTTTAGCAATTTCAAAAAATATCACGATCCGTTCCGTAGATCAATTCTTCGCAATCCGGTATAATGTTGATCTACGAGGCTGACAATTCGGTCGGCACGAACGCAATAGACTCACGTGAACATCACCTAAAGCTTGACACACTTTCAATTGTTCAGGTCACTTGATGAGTTGAGGAAGAAACTAAGAGCAAAAAATTGAGGCGAGCCAATTTTCAACAAGTTGCCCCCAACCCCCACATACACACAATCGCGTGAAGTTTCAAGCAAAGTGTTATCAAAAAAATTTTTTTTCATAAAAATTTTTTTTTGATAAATTTATTGACTTCAAATCGTCCCGCCTTTCCACTCAATGACTAAACCGAACTCGACAGTTCAATTGTAATGTCGGGAAGTAAGCTTCGGCATATTCCCATGAGCCATGAAGATACGCATCTTATTATCTGCTCGCAGGCGACCCCCCCCCCCGACTCCCAACCAATGTTTCCCATATTTTCGCCTTCCGAGATGACTATCACCAAGACGTAGTCGCGTTCGCACATCATCAAACTAATCCGTGATCCTCCCACCGACCACCTTTTTGTTTGGCTCGTCTCATTCCTGTCATTGTTGCACACACACACACTGTCCGTGCCGGCAATCCAATATAATTTCCAAACCATTTTACCTTATCGTCTTCGGCTCATCATTTTTTTTTTGTTAAACACCGCTTATCGCAAGTGTTCAGTGCATCATCTCAAAGTCACAACTTCGTCTTTTTTTTGCTCGCGCGCATTGTTGCGCTATCCAACCGAAACCCCACATCTCTGGTGGAGAGGCGCGCAATAACACGTGCGTCTGGGCTCCTTCTGACAAATGCCATATGACACATTGTAAATGAAATTTATGAGAACGACTTTTTTCTCGCCATGGTTGCGGTTTTTACAAGCGCGTTCGTTGTAAATGAAACATTTTTATCATTACGCTTACGGTCACCAACGCGTACGCAATTGTCAGCCATCGTGATTGCACACTTCATATTTGCTGCCTCATTTTTGTTGCTTGTGCATTCCTTTTTTGCCCTCTGCTCTTCTTCCAATTAGTTTCTGATAAGAGTTATCATTGTAACTTTAACGTGAGAGCAATCTCGCGAAAATCCGTCTATCATAATTGTTTCTTCTTCTTCATTTTCGAAAATTTCTTGAGCGGCCCCGCTTGTCAGCAATCCATCACCGACGTCAAGCGGTAAAAACTTTGTGTAATTTCTTCTCGAAAGCCTGTTTTGAATTCGACACCACTTAATATTCATTGTTATTATTAATTCGATTTTGTTTCAATCTCGGCTCACTTTTCCATAACCCATTATCCACTTAATGCCCCGGCAATTAGACCTTCTGTGATTTTGCTTCCTGCTCTCATCCCCCCAACACGCGATCAAATATCAAGTCAGATGTGCATTCGCTCTTTTTCGGAATCGAATGTTTCGAACCCATGCTGCGAACCGGTCGATCGGAATACTGTCAAGTCGAAGGCGGTGGCTGCAAAAATTAGAAAGTGATATATCATGTGCGATTAGGGCAGCCGCCTTTTGTCCTTTTTGCGTGCTGCGCGCTCGCATCTGCCGCTTGATGCACTCTTTTTTGAAAAGAGCCTCCAAGAAATGCAAATCAAGCAGCCGGCCTTTTCATACATATATGGTATACCGCAAGGTTGTTGCAAGATCAATTCAATAGCTCTTAAGAGCCAAACAAACCAGAGCATGTCATTCGAACCCCAAATTTCGTCATATTTACCATTGAATCTTTCTGAAAGTGCTCTTTTCCTAAACCATCTAGCAATTATATAGGTCCCGCCAAGACACGGCACACATATTCCCAAAGTAATATTGTTGTCATATAATCCGCTAATAATCGCATAATTGGTGTTGCGGCAAGTTACAAATCAAATCCAGTTCATTAGGGCATGTTTGACGGAACCACCTGTCGATGGAAAATGGTGGCCCTCCTCGGAATAATATGGCCGGCGGCACACGTTTCCGTAGACCTCATCAATCATTGGTATGACTTGTCCCGCCGGCCCGAATCCATGCAATTTTGCCTCTTGCGCACACACATACACTCAACCAAACCTCATTGAGAGCGTTTTTTTTTGCTGTATGTATGTATGTGCGCCATAGTCATCGTCGTCGTCGACGACGACGACTGGCGACTGGCGACTATCGATTCAGTGGGAACGCATGCGCGCGTTTTTCAAATTTCCGCCGCCGCCTCTCGCTCTTTCTCTAGTCGCACATTCGAAAAAGAGTACGGTAGATTTTTGGGAGTGAGAGCGGAAATACACAGAAACAATAGCATTTCGAATTCATCTTCAATTTTCGTTTTTGATTGGTACATGCAATTATCACATGAAATGGGCCGATTGAATTGAATTGAAGAGACGACATTTAACCAGAAAAAAACGACTGATAAGTGTTCTTTTGCGAAGCACGTAACCGGGAGCAGCATTGATAATGGAAGTTTGAAACGCGATTCGCCCATCTGGTAATTTCGAACCCATCGTTGGCGCCTGAATGGAACAATGAACATATATCAAAACATTTCGCGCGGTGACACCCAAACGCGCCCCTCATGAATTATGGACTTCGAACTTGGCGACTAACTGTTTTTGTTTGAATTTTGATCATCATTTGCTTTGGTCCTCACCACTACGACATTATGAAATTTGTTTTTTTCGGTTTCAGTGAAACCAAACACGTCGGTCTTTCTTTCTTACAATATTTCATGTGCATCACTTTTTTTTCTTGTGAGTTGGTTTCGAGAAAGCGTGACAACGTGCCCTGAACGCACGTTATCTATTCGACTTTGAGTTGTTCGATGATGAAAAAAAGAACCACTCCGAGAAAATTCCATCTTTTGATTGAGATTCATTCGCGCCTCTCTTTCCCAATTCAATTATCCGAATTATTCGTTTTATGCAAATTTGATTCGAATTGACTTTTTTTTTGGTTTTTGTTTAGATGAGCAGTGAACACAAAGTGTGGTCGCATCTATCGGCAGAAACGTGGGGATTTCCGAGCAGCACGACGATGAGCATGACGAACGGCAACGCGATGACGTCGTCGACGACGACAACGACGACGACCGGCAACGATTCGTCGCAAACGTCGGGCGGCATTACCACCTACAATTTGGAAAATGTCAAAATCGAGGAGAAGCACGACACACCGCCGCAGGTATATTAATCTTCAATTTATAGATGTTTATCGGGTGGTTGGCCCCCCGACATTTTCAAGGTGGTGGCCGGAAACACAATGAAAACCAGTCGAGTCGGGTCCCACAACGAATTCTTTTCTTCGCGCCTTTCGCAAATTGGGCCGTTGGCCACAAAAATCGATGAACCACAAAAAAATCGCGGCGAATAGGTCTCATGACGAGTTTTGTGTCGAAAAATCGCATCTTGTCAAAGTGATTGACGACGAATTGATATTAAAACAAAATCAAACGAGTCGATATATCATTTTGAAGGGGGGCCATGTCTCACAAAAATTGATGGCGACTAGTCACTTGGTGGTTGGTGGTGGAACCAAACCATTGTTGTTCGCGTTCCATCGTCTTCTTTTTTCCCCCGATGAGCCTTGAATTAATTCGGAACACGCTCATTCATTCATTCTTCGGTCGTTATCAGCGAGGTGTGTATGTGTGTGTTGAATATATATCGTGCCCCGTGTGTATGTTGGCCTCGATTTATCTTCACTAATCACATTAATGAATTGTTTCGATCCTCGTCGACGCGGCGAGACGTGATAGAGGGGGTGTTTCGGCGGATTATCATCACACCATTTCGATACGGCGATCAGGCTTCCATCAAGCACTTTTATGAAGATCATGATTAGACGCCAACTAGGTGAAGCAACAACAACAATAACAACGAAAAAAATTATACATATAATTTGTGGAATATTTGGCGAAACGCCGACATGGCTTGGATACGGTAACGCTGCTAGTGGCTGCAGCGAGGCGAATGGGCGGAGCGTTGGCAAGCTGCCCCGCACACGCTGAGGGAGAGGAGAGTCGACTACTTGGGCTATATTCGTTGTGGGGTCTCCCCCCCGCCACCCGCTAAGCCACGCCCCCTCTCCATCACCCCCCATCCAACGTACCGACAAGATTGACATACAACCGTTTTGAAGCGTGTGAGAAGTTGTCATTTTCGATATTCATCTGTCTGTCATATTATTTACACGACGACGACGTGCCATCACGATTTTTTTTTGGCAGTGCCCACCCACTACTCTCTCTCTCTCTCCTTCCTTTTTTTGTTGCCAACCGACGCCATCCACAACACTTTGTGTCCGAACTAATCAATCGATCAAAATCACCAAAAAAATTGACGACGAGAGAGAGAGAAAGCGAAGTCGACACCAACGACGTGAAGACGTTGAGCTTTGGTGATCGGGTGGCGAGACGTCATCGTCAATCTTATTCAGTAGCGGGAACACCAGAGACATGTCGCAAAGGGTACTGAACATTTTTCATACATCATCAGCCATCATCATCATCACGTCCCGAAGCACTCAAATTGACATCGTGATGATGATGATGATACTGCCACTACAACCACCACCACCACCACTCCCCATCCTCATTCATTCATCTTTTTTGCAGTTTTCCAATAATTTATTGTTTCTAATTTTTGCGTTGGTCCACCCGAGCAGCCGTGTGCCTCAACGGCAAAAAGATTGTCATATTTAATCTAGTGCAGCCTCACGTATTATTTTACGTCTTTATGGAAAATCGATATTTCGTCCTTAGAAGGGCAATTTTTACCTCACACACACACATACACACGGCCTTGAATTATTTGATCTTTTTTGAATGAGGTTCTAGAATTCAGCTCACTCATTCGGCTATTTTAGATTTTGTCCAAAATTGTTGTTGAAGAATTTTCGAGAAATTGTGCCCAACATATTTCGAAATTGCTATATTTAGAATATTGTATTTTTCGACGCAGAAAACTAGATTAAAGCGCGAATGCACTTCGTTCTTTTTTTTCTGTGGAAATATGGTAGGATGTTTCGCCAAATTCGAACATATCGATTTTTGCAAGAAAATGCGGTCATACACATGGCCGATTTGAAAAAAAAAACCATCCCAATCGCTGCTGCTGCTGCTGCTGCTGGCGGTGTGTGTGTATGTGTCGTTCATCATTTTGAGTCGATCCATACACGAAAATCAGTTTGATTGATTGGGTCGCCTCCTTTTCGAATTTTTTATTCATTTCATCGGAGGGCGGCCTCGAATGATGAATGGGACGGGGGGCAAATGTATGTGGTTGGTGGATTTTCGTTCCAGAATCGCTCGGCGCTCGAAAAAAGCGAATTAATGAAAAATGGCATAGAAATTAAAATATTCAAAATGACGTGGTGCTCGAATACATTCATTAATTTTTTCTATTCATCTTTCAGTATACTGATGGTTATGGACCACCAACCGGCTCGGCGGCGGATCCTGCAAACTATGTGGCGGATCCAGCCGGATTTTATGGGCTTTACGCCGGCATGACCGGACAGCCGGCGTCCGCCTCAATGATGCATCATGAGATGGATGAGCAGCTCAAACGAGACAAAGAAGCGATCTATGGGTAAGAATTTCTGTGTGTGTTTGAAAAATATTGACATTTTTTTTTAATTCAGGCACCCTCTTTACCCCCTACTTGTTGTGCTTTTCGAGAAGTGCGAATTGGCTACGTGTACGCCGCGCGAGCAATCGAGAGATGGCTCGTCGACGGCTGATGTATGCTCGAGTGCATCGTTCAAAGATGATTTAAACGAATTCGTGCGGCATGTAAGATCAGATGGAAAAAAACCGAAGGCAATCCAATTTATTGATTTCTTGATATTTTGTAGACGCGCGAAAACGCCGACAAGACATTCTATGTGCCGAATCCTCAGCTTGATCAATTGATGTTGCAAGGCATTCAAATGCTCCGGTTTCATTTGCTTGAACTCGAAAAGGTAACGCACATACGCACGATTTTTATCGGCACCCACCATTTTTCAACCGATAACCGAAATATCAAGCCATTTTTTTTCATACGGAGTTCGTCCGCTCGCCATTTCTCATTATCAGTGAATTTTGTGTGTCGTCGGCGCTCGAATCGAAAATTTTCAAATAATGTTCAGTGGCGAACGACGAGAAAAAAATGTTTTTTTCGTTTTCCGTCTTCTCGTCAGCCCTTCTTTGGCGGCTGCTTCGTTTTTTACTTTCTTTTTGATTTTGTCCTATACGACGATCACTCACAGCGGGATTCCGTTCCACAAGACGTCAATCGGGTTCTAATTGTTTTTTTTTTTCTTGCAGGTTCACGAACTTTGCGACAACTTCTGCAATCGCTACGTGACGTGTCTGAAAGGAAAAATGCCGTTGGACATTGTTGGCGATGAGCGCGCGTCGTCATCGCAGCCGCCAATGTCGCCGAGCTCAATGGGACACGGCGGTGTGCACAATTCATCGCCGTCGATGTCGCAAACCCCAATGAGGTAGATCAAAAAGCAAATTTCGCCAAGTTGAAATGTCCGCAAACACGCGACGTTTTTTCTTTTTTTTTTGCGTACTTCAACGCCAATATCTCAAAACCGACAATTTACAGCCATTTTCCGCAATATGAGCCGCAAACGGTGCCATTGCCCGAGAATCCAGGTGTGATGAGACACTCAATGGACGTAAGTTTGATGTTTCGTTATGTCTCAGTTGGCTCCGGCCATCAACAACAAGTTGATGATGAGAATGATGATCGCCATCAAGTTGAAAGAGAAAAGAGAAGCAATTATTTTTGGGAGGGCAGGTTAGACGTTGGTCGGTTGGATCGGGATGGGTGGGGGGGGGATTTATGTTGCGCCTGACAAACACTAAAACGCCACAATTTTTTTAAATTGCGCTTTTCGAATGATTGAGATTTTTTGCCGCCGATGCGTCCGCAACTGACAAATTGATTGATTTGATGCGAAGAGGATGAGGGGGACAATGATAGTGATGTGGGTTATAAATTCGCGTGGTGCACTTGTTGTTGCTCACAAAAGCTTTCGAACCATCATAATGTGTGCTCTTTGCGTAGTTGTTTCAAATTGAGGTCCCTTAATTTGTTAATTGATGCGTGCTGGTGGTGTGCGCGCTCGCGCATCAATCTGGTAAAGTGTGCGGCGGGGGTCTCGCGCACTTCCCGAATAATTGGATATAAATATAGCTCGATATCCATTATCTGTTTGAATAGTTGTGTGGTGAAGCGAATGTTTGGTAGCTTGTGTGTGTGGGGGCTATTGTGCGAAACGGTGTCAAAATGTGCGTGTTTGCGGTAAATATGGGCGCGATGGTAGACGTTTTCGCATCTCTTTCTTCTTCCCATTTTTTTCACGCGATGAGACCAATTCTCTTAATTCAATGGAGCGCACTTGAACGGCTAACAATAAAGGGGGAAAATGAGAGAGGTGGAAGGGGGGGGGGGATGGTGATTTGCATAATTCGAATGGGCGACCGTTCATCGGGCCTTCTTTCAACGTTCCCGCCCGCCTGTGGAGACACGTATGGTTTTTTTTCTTATTGCAGGTTGCTTCAATGGGATATGGAATGCCAGCGTCATCATCGTCATCAGCGGCGGCCGCCGCTTCGCAGCAACAATCACAAAACTCGCAACAAGGGGACCACCCTTTAGTGAACAGCGGGACGCTCCACTCGGCGGCTGGAGCCTCCCAGACGCTGCTACCAGTCGCCGTCAGTAGTCCATCGGCATGGTGAGAAGAGATGTTCTGAAAGAAAATAATTTGTCTGCCATCTCGATTTACACATAATTGCCCGCTTTTTTTTTTCATTCTACACCAAACAAATACTGACACAAAATCGACCCTCGATGACTGTAGCGCAATTAAATTTGGGTTACTGTAGATGGTTTGGCAGCAACAGCAGCAGCTGGACAAGGTGCATTAATTTGAAAGCCGTCCTATTTTCAGCTCGTCATCCGGCGGTCTACGGCAGGACTCGACGCCGCTCTCCGGCGAGACTCCATTGGGACATACGAATGGCGGAAATTCGATTGATTCGATCTCCGAAGCAGGTATGATGAAATGGGAATCGTCGCTCCCCTTGTTCGTTTTTTTAGAACATCTCTCTTTTTTGCATTAATTTTCCTAAACGAGAACCTTCCTCTCCTCTCCTCTACCTTACCCGGAACACCGCGAAACAAAACAAAAAAACACCCATCCTAATTCAATTTTTTTCTCCCTCAACAAACAAACCAAAATATGGTCCGCTACCACCCGCCGATACTGTCGGATACCGTAATTTTCCTCTATATTTACTCTCTACTCGTTCTTCCTATTTTATCCGTTTCGTTGCTCATCCGAATGTTTTTGTCGCGTCCGGCCATCCCACGCATGAACGAGTAATAACACTTGAACAAGAAGCCGACTGATGGAGGTTTGAAGCTCTCGTAACCGACATCACACTGCCTGCCGCCTGCAATTGACACTTTAATTATTTTGTGGGTGTGCGCTTATATAGATAGATACATGTAGCAGGTCCGCCACTTCACCATCATCATCTACACCAACACGTTCACCATCATTTCGCTTCATTCCCTTCGTCGTCGTCGGCATCGTCATCGTCTTCGTTGTCGTCGTCGTCGTCTTCGTGCGCGAGCGCCACCGCTTCCAATATCATTGATCAGAGTTTGCATTGTGCCGGCGTTGTGCCGATGATGATGATTGAAAGCACCGCCGCTTCGACATCGTCGATATCTGCAGATCACGTCGTCGGCATGCAGGCGCCTCCGCCGCCGCCGCACCACATGTACCATCATCAGCCGGTTTACATGCCGCACGACTCGTATGAGTTTGGAATCTATCCGCCAGATCCGCCGCAACCGCCGAAACCTGATGATAGTCCGAGTAATAAGAAGAAGGGCACCGGTGGTAGCGGCGGTGGCAAAAATGGCAAAGGCCGTGGACGCGGAATATTTCCTAAGCAGGCGACCAACTGCCTCAGACAATGGCTATTTCAAAATCTAACGGTGAGAGCATTCTTTTGGTTTTTTTGGTGAAGTCTATATGTATTTGGTTGAAAATAATATGTTATCCTCTTCGAGGCCTTATTAGGAGCACAATAACTTGTCGAGTGAGCTTTTTGGCTAATCTTAATGAATTCACCGAATATGAAGCTCCTTCTATGGCCTCCTAGAGACAAGTGGCACTTCAAAAATTTGTTTTTTTTTAATATGAGTTCTGGCTGCATTTAACGCTTATTTTTTGTTGAGATCATTTATCAATCTTGCATGTTGCCCATCTCGTTTTGTTAGGTTTTTTTTTGTCTTCACGCACTTGTCTTCATATATCGTCGTCATTATCATTCTCAACGCATCGATCAATCAAAATCAATCGGTTTTTTTTTCATTCTATCATCCATTTCATATTATCATTGTGGGGGTCTAAACACTGCGATTTACTAATTTTTGGTTTCCGTTGGTCCCGTCCCTGGTGTTTTGGAAAGGAGGAGGAGGTGGGAGAAGAAGGCAAATTGTTATGAATATATATACATACATTTCTTTCTATTTCTTGGGCTCAACTCGAATTCTAGGCGACGAGTTCTCCGTGTGCGGCTCGAACGACGATGGAAGAGAATCGGTGTTGTCGGAAGGCGCGAACGGCAGCCTCAACGGCAAACGCAAAACCCCGAAGGTGTTCTCGAAGGAAGCGATCACCAAATTCAGGGCGTGGTTATTCCAGAATTTGTCGGTAAGCATTCAATATGGGTTAATAATATTTGTGCTAATAGACTTATTACCGTAACATGTTTTTTTTGCCTTCCCCTCTTCTCCGCCCTTGCGTTTGATTTTTTTCTCTCTCTCTCTCTTACACAAACTTGTATGTCTCAAAATCTCCTCATTCTTGTTGTTGTTGATCTTCGACTCTCGCACCTCTCTACTCTCGATGATTGGCAAAAACCGCGGAAAATGGCTGTGTAACATAATTTTACAATTAGTGACGGGGCGGGGACCATCGACGACGAGAGGTCATCGTTGTGGTGGTTGGATGGATGCTTGCAGTTATTTATTAATGTTCTAGGGAGGGGCAAATTAAATACGAGGGCTGAAATGAAGAATTCATCGAGAAGCGAAATTTTGTTGAATTGATTTGAAGGCGCATTGGAGATCAAATATAGGAAATTTTCATGACTAGTTTTCTAGTCATTAGAAATTGTAGATTTTTTTTTAATATAGAAAAAAGTGATTCATATTTCTACAATCTTCGTTATATTCTTACATTATAGCCAGATCTCATTTATTAGAAATTTTATTTATTTTTTCAAACTTTCAAAATATTTGAAGATTTCAATAATCGATTTTCAGCATCCATATCCATCGGAGGAGCAAAAGAAACAGCTGGCAAACGAGACTGGTCTCACCATTCTTCAAGTCAATAACTGGTATGTTTGTTTTTTTTTTCTATCTCTCTTTCTTGCATATGCAGTTTATGGTATTGTAAAACGGTGTCCAATGTCAAACAATGTTGAAAACCGATATCACCGCTTTTCGGCGCGTCGGCCGCTTTCTTCCATTTTGGCTCAAGATAAACAAAGTTTTTTTTGGTAAAGAGAGAAGATGAAAGTGTTGCGCAACACGGTCATCATCTTGATGATTATCCGAGTGCGCGTGCGCATACGATGCCTGATCAATCATTTTTGGTTTGGATCGCCCCGTTGTTTTTTTTTTGTTATTGTTGAGGGGGCGAAGAAAATTGAGGGATGGGTGTGTGCACATGATAATTGACGAGGTGCGAAATGAACACTCGCCGATTATGATACGGTCAATTGAGCGCAGCCAATTCTCAACATGTGTGTGATGATCCGTCATCGCGCATGTGTGCCACCAGAAGCGTTTTCAACGCCGAAATTGTCCGTTATTATCCTGTCGTTCGTCCGGCTGGGCCAACGCCAAATGTGACGACGATTTCATTTTACAGTGAATGAATTGTGTTGGAAAGAAAATTGCTTGCCGAGCGAACGAGTAAATTGTTGGTTTTGTTGCGAATTTTTGCAACCCCCCCCCCCACTCCCTCTAAACTACCTTTGTTTGCATTTTGGTGAATTTGTCTCATCGCCGCCGCGCAGCTGTTCTAGGATATTTGGTGGATTAAAGAGTTGGGGGGGGGGGGTTTGAGAGAACTGATAGTAGGATTTTTGCGGACGATTCGATGTTTTTGTTGTTTTGTTCCCCCAACGGCACGCCAACTTTTCTTCCGTCTCGTTTTCTATTTGTATTTGGGAATTGATGGAACAACTCAACTAGTAGTTTGGTCGGTTTGAAGAATCTGATAAGCGCCTTCCTCCACATCGCGCGTATGCTTAAGTGTAGTATAGATAAATTGTGGTTGAAATCGATGGGAGGGGGGGGGGGAAGTGGCAATGCATAGAAAATGCCCTCCCGGTTGGCTCATTTATTCAATTAATGTTGAATGCGGCGTCGTCTTGTGGTTCGTTTTTTTTCGCGTTGTTGTTTTCTAGTAGTTACTCACTAAATAAGGCGAGTCGAACTTTTTTCTTCTGTGTGAGAGGAAGACATTGAAAGCTTTTGGGCGGCTAGAGTAGTGTTTGTCTCGTTCTATTCGCCTCCCTTGTCGATTACCGTACACCTCGAGGCGGGCATTTTGAACGCATACTCGCCTCGCTCGCATCGAGTCGCACAGCAAGGAGGCAGAAAAGCGAGCGGCTAGATAGCGGGCGATTTTCGGAGTGGTTGAGGGCCCCGGGCCCTGAGCGACAGCCTTGGCAATGATGGATCGACGCAGCTGGCGACGTTGACATGTCGACGAAGACGACGACGACGATGGAGAAGAAGGCAAAGCAGCAGCAGCAATAGCGACGACGGCGGCGGCGGCGGTGGCAGCGAGAGGAGGAGGAGGAGACTCGGCGTGGCCGCCGCCGCGTCGATTTCTTGCCAATTTTTTTTGGCATCGAGGGATCTTGAATAATTGAATGATGGGATTGCTTAGGTCTCGCGCCGGCGAACCTATCAATCCTGATAACCGACCGCCGACGGCGAGATGGATTGATGGTGGATTTTGTTATTTATTAGGTTTTTTTCGTTTTGTTTGGGTGGCGTCGCGGCGAGAAGCCGACAAGATTTATTATTTTTTTGAGAAGCGAGACTTTGATGAATTTGAGGGGCTGCGATTATGAGTGATTACGTTCCGGAATTCAGAAGAAGAGTTGTCAAAAGCGTTCCAATAGGCGGCAATACTGAGATACCGTAATCGTGTAAGACACTAATTTGTTGTTTTAATTGGCATTGATACCTACCGTACACCCAGCGATGATCAGCGGCCATCGACGTCGATACCGTTTGCCCTCCCCCACTCATCCGCGCGATCAGAATTGACACGCAACTATTTTATTGGCTCGTAAAATTTTCTGGGTAGCGTTGTAGTTGTGTGCAGTTAAAGTTTTTTACTGGTGTATTGGTTTGATGGGCGAAAATTTATTCGTATTTTATGGTGTCGACCACCTTGTAACGTAACTTACTTGGTTGGCGACTCACTCTCTCGATATCTCTCTCTCTCTCTCTCTCGCTCGGTCGCTCGCATTGCCTTGTTGCGATATTATCTCGTTAGCCTGATCGAGTAGTCTGATAGGATGGGAAACGGCGCCTCGCGCTCGCACTTAAATCGACATAAATTTTGTGTGAGAATTGACACATTCGATGAAGACGATAATGATCGAATGAAGAAGAAGACGAAGATACAAATTGTTGAAAACTTGCAAAAGATTGAGATTATGGATTTTCAGGTTCATCAATGCTCGTCGCCGCATCGTTCAGCCGATGATCGACCAGAACAATCGTGCCGGTCGCGCGCCGCCGGTGAACGTGTTCAAGAATCGCCGACGCAATCGAAGCGATCAATCGCCAGGACCGAGTCCCGATTTCGACGCCGGCAGCAACTATTCGCCGGATCCGTCGACGATGCCCGGCGCCGGCGGAATGCAATATCCGAGCGGCGCCGATTTGTACAGCATGACGACGATGTTCAATTCTGGATACGCGCCGTTTCCCAATCCGTGAGTCGTCCAAGGTTTTCATTATAATGGCTCGTCGCTGCTGCGAACATTATTGTGAATAACTTGCGAGCGTGTTGATTTTTTTTTTGAATTTTGATTTTGTTGCAGAGCAATGCCATTCACGATGCTGGTCCCGCCAAGAGTTGATGGAATGTCCCAACCGTGGGGTGTTGATTTGTCAGCGCAACAAATTGACTGATATTGATTTTTTTGTTAAATATATTGAATATTAATATATACATATATGTAATTTTTAAAGTTATTTGTATTTTAAGACAATACTGTTTTTTTACAATGTTTATAGCGTCTTTCTCTCATTCCCAAAACAACACATAGCTTTTCTACTATTTTTAAAATTTTCTTGATGTTCGTATTGATTGCTCAGTTATAGCTCCCCCCGTTCACAAAAGAAAGAAAATGACAATTATAGATTGTTCAACGATTCTGTATCTCTTCCATGACTTTTTTTTCTTCTCTCACTGAAAATTTGATTGTTTTTCTCTGTAATATCATCATGACGTTCATTCTCCATTCTGAGTACTAAAACAACAATTCGACAGGGTTCTTTTGATGTGTACTACGTTCGTTTTTTTTTTTGCTTCGGTCTTTATTCGGAGGGAAGATTGGAATCTCCTATTGCACAGTTACCCATTTTTAATTTCATATCGTCACATTTTGTTTTTTCTTTTTAAATTGAGACCGCCCGTCTTTAACTTGATTCCCAGTTTTACACCGCAAAAATTATTGCTCTAGTTTTTGTTTTTCACATTGTTTCGGAAGTTCGTTTCTCTTTTTTTGGATGTTCTTCTTCGTGTTCCATTTTTTTTCCAATGCAATTCAACTCTTGTGCAGTTTTTTTTCGACAAAATTCGTTTTTTTGCTCTCATCACTCTCTCTCTTGATTTTTTGTGGTTTCGTTTTCACTGCTCACGTCTTTTTTTTTTGGAAGGAGACTATAAATGGTTAATTTATTGCAGTTGCTCATTTCTTGTATTAACTCGACCATGAAATAGTAGGAAAGTTGGTATTTTTTGTGGTCTGGACGGGTTGTGAGTTTTTTTGCGCGTCGATGTCTTCTTATTGATTTTCGCCATTTCAGATATGTTTCTAATAATCGGAATTTTTTGCATAGTTTTTACGAATATGTTGGTGTTGTGCTCGGAAAGGAAAAATATTGAAAGAGCGGAGTTCGTTTTTTTTTCAAATTGTCGCCTTTGGGTCTCGTTTGGCGAAAAAGTGTAATACAGTAAAATAGAAAAACTATAATCTGTTTCCAAAAAACTCTTAATTCTTAACTGAGTTATTAAAAAACTTAATTCTTAATTTTATTTATTTTGAATAGCAAGGTCTTGTAGCGAAAAATTCTGGAAGCGCTTAATTTTTTAACTATGTATTTTTTTGATTTGTTATGTTCGAATGCCAAAAAAGTTATTGCAGTGGCCTTGACGCAAATCTGAAAGTGTAGATTTACGGGTTTAAGTATAACAATTGGTTAAAGGCGCTCTAAGACCTTTTTTGGCGTTTAGCCAGTTTTTCGCAGTTACGCGATTATTTTTTGACACTGTTCCAATCTTATGCGAATTGTTTAATGTTTATTTCAAACCCGTACGGAAAAATCACCAATTGGATCCGAAAATGTCCAAAAATTCACTTGGCACTCGACAATTTTTGACTCGAATCCGTAGAATTCCCAATAGGATCGGATTGATCTCCGCCGAATTTTGTTGGGCCCGATGAGTTCTGAGCATCCAAGGTCTTCAGCAGAATTAGTAGTGCATTTCGTTTTCAATTCAATGTTTTCAAAATGGCGAAATTTGTGGTGGCCTACAAAATGTTGAAGGCCACGGCCATTGAAAAAAATAATGCAGATAACATTAATTTCGAGTCGAGAACTGAAATACCCAGAATTTCGCGGAAATTTTGAAAAATAATCGACTGCGGAAAATTGGGTAAATGCCAATAAAAAATTTTGGAAACTTTTACTAACCGAAAAGCTACACTTTTATTTTTGTTTTTTTCCATATTGAAGAAATTTTGCCGCGGTGGCGTATGACAATATGAAAAATTACCGCCGACACATTATTAATGTATATATTTCAGGCGTTTTAAAGCAATAAATTATAATTTCTTTTTTTTTTGTTAAAGTCCAGAATCATTAAAAACCGCAAAAAGTCAATCATCTCGCCGATGCGTTTCGCCGCGCGGCAGCGAGAAATCGAGTCGTCTCCAAAACTCGCCGAACGTCGCCGAAATGGTGAGCATGCGGAAAAAGCATGGCGAAGAGCGCAAATCTCAACTCAAAGGATTCATTGTGTCGAGCAATAAAAGTGTAAAAAGTTTGAAATTGCTGAAAATCAAAAATCAATCGAGTATGAATGAGCAGGAGTTGGTGAAGGTGCGACATTTGAATATTCGACTACAAAGCGTCTTAACGCGAAAAGGTCCGTCAATATGATACCGATAGATTCTCGGAGATCGGTTCATTCGGAGTATGTCAAAACTGAAAGCTCATATCATAGAAAGGCGAATAGAAGAAGCCGCAGGGAAAGGTACATAATTGGGTATTCTCCGGAATAAAACTTGATTGTCAGTAGAGCGCAATTGCAACCCTTCTATTTCATTATTTGACCGATATAATCTATTTTCTATAAAAATTCAAAATTTATGATTGGCGTTAGAAAAATATTAAAAATTGCAATTGCGCTCTATTGATAATCGAGGTCTACTCCGGGAAACCACCCATAATTGAGCTAATATTTTTTTTTCCTTGTCACCGATTCCTTTTATAGGAATGTTATCAAATATCCAAAATCGAAAAGGAGCAGTGAGCCACATGCAGTTCGGTTGGATTTTACGCATTTTTGGGTTAAAATGAGAAAAAAATGGAATTTAGAAAATCGAAGAAAAATATTTTCGCAAGACTGAAGGCAAAAATCAGGAAGGCGGAACACGAGTCGTAGCGATTTTCTCCATTCGAATATATGTAAATATAAAGTTTTCAAGAAATAATTAAAGATTGGCCAGGCAAAATCGTTTTTTTTTTTCAAATAAAAAATTTTGGTCCCAAAATTTTTGGTTGCCGAAGGGCAGGCAGGGTACCTCCAAAATATTGGTGATTTTTTTTCAAAAAATTACTGAATCGACATGAAAATTAGAGAATAGTTTATTGCGAAAAAATTGGTACTATGCAGAATTTCGTATAAAATAAAAACTATAAAGCATCTGGTAAAAAATTTTCAAAAACTCAAAAAAAAAACCTATGCAGTCTAGCCAGAAAAGTAATTTTCAAAGTATTTTTTAATTAAAATTTGAAAAGTTTAATAATTTAATAAAAAACAAATAACAAAATAGAACACTCAGGCAAATCAAATAAAATATTTTGAGAATCAAATATTCAATGATAAAATCTAAAATATTTTGAGAAATTCTAAAGTTTATTGATACTTTTTAAAACCTATTGAGAATCGAAAACTTAAAAATATTTTTTTAATCTTATGAGATTTTCTAAAATTTATTGAGTAAATTCGAAATTATCTCAATATATTCTAAAATCTTCCAATAATTTTTAAAATTCATTGAGAAAAGTCTAAAATATTATAGAGACACGCTAGTCTCTCAATGAATCTCAAAATATTTTATTTGATTTGCCTGAGCAGTTCTGACTTGCGACATTAATTTGGCATGCCCATATAGGGGATTCATTTTTTACAAGGTCGATCACTTGATGGGAAGAATGCCCCGAAATTTTTCAAATTCAATTTTTATCAATTTGAAGTTATTTTATTCATTATTGGTGGGTTTTTACAAGAAAATAGTTAGAAATGTACTTCTAGCGATTAAAATAATATTGCAATTTTAGAGTTTCTTTTTTAATCATTATTCTTTCCATAATATCTCTTCATATGGTTGTCTTGGTTGTTCACAACATCCTCGAATCTCCACGATGTATTCTGGCGAAGAATTTTCTTCAACGTCGTCAAATTGGGATGTAGGTGTGCCAGAACATTTAATTGAAATTTTCTGCATCAAAGCTGTACACAATTTCGAAATTTTTTTTTAATAAAGAACATTTAAAACAACTATTATGAAACGCAATTCTAAACCCCCACATCAATTATTATCGTGTTGAGACCCATTTACGGCAAAGTTTATGAGTAATGGCATTATTCAAATTCAAAGTGTAGCGTGGTTTGACTGTTTGAACTCAATGATATCATTGTATCTGATGTACGCCCAATTGTGGATCATGGTTTAGTAGTGTTCAAAAAATGATTGGAAGTCGGCGAACCGAAATGAGTTAATGGCATTTGAACAGTTTTTTTCGAAACCTACTAGAATTCGTGCTACTACAAACCATGGAAATCTTGAAATTGTCTTGAAGACCCTCTGAGATTCACTTTTCGGATGTCAACGAATGCCTCCTTTTCTGAGAAGATTTTTTTCTTCAAAGAAATTCAAAAATTTGATTTGGGTTTGAAATTTCTAGGTGTTTTTGAAAAAAAAATTGATAATTTATTTTTTTATTAATTGAAATATTAGTATTGGGAAATTTTAAGCGAATGAAAAAAACTTTTGAAATGATTATTGATTTGTGTGGAACGAAATGTGTGTAAAATTGCGTCAGTGTGCAAACAGACAGCAATGATCCAATATTTGCTCAAAATTTAAAAAAATCATATGAATAATTTGAATATTGTCTTGATGTTTCATTTTACGAAAATTTTGAAATACGACGGACGAACATACGACGGACGAATTTTGAATGTGATTGTTTCATTGTTTGAATTGCCGCCTTGGGTCTTGTATAGAAAACAAAAAAAAACTTTTAAGAGCGATTTTCACGTTTCCTAACTATCATTATATGAAAGAGCTTAATTTTTAAAATGAATTTTAAGTACTTTGATTATAAGCTCAAAATTTGCCGAATCGCGGAGTATGAGCCGATTTTGTTTTGTGGGACCAATTAAATGCCAACCCGCGCAATTCAAATTTCTTAAATTCGTCCTTCCATGACAATATGTCTCTTTAAAATCCTTTATTCCGCTTAAGTATGATCACAAATGAATTTTTTTTCAATTTCTAGTCCATCCATTGTTTTTCATTGATCAGTCTGCTGTTGACATTTTTGAAATTGAATCAGCATTATTCAAATTCTGTTGAAATGAATTGTTGAACTCTCTGAAACATCCTGATAACAAAACATCAGTTTCAAATTTTTTTAAAGGGTGAGTCGAATTTGACATCATCCTGACTACAAACCATGAGTTTCTTTGGGCGGAGTTGAAATTTTTGAAAAAACACAATCAGTCGAGACTTTCATATTCGGAGAATTAGTTCTCATAAATTGTCGGAACAACACTCAATCTTAAATTTAAAAAACCAAAATTTCGATATTTTATCATTTATATTGGACCAAATTTGGAATTCCACCGCTGATATTTATTGGTATTTTAGGAAACTTTTTTAAATATTCAAAAATTGAGATCCCCCAATAAAAAAAGAAAAATAATCAATTTATAAACTCTCCCTTAAATGGAGCATTTTTGGCTATACCACTTCACAGATCCATAATTTTTTGAATCTATTCCAGTTGAAAATGTGACTATTCCTCTCATTTTGTGGCCAATTTGAATATTTCCCCCGCCTCACTTTTACTCGTATTGTTATTCACGAGTATACCTCTATAGGTGTTCCATTCACATCCCAATATTTGTTGTGTTTCAGGTTTTCCATTATGGCACCTCCATCCATAGTTGTAGACTCAAGGTGATTCTAGAGGCACTCGTCTTCACAGTCAAATGTCTTTTCAGCATGTCGGCCTCAAACATATTAGACCAACGACAAACCGATTGGAAATCTATGTGGATTTCAGTATTCCTTCAATTTCTCGTCGGCCTCCAAATTTCGGCCTATTTCATGTCGATGTGGCCATACCTAAGCGGAGTATATGCCAATCGCTTCGTTCTCATTCATTCTCATTGGTTTCAGCTTGACCGAACGGCCGATTTAGACTTTCTTGGATGGGTGGTCGCCTCGTGTAGCATTGGGTGTACCATTGTAATTGAATAATATTTGAGAGCATCTGAATTCTTTTTTTTTAATATTGCCAGGCGAACCCGCTATTCGGATACTGGAATGAGAAAACAATGTCGGTTAGGAATCCGGCGATCACTGGCTTCATGATTTCTGCAATCGGTAAACTTGGGGACCCTGAGTAGTTGTGGACCATCGTTATTGTATTTTGGGGCGGTTATTCAAAATTTCGGACAACCTAGTGCATTTTGATTTATTTTTTTTTTGGGTGCTAGTAATAATCACAATAATTTATAATTAAAGGCCAATTTTGGTACGCAATTTTATGTGTATTCCCGAATGTGAAATGGTACATGTTGGGCGCGAGATTCTTGACCGGCTTCGGCGTTGGCAACATTTCGGTACTTCGCGTATACGGAGCAACAGCTTCAACTCCCAAAGATCGCATGAAGGCGATTTCCTATGGAACCGGTGGATTGGCTCTTGGCTTCTCATTTGGTCCCGTCATTTCAGTAAGCTGCCATAATCAAAGCGATGCTCCAACGATTTTCAGGCGGCGTTCACACCAATCGGCGAAGTTGGCCTCGAAATCGGAAGCTTCCGTTTGAACATGTACACCGTGGTTGCCCTTCTGATGTGCGCCATTTGCATCGCATCCTCAATAGTCGTCTATTTGTTCTTCGAGGAGAGCTATGTTGGAATTGTCGGAAAAGAAGAGCAAGGCAAGAAATGCGCATTGGAAAGCGTCGAATTTTGGAATTTTAGAAACCGAGAACATCGAAGTGCCCAAATTTGATGTAATTGGAGCATTGATTTGTATTTACCTGTTTATGATTGCCACAATTCTCGGCATCAATCTTGAAGTGTACGAAGAGCTAAACATCACGCGGCCTAGAAAAACAGTGGCTCGGCCACGGCCACACTTGATGAATTTTATTTCAATAAGTCACATCGTTTAAACAAATAGAAAAAATCTTTTTTTTTTTTGAAAGTGTCGTCCAATTTTTCTCGACCGCGACATTGGCATACATTTGAAAAAATTGTTGCAGAATGTCCGCCCCATTGACAATTGCAATGTACGAATGGAACGACAGCCAGTCAATATTTTACAACGGTATCGCATTATGTTTGAATTGTATTATCACCGTTGGAGTTAATATTGCGTTTGGGCGTTCGAGGCTCGGAAAAACGTAAACGAATCCTCTAAAGCTTAGGAAAATCGATTTGATTGAAGAGATAAGCGACTGCAAATGCTCTCCGGTGTCACATTGTTCTTCATTTGTCAAGCGCTCATTTATCCATGGGCATTCTACACGGGACCATTGAACTTCTTGCCAGCCAACAAGACAACCATCGAGATTGGCGGATGCCTTCCTGAGTATGATTGGTGCAATTACACCACACGGGTGCCGCTGGTTCTCTACATGATCTGCTTCATTGTTCTGTTTGGTATCGCGTTTCCGCTCATCGAGACACCATCAGCGGCACTTTATTCGGAAGTTTTGGGACCACGAAAGCAGGTAAATCGAGTGGAACACCTCATAAGCCGCGTTCTACTTTTTAGGGAATGATGCAAGGATTCTTCTCATTTGGCGGAAGCATCGCACCAGTGATTTCATCAATTTCCACGACGTCTAATTAATTAATTATGTTGGCTTAATTATCCCAAATTTGCAGGTACATATTCAAACATCTAGGCTATCGTTATGTCGTGATGGTCCAAGCAGCAATACTAGTTATCGGAGGCTTGCTCATCCTCATATTCTACAAAAGGCTTGTGCCACTCAAGCTGATATCAAAGAATAGCCAAAAGATGAGTAGCAGTTGATTATTAAATATAATGTGTATATTTTATGTAAAATAAATGTATAATTGTTTAATTAGTATGACTAATTGATCAAGCGTTGGCTGAGTATTAAAAGAATTCTCAAATAAATTGTTTTCAAAATTCCATTTTTTAAAAATGTTATTCAAAAATACTGCCATTTTTTTGTCAGTATCTATATGTATTATCATTTCGGAGGAAAAAAAATGAGCTCAAATAATCTGAATTTGCATTATCACTCCGATCATTGAAGTTCGGCCCATCAGAGAACCTCCCACTCCACTTTTCAATTCCGATCATTCTGTCTGCACTTTTTGCATTCCAAAAAAATGTTTCAGCAATTTTTTTTTCAAATTTTTTTGGTCTTTTTTTTCAGATTTTTTACGATTATTTCTGGCAAGAATAAGGTCGTAGACTCAAGGTTTTCTGAGCTTCAATTCGAAGATCGCATTTTGCATTTTTTTCAGCACAATGGGTACACATGTTCTAAATGAACGACAAACCGATTGGAAATCGATGTGGATTTCAATATTCCTTCAATTTCTCGTCGGCGTCCAAATTTCTGTCTATTATATGTCAATGTGGCCATACTTAAGAGGGGTTCAGTAATTCGAATCAATTTGCAAATATTCTCGAAATTTGCAGCTTGACGCGACAGCAGATGTTGACTTTCTCGGATGGGTGGTCGCTTCGTGCAGCATCGGATGCACTATTGTAAGACTTGAAATTGAATTATCCCATTGCTCCAAAAGAAATACACAGTTTTCATTTTTGACTTCAAAATATTGATTTTATTAATTACCAGTCCTATCCGAATTAGGCCCAAATAAGTGTTCTAATCATTTTAGTTGGCATATTGGGTTCCATCAATCAATTTCAGACGCTCAAAATTTCAGGCGAATCCCGTTTATGGTCACTGGAATCAGAAGACAATGTCGGTGACATGGCCAGCCATCACTGGGTTCATCATCGCCGCAATCGGTACTATCCTTCATGTCTTTCAATCAGCACTTTGGTCAGACGATAAATATCGTGACAAAATTAGCATAATCGCCCATTGTGTGTGGTCGTATTGCGAACTTTCAGGTCAATTTTGGTACGCGTTGCTAAGTCTCTTCCCGAATGCGAAATGGTACATGATGGGCGCGCGATTCTTGACGGGCCTCGGCGTTGGCAATCTGTCAATGCTTCGCGTCTACGGCGCAATGGCATCAACGCCGAAGGATCGAATGCGCGCGATCTCCTATGGAACTGGGGGATACGTTCTTGGATTCTCATTCGGACCTGTCATTTCAGTAATAGTAGCGATTTGTGGTCTTTAGAGAAATTGTTATAGGCTGCATTTACTCCCATTGGAGAGGCTGGCCTACAACTAGGCGGCTACCAGCTCAATATGTACACGGTCGTCGCACTTCTCATGTCGCTGGTGTGTATTATTGCATGCTTCATCGTTTATTTTTTCTTCGAAGAAAGCTATGCAGGAATTGTGGAAAAAGAAGAGAAAGGCAAGAGATTTCGAGAAACAAAATTCTATAATTAGGAATGGGTGTTGAAGGAAATGAGATGGTGACAATTCCAAAATTCGATACTATTGGCGCCCTCACTTGCATTTATTTGTTCATGATTGTTGGCATTATCGCAACGAATATTGAAGTGTAAGAATCAAATTTTAGATTAATTCAATTTCGAGAATCAATTCCAGAATGTCGACGCCTCTAACCACTGTGTTGTATGATTGGAATGATAGTCAATCAATTTTCTATAATGGCCTCGCATTGTGCATGAGCTGCGTGGTGTCGGTCGGACTCAATATTGTCCTCGGGAGTTCACGCCTTGGAAAAATGTAAATTCGCGATTAAATCGCATTTCCTTTCGGGCGGCCGCGCGTCCGCGGCCGCGAATTTTTCGGCCATTATTTCGAAATTTTTTTATTTAGTATCCAAATTTCTATGGGTTTTTGGGAATATTTCACCGAATTCTTTTAAAAACAAATTAGATATATGAAAAAAAAAAGATTTAATTAATTAAATTTTTTTTTCGAATCAAAAAAATTTCAAAGAATATCGTTGAATTTGAACATTTTAAATGTACGGACTGCTATTGATTTTGCTACTCGCCAAGATCGTTAAAATTCGTTAAAAATTATGCTTTTTAAATATTAGGTCCTATCACAGACACTTAAAAAATTCTCCATACGAGACCCGCGGCGGGGAATTCGAGAATTCAAAAAATGGTGGTGGGCGAGCGTTTGGAAGAAATCAATGGAAGCCCTAGGCGATTTGAAAATCAATTTCAGAAATAAGCGAATTCAAATGCTGATCGGCTCGGCGTTCTTTTTCCTCTACCAAATATTCATGTACCCATGGGCATTCTACACGGGACCATTGAACTTCTTGCCAGCCAACAAGACAACCATCGAGATTGGCGGATGCCTTCCTGAGTATGATTAGTGCAATTACACCACACGGGTGCCGCTATTCATGTACATTTTCTGCTTCGTGGTGATCTTTGGCATCGCGTTTCCGTTCATTCAAACCCCATCGGCGGCATTGTATTCGGAAATTTTGGGTCCTCGGAAGCAGGTGAATTTGGCGCCAATTTAAAATCGACCCAACGAACAATTTTCAGGGTACAATGCAAGGCTTCTTCTCGTTTGGTGGAAGCATCGCGCCAGTCATCGCTTCCGTTTCAACAACGTGAGGCGCTGTTCGTAGTGCTCCTCAAAAATCGACAATTTCCAGATATTTATTCAAACATTCTGGATATCGCTATGTGATTATCGCCCAAGGAGTCATTCTCATCATCGGCGCCGCTCTCATCCTCATATTCTACAAAAGGCTTGTGCCACTCAAACTGATATCAAAGAATAGCCAACAGAAGAGCGATTTCGATTGATGCATTTTTTGAAAGATGGGAATTTGAGAAAAATTTTGACTCTTTCATGAAAATAAAATGTTGTTTCAAAATCGTGGTTTGTATTTTTGCGATGCCTGGCGGCGAAATAGTATCATTTCACTTTTATAAACAGATCATAATGAGATTACTATGCAAGTGATAAATTGGAAATTGTTTTCAAACAAGAGGAAACCGTGAAATTGTCGGAGGCACCAGAAGAACAGCTGACGGAGTCGTAAGCATACCGTGGTCCAATCAAGCTAATGACCGAAAAGCTTGGAATGCTCGCGAACCGACTAAGAAAATAATGTACATATAAAAAATCCAAAAATATTTTTTTTGGTTTTACTTCCTCAAAAATATTAAATTTTTGGTTTAAGCAAATCTCGAAATTTTTTGTTTTCTAAAAATGCCACATTGATTCGCTCATCTCAATGGAAAATGTCTGAAATTTTAGCTAGAAAATTGAATATGTGTATTTAATTTATGTAAACTTCTTTCTAGACGGGCTTCAGAATACAAATTCGGTTAGGCAATAGTTTGAAGTCCGAAGAATTCCACCGCATCAATCAAACTTGTCCCTTCATCCAAATGTCAATAATTCTAACACAGTTCAAAAATCTCTTTTATAAAATTTTATTATTGTGATTCTCTTATATTATTTTTGATAATTCCAGATTTCCTATTTGTCTATTTTTCAAACCATGCTTTATTGTCAGGCGTTTCTATTTTTTTAAATGAAGATCATACGCAAAAAATCAGCGTGATTAAAGAGGCCCCGAGCCGGCCCTGAGCCCAGATCTGTAAATCTCAATAGGTCGTCCGAGTGGTGGCCGCTATGCGATGCAGAGCTGCACGAAATTACGTTCTCCGGATTCCGTCTTACAGATTCCGTCTTCCGTTTCGTGCAGCTCTTCTATTCGTCGGCAAACAGATATCCGATATGTGCGGTTTTTCACGAATTTTCACGTCCACTCCGATTCCAGGGCCCCCAGTAGGGTCCTTTTTTGAATTGACAACAAACAGGCGATGTTTAAAATAAAATTTTTCTTGTTAAGACTTAAATGAGGGCCCCGGCAAAAAAAATGAAGCGGTTTGCCTTGATGAAATAATCAACTTCAATTGAACGATAGGGATCTTCAATTAATTGATTGAAAAAGCAGAAGCGCTCAGTGTGCTTCAAATCGTTTTTCTTGACACCAATGCGCGTGCTGAACATTTTTAATCAAAATTGAAAATGATATTAATATGAAGCAGCCGTGACCTCGATTATTGATTTCTTGCTTCATCGAAATTTCTTGAGCCAACTTTTCTTTTTTTTTCCGCCCCCGTCCGCGTTCAAATATTCCAGTTTCGCATATTTGCATGATCTCCCACTCGTCTCTCGATCTCTCAATCGGTTTTTTTCTACCGCCCATCTGTGCTAGAATATAAATAGTTGTTCGGCATTTTTCCAACAATTTTTAGTTTTTTTTTACTGATTTCGTTTCAGTCTCAAATATGGCAAACTCGTCGAGCACAAAAGTCGAAGATTCGAGGTTGAAGAGTTGCCTTATTTGATCTCAATTTTATAATTCAGCTTCTCGCCGTCGAAGGTGTTGAATGAACGACAAACCGATTGGAAATCGATGTGGATTTCAATATTCCTTCAATTTCTCGTCGGCGTCCAAATTTCTGTCTATTATATGTCAATGTGGCCATACTTAAGCGGAGTAAGTTGTATTCTTGGGTCTCGATTGGATATTTACATACACCACATTGTTCAATGACGTAATAGTCTCGTCGTCTCGGGACCATTTCTGGCATTTAGCCAATTTGTTGCAATTTCGACCATATCCATTGTTTCAAATGTATTCTTTCAAGCCCAGATTGATAAGAAAGTATTGGTTTCTTAAGAATTTGATGATTTCAAAGCAGGATTTTTAAAAGGTTTCTTGGTAAATTAAAATAGAGACATAATTTTAAAAATAAAAAAAAATTTTTTTGCATTATTTGCTATGCAAATTTTGGGGAAAAAACTCAAGAATCAATGTAGAAAAAAAAGTTTTAAAAAAATTTTCATACATATTGAAATTTTGCCTATTTTTTCTGAATTATCCTATAAAAAAACATTAGAAAACCATATGCAAATTATGAAAAAAAAAACTGGTTTTTCGCCGAAAATCTGCATATCATGATAACTTCATAATAGTAAAGAAATGAATAGAATTTTCTCAAAAGTTCCATCCAGTAATTAAAAATGTTTTTTTTTTTTTCACTTTCTTTCCAAAATGTTTGAGTTATCACAAACTTTGACCATATTTTAATGAATTACAATGGAATTCAAAAATTTTTGAAATCGATTCTTTTGAAATGGCAAATTTTTTTTCAGAATTTCAGAATATTAAAATTTTCATTTTGGAAACGTCGATTCCAATTTTAATTCAATTCCCTTCATTTTTTATCAGCTCGATAAAACCGCCGACGTCGATTTTCTCGGATGGGTGGTGGCTTCTTGCAGCATCGGATGCACTATCGTATCTCATCATTAATCAAACTTCCCTTACATTCATATTCAGGCGAATCCTCTGTATGGATACTGGAATCAAAGGACAATGTCGGTTACATGGCCGTCGATTACGGGATTCGTTATTGCAGCCATAGGTTCGATAGATTGATCTGAATTTGGAAAATGAACCCTTTAATTATGTAGGGCAATTTTGGTACGCATTATTGTCACTGTTTCCAAATGTGAAATGGTACATGATGGGTGCGAGATTCTTGACGGGACTCGGAGTTGGCAACATTTCCGTACTTCGCGTGTACGGAGCAACGGCTTCAACTCCCAAAGATCGCATGAAGGCGATTTCATATGGAACCGGTGGATTTGTTCTCGGAATATCCTTCGGACCTGTCATATCGGTTACAAGCATTTCACAATGCTCTCACTCATTTTTTTTTCTAGGCCGCCTTCACACCAATCGGTGAAATCGGCATTGAATTGGGAAGCTACCACCTCAATATGTATACCGTTGTTGCATTCTTGATGTCGATCGTCTGTATTATTGCATGCGTTGTTGTCTATTTCTTCTTCGAGGAAACATACGTCGGAATTGTTGATAAGGAAGAGCAAGGTAGTGTCGACGTCAAACGAAGGCAGGGCCTTCAAATTCGGGGAAATTTGTGTAGATTTCAATTTATCGTTGACTGAATATTTAATGCGCGTAAACTATAATGCAATACGCAATCTCGCGTACTTCTCGCTGCCTCGAGACGCATTTTCGTATAGCCAATTATTTTTTGAATTTCGTCCAGTCGCTTGACTCCGACAATACACAATTTTAATTCGAGTATCTATTTTTTTATTTATATTATAATTTTTGCAGAAAACGAAAATGTTGAAATTCCAAATTTCGATATTATCGGCGCCCTCACTTGTATTTATCTTTTCATGATTGTCAATATCATTGCAACAAATATCGAAGTGTAAGAAGCAAATTTTAGATTAATTCAATTTCGAGAATCAATTCCAGAATGTCGACGCCTCTAACCACTGTGTTGTATGATTGGAATGATAGTCAATCGATTCTCTACAATGGAATCGCTTTATGCTTGAGTTGCATTGTCTCGGTTATTCTGAATATTGTGCTTGGAAGCACAAAAATCGGGAAAACGTAGAAAATTTGTTCAATATTTTTAGCGATTCATTCGATTTATTTTAAGTGACAAACGTTTGCAAATGCTTGTCGGATCGGCGCTCTTCTTCTCATATCAAGTATTCATGTACCCGTGGGGATTCTATTCGGGACCATTGAATTTCTTGCCGGAGAACAAGACAACCATTGAGATTGGCGGATGCCTTCCTGAGTATGATTGGTGCAATTACACCACGCGGGTGCCATTCGCCATGTACATTTTTTGTTTTGTTGTCATTTTCGGCGTCGCGTTTCCATTTATTGAAGCGCCGTCGGCCGCACTTTATTCAGAAGTTTTGGGACCACGGAAGCAGGTAGGCATGAAGGAGCTCGGAATTTGCAATTCATCAGATTGTTTAGGGTACAATGCAAGGCTTCTTTTCATTTGGAGGAAGCATCGCGCCAGTCATCGCTTCCATTTCGACAACGTAAAAATTGAATTTCCCAAGAAAATTTGAAAATGTGTGCAAACACCGCGACGCAAATATCACAGAGAATTTCAAAAAAGAAAACACCAAATCTCGTTTTAAGTTTTTTCAGTTGGATTTATCGCAAAAACTTTAATTTTTTTGTAACACAATTAGTTTCCTTATTTTTGTTCATTTTCGAATCGTATTTTGCAAAAGTCGGTAAAAAATCGCGTTTTGGGAGAAGGCTTAAGATAATTTCTAGATATTTACTTCCACAATTAAAAAAAAAAATTGTCAACTTTCAGATATTTATTCAAACATCACGGATATCGTTATGTGATTATCGCCCAAGGAGTCATTCTCATCATCGGCGCCGCTCTCATCCTCATATTCTACAAAAGGCTTGTGCCACTCAAGCTGATATCAAAGAATAGCCAAGTGACAACGAGCGACTCCGATTGATGCATTTTTGTAATGTTCATAGTTTTATTTATAAATAAATGTTTTTTTGTTAGAATCAGACTATAAAATAGCATGCTGGAGAAATTCAACTTTTGGGATATTCAAACTTTCAAACTTTAAATTCCAAAAAATCTAGAAATAACACAAAATGAACAATTGAAGCGTGAATGACAATTTCAAATAATTTCGCATTCATAGAATAACATTGAGATGAGTGAAAGGCAACAAAAAGAGCCCGAAAATGGGTATCGTTGAAATTTCCTTTGAAAACCGATGAAAATGCATTTTTCAGCTTTAAATCGAATAGTAACGAAGTCGACAAGATATTTGAAAACAGACATACTGATTGGTTCTCGATGTGGTTGGCAATTGCAATGCAGACGGTTTGCGGCCTTCAATTATCAGTTCATTTCATGTCAATGTGGCCTTATATGAAAGAGGTGTTGATTTAAAATATCATGTATTGCATGAATAGCCATTTCAGATGGATTCCGAATCAACCGTCGATTTCCTTGGATGGGTCATTGCTGCCGGCAGCATTGGATGCACTATTGTAATTCGTTATTTTATTTTATTTTTTTTTTTTGATTTTCTTTTGATATTCCCAACCCAGGCGAACCCATTATTTGGCTATTGGAACGAGAAAACGATGTCAGTTCGTTGGCCAATCATCACTGGATTCAGTTTGGCCACCGCCGGCCAACTGATCTACGCGCTGGTGAAATTCATTCCGACGAATCGACGCTACTATCTAATGGTCGCGCGATTTTTGACGGGTTTCGGCGTCGGCAATGTCGCTGTTCTTCGTGCCTACGCGGCGACGGCTAGTATTCCGCGCGATCGCATGAAGGCGATCTCGCTTGGAGCCGCCGGCTTCGGCTTCGGCTTCTCAGTGGGACCTGTCGTTTCGGTTTGTTTTTTTTTTCTCCTTTAGAAACAAATCATTCATATTTTTAGTCGATGTTCACCCCACTCGATAAAACCGGCTTCGATTTGCTCAGCATTCCGATCAATATGTTCACATGTCCCGCATTCCTAATGGCCGCTGTTTGCCTTTTCATTATTCTAAGCGCCCTTCTATTATTCCGTGAAAGTTATGTCGGAATCATAAGTAAAAACGACAGCGGTAGAATGAATCCAATAGGAATTTTCGAAATGTTTGAATTCACAGATGTTCAAGATGGGGTTGAAGTGCCCGAATATGATCGAACGCCGGCGTTCATTTGCATCTACATCTTCATGATTGCCACCGTCATCGCGACCAATGTCGAAATGTGAGCAATGTGGAGTGATTCCGTTCGAGACCCCATCATTTAGAATGTCAACACCATTGACGTCAATATTGTATGATTGGCCTGATGCGCACTCAATTCTCTACAATGGTCTCGCGATTTTTGCGAGCAGCATGCTGGCAGCGATTATTAGTATTATTTTAGGAACAACCCGCTTGGGAAAACTGTTTGAAGATGCTAAAAATGTATATAAATAGTATTTTAATGGATTTCAGCGACAAACGAAATCAAATGCTTTTCTCGATATCAATGTTTATGCTATATCAACTCGCAATGTACCCATGGCCATTTTATCCGGGACCACTGAAAATGCGAACGAAAGGTTGTTTCTTGTTTTTTTTCCAAAAAACGATTTTTTACAATTTGCCAGACTCTGATGTGGGCTGTCCCGAAGTTTATGAGTGGTGTCGGGACACAACACGAGTCCCGATGCCAGTATTCTTCTTCTGCTTCATCGTCTTCTTCGGTGTTGCTTTCCCGTTCGCCGAGGCTCCCGCTTCAGCATTATTTTCCGAAATACTTGGTCCACGAAAACAGGTGATGATCGATTGTTTGAAACCATTGAGGAGTTGTGCGAATTTAGGGATTTATGCAAGGCATCTTCTCGGTTGGCGGCAGCGCGGCGCCCATCATCGCATCATTGTCGACATCGTCAGATTGTGAACATTAAGAAAAAATTAGTATTGAGATTTATTGCAGCTATATGTTCCAACACACTGGCTATCGTTATGTAATTTTATCACAATTTTTTATATTATTCTTTGGATTCCTATTAATTGGCTCATTTTATAACAAACTCGTACCATTGAAACTCGTTATTAAAAATAAGAAATCAACGGAATCGCAAGAAAGCGTCTGACGTGTAATCGAATTAATTAATTATTTTTTTAAATAGTCATTTAATTACAATTGAAATGCCCAATTGTTTCCTTGTCATTTTATTCATTTCATTTCAAAACAATAATTCGTTCATTGTTCTTGTTTCAATAAATTGTTTTCTTTGAATGTGGAAAATATGAGTCAGTCGTCGAGAAGTTTTGATAAAACGAACGAATATGAGCGAGAAAGGTTGGTTTCGTTTGATTTTGGTTGCACTTCAATATTATCAGATCAAAAATGTGGTAAGAATAAAAAATTTTTTTAAGGGAAAAAAACTTCGAATTGAATTTTCGTTCGATGGAGCGCACATGCTCATTTTGCTCTAATTTTCATGTTTTCTTTTCAGAATTTTTTTATTTCGGCAAAATTTCGAAATTTTTATCATTTTTTTCAGCCTTCTCAATCTCAATGAGCAATCGAGACGGCCAGAAGATGCAATTTTCGAAAACAGAAAAACTGATTGGAAATCGATGTGGATTATTGCAGTTATGCAATTCGTGTGCGCACTTCAAATATCAGTGCACTCAATGTCAATGTGGCCGTATCTTTTAGATGTAATAAATTGATTTCTTCCTTGGAAAAATAATTATATTTTCAATTCAGATCGACAAAGAAGCGACAACAAGCTTTCTTGGATGGGCCGGAGCAATGAATTGCCTTGGAAACACTGTGGTAAAATATGCGAACCACAATTCATAAGGGCAATCAAAATTACAGTCTCTTCCTCTGTTCGGTCTATGGAATCAAAAATCGATGTCTGTTAAATGGCCCGGAATTTGTGGAATGCTTATTGCCGGATTTTGTAGGTTTTTGATTTTACTGAAAAGAAAGGAAAACAATTTTTGAAAATTTTGATGAAAAATGGGGTTAAATATATGAAAAAATTAGTTTTTTTCTCACAACGTTTCATGCTTTATTTTTTCAGCGCAACTTCTGTATTCATCGGCGTATTTGTCCCCAGGATCGAATGGACTCGTAATTGTGCTGGTGTCCAGACTTTTAACAGGATTAGGAGTTGGTTCGTTGTATTTTTATGGCGCAATGCAGATTTTGAAGAAAAAAAATGGTTACGATTAGTTCTTTTTCGCAATCCGCATAACATTTAAAAATATTTTTTTCTCCGTGGTACCATAATTGACTATTTTTTTTCAGGTAACATGGCCGTATTTCGCACCTACGCAGCCACAGCATCATTGCCGAAGGATCGAATGAAAGCAATTTCAATGCAAACAGCTTCAATTATAACAGGCTTCTCTGTTGGCCCAGTTATTTCGGTTTTTTATAACAACAAAAATCGGCAATTTTTCGAAATTTCTTTTTAGGCTGCATTCACGTTTCTTGGATCTCATGGAATTCGCATCGGTGTTCTTCGGTTCAGTATGTACAACACTGCCGGTTTTGCAATGGTGATTCTCTGTATTGCATCATGCATTGCTCTATTAATTTGGTTCAACGAATCGTACGTTGGAATTCTGGGAAAATCCGTGCTTGGTGAATCGATTGAATCGTTTTCAAATTATTTAAATTATTCAGAATCGGATAATTTTGTGATTCCACGATACAACGTCTTCGCCTTATTTGTATGCGGTTATTCTTGCACAATTGCAACGGTCCTCGCCTCAGGAATTGCAATGTACTGTTTTATTCGATTTATAAATACATACGTATATGTGTAGTGCACTTCTGGCAATAATTCGTTCATTAAAAAATATATATAATTTTTCAGAATGTCAAGTCCGCTGACACAAGCTTTGTATGGTTGGAGCCACGCTGAATTGATTACCTACAATGGGATTCTGAATGCGATAAGCTGTTTGGTGTCCATTTTGACAAGTGTCGTGCTATCGATGACCCTTTTGCAACACCTGTAAGCAGGCAAAACGATATTTTATAATAATTATTTGTCTCTCTCTCACTTTTTTTCTTCCAGAGACAAACGCGTCCAAATACTTATCGGATCGGTTGTGTTTTTGGTTTCGCAGGTTCTCATGTGGCCATGGTCCTTCTATCCAGGCCCACTTCGTTCGAACACCACCGAGAATGGTTTGGACATGTGCCCGGTTCATTATGAATGGTGCGAGCACACGCATCAATCGCCGCACCTTGTTTATATATTGTACGCCGTCCTGTTTATGGGCGTCGCGTTTGCGCTAGTCGAAAACGCGGCCGGATCGCTGCTGTCTGAAGTGATTGGTCCGAGAAAGCAGGGATTGATTCAAGGAATTTTCGGCTCGGCGAGTAGTTTGGCACCGTTCTTCTCGACGTTGGCTGTAATGTATGTCTACAAAAGTAGTTCTAGTTAAAAGAAAAAAGAGCATGTTTATAGGAATCTGTTCTCGGAATTTGGTTATGGCTACGTGATCCTTCTTCAAGCTACATTCACAATTGTCGAAATTGTTCTAGTGATACTCGGATGGTCGCAATTAGTTCCAGTAAAATTGAAAGTCGTTGAGAAAAGCGACTCAAATTGAAACATTGTTATGATTTACTTGCTAATAAACTAGTCCTATAGCCAAATTTCATAAATCCGAAAACGTGACATCTAGTGAGCTCATTTCTTGGCGTTATTGTGTATTTCAATGGCGAGATCAACAACATCGAGATCAGTGACGTGGTCAACTTCGTCAATTGATTTTGAATACACCGGTGACACGCTTACTTGGAAAAAACCCGCCGAGGAAGAGGATGAGGTTTATAAAGGCCGAAAAACGGATTGGTTCGCCATGTGGATAACGGTATTGATGCAATTCGTGTGTGGCCTTCAAATTTCGGTGCACTCGATGTCATTATGGCCTTATATGATAGCGGTGAGTTGGCGAGAATCGATGAAAATTGACATTTGGAAAATAATTGAAGCTTGATGAGAAGACACCAACGCATTTTCTCGCGTGGATTGCGGCGATTAGCTGCTTAGGCGACGCCATCGCGTTGCCGTTGTTCGGCTTCTGGAATGATAAGACGATGTCGGTGAAGTGGCCCGGAATATTTGGATTCTTCTTGGCGGGATTGGGTAGTTCAAAATTAAAAAAAATGTGCTTCTACCATATTTTCGATGTGAAATGTTCAGCTCAAATTGTCTACACGATGGCTTATATTTCGCCATTGGAAGGCAAATGGGTTCTATTGGGTTCACGATTGATCACCGGATTCGGTTGTGGAAATATGGCGGCGTTTCGCGCCTATGCAGCCACTGGCTCGTTGCCCAACGATCGAATGAAGGCGGTGTCGATGCAAACGGCCGGAATTGTCGCCGGCTTCTCGATGGGACCCATCATTTCGGTATCATTGAGTGTCCGAGAATTTCGGCAATTTTCAACTAATTCGAAATTTTTTTTTCTTTGGAAATTCTCGAAAATTCCGATGCCGTTCGGTGGAGTCTTCAGGAATTTGCCAAAATCTTCCCGACAGTTTTTTTTCTGGGGGAAAACCGCTCTCGAAAATTCGAAAAAATCACGAATCGGATATGAATTGATCCAGAAGAGATTTAAAAAAATATATATTTAAATATATATATTAAAAAATGCCCAGAAAATTGGATTTCGGTAATTTGAAAAATGAAGATTTTTCGAAAAAAATTGTAACTCATAAAAACAATCTGCTTGGAATTTCTTCCGCTTTTTTTTTGTCCGCATATTAAAATGTTATATTTTTTCAGGCTGCATTCACATTTATGAAATCCGATGGAATCCAACTAGGAGCAATGAGATTAAACATGTTCAACTCAGCGGCCATTGTGATGGCCGTGCTGTGTTTCGCGTCATGCTTCATCCTCTTGTTTTTGTTCAAAGAATCCTATGTGGGAATTCTGAGCAACGAGAATGGTATGCATAAAGTATTATTGAATATTTTCAAATGTTTATGTTTTCTAGAAACCGCAAAAATCGAAATTCCTGATTTTGACAAATTGGCGCTCAGTGTTTGCGTCTACATTTGCACAATAGGAACTGGAATATCAGCGGGAATTGCAGTGTAATTTTTTTTAAATTTTCCAAATTCACAAAAAAAGCGCGCGTGCGCAATATTCTAGATTATCAAGCCCACTGACTCAAACCTTATATGGCTGGAATGATTCGGAATTGATATTGTACAATGGTATTTCGAATGCGGCGAGTTCGGCGTTGACGATTTTAACCAGTTTTGTATTTTCGACGAAATGCTTAAAAAGCCTGTGAGATTTCAAAAGAAATGCTCAATGGAAAAAAAAACACAAACACGCATTTTTCAGAGATAAACGATGGCAGATGCTCGGCGGCTCCATTCTGTTCCTCATCTCGCAAATATTCATGTGGCCGTGGCCGTTCTACGCGGGACCATTGAAGACGGCCGAAAATAATTCGACGCAACGATGCCCGCTGAAGTATGAATGGTGTGATTACACAACGCAACCGCCATTTCCGTTCTATGTGTTTTATGCGGTCATCGGCCTCGGAATTGGATTCGCGCTCGTCGAAAACTCGGCCGGCTCGTTGTTTTCGGAAATTGTTGGTCCCAGAAAACAGGTGCAAATTGATTGATTGATAGCAATTCCATCAAACGTTTTGATTTTTTAAGGGAATGGCGCAAGGAATATTTTCGGCGTGCGGAAGTTTGTCGCCATTTTTCTCATCGTTGGCCACAATGCAAGTTTTGAGGGGAAAAGCATTTAGAACCCCTCCTTCCCCTTTGAGTTTGATGGTCCCTTCAACCTGCCTATAAGGCATTAATTATATGACCAAATGTTATTGTTGAGAAATGACAAATGTATCCAGGTGTCGTTGGATCCTGCGTTTTGTACGCAATGCGATGAGCCAGTTACCGTAATCCTCGCAGCGATTTACGGCGTATTTTTTTTTAATTTCTTTCAGTTTTTTTTTTGCTGTATTTTCTTATTTTCTTTGGAAATCTTTTATTTAAAACCTGTAGAAACCGAGTTTAATTATTTAATTTTCAGAATATGCACTTTTCTACTTGTACAATTGAGTTGGGAATTATTTTGAAGATTTTGTCGCTCTAAAAATTATTTTGAAAATGAAGAATACAAAAGCAAGATAATAGAAACGCGTACAAAAAGCAAATCACGGATAAATAATTTTATTAACGACAAAAATGATTTCTTTTTAATCTCTGCTGTTTTTACCAAAAAATATCGTTTAAAAGTGCTTATTCTGCTAAATAAATTACTAAACTCGGTTTCTGCAAAATTTAAATAACAAAATTTCGAAGGAAAATACGAAAATTGAGCGAGAAATAAAAAAATGAATATGCGAAATTTAAAAAAAGTCCCCCGTAAATCGCTGCGAGGATTACGGTAACTGTCTCTTAGCATTGCGTACAAAACGCAGGATCCTACGACACCTGGATACATTTGTCATTTTTCAACAATAAAAGAATTTTTGAAAATAAAGAAGAAAAAATGACCTTTTCAAAGCTAATTTTAAATTAAAATCTGCTACAAAACACCAATAAAATTAATAAATTAAAATTATTCTGGCTTATTTTTAATGAGAATTCGATAAGCTTTCAAATTATATGCAAAATTTGTTATTAAAATAACGTTTTTTTGGAATAAAATTGAAAATTTGCGTTGCCATGTAATTTCTTTTTAACTAAAAAAAATTGTTTAAGGTATCTATTCCGCGAGATTGGTTTCGGCTACGTTGTCATCATTCAAGCGGTCATGGTCCTGTTTGGAATATTCTTTGTTTTGTTTGTCTACCAAAGACTGGTGCCATTGGAAATTGAAGTCGAGGAAAAGATTCCGTCCCTTTAGTTGTTTTGATTTGTTTATATGAAGCATTTATATATAATAGAGAGAGAGGTAATCAATAAACAAATTTTATTGGCAAACACTTGTCAAGGACACTTGTTTTATCTCTAAATTCGAACATTCCATTTATCGGCAATGAAAAAAAAAAGTTTGGCCCGAAAATTTTTTGCTCTTCTCGATGGAGAATTGTCTAGTTTCTTATCATCTTTTGGTTCGGCACACACGCGTTTTCCACACTTTCAGTTGTACATTTTGCGATTCACATTGTCAATTTTCAGCCATGCTCAAACTTCTACCATTCTTGCTCATTGGCCAATGTATGGCATATAATTTTTATTGGCAAGTGGCCAAAAATGTTGGAGGGAAAAAAATGGGGTTTTTTTTCAGGTATGATAAAACCCAAACCCTTTCCAATCGTCAAGTGATGGTTCATTTGTTTGAATGGAAATGGAGGGATGTTGCGAACGAGTGCGAGAATTTCCTGCAGCACTATGGTTATGGAGCTGTGCAAGTCTCGCCGCCCAATGAGCACATCGTTCTCTATCAGAATAATGATGTGCCCTGGTGGGTTCGATATCAGCCGGTCAGCTACAAATTGCAATCGAGAAGTGGAAATGAGGCGGAATTCAAGGAAATGGTTGAACGATGCAATAAAGTTGGCGTCAGGTATTCCTTTTTTAGGCGGCCTCTGATGTAGCTCCAATTTTTGTTGACGCGTTTTTTTTTGGAAAGGAAAAAAGAAAATAATGAAAAAATTGAAAAAAAAGAAAATGAAGTTTTTTTTTCTAACGTTTTTTTTATTTTCCATTCTATTTTTTTCCTCTTTTAATTTTTTTTTCGATTTTTACCTTTTTTGGAAGCGTTCATTTTTTTAATTCTTAATATCATTGAAATTAAGAATTAACGGAATGATCACTAAAATGCAAAATAACCTGTTAGTCCGTACGGGACCATTCCGAAAGGCGCACTCGTAAATCTTCATCAGTTGCCGGACACCTAGTTTTAAAAATCGATTCCGGAAAAGTTAAATTTTGAAAAATGTAAAAATCGAAGAAAAAAATTAAAATCTAGAAAAAATAAAAGAATAGAATGGAAAATAAATTGTTAACAATAGGAAAAAATTCTATTCTACTTTTTTTTTTCCAATTTTTTCATTATTTCTTTTTGTTTTCCACATCGGAATAATTTTTTTTTGTTTTTGAAAAAAAAAACGCGTCTATAAGAATTGGTGTTGCCGGACTCAACACTAAAACGGCGTGCACCTTTAATTACTGTATTCAACAAAAAATATTTTTCAAAATTTTGAAACTTAAATATTCAAATTGCCTTAAAACAATAGATTTTTTTTGAATATAACGAATCGCGAAATCAAGAAAAATAAATGAAAAAATCGATTAAAGACGCATGACGCGAGAAATGAGTTGGGTCTCGCGGCGACCAATAACCGCTCAATTTTTTTTCCAAAATTCAACGAGCCTCATTTTTAGAATTATCGTTGATGTTGTTATGAATCACATGGTCGGAATTGGTGAAAAGAATGGCGTCAATGGTGTGAAAGGATCGGCGGGATCGGACTTCGACGGACGACACGGTGTGCAAACGTTTCCGGGTGTGCCCTACACACTCGACGATTTCAACAATCCGAAATGCGACAAGGACATTGGCGGATCGGATTATCAGAAGAGCGCCGAGCACGTGAAAAACTGCCGTCTCGTCGGTCTGCTCGATTTGAATCAAGGCTCATCGAGTGTTCGCGCCAAAATCGTCGCCTATCTCAACAAGCTCGTCGACTACGGCGTCGCCGGATTCCGACACGACGCCTCGAAACACATGTGGCCCGATGATATTCTCGCGATATTGAACTCGGTGAAGGACCTTCGCGTCGACGTAACGAGAATCGGAGATCAGTGAGTCGCCCGGATTGATGGTTGAATTCTTGCAGATTTTCGGCGCCAATCAGCGGCCGTTTGCCGTGCACGAGGTGATCGATCGCGGCGGTGAAGCGGTGAAAGTCGTCGACTATCTCGGCCTCGGTCGATACACCAACTTCAATTTCGGCTCGGCGGTGAGCTCGGCGGCGCGCGGGCAAAACGATTGGCGGAATTTGGCGAAACTCGGGCCCGGCTACGCATACGGCAACAATGAGGATCACGACGTCGTCAATTTCATCGACAATCACGACAATCAACGCGATTCGAATCCCTACGTGGTCACCTACAAAGACGGCCGAAAATACGAGTTGGCTGTCGCGTTCATGCTCGCGTGGCCCTATGGATATCCGAGGGTGATGAGCAGCTACAGTTTTTCGAAATCGGATCAGGGACCACCGAATACGGGAGCGGCGAATGATTACGCGGTGGGTTTGTGCGCAATTTGCGTGCATTTTCACATATTTCATTGATTCAATTGAATGAATTCAGACGGCGAGCCCTCGCTTCAATTCCGACGAGACGTGCGACACGAGCTCGGGATTCGTATGCGAGCATCGTTGGCCATCGATTCGACAAATGTCGAAATTCCGAAGTGCCGTTGAAGCGACGGCGGCCGCCGAAATCGTCACCGACAATCAGCGCATCGCGTTCGCTCGCGACGGCGTCGGCTTTTTCGCGTTGAACCAACAATCGGCATCGTGGGGAAAGTCGACCAGCGTATTAAAGCGTCGATAGAACTCGTCGAATTTTGTAGAATATTCAAAACCACACTGCCGGCCGGCGATTATTGCGATTATTTCAGTGGCGGAATTAAGAGCGGCTCGTGCGTCGGAGCGAAGGTTTCGGTGAATAATGACGGTATATTTGTTATGTTTGTATGACATTCATTATATTCCAATTATGGGCACCAGGAATTTTTGGCTCAATGATTGATTATTAGTTTATGAATTAAAGTAATACATATTTTGTTACAGTAATACAATTAGGGTATTGAAAAAAAATTTTTTGAATTGAGTTTTGCATCTTCTAACTATTCTTTTATGATAGAATTGGGTTACAGTAGCAACGAAAATATTTATTTACCCAATTTGAAAATGTCGAGCTAAAATAAAATGATTGGGTTACGGTAGCTACAGTAATCCTGCAATAGTATCAAGAATATGTGTTTTTTCAACCCAATTAAGAAATATCGAGCTAAAATAAAATTAATGGATTACGGTAGTTACAGTAATCCAGTAACACTAGCGAGCATATTTTTGAACCCCAATTAGAAATATAGAAAAATTTATTGGATTACGGTAGCTACAGTAATCCAGCAATAGCAATAAAACCAATTTAGAAATTTTCAGCCAAAATAGAATTACTAGTTTACGGTACAGTAATCCAATAACACTAACGAGAATATTTTTTCAACCTAATTAAGAAATATCGAGCTACAATAAAATTATTGAGTTACGATAGCTACAGTAATCCAGCAATAGTATCAAGAATATGTTTTTTTTTTCAACCCAATTTAGAAATATCGAGCTAAAATAAAATTAATGGATTACGGTAGTTACAGTAATCCAGTAACATTAACGAGAATATTTTTTCAATCCAATTAAGAAATTTCGAGCTGAAATACAATGATTGGGTTACGGTAGCTACAGTAATCCAGCAACACTAGCGAACATATTTTTGAACCAAAACTAGAAATATCGAGCTAACATAAAATTACTGGGTTACGGTAGCTACAGTAATCCGTCAAAGTAGCTACAGTAAAATAACACTAACGAGAATATTTTTTCAACTCAATTAAGAAATATCGAGCTAAAATAAAATTATTGGATTACGGTAGCTACCGTAATCCAGCCACACTAAAGAACATTTTTTCAGGCAATTTAAAAACTTCGAGCAAACATGAAATTTGCTATCGTTTTAGGAACTGCATATTTGAACGTTCCCTCGAACTCAGTGATTGCCATCTCAGTGTCATCAAGAATTGGCGGATCGCCACCACCGCCGGCGGTTCCTTCCGGCTACAGCACCACAGTGATATTCATCAAAAAGGATACGCAACAGGGACAAGATCTGTTCATTCGCGGTGGAGCGAGCAACAGCCATAACGGAAGTGAGTTGTGAGCATCTCGAGAAGAACGCGTCGCGTGCTCTATTGCAGAATGCGCCATCGGTCCGTTTCAGCAGGACAGCTATCCGTGCGCGATACCGATTCGCCACAACACCACCGTGCCGTTTGTGTTCGCCGAATATCTGTCGTGGAGCCAACAGGACAACTATTTGGATTTCGAGGGCGCCGAAGAGAAGCAAGGAACGCACGACGGCCGCGCCGCGTTCGGCACCCCATTGGCGTACTCGACGAATGACAAGAACGCTGTCGAATACCAGCCATTGAACAAATATGGTGCCGGCTATTGGATGGCTCAACTCAAAATGGATTGCGGTCGATCGGAGAATGGATGGTTCGAAGTCAAAGTAGGGCCCATCAAATGATTGATATTCAATTCCTACATCCATTTAGGGCTATTTGACACCAACAACCGGCTGGGAGAGCGATGTGAAGCAGTCGAAATGCTCCGGATCCATTGGCGGATCGCCACCATTCTCGTCAATCAATCATGTCGCCAAATGCGGGGCCATCAATGTGTTCAATTGGAATTCGGGGGATTGTATAATTGATAAATTTTGAGATTGTATTACTCATACAATTTGAAGTCATCATGAGATTAGTTGCACTATTCGGTGGTCTTCCAAATATAGCCGCAACATTTTTCGCAATTTTACGCAACACGTGAGGTGAATAATGTTGTGATGACGTTGGGATTTGCTCTTGGCAGAAATTTGATGGAAATTTTGTGTCTAATTTATGCTCGCTTATTTCTCCTTTTTTCCTGAATTGGACTTTGTAGTGATCAAAGTGCATAATAGAGATTACTGTAGATGTTTAAAGGAGCATGTTGGATTAATTTTCGAAATTGAAGATTCCCGGCTTTTCGCCATATTTTAGGAGAAGCAAAATGGAGGTTAAAAATTGAAATAGGCAAAAATCGATTTTTAAGAAAATTATAAAGAGGAACATTTTTTCCATATTTGAAAAAAAAATTTTTCCGCACTGCCCTATTATGCTCTTAATAGGGTTTTTTGAGTGTTTTCCATAGTACCATAAAAATTTGATCTACTCAATTGAGCATCGAAACAAATTACAGTATACATTAAAGGTGCATGCAAGAATTTGTTATTGGAATTTAGCCTACAATTTTTTTGTGTCATAATCCTATATTTCTTGAGAAATTCTAGGCAAAGTGCCAATTTTTGTCATCATTCAAATGAATATAAAATTCCGAAATAAAGAGACGGGTATTTTAAGGTTGAGTGCACACAATATCATTACCACCGGAATCGCATAGGCGATTTTGAGAAATTCTGAAAATCGAATGGATTCAACAGAAAATGGTGAGCGATTTTTTAAAATTTTAATTCTAAAAAATCTGGGCCACAATTTCAGATAGTATTTGGGATTTCAGCGATCTCAAATTCTTCCTGATTATCTCCACCATCGATTTTTTCGCGTTGCTCTTCAATATTTTTCTATTCCTTATTGTATTTTTGAAGAAGGACAAAAGTGAATCCAATTTCTTTTTTTGGGTGGAAGACCTCTGAAATTTTCAGAGCCTTTCCCAACGGTTTATATTTACAATATGATTATTTCGAATGTTTTGAACATTCTGATGACACACGTCGGATTTTTCTTGCCGATTCTGTGGACCGACGACTTCTACAATCGTAGAAGCTTCGCGACGAGACCCACAATGATTCTGATTTTAGAGTTTCGATTATCCGAGAATCGTTATTTCACTATTGTGTGCTCATTGTCCTATCGCCATCAGCTAGCGCTCACATTTCTCATGATGGTCCATCGAATCGTTATCGTCACGACACCAACGACCACCAAATTCACACCATTCCATTTATGGATTTATTCCGGACTTCTTGCAGTCACGCGTTCCGAGCACCGCCACAATCAGCAACATTTTTCAGATGATCGGCTTGATTCTCGAGCTCATCCCACTGTTTTCCGATCGCTTTCTGATTATGAATCAGCGAAATTTGCAGTTCAGAAGCGCAGCCTCTCCGGATCTTCATCCGGTGTGAAACTGAGTGAAAAAGCTTTCAAAAAACATTTTTTTTAGGTGAATTTCTATCATTTTCTATTCACTAGATTTCTTCCCTATGCATGTCTGCTCTCAAATTTCGTACTTTTGAAGTGCTTTTTGAAAAAAGTGCACATTTGCGATATTTTCTGCAGTACGTTTCGAAGACCAAAATTTTTTCAGCCGCTAGGAGAATCGCTTTTTTTTAAGTTTGCTACACACCGCCCAACGCTCTGTTTAGCTCCATCGAGAAGAACGCGAGAATGGACCATCAGCGAATGATCATTGTTCAACTATTGTCAACCACAATGTTTTTGTCAATTTACGATATTACTGGAAAAGTCGTTTCAGCGCTTCAGGTACATGTGAAAATGTTTCGAGCATACTCTCTAGTGGTTCAAAGGGACCCAATTTGGTTTGACCGATCAATCATTTAACAAGCCAAGCCAAGCGTTGAGGAATCGGCCGCGGCCGCGTTGCGTACGCGTCGCGGTCGGCGCTGGTTATTAGAAAAATGCGGAAAAATTGAAATAAATAGTAGAAAATCAATTTTTTTTCCCCTGTTTAGAAATTGATCATGGGGGATTTTTTAATGATTTTTTGTATTTTTTTTTATCAAAGCCGGGCTGAAATGAGAAGTCTGAAATTTAGTAAGAATAGATTTTCTTAAAAGTTCGCTCTACTCAGAGCCAAGGAATTTCAAAATTAGGGTTTTCATTTTCATTTTAATAAACCAAATTGAACGTTTAAAGGCGCATGCAACAATTTTTTGACCTAAAAAATAGCATCGAATTCTTGAAAAAAAAACAGAAAATATGAAAAATTGGAAATAGTCAAACAAAATTTGCGAGTGCTCACACAATTTTTTCAGATCGAATCGGGTTATTTATATTGTTACATTTTCTATGCGAGAATCATTTTTGCGAATTTCATTAATTTGTGGGTGTACGGTTTGGCGACGAAATGCACCAGGGATCTCATTGGCGAAACGATTCGAAATTTTTTTCGCATTCCGAGACGCCAAAATTCGAATCCGAATAATTCGTAACTGATCTCGTCCCAATAAAATATTTGAATTACATGTACTTATATTGTTCAACAAAAATTTCAGATTTCTATAATTATCAATGTCTGCGTCTCTGTCCACCGCACGCTCTCTCAATCGCACACACTATCCCACTTACTAGAAATTGTACGAATTTTCTAGAAACCAGAGATGGGCGGAATGATGATTTTGAGAATGTGGAATGCGAAATTCCGCCCAACTCTGTCCGCTGTAGAACAAACACCGAATTTGACGCAAACTTTCAGAACCTTAAAAAGCGGAATGGGACTCAATAGTGATGCATTGAAAAAATTAAATTTAAAAAATTTTTTACGCCATCTGCAGTTTTTTATTTGTCAAACATTGCGAAAAACCCCAACAGAAAAAAATATATACCCAACAGAAAAAAATATTTTGTCGAAAAAAAACGAAGTCAAAACAAGGAAAAAACGGGCAAATAATAAAAATTAGCCGTTAAAAATTACAGTAGTCGTGACTCGCGCCACTTTTAACGTGCGCCTTTAAAATAATATATTACGTCCATTTTTTCTCAATTTTCGACAAGCATTGATTTTTTTTCAATCTTTTCAATGGTCCATAAATCATTCCAGTTTCAACCATCATTATGTGTTGAATGGTCCTAAAGCAACCGGAAAGCCCTTCTGAGAAGAAGATGGCCAAAATGACCCAAATTTCTATGTATTTTTGAATTCGATTAGTTTTTTGGGCATTTCTGGACTCGCATTTTTTTTAAGAAAGCGAGAAATCCAGAATCGACAGACCTACAATTTGTGAGATCAGCCATTGCGATTTAATTTCGACGCCGATAATTATCGGATAATTATATTCATTTAAATAAATCTCAAATGGCAATCAATTAAATAAATTATTTTTGCATGTTTTTGAACCATCCATAAATTCCTGAAAAATTGGCGTGATATCGTTGATTCTCCCCAAATCAGTTATTATTTTTTTTTAGTCATTTCTAAATGACAATATTCTTAATTCTAATCATATTAATAAGTGTTGTGCAAGGCGAATTGAATCATTTGAATATGACACTCAACTTCAAACATGCGATACCGTATTATAGAAAAGGCACCGATTGCGAGACATTCCGAAAACATATTAAACCGAGGTAAAGCCGATTTGACTGAAAATATTTGACGAAACATATTCAATAATTCAGAACGTCGCTGGAAATTTTGCACATCGTGCATTACGATGAATCAGTGCATATCGATAGTAGGTGTATCTACGATGTTCTCAAAAAAATTGATTTCATCATTTTAAAGGGTGAATTGCCCCAATATGGATAGTCCAATTTTAAGAATTCACTTTAATTATAGAAGAGCCAAGCGTTTATTTCTACAATAACACTTTCAAGCGATATCCGCTCGATTTCAATATTATCCTTAAACCGCAATTCAGGACGACAATTGTGGGTTCGAGAATTGGATTCCTTTTATTTAATTTTTTTTTCTCGCCAGACAAAATTTGTGGTAATGATTAATAATAGTTTTTGCATCGGCGATGATATAATCAACCGATATCGAGAAGCATATTTAATTAGCAGTTTTGAATTTCAGCCAATTTGTCAAGGTATCAGCTTCAATGGAATTGAACTCAATTGAGATTTTTGAGATTAGTTTGCGATCGTCGCACCATCGCCACCAAGATGTTCGAAGATTGTAAGCGGTTTCGCGGCAATATTGTTCTAGAAGGCGATTTCAGAAAATTGAATCGAAATCTGATTAAAGCGTAATATTTACTTTTTTTAAATGCAGAGATAAATTAATTTTAAAAATTGAAAAAAAAATTGAAAAATTTGGTCTTTAAAAATTAAAAAAAAATTTTTTAATTTGGTCGGTTTTTCAATTTTCTCTCCATTGAAACTTTAAATGTAGATTTACGAGCGTGCTTTTTTTGTTGTTTCATAAAATCACGAGTTATTTTGGTATTTTTTTAATTTGGATAATATTAGGAAAAAAAAAGAAAATCTGAAGATTCGTGGCGAGACCATTGCAGAGTATAATAATAAAAATATTTCAAAGGAGTGAAAATGAAAATGTTGCTCAGAAATGTTTTTTTTTTAATTTTTTCATTAGAACATTTTTCAAAATCGTCGATTTTCCTCTTTTCTCATAATCCAAGGGTCCACTAAATTATAAAACTGACATATTAACTATTTTTTATTTTCAATCATATATCCCAAAAAAATTGGTCATTTTTCAAGATATGGGAAAATCGAAAAAATTGTTGAAGGCTCGCTGCATATTAGAAACACAATCAATTTGATCGATTTGAGCTTTTTGAAAAGTTTAAATAAAATCTACTGCAAATTTTATCGTTTGAACGATATTTTGCACCATAATAGTAAGTTTCAAAAAAATAATAATAATCGAAAATGAATGCTTGATTGATTTCAGATGGCACCGCAATCGTTATCAGCGGCTATAACAGAGATTTCCGAAAACTCGGGCTTGCAAATCAAATCAGTTATCATTGGTGCAATCGAGTTATCGATTTAGATTACACGAATCATTCTGAAATTGTTGCCAACAATCCAGTGTTTTATTACGATAAAAGTCTCAGCAGAATATTGGAGAAGACATTGGAACGCAAGTCGCCATATTTTCACAATAGTAGGTGTTTTTTTTTTGTTGCAAAATTGAAAAACCTGCCATCCAAAAATCTGAAAGTAATTCACGCTAGCATGGCCTAGAAAAATTGGCCTTGGGTTCGGCCGCGGCCACACTTGATGCATTTTATTTCATCACGCATAGTTTGAAAAAAGCAGCCTGTGTGCCATAATTGTAGTATTTTTCCGGATTTGCGTAATTTTATTCTTGAAAGTGTCCACTCAATTTTTCTAGGCCGCTTTCAGCATTTTGTGCATTTCAATAGACTTTGGAAATTCATAGAAATGAAAAGCGCAAATGAAAAAATATATTCAACTCTGTTAACTCAAAACCAATCGGATCTGAAAAAAAAATAAAATTCGAAATTATCTAAACAAATCTGACCTGAACAATTTTCAATCGGATCCGAACACACAAATCTTATCCAATCGGATCGGGTTGATTCCGGAGCCGACTTTTGTCGGATCCGATTGGTTTTGAGCTACCAGAGTTTGCATCACACATTTTTGCTTCCTACCATTTATCTTGCTGAGTTTAATTTTTTCGGACCACAAGTGGTTTTTTTCCAATGCGCTGAAAATTGACAACATTTTCAGTGTAGAAAACAAGAATCCATTTTGTCCGATTTTTTATTTTCTCTCTTTTTACAGAATGCTCAACACCATCAGGTAATTATTCAAATTCGGCAAATGATGACGAGTTTTTGATGCAAGACCGAATTGTGATATCGATTGCGTCGTGCCATACGGTCTATGGAAACTTGACAATTGATGAGAACTCAACGCTCGCCCGATTCCAGCCATTGGAATATCATGTTAGGGGGGCGGCTGGCGCGAATCGAAATTCTGAAATTATTTGCAGTTGCGCGTTTTGCACGGCACAATTCATGTGAGCAACGTGCACAACCCGAAATTGAACTCGTTTCGTTATTTGCGATACGTCACAAGTTGCAAGATGGTCCATTCATAAAATTTCAGCTCAATTTTTCTAGGCTTCCAGATTACTAATAGCACAAATTGGGAGGTGATGTTTCCCGGATTAATCGACTGCAAATCGATAGTTGTAAATGAGCCAGTTGGAGGGGACCCTCTAAAATTTAATGTAAGCTTTTTGTAGATTTAAAGGAATTATTTTTTTTTCTTTCAGACAAGTAACTATGAGTGCAATGCAACGATTATCCAGCAAAGTGTGCTCTCAAAAAGAAGTTTATTATATCCAAATTTTCAGCTGATCACACAAAATAAAATTTTCAGAGTCGCTTTTCAAAAATAGGAAACGTCCGCGTAAGTGAATTACCGATTAATTAATTCAAATAATTATTCAATTATTCTCAGTGATACATTATAACAAAACATTGGAAAAATTAGATATATTATCAATGATATTCGCGCTAATATGTTGTTTTATATGCATTTATAAATTTCATAAAACGTGATGATGCCAATTGATATATAAAGCTCGAGCTTCTCAGATTGTTTCGATTTTCAATGGCTCGACGTCGTCGATCGGCTTGCCCTCCAATTCGATATCGCCATTCTTCTCTGAAATACCATTCGACGCTTATCATTGGATAGGAAATGCGAATTACTTGAGAAGAACCATTCCCGTTTTGGCGGCATGTGCTCGACGAGTGGTTTGCCTTTGGTCTCATCGAGAAGGCATTCGAACGAGCAGGTGTCGACGAGCGATAGAACGATCATCACGCAGAATGGCAGCGGTATCCAATAATCGGCCTAATTGAAGAAGACGATGAAGAGGAATCGAGAAGACGATTACCAGATAAAAGACGAATGGCGAGATGACGACGCCGACGCGATTCCAAAGCTGTAGGAATGAGTATCCAATAGTTCGGATTGGGGTTGGGAACAGCTCGTTGCCGACAATTCCATCGGCTATGTAAATCTGGAGCAGAAAATCATTGATTGAACAATTCCCCTTGTTTTCAGGCTACCTGTGACGTCATCGAACTTGCCAACAGAATTGCAATGCGAATAAATTCGCGAAGCTCGTGATTCATATCTGCAAAATCGTTGCAAAAGAAATGCACCATCATTTTTGAAGCCATTATGCCAGTAAAAATGATAATCACAAAAAATTATGGCATATTTGGAAGACGAATCACATAAAGATTGCCGCAACTCACGTGCGGCCTAGAAAAATTGCCCTCAAAAATTCGGTTCGGCCACGGCCACACTTAATTAAGTAGAACCAACTAAATGAATATGTAAGTTTTGTGAATTTATGATTTCAAAAACGAGATATTCAAATAAAAGTCACAACTTTGTAGAAATCTAAGAAAATAGTAAGCAATGTGCCGCAGTTGCAGTTTTTCGCACAATTTGTGTGCCGCACTTGCATCTTTACCTTTTTTGTTGATTTTTTTTCTAATCATTTAATTTTATGCGATTTTTTTCTAAATTTGCGAGCCGTGGATTCTTCCAAAAAATATTCAAAGCTAGGCGAATTTTTTTGCGGACGAGTTATTCTGGCCTAGTTTTTTTCGCGGCCGTCAAATCTTTAACGAGAAAATTGAGTTTCCTTGGCAACGACCTATTATAATGATCAACTTACGTAAAGCATAAGAAGCTACGACGAATGTCAACGAAATCATAATGACAACAAGACCCGAGGTATGAATAAACTTGCGGCCGATTTTTGAGAATCTCAAATCGGCATATCCAAATGATAGATTGCATGCATATCTGAAGCAAACGAAAATGTTGAGATGGCAGTAATTCGCCTGGGGGCTCGGTTACCTCATCAATCCAGTGTACACAGAGTTCCAATAGATCGAGCCGCTCAATTTTTCCATATTGAAAAGAACACCGTAGTTGACAATTGAGGTGGCGCAGCTCAAAATTGATTATCAAGCAAGATGTTATTAAAATAAATTTTTTTTGATCTACTAGCTGAAGGCGAGAACAAGAGTGATCAGCATGAGATGAGGTGTGGCGAATAGGTGCAAATATGAATATTGGCCCTTCTTTTTGTTCTGCTGGCACGCCTAAAACGGTTTATGAGTTTTATACATGTCGGATGGACCCGAAATACAATCTAACGCGACGCCATTTACGCATTTTTTGTTCAAAGTTTAGAATCAATTCAATCAAATTTTCACTGAAATTCTGACAGTGCAAATCTAGTTGCAACAGAAATGCAGATTTTCAGAATCTTCGCCTTGAAATGAACCATTTTTCCATAATTTTGAATCAAAATTATAATATAAAACGATTTATGTTAATGTCGACGTCGAGCTTGTGCGAAAAATTGGCTAAATGCAAAGAGATCTCGGTGTGCGCCTTTAAGCTATCCTTATACCTAGGCCCGTAAATCTACACTTTTTTTTTGTGCCAAGACTGCATTTTTGTTTTTTTTTTCTCGGCATTTTCCGCATTCGCGTGACGCCGACAATATATTTTGAGAAAGAATTTAGAAAGTATAGAATTTGAAATTTAAGACATTTTTTTTGTGTTGAGAAGAAGTCTAAGCGGGGGTCGATTTACGGGCTATGGTCTCAGGTAATTTTGCATTTTTAGGGGTCGGTTTGATAATTTTTCGCACGAGAGACGTTGGAAAATTCAAGGGAATGCCAAACTCATCAAAAAAAAAATGTGGCGAGACCATTTCGAAAGGCGCACCCCGTAAATCGACTCCGCGTACAAGTTGAAGTTGCCGGACGCCGATTTTGCTAATCAGTATTTTTTTAGGAAACAAAAAATCTGCAATTCTTTTGAAACATGTATTAATTTTCTCATTTTCAGATGTTGTTGAAAAAATCGCAAAAAATCAATACCGCATTTCGAAAATCTTGAAGGACAAGCACCAAATTTGCTATCATAGATCACGTCGAAATTTGATAAATTTAAGATGACTTTGAAAAGCGTTATAAGGACCATCCTGTGCAGAATTGCGAAGAAGACAATTGTCCGCAGATGTTTGCAATCGCTTGAAACTCACGTTGTATTCAAGATGAAGAATATCCTCGAACTCATCTCCCGTCATGTGCATTTGCTTGGAGATGCGAAATTGGCGATACAAGACCTGAATGAAACGAATCTAAATTCGAATCAATTTCGATATGCGAACATGTTTCGCTTCGAGCAGTTTCCCTTTGGTGATGAACCATCTCGGCGACTCATTGATCATGAATTGGAAGAACAGGAATCCCGGAATACACACGGCCGCATTGATGTAGGCGAGAGTCTTCCAATCGCCGGCCAACCTGAATTGAATTTTGAATTGCGCCAACGCCTCGCTCCGATTTCACCATGCGAGCAACGCGTAGATCGGCATATTCGGCGACCACGTGATCGCCATGTTGATCCACATTCGATGCTTCTTCGGAATATTCTCCATTATGAAGACATTGATCACCCTTAACATGATGATGAGAATCATTGTGCGCCATTGGTGCAATACGATATACTGCCGCCGGTGAAGAAGCCGACGATTGTACGCGACACGGTGAACGCCAATAGGTCTTGACTCTGGGTGACAATGAGCCAACCAAGCGCCATTCCGATTATGGCGATTTGCGACGCCTGAAATTCGACATCTCTAATTCCCCGTTTTTTTTTTGGTGTTGGATATTCAGGGCCATTTTAAAAATCTGTCAAGTCGTATCACAATCATTGAACACTATAACGAACTGGTGAGATTGATAAGCATTGCTGATTTTATGTTCATTTCCATTTGGTTGTCCCATAAGCGAGCGCGTTATCAACATTCAAATGATTGTTCAAATTTTATAGGCGTCATTGAACAGTAATAAATAAATGTGACGCTTTTGTGCTCTGGAATTCAGAAGGAGATTTCAAAATCTGCCATTCTCATACTATTTTATTTTAAATATTTTTTGGAATTTTCATTGTGGCAAAAGAAATTCATCTTAAATAACAGATTTTGAAAATTCGGCATAAAAAGAAAAAGCTTAAAAACAGCTTTCGAATTATATATAAAATTTGATATTAAAGTAAGGTTTTGCTGAAATCAAATAAGAATTTTTTGTGACTGGGAATGATGCAATTTTAAGGGAGAGCCATAATTAATTGGTCCTACCATTTTTCTGCCGAATGAGTCGCTAATTTGTCCGAACACGATCGAACCCGTCAGAACTCCGATCATTTGAATCGAAATGCTGTTTTTGACGAGCTTCGACGTTGTGCAAAAATAGTGCCACTGAAAAAAAAAAACCAAAACAATAGTGATTTCAAAAATTGTCGACCTCGGCGTTGACCGATTTGAATTGATACGCAAAATTTGGGTGTGTGCAATTTGGGAGGCTCTTCTGAATCTCGAAACAAATCTCTTTGCCTTCAAGCTCTTTTGCGAACACGTGCGAATCGCACGAGATCACTCTCGGAGCGGCACCTGAATCGGAAATGAGAAACCAGCGAAAAAATGAAACAGCGAACCAACCGGCGTACATCATGTAGAACATTGATGAGACCTGCGGAAGGATGAGAAGCTCAGCGGCGATGCACACGTAGATCACGTAGGTGCCCATGACGACGAAATCGTCGAGCCGCTCGGCGTGGAAGCTCTTGGTTTTACTACTCATCGTTGAGCGCAATTAACTGTAGAAAACCAATTGAACTTATCGAACTGAATGCATATTTAATGCTCGTCGTTAAAAAAATTATAGCTCGCTGTTTTAGTTTTTTTTTGTGATTTTGAGATAACGGTGACAGCAAGAAAAAAAAAATACAGACAGACACACAGGTACCGAGAGAGAGAGAGAGAGAGAAATAATGACATGGTTGATTGTATGAACTGTCAATACCACGACGATGACATAATTGATACTTGATGATGAATTGCTTGGCGACTGCGACCGACGATCACGACGTCGGCGAAACACTTTGCAAGGTACAAGTTGGGGTTGGAAATTATTTGGGTGCGCGCAATTTTGGTCTTCATTGCTAATTTGACTATTGGCATTGAAACGATGTTTCTTTTTTTTCCAATTGAATATGGAACTGGTTTCTTCGAAGGGGATGGGGACCAAATTTTGATATCGATTTTTTTTTCAGAAAATTCTAATGAAGGCATCATTGAAAATAAATGGAGAAATTTGAAAAAAACCGGTTGAAGGGCATTTTTTAAGGTATTTTCTTACCGCAAAAAATTGCAATTTTTTTTTGAAAATTTCCAAGAATAAAAAAATTGTTTTGAAATTTAGGAGAATCGAAAATGCTGAAATTTCTAGAGCATGATGGTGTGGGTTCAATGAACTAACTAAAAGATTCGTGCGAATTTATTGCAGATTTTCTCAAAAAAATCGATGTTATGCAATTTTTCGGCATATTTTGCCATTTTTTCCATATTCCAATTCGGTATAATCAGTTCCTTCGGTTAAAAAAAATTTTTTTTTTCAAAAAAAAAGTGAAATTCAATTTTTGTGATCCATAGAAGGCAATTCATATTTTTTCTAATATTCATTTTCTTTGTGGCAATTTGCAACGATTTTTTATTTGTGAAAAATTCGAAACAAACACATTTTCGCGCTGCCGAGTTAGGCGTGGCCGTGGCCGAGTTGCGTAGGCGAAATCTCTTCCATGAGAAATTCAAATCTCGATTAATTACCAACCCAACTGTAATTGACCTCTAAACTGCAAAACAACCAGCTAATCCATGCGAGACCCATAGCCAAGGGCCATGCACGCCGACTATATGTTAGATTTTTTTTTGCACATTTTGCCTGACTCACATACACCAATTTTTTGCGTTGTACCTCCTTCCCTTTGTTTTCTGATTGACAAATAAAATAGTTTGAAAAATTCAATTAAAATCTGGAAATGCCATGCTTGTTTAAAACTTTCGTTGACAAATGCCAAATTAATTAGCATCTCGACGGACTCTGTATATACCTCAATTAGTCGTCATTCAGAATGCTAGTAATTGTCATCAAGCAAGAACGATGACGTGATTGGTGTGCCGACAAAAAATTGATGGAAGTTTATCCTGTCAGTCATTGGTTGAGCAACAACAAACTGAGACATTCAGTTTGGTTTATAAATGCTTCAAAATTGCTCGCAGCGTGTTGCAATTGAAAGCCTCGGATTTTTCTTTGTAAGACCTTCGATTTTGAGAGAGGTCATTCTAAAATCCCTGTTTCTCCCCTTCCCGTAGATTGAATGTCTTGCTTCTTTAAAGTCGTCGTTTTTTCCCCCGACTAATTCCCGTTTATAAAATTTCCCAGTAATTTGAAAAAGTGTTCTCCGATTCGAAACGCGCGGCACGTCGAAATTTGGTTAAAAGTGCACCAGGCCGACTGAAGTGGCTTCGTTAGAGTCGCGCGTTGTGGCGGGCTCCCACCAAATTTCCAACAACCAAACAAAATTTGGGTCCCGCTGCGATAATCATCGCATGGGCGTCGAACGTGAAGCACACAATTGAAAATGAGCGGTAGTTGGGGCGAGCGGTGAAGAAGAAAAAGACGAAAAAAAAAACACTGCCACCATGCATATGTGAGTAGACCAAAAAATATGCAGGAAATCGCGGAGAGCCGACGGTGTTGTGTTCTCGGATACTTTACGGCTCGTGGATTTTTCTTCCCCCCCCCCCGCTTCTCCAATTTTTCGGGTTCGACAATGATGAGATGCAACTCAACGATTTTTTGTTCCTTCTGTTTCGCCTCGCGTTGGTGACTGATGATGAAGACGCCAGGTGTCGAAAGCCACGTCACTCGCTTCACCATTTTTCTTTTTTTGACGCCAACTCGCCTTCTTCTCAACCAATTTGTTTCTTGCATAATGGAATGCGACTCTCTCAAATGTGTAGTAGCAGTAGTAGTCGATGAAGCTTCAGTGTGTTGTGATGTGCAGCTGCAAGCACCCGACAAATTATTGTAATGCTCTCGCACTTATAATCAAGACATATAATACACATAAATTATAGAGATTGAATAAAAAACCAGTTTTTTTCCGTTTTGAGTTTTCCTCCAAAATTTTCGAAGCGTCATGAAAAAGAAATGAAGTAGAATAATTCTTGTTTGCGGAAAATCAAAATCTTAATCTTCCAATTCAAAAGCCTGCCTCGTTATGTGCTCAAATCCCGCATTTGCATCATTTAATTTTATGCGAAGATCTTTGGTTTTCCAGCTTTCATCGATGTTCGCCATCTATTAAGCTTCATTTTAATATTCAATAATATAAACAGGGTCCCCTGAAAATTTGCTCGACTATTTTAAGAGATAATAACATGAAAATTAATAAGAATTGAAATATATTATTAAGCCACAAACATTTTTTTTGAAAAACGCAAGCACGAAAAACGCGTCAGTGAAGCGCACCATAGCCTCAAACTTGTGTTCGGTGTAATTTAGAAGTTATTGCGTGTTTTTAAGAATCTAACATATCCAAAATTGTTGTTTTCCAAAAATTCACGAAAAAATATTTGAAAAAACGTTTCAATTTTCTCCACGACTAGTAAGAATCATAAATAATTCTACTTGTTTCGCTGACATTTCTCACATCATCAAAAAAAAACACGTGCGTCTTCTAGAACAATAGGTTTGTCTGAAAATAAAAACAACTCTCGATGCTTTTTAAGGTAGAAAATTGTCGCCACACAAAAAAAATGAGCAGGGCCCTAATTTTACCAATTTTTTTTTGCGCGAGCCCTCTTTTTCAATTTTCTACAACTTTTTCTCTCGGTCGGAAAAGAACAAAAAAAATTGAAATAACCATTTCGAAATTCCGCCCGTGTTGTTTTTCTGTGCGTTTCCCTTGGTATTCGCCATATTTGGGGGGAAAACATGAATGCACGAGACGAAACCCAATATAAATCAATCTCGCTTATTCCCTCGTTTTTTTTTCTTTTTCACCATGCGATTTGATATCCAGAAATGGTTCTGAAAATTTTGGTGAAATGAAAACAAAAGAATTGCGGGGATTTTTTTTTGGTTTGTTGCAACATTGCTTCTCTCCAATTTTCCACCAACGAGAAGCAGACAACCGACCAGTGTTAGCCATCAGCTGGAATGGACCATTGAAGTCGTGAGGGAGAGAGAGAGAGACATGGCAGCATCGTGGAAATGTGTATCGATTCTGGAGAGAAGCGAGATGAAGCTGCTGCTGCTGGCTGCCTGCTTTTGCTCCGGCGAGTTTGAACTCGAGCGGCTACGCGTTTTCTCTGCTCCAGCTCAACTCCCCCTCCCCCCCTTGAGGGAGGACGACGACGCCTGCTGCTGCTGCTGTTCTATTGCATTTTTCTCTAAGCGTTTCCCCCCCCCATAGTTATATAGTTAGTTCATTAGGTATTTAGTCGGCCTCTTCCTCTTCGCTAGCAATTGTTACTCTCAGAGAAAACCGTCCAATTATTTTTCGTTTTTCAGGAATGCTCAATTTTGCCCAACATTATTCGTATTATTAACTATTATTATAATTTATTAAAATCGTTCAGGTAAGATTTCCAAAGTTTGCCATTTTTTTTTGGCTCTCTTCTCACCGCTGGTCAGTTTCTCCGCTTCGAGAAACCGACAGCATCGAGTTTGATTTATAGCGTATTATTATCGCGTCGTCTGGCAATGATGACCAGCAGGGGGGACGATGGGGAATGAGTGAGGCGGCAAATCGAGTTTCTTAATTCAATTTCAAATTACCTAATTTAATCTGGCCGTTTTGGAAATATTTGCCGACTAACTCCTCCTGAGCACACAAAAAACGAATGCTACCGTAACTTTGAAAAACGACCTTTCGAATTTTATTTCGACACCTCCACCCCAGCTTTTTCTCTCTTTTTTTGCAACATTACCAAGGTTTCAATTTACGACCTTTTTTCGTCGGATTTCCAATTCCCTATGTATTTTTCATGTCCGCATTTCCCCGAAGCCAACTCGACGCTGATTTCCGACGAACACTAATGCCTCTAACATCCATTAGAGTCATAGCTAATTTTTTCCGCCTCGCCATTAACAAATTTTTTTTCCAAATTGAATTACGGTAGATCTCATTTTCATTTAAAATTCCTTATGGAAATGAAAATTTATAATGTGAATCAAAAATTGTACATGGGTCTTGAAGCGCAAATTTTTTGTTCCAATTTTTTTTAAAGGGAACATTCCATTTTTATGGACTCGTTGAAAACGAAATGCAGCTTTTTTGGACATAAATTTTTAATGAACACATTTGGGCATTTTGGCATTTTCTAATACCAATGATAATAATAATAATTAAATATAAAATATAATATTTTAAATGTATAATTTATATGATATCTGGGTTCGAATAATAAATAAAATTTGATATAAAATGTATAAATTTTACGAAAATTGAAAATCTGCATTTCGTTTGAAACAACGAATAGTGTTTTTGACAGGTCATCTTCACTTTATGAACGCGAGCTTAATGTGGGGACCATTTCAAAATTTCGCGATCCATCGAACCCGGTGTGAAACCATTGCATATTCGGGCCATCCAAAAAATTCCCCTATTCGCTCGTGTCATCATCAATCATCCGAATTAAAGTCGTGCTCCGTCGAGAGAGAAAAAAAAACAAATGTATATGCAATTTCTTTTTGACAAAAGAGTCGACCCTAATTTCACGCTTCACCAGCCGGCGCACTTTTTTCTTTGTGGCGGATTTCGTGCGCGCGGAATATTACATGTGTTATTGATTAATCAGCTTTTCGCACGACGACAACATCTGGCAATCTTGTGAATCCGGCAGACAAGCCAAAAAAATAGATATATAATAAAATCGCCGAGAAACCGAAACATCTTCTCGCCCCGCCCCTTCAAACTGATTAGGTTAGATTCGCGTTTCGCTCGATGTTGGGACTTCCGTCGAAAAAAAGAAAAGAAAAAAGTCGAATGTGTTGCCAAAAAAAACGCGCGAAATGCGATATACAGTAATCGTCAATTCCCTTTTTTTTTGCAGACAAAAATGGGTGAGATCTACTCGCCGTCGCAGTCGAAAGGCTTCAATCAGCCGTATGGATATCCGATGAATTGCAATCTGAGTCGGGTGTTCATGGAAATGACGGAAGAGGATCGCAAATGTCTCGAGGAGCGCAAATATTGGTGTTTTTTGCTGAGCAGGTGAATTCGGTTTTTTTTTCTTTTGCTTGTGTCAAAATTATTGTCTCGCAAAATTGTTCTTGAGAAAGCACCCCCCCCCATCGCACATCTGGACCATAAAATTGGTTTGAAATTTTCAAAACTAATTGTTCTCGCTGCCAATAAGGAAATAGTTTGTTGAAGCTGTGCCGTTGCGTTTTTTTTTCTGCCAAAACCACTTATGGCATCATTCGAGGCTCATAGATCATTGGGAAAAGTATGTCGGAATGCCATCACTCGTCGGACCTTTTTGCGACTATTACTTGCCACACTGGACCCTTCTTCTTTCTCCCCCCCCCTCGCATTCGCCTTCGTTCTCGTGCGTAATTGGTTTTTCACGACATAATGCGTTGTAGACCCATTGAGTTATATATATATATATATTTATATAACCTATCGGATCGCTAATTTTTGAGTTTCTCAAATCACAGGAGGGAGCAACAAACCAGGAAATGGGCTCTTGGGATTTGAATGAGGGGGGGGGGCGGAAGAGAAAACGACGAACGAAAACGGAATGGGAATCGCGAGGAGCATATTTTTGAATCGAAAGAGCACAAAAAAAATTGTGCACTTGACAAATGGCATTGGGGATTTTATTGGATTATCCATTTGCAGGATGAGCAGTTTCCAAGATATAAAAATAAATGCAATTGAGAAGTAGAGATTCAGCGGCATGCGAGAGAGGGATTGTAATACATTTACGTCGCATAATTAGGCATAATTACCGGCTCAATTTTGAGAGCTTGAAATTGACGAACCAAAAGTCAAAATGAGATTCAATCAATTTTTTAATTGATACAATATCAATTTAATTTGAACTATTTCTGTTAAACTGTGATCTTTTTGAAATATGTCATAGACAACAGAACTTGGTCCCTATTTAAAACTTCTAAAATTGGGACCTTCACAATTTTAGTAGCAAAAAATTTGAATTTTTGAGATTTTCTTGGTTGAACAAAATTATTATAAAATTCCAAAATATTATATTTGAGCTGATAATTTGTTCTTCCAATTTTCAACGATTTGAGAAGTTTTTGAAAAACACAAAAAAATTACATTTAGATTTTCAATTTTTGGCGTTTTGATTCTCACATTTGAGGTATAAAAAGTAGTAAATTCATGGTAGTGTGCAAACACCGCGACGCAAAATCACGTATCTGATACCCACCCAAAAAAATGCGCATTTAATTTGAATGGATTTTTTTTTACAATTTCATTTTTTTTTTGACATATCATCTAGAAATATGTATAAAAATGAATTTCTTGGTCTCTCGAAATTTTTTTGGAGGTTTCTTTTCTTTTTTACGTATGTCGATGCCGTGTATGTGGTTTTTGGTTCGGCTTTTCATCACATAGTAGTATCAATGTCGTCGAATGGCCCCATGTATTTTTGTCGTGTTCAAAATGCTAACGAGATGAAAATGAATACGGGTGTGCAAAGTTGGGTGTAAGAGAGAGAGAGAGAGAGGGAGCATATGAGAATCCGGTGCAGATTCTTTGGAGCATAGAGGGGAGGGGGGTTACATTTCAAAGTGTCATATATCATCATCATCATCAGCTGCGTCGAAAAATTATTGAAGACAATGAAAGTCAAGGGAGGTGTCGATCGTTGCAAGACCTCAACTTGAATATTCACAACAAATCGATTGATTTCAGCATCACAACATTTTGCGCGTCGATGATATTGGTGGTCATTTGGCGCGTCGTGACCCATTTGTGCTGTCAGCGGCGTGAGCGCGAGTTCGTCGAGCCGCCGGTGCCGCACGAAGCCGTCCAGATACAGATGAACGGCGGCAAGCACGTCATCGGCGAGACGGATCCGTTTCTGAAGCAGCAAGAGGAGAAGCATCTCGGCTGGATGACTGAGGTTTTGTGTCACATTTTTTTATCATTTCGAACGATTGCATGAGAATTATTATATCATTATTAGTAGCTCTCATTATTATGATTATGATTATGATTATTAGTCGAATTTTGGCAAAGTCGAAAATCGATTCGGAGAAGCACCTAAAAAACGCGAAAGTCGCAATTTCAATTTTTTGTTTCATTTCGAATCAAAAGTCTTCAACGGGCTAGTGGTTTTTTTTTATGTATATTTTAGGAGACACTAGCAATGCGAATTCTCAAAAGCATCCGCGACCGGAGGGCAAGTTTTTCCATGCATGACCCGTCGAACCGAAATATTTCATATTTTCAAAATTTCAAATGTGGGGCGAACGGGGGAGGCAACCAATATTTTTCGATGAAATCTTTAAAAAGAATATTTAAAGATGCCACCCAAACTCGAAAATTGCCTTGGAATGAGTGAAATTTGTTTCGAATTTCCGCCAAAACGGAATAGAGTTTTTAAAAAATTCATTTTTTTGCTGTTGATTTTTAATGTATAGTATTTTCCAAATAACAGGGATTCTTGAATCGATCGCTGCGAGACTCATTACCGTATCCAAAAACCGATTTTGATTTAAAATTTTATTATCAACAAATTCAAAAAGAAAATCGAAATTTAAATATATAAAATAATCAAAAGCTTAGCAGGCGGAATATGAGTTGGGTCTTGTGGCGACTGATTCTGGTAGTTGCGGTCCATCGCCTCCATTTTCGAAATTCGTTTTGAACAGCAACGCGTGTGATCTACAAGGTCATGCAGCGAAAAATTCTGAAAGCCGTTGTTCTTCCGCGAAACTCACACTATAAAATTGTGCAAACACCGTGACGCCAATATTACAGAAAAACCTGCGAAAAAAAACAGCACCTCGAAATTGTTATTTTTTTAACTTAAATCTAGTTCCATCGAGTTTGGGGGGCCCCTTTTAAATAGCGAATCAATTCGTACCATTCAGCATGTGCTCTCGGTACGCTTTTTTTCTTTCAACCCTTCATTCGCGATCGTTTAAGTTTTTATTTCGCTTCAATTCTCCCCCTCGCATTTTTGTATTATTTTTTTGCAAGTAGCTCGTGGAGTCGTTTCATTCTTTGTTTTTTTTTGTCGGCGAAAAACCACCAACAAAATTTTGTGAACTCAATTATAAATAAATATTCACAAATGACTCCTTGCTCTTTCTATTTCTTTCTGTCATTGCACACGAGACGTTTTTGTGATTGTCACTATTTTTTGTCGTAGACGACATCTTCTTCACCGTAATTATTATTATTATTATTGTCGGCGTCAAACCACAACGAAATTTAGAAAAAAATTATTGGCTGTGTGCCAATGCGTATCGATTTCTACGTACATTGCATTTTAGCGTACGCGCATTTAATTTAAATCCACACTTTTTTCGCAATTTTCGGTGCCCGCCCACTTTTTTCAGTCGTTTGACGTCGACAATATGATTTTTTCACGAAAAATTCTTCAAAATTTTCTCCCCAATACGGTGTCGCCGTCATGGCCGAACCGAAGAAGTCGGTCTTGCACAGGTCTTGTAGTAGACGATTTTCTTTCCTTTCCGTCCGGTTGCCTGGGTTGCGAGTTTTTATGATTATTATTATTATTATTATTATTATTTCTAGTTGAAAATTGTTTCGAGCACTCACCTCCCATTTCTGGCATGAAATGTTGTGTTATTTTAGGCGAAAGATTGGGCCGGCGAATTGATATCCGGTCAGAGTCTGACGGGACGATTCCTCGTGCTCCTCGTGTTCATTTTGTCCATCGGATCGCTCATCATCTATTTCTATGACGCCAGTTTGTAAGTTAATTCTCTGAAAGCAACTCTAAAAATCAAAACGAAATCCGATATCGCTCTTTCGCCGTTTTTTTTCGACAATAATGCACATTTGTGTGTTTTGATCGACGCTATTCAAAAATTGCGATAAATCAAAACATAAAATGACTTTGGGAATTAATGTTGAAAAAAAAATACTCGAAATTGCCATGTGGAACGGTTGAGAAAAAAATTGAAAACAAAAAGAAATGGTCAACTTCGCTGTGGAAAAAATCGCATTTTTTGCATTTTTTCGGAAAAATTTTTTATTTCTACAACGAAATCGATCCTTTAAAGAATATTTGAATTTTTGTAGTTGAAAAGCCGAAATGAATCAGCGCAAGACCCAATTAGTTTCTGCTTTATGAACCTATAATAGATTATTTATTTTTTTAAATTTCGCGCCTAAATTGCGTTTACTTACAATTTTTTTCAAATTTACAAAAATAAAAAATGACATTTAGACTTTTAAAATAATATGTATTTTAAAACATAATTTGAGGATTTTTTCTTTTTTAAAAATAAAAAAAGAATTGTCGCGCGACTGCGGAATATTGGCAACATGCCAAAAACTTTGAGAAGAGGGTCGTGCGCCTTTAACTTATCCTAATGCACATACCCGTAAATCTACCCTTTAATTTTCCCCTGTCTATGGTTTTTTTGGCATTTAGCCAATATTCCGCAATTCTACATATATTCGGTGATTTAATTTTCAGTCAAAACTTCCAAGTGGAAACATGCATTCCATGGCAGGACAGCCCATCGCAACAAATCGATCTCGGCTTCAACATATTTTTCCTCGTCTATTTTTTCATTAGAGTAAGACGCATTGGCGATAATCGCATTGAAAAAAAATTCTCATATTTTTCCAGTTTATTGCGGCTTCCGACAAAGTGTGGTTCCTGCTTGAAATGTACAGCTGGATCGACTTTTTCACGATTCCGCCTAGTTTCGTAGCGATTTATTTACAGCGCAATTGGCTAGGTATATTAAAATTTTGATGATATGATTCTCGCCGCACGTCGATCTTATAGGTTTTCGATTTTTGCGCGCTCTACGGCTAATGACAGTGCCTGACATTCTTCAATACCTCAACATTTTGAAAACGTCGAGCTCGATTCGATTAACTCAACTGGTGACAATTTTCGTTGCCGTTTGTTTGACGGGAGCTGGATTGGTGCATTTAGTAGGGAGAGCAATCATTTTTTCTTGAAATTGTCGAGTTTTGACATTTTAGCTTGAAAATTCTGGAGATTTCTTCAAGGGCTTCATCAATCCGCATAGAATTACGTATGCCGATTCAGTGTATTTCGTATTGGTAACCATGTCGACTGTCGGCTATGGTGATATCTATTGTACAACACTCTGCGGACGACTTTTTATGATATTCTTCATTCTTTTCGGCCTCGTAAGCTCATTTTTCTCGAAAAACTCTTAAAAACTCGTCTTTAATTATCCTACTCAAAATTATTTTAGAAATACTTTTTAAAAATTGTAGGGTTTGAATAGTTAGAATTTTTTAAAGGAAGCCCAATTTAATTGCGATTAAAGGCGCGTCTGCCTGAAATTGAGCTAGGTCTCGTGTCGATCCTAGCCGCTGTTTTCTCTTAAACGTGTAAACTTGTTTAGGCAATGTTCGCCAGTTATGTGCCGGAAATCGCCGATCTTATTGGTAATCGGCAAAAGTACGGAGGCGAGTATAAAGGCGAACACGGAAAAAAGTGCGTTTTGTCCGCATTTTTTGCACATTTCAATTTTTTTCGTCAAATTTCAGACACATTGTCGTTTGTGGGCACATCACGTATGACTCGGTGTCGCATTTCCTTCAAGATTTTCTACACGAGGATCGCGATGATGTCGATGTTGAAGTCGTATTCCTGCACAGGTAATTAAGAATCGGAAGCACAAAAAAAAACATCGAAATTCAGGGTTGTTCCCGATCTCGAGCTCGAAGGACTTTTTAAACGACACTTCACCAAAGTCGAATTCTTCACTGGCACCGTCATGGACTCGCTCGATTTGAGTCGCGTCAAAATCGCCGACGCTGACGCGTGTCTCGTGCTCGCCAACAAGTACAGCACGAATCCAGACGCCGAAGACGCGGCAAACATCATGCGAGTCATCTCCATCAAAAATTACTCGTCTGATATTCGTGTCATTGTGCAATTGATGCAATACCATAATAAGGTTTTTAGAAATGTCATCGCAAAAGAAAAACTAGCGCCTGAGTATGTGTGGACCATTGAACGTTTTTGTGTTGACCCTAATTCAAATTTCGATTTGAACAGTCAAATCGGAATTCATTTACCCAGTCTGCGCTAAACTAAAATGTGCCAAAAGGTTTGAAGAGAGTGGGCGGGGTCCTAGGGGTTCCCAACTGGAAATAAAAAAAAGTTCCGAAAATGATCTTATCGATACGGTATTTCAGAAAATGTGACTAAAAAGTGTAAAAAATAACATGTAAAAAAGAAGAGTCTTATTTTTTGAAAATTTCAAAGTCGGACCCTTAGAGGCCAAATTGTGGGGACCAATTAATGTGTGCCCCTATCTCCACCGTAAATCTACCCAGAGCGCTCGGTTGTTTTTTTTTCTGTTTGCACATTTTTGCAATATTCGAACTCATCGAGATAATTCAATTAGGCCTACCTTCTGAATATTCCATCATGGGATTGGCGGCGCGGCGATGATGTGATCTGCCTAGCCGAGCTCAAACTCGGCTTCATCGCACAATCATGTTTGGCTCCCGGCTTCTCAACAATGATGGCCAATCTGTTCGCGATGCGCTCGTTCAAAACCGTAAGAATTCCAAAGTTCTCGTTTTTGTTCTATTTTTTTTCTTTCGCGTCTCTGGATGTTTTCAATGTGCTTTGCTTGTCACTCACATCGTGTCCTCGTCGATTACTAACCGTTAATTTCAGTCGCCCCATACACCATCATGGCTCAATGATTATCTACGAGGCGCCGGAATGGAAATGTACACCGAACGATTGAGTCCGGCGTTTGCCAACATGTCGTTTCCGGAAGCGGCAAAGTAGGTTGTATATTCCGAGAAAAAAAAAAATAATGATTGTGACGCGCGCTCATTGATTTTTTTTTTATTTTAATCTTGTACCTCGTCCATGTCCGAATCAAATGTCCAAAAATGGTGTCGATATGCGAATATGCGAATGATTTTAGTCACAAACGACGCCGGACTGGTTGAATTTATACCTTTGCGGCGCTGGTATGGAAATGTACACCGACACATTATCGCACTCGTTCGTCGGAATGACGTTTCCCGAGGCGGTCGAGTAAGAATTCTGACGATGAGAATTTCTCGTTTTTTTTTAATTCGGACTCTAATGCGTGCTCAAATTGTGAGATTAACACAAATCATCTAACAAACAGATTGAAATGTGACGCTTTGAGAAACTTTTTTGAAGCTGCTTCTCCATTTCAGACGCATTTTTAGGTTTTTTTTTCTCGATTTATCTTTGGCAGATTGCCAACGCAAAGCAGTGCCCTTTTTTTAATTTTGAAATACATTTATTTGGCACCGACCTCATATCCTCAAAAAAAAGTGTTTCTGATTGATTTTATAATGAAAAAAAAAAAACAGAAAATTTTGGAATTTCGTAAAATTTTTTTCTCTAATTCAAACAAGTGACGTTGGCGGGGCATTCAATCCAATAAAAAAAATTAATAAAAAGACAAAAAATAGAGATTAGTTGCAATCCGATACACTCTCAAATCATTAAAAATTGTTTTGATTTTTTTTTAAATAAATTTGAAACAGTCAGAATTGCGCGCCACTTCAAACGCTGAAGCCTACTAAAACTAGTTTGGGTATTCTTGACTATGTCTTTAAGCAATTAATTCGACTCCTATGCAAAAATCGCTTATTGAAATTCCCAAACTCTGAATTTCAATTCATCTGCGGCACAGCATGCTTCAAATACGGCCGATTCCAATAATATTAATAATGCTTAATTAACCATACCATTTGCAGTATTTTTAACGAAATTGAAAATTTTTTAAACCTCAAATTTCGATTCATTGCAGCCTTCTTTTCAATCGACTCGGTCTTTTGCTGTTGGCGATTGAATTGAAAGATGAGGAGAACAAGGAATGCAATATCGCCATCAATCCGGGACCGAATATCGTTATTCAGCCGCAAACACAAGGATTCTTTATTGCGCAAAGTGCGGATGAAGTGAAACGGTGAGCCGTGAAACTCGAAGTTTTTTTTTTGCGAAATTCGGCGCGACTAAAAATTGGCGATTTTTTCTTTAATAATTACCATTCAATTTTCAGAGCATTTTTCTGGTGCAAACAATGTCACGATGATATCAAAGATGTCTCATTGATCAAAAAATGCAAATGCAAAAATCGTATGTTTTCGCTGTTCGAGATTTCCGAATCAAAAATGGCGTTTCGTTTTCAGTGGCGCTTTTCCGGCGAAACACCAAACATTCATCGACAGCTCGAGGTACGCTAAAAAAAAATCTATATATTGTATACATAGATAGGCATAGAATGTTAGAAATAAGTGAAAAAAAAAACACGCATAATTGAGACGTGATGTAGAGATTCTATTCGAAATTTTGGTGATGCTCGTGCATTATTTTTCCGCAGCATCCTCCTGTCTGAAATTGCAGATTACTCGGAATTTGATGCATTATTTTATCAAAATGATGGTAATGTTTCGAGAATATTCATGGCTTTTTCGTTGGGTGACCCTCAAACGCGAACCTCTATCGCCTATTGTTAGCATGTTTCCGGATTTCATAAACTTATTCAGTTGATATTTCATATTTTGTCCAAGTCGTTCATGCGCCTTTAAATTCAGACGCCAACAATATATGCTATATAGTTTAAACAATAGTTGATTTTCTTTTCTTTTATTTTTCATCGACTGACAAAAATTTCGTTGTCGTAGATTATGAAAAATTGCATGCCAAAAATTGAAAGTGAATAATTTCATTTTTTTTTTTGATATGCAGCTCCGAGTAATATAGGCATTTGTGAGCATGGCATACTGTAGAAACCTTTTTTGGTTGTTCTTATTTATTTTACCCTCCCAGTCATATTGGTGAAAGCTCTGTTTTTGCGAATTGACATGAAGCCGTTCAGTTTTTCGCTTATCCTTTTTAATATATGATGTGCTTCAAGTTTGTTCGCATTTCATCAGAATCGCGTCAATATTCGGATCACTAAGAGCAATCGATTATTTCAGCTCGAGCTTCTGATGCCGTAACAACTCAAGCATCGGCTCTTGGACCTCAGGTCCAATTGAGATTGATCAATCAGCAAAGGTTAGTTGACGGAACTTAGCTTTTTCTATGTAATCTCGAAGACCATGAAACAAATGTCTAAAAATGAGTCATTAAAATGTGCAAAACACTCTTCTGATGCGATCAAATGAGTAAGCATCTGAAAATCAGCTCAACATTTGGGATTTACAGTTCGACGAGTGATACCCATCTCAACACGAAATCTCTCCGATTTGCCTATGAAATCAAAAAGCTCATGTAAATTTTTCTCAGTAGCACACAACACACCAACAATTAGCTAGTGGTTTTTTTTAATTTCGAGTTTTACATCTCTATATATATATATATATATATATTTATTTATTTATTTCTCGTACCTCCATGTGTTCACATCACCCGTCACACCCGAGTTTCTCGTAGTTTTTATTAAGTTCAATTTTTACCTCATTGTTTTCTTTCGAATTCGAATCGCCGTCGCTGCTGCCGCTGCTCCTACTCGCGACTTTTCTATGCTTTGCCTACAGGAACACACCGGATGAGAGGGATTCAGACAAAATTATATATACATATATATAAGGCAGTTAGTTTCTCCTTGCATGACGCAAAAAAAAACAACGCCGATTCTTTGGTTTTCACCTACTTTTTTTTGATCGATATTTGTTGATTATTTATTTTGATGATTCGGATCACCACTCCACCCTTTTTGTAAAAACCACCTTCAACCCTTTCACCTGCTTATTTCTTTCGTTGTTCGTCGGCGTTCCTATAGTGTATGAAAGGTCGCCGAATGAATGACAACATCGTGCTGGAATCGCAATTGAAATCCATTGGTTTTGCAGGCCCTCGTCGGGCGGACGACGAAACTCGATGAGCATTCCGCCGGATGGACGAGGCGTCGATTTTAACAAGGATTTCGAGCAACAGGTGGTTTCCATCCAATTTCGATCATCGTCATTTACCAAAATCAATTCAGGATATGAAATATGACAGTACCGGAATGTTCCATTGGTGTCCCAGCAGGAATTTGGAAGACAGCGTGCTGGTGAGGACCTTTTTTTCGATTTTCCTTCAGAAATTCATTCAATTTTTTTAATGCTTTGACAGCGAAAAAAAATATTTAGGAACGCCATCAAGCCGCGATGACCGTGCTTAATGGACATGTCGTTGTCTGCCTATTCGCCGACAGAGACTCACCGCTAATCGGCCTTCGCAATTTCATAATGCCACTGAGGTTGAACTCCCCATCCTATATTTTCCATCGAAACCACAATCATTTCATAGGTCTTCCAACTTCCACTATCACGAACTCAAACATGTTGTCATTGTCGGCGATTTGGAGTATCTTCGCAAAGAATGGAAGACGCTCTACAATCTTCCAAAAATCTCGATTCTCAATGGATCGCCGTTGTCGCGAGCCGACTTGAGGGCCGTCAATATTAATCTGTGCGATATGTGTGTTATCATTTCGGCACGAGTTCCCAACACTGAAGACACCACATTAGCTGATAAAGAAGCGATTCTGGCGTCGTTGAATATCAAAGCGATGCAGTTTGACGACACGCTCGGCTTCTTTCCGATGAGGCATACTGGCGGTGAACGCAGTCCGCTTGGAAGTCCAATTTCGATGCAGAAAAAGGGTGCCAAATTTGGCACGAATGTTCCAATGATTACCGAACTTGTGAACGATTCGAATGTTCAGTTCTTGGATCAGGATGATGATGATGATCCTGAAACAGAGCTCTATCTCACTCAACCGTTTGCATGTGGTACTGCATTTGCCATATCAGTATTAGATTCATTGATGAGCACGGTAATTATTCTAAATATTGCACAATTCTAATGCAGGATTATAGACATACTTCAATGATTCTGCGCTGACGTTGATTCGAACATTGGTCACTGGCGGTGCTACGCCAGAGTTAGAACTCATACTCGCGGAAGGCGCTGGCCTACGTGGTGGATACAGTACGCCGGAAACACTTTCCAATCGAGACCGATGTCGAATAGCGCAAATTTCGCTGCAAGACTTGCCCTATGAAGGAGTTGGAGTGAGTATTTTTGCGACTAGCCTTGTTAGAGTTTTTTTTAAATCTTGAATTCCTCATTTTCAGCACAACACCACGTATGGCGCAATGTTCACCATTGCTCTTCGCAAGTATGGTCAGTTATGCGTCGGTTTGTACCGATTACACGATCAAGACAATCCGGATTCGATGAAACGATATGTCATCACGAATCCGCCCGCCGAGCTCAGAGTCCGACTCACTGATTACGTAAGCATTCACGATTTCGAAGAAAACAATAGGCCCAACAATATTGATTATAGGTGTACGTTCTCGAACAATTCGATCCGGGTCTTGAATACGAGCCCGGAAAGCGGCAGTTTTAATTCAACCGTCGATCTTTTTTTTTATTTGTTTTTGTTTTAATCATGTTACAAGTTGTTTTTTCTTCTCCCATTTCCTCACAATGTGCTTTTCAAGATATGCTCAATACGAAATGGATTTAATTTATACAACCTAGGACCTTTGTTTCTTTTTTTCGAAACCAAAATAATGCACCAACCATACACTAAGGGTACTTATATTAATATTAAAATCACAATTGCCTTTTCGTACATTTGTATATAATAAATAGAGAATTTTTTACAGAATAAAAATTATCCAGATTTTTATGATACACGTGTCGCCATTCATAAGTACGTCGAAAAATAAGGAGTTGGCATTTTCACACAAATTAAAAAACGGGACACTCGGGCGGTCATTGATAAGCCAACTCTGTTCACCAATAGCCTGGCGCAAGGAGACATGAATTCAGAAGGCAGGCCATTTTTTGTTTTTTTTTTGTTGATATAAAACAGCTAGAATCAGTCACTGAAAAACCCGAACTTGTCTTAAAACCCTTTTTTTATGAAATGAAATAATTGGCTAAACACGCGTACTTACAACACCGAAAAAAAATTTCTAGTCTGAAGGGGTGGGGAAGGTAAAATAAATTTGAATTAAAAAAGGTAAAACTTATTTTTGATCTGATCTACTTATTTCCCAACCAGTCATATCATAAAGCAAAAAACGAGGATTTGACTCTGGTAACTCAAAACCAATCGGATCCGAGAAAATTCGGCTCCGGAATCAATCTTATCCGATTGGTAATTCTACGGATAAGATTGGAAAATTGTTGGATCCGATTGGTTTTTTGGGTATTTTCGAATACGATTGGTAATTTGTCGTATCCGGTTAGATTTTCTTCGAATCCGATTGGTAATTATTCGAATCCGTTTTGTTTTAATATTTCGATTCGAATCGGATTCGACAAATAACCAATCTTATCCGTAGAATTACCAATCGGATAAGGTTAATTCCAGAGCCGAATTTTGTCGAATCCGATTGGTTTTGAGTTACCAGAGGAGTTGGACAAAATTATTTGAAACCAATTCTTACATGACGAACTTTCATCTGAATCATTATTCCGTCGCAATGAAAACGGCATTTCAAAGAATGATCAGCCCAGCGGTCTTCAATTTTTTCATTGATAAACTGGAATTTACATTTGCCGCTCGTTTGGCTACGATAATTAATCAAATAAATGTGACAAAAGTATTAAATTCAAGAGAAATTATAACATTTTCAAAGTTTCGTACCTTTTTGTTCACGTCGATGACCTGCTTGCGGCTCGTTTGCTCAATTTCCAATTTAGCTCATAAATATTGAGGCGTAGATTTAAATGCACGTCCGCAGACGTTATGCGACGTGATTACACAATGGTTAAAAGACCCGACTAATTTTTTGCATTATGAACCTTTAATCAATTATTTATTTATTTTATTTTATTTTCTGTTTTATTTTTCACGCAATTTCATTGAAATTTCTGTACATATTCAAATCTATGAAATATACTTAATTGAAAATTTTAATGAAATGCCCGATTTCAGCGATTTTAAAGCAATCTGACAATTTTTCTAAATGTACTTTAGAAGATATGCTCTGGATAAACGTATAAAGTTTCTAGTCAGAGTCGAGGGCTTTTCTTACCAATTTTTTTAGAAACTAGAAATATCTCAAAAATAATAATATTTGCCATTTTTATTTCTTGATAATCTTTAAGGGCATTTAAATAATTTAAATTCTTCTTTTTCTCTCATTTAATATTACAATTCTTCAAGAAATAACAATTTTTGACATTTTAATTGTTATATTCGAATAAATAGCACACGAATGTTACAACGACGCTCCATTGTCACCCTCGATTTAGTGAGTTGGCAATTTGCCATTTGCTGATTTCTGTCGACGTGTTCCTTGAACATTTGGATTTTAAACCTCTTGATCATCATTTTTTCCTCTTCGAATCTTCAGAATAATTCTTTCAAATATTTGAGACTGTTTTTATTTGCGTATTATGTATTTTCATCAATTTACCCACTAAAATCGTACGAAAAACTACATTCGCACTTATTATACCTAATTTAATTTAATTGTCATTATTTCAGTGGTTTTGTATCAAAATGGCTTCTTGGGAGGAATATCTAGCGAGCCAGCAAAACAATGACGGTGTTCAGTTCACCTGGAACATGTGGCCGCATAGTAGGATTGACGCTCAACGACTCGTTGTTCCACTAACCTGTTTTTTCACTCCGCTCAAAGTATATTAGCCGAAATGGAAAATATAGATGAGATATTATTTTAAGGAAAAACCAGCAACTGAGCCACAACAGCCTCCTATCGAGTATGATCCAGTGTTGTGCCAAAAAGCAAGTTGCAAAGCGATTTTGAACCCATTGTGGTAAATTTTCAAAAAAAAAAAAATTGCTCTTGAGAAAATTCTAAATTTCAGCGCTGTCGATTTCCGCAGTAAAACCTGGGTGTGTCCGTTCTGTTCGAATCGCAATCCATTCCCAGCTCATTATGCAGCAATCGCTGAAGATAACCGCCCGCCAGAGCTTTATCCACAATTTACTACTATTGAATACACATTACGGGTAGAGAAACGAGCAACTGCGAATTAGAAATTTTATATTTTAAATTTATTTAGAAGGCAACCACAATGCCTCCAATTTTCGTTTTTGTCGTTGACACCTGTATGACATCCGAGGAGCTCAAATCACTGAAGGAATGCCTTCAAACCGCATTGTCGCTTCTCCCAGCCGATGCTCTTGTCGGTCTTATCACTTTTGGAAGAATGGTTCAGCTCCATGAGTTGAATGTTCAAGGAATTGCGAGAAGCTATGTGTTCAAGGTAAATAACATAATACTTTATGCGCAAAATGTTTTCTTTTTTGGAAATTGATCAAATAATAGTATAATTAGCCCATCACAATGTTACCGCCTATTCGTTGCCGTTTTTCCGGTTTTCGTAGCACTCCAATGGGCAGAGTTGGCAACTGTAAATTCGTATAGTTGATGTCGTAAATGATGTTTTCGTATTAGGTTTACGTTAAAATGAGTCACACTCGTGACTTCCGGTTTTGATCATTTTATCACATTACGACTTTTAAGAAGAAAAATGTCATATTTTTATAAATGTAAATAAAGAAGACGTACAAAATCTACGTGTTCGCTTAAATATTTTATTAGTCATCGCTAAAAAAAATTTTGAGATGGTTTAGAAGTTGCCTTTTTTTATGAAGAAGACTGGAATTTTCTTGAGAATCTAAACTGTTTTACGACATTTGGGGTTTTGTTCCATTATTATTTGGATCTGTTAGCTCAAACCAGACTTGCCGCGTTTATTAATGATTTAACTTGTCGGATTTTTTTTTCATTCAAATCGCGTAGCGGATTTCCGGTGTAAAATTTCTTAAAATTCGGCGACCTTAGGGATGACTCAAGTTGTCTTCGTAATTGAGCTTAGCACTTGAAGGTTACAACTTATTGAAATTCACTTTTCAATTAAAGGAAAATATGAGATTTTTAAGTTTCGATATTCAATAAGGCTGTAAAATCAAATTTTCAAAATTTTGTTAACAAAAAAATCGCAATTTACAAATTTCAATGTCAACAAACCGATTGAACGTTGTTTCGAGGCTCCAAGAATAATCGATACGCATATTGTCTTCTCAACAGCTCATCATCGAGTAGAATCGCCAATGATTGCATGCTTTGTTTGGCGCGCTCGCTGAGCTCCTCGTAGGAATTGGCGCCGACGGCGTAATACGTGGTGTAGGCGTCGGCGATGATGATTGCAATGATGATTATGACGGCAATTAGCGAAATAACTTCTTGGCGCATTGTGTGTGTGTGAACCCTTAAAGTGTCATTGATTATCATAAATGAAACTAGGGCAATTGTAATGTCTTAATAGAAGTTGCCATGAAAATTGAAAGCGAATGGAATATGGGCAGAAGGGATAAGGCGAAATTAAGATGAGCGGAAGCGTGTTTAAAGGATGCTAATGACTTGTTGCAAATGTGCCACACGAGAGTGATTATGGAATGGGCGGAGCGAGGCGGCAGGAAGAATTGAAGTCAATTTCAGGCATTTTCGAATTTGCATCGCGGAGGTGGACGCAAGCACGTCATGCTGAGATTGAAATAGAAACAATTCTGAGAATTTATTAAGGATGATTGGAAGGCAATAATTTAATTAGATTTTAAAATATTGAAATTTACTTTTCAATTTTTTTTCGCTGGATTATTAAAAGTTGAACTTCAAACTGGCTTTAAAAAGCGGATGTGATGAATTTTATTTATTTGACATGTTGGAAAATTTCTCATTTCCTGAAACGCAAATTTGACATAGTAGTAGAAAATTAGAATAATTTCTTGTGCGGAAAACTCGAGAAGTTGCTAATTTGCTCTGATTAGAATCTTGGGCGTCTTGATGAGCCGAATAAAATTTATTGCGAATGTTTCAGGGAACGAAAGAAGTCACCCAGAAGCAAATCAAAGATGTGATCGCTTCCGGTTTGGGAGCTCGACCTGTCGCTGGTCCGGCGGGAGGCGGTGCCGGCATCGGACCGATTGGAGGTAAACACGCATATCTCGTTGTTTTTCGTCACCAAGTTGATATGAAATGCATTGAATTAGTATTGGATGATTTTTCGGGATGGGGAGGAAAAAAAAAGATATAAAACATTCGAAGATGTGCCGATATTCGCACATTTCGAATGAAGGAGGGATTTTCGTTTTTTTTTTTTTGAAACGATGTTTGCTGCGATACAAAATGAATATGAATTGCAGGAATGCCGATGGGACCAATGAATGGCGCCGGGCCGGTTGTTGGTGGAATGAATGGGCCGCCGGGTGCGGGACCAATGGGCGGACCACGTGGGCCGATGCCTGGAATGCCGCAAGGAGCGATGCCACAAGCGCCACCACATAATAAATTCCTTCAGGTATATTCAACACTCAAAATGTTGATGTGTTATGTTTTTCTTTTGATTCTGAGCTTCTTGCTAATGTATTAAACAATTTTCTAAATAGAAAATTCAAAATTGGGTCAAAATATTATAATCCAAAATTTTTGAAACAGCCCAAATCTCTAGCACAATTGAATTTGTATTTCAGCCGATCAGCGAATGCGACGAGTCGATCAATGATCTCATTGATCAGATCACCGTTGATCGTTGGCCAGTTCCACAAGGGCATCGGCCGTTGAGAGCCACTGGCGCGGCTCTTGCTGTCGCTGTCACACTTCTTGAATCGTGCTTCCCGAACACCGGTGCCCGCATTATGACGTTCATTGGTGGCGCTTGCACTCATGGCCCCGGTGCTGTTGTCGGCGAGGAGCTCAAGAATCCGATTCGATCGTGGCACTCGATCAAAGAGGATAACGCGCCATTCATGAAGAAGGCGACGAAATTCTATGATTCGCTCGCGAATCGTGTTGTCAAGAACGGACACGCCGTTGATATCTATTCGTGTGCGCTTGATCAGACGGGACTTCTCGAGATGAAGAATTTGTTCAATTCGACCGGCGGGCATGTCGTCATGGGCGATTCGTTCAATTCATCGCTGTTCAAGCAAACGTATCAGCGCTCGTTTGAAAAAGACGCCAATGGAAACCTTAAAATGGGATTCAACGCCACAATGGAGGTGAGCAAACGGCGATTCGTCGTACAAATGTTGGCGGGGTTTCATTTTTTCGAAATAAAAAAAAGTGGGATTAGCGCTGTTTCGATAAGGGTGGGGTTTTCATGGCGAAAATTTCGATATCTGTCTGTGAATTTAATGGAATTCCCGAATGATCAAATTTGGCATAATATCGGTATCGCGAAAAATTAGCAAAAAGTATGGAAAAATTCTTGGCGCAAACCTCATTAGTGCCAAGACGAGCTGAGTTTCAGTACTCGCCAAAATTAATATTGCTTGAATTATTTCATGGGTCCCTTTTTATCAAAAAAAAAGTATATTTAAATGTTTTTAGAGAAGGCCTTGATTTTGTCAATCTGTATAATTTTTCTAGGAGTGATTTTATTTTTCTTTCGCACATTTTCGGACTTTCTTAAATTTTAATGATTAATGCCCCGTTGGCTTAAGGGGAAAAATCGCTTAATCCATCTATTACGAATTGCAATACATTTTTTTTTCAAGGCCAAAGTCGGCGCTGGCTTGAAGATTGAAGGAGTTTTGGGATGTTGCGCGTCGGGCAATGTCAAAAACGCGAACGTTTCCGATCAAGAAATGGGAATTGGTGGCACGTGTCAGTGGAAATTTGGCGCGATTTCGCCGCGCACCACAATTGGCGTCGTTTTCGAGATATCGGCGCAACACGGAACGGCGATTCCGCAAGGCGGAAGGGGCATGGTTCAATTCGTGACTCAGTATCAACACTCGGACGGACGTAAACGCATTCGAGTGACGACGACATGCCGAAGCTGGGCAGATATGGCGACGCAACAGCCGAATATCGCCTATGGATTTGATCAGGAGGCGGCGGCGGTGGCGATTGCGCGGCTTGCTTCATTCCGCGCGTCGAACGAGAATGATACGCCAGAAGCGCTTCGATGGTTGGATAGAACACTGATTCGATTGGTAAGCTCAACAATTGGCATTGAATCGATTCGAGCGTTCTCGCCGTTTTCAGTGTCAGAAGTTTGGTGAATATGCGAAAGACGATCCGAACAGTTTCCGGCTCAACGACAAATTCTCATTGTTCCCGCAATTTATGTTCCATTTGAGGCGATCCCAATTTTTGCAAGTGTTCAACAATTCTCCGGATGAGACCGCTTATTATCGACACATTTTGTTCTCTGAGAATGTGCTTGAAAGCACCACGATGATTCAGCCAGTGTTATTCAGCTACTCCTTCAAGTATTGTTTTTTTTTTCAACATTTTGGATTCTTTGATTTTTGCGTTTTCTAGTGGTCCACCGGAGCCAGTTCTACTTGATACGTCGTCAATTCTTCCGGATCGCATTCTTCTCATGGATGACTATTTCCATGTGTTGATCTTCCATGGACAGACAATCGCGCAGTGGAGAAAGATGAACTATCAGGATGATCCGCAGTATGCGACGTTCAAGCAGCTTCTCGAAGCGCCAGTTGCCGATGCGACGGCGATATTGCAGGAGAGATTCCCGATGCCAAGATATATTGTCACTGAGCATGAAGGATCGCAGGTGAGATTTTGGGGAGGAATAGAAACTGAGAATTAGATATGATATTGGTTTAGGCTCGATTTTTGCTTTCGAAGGTCAATCCGTCCCTTACTCACAACAATCCGTATGCTTCTGAAGGCGGAGCGGCGGTTTTCACCGACGACGTTTCGCTTCAAGTATTTATGGAGCATTTGAAGAAGCTCGCATCGTCATCGTCCACATAAAGTTTAAATTATTGTTCCAGAATAATTATGAAGAGAAATTTGATTTTAAAGCACTCCCGATATTATTAAACTGAAAAAAGAGAAGATTTTCCAACGGGAACCCTGTGATCCTTTTTATCGTTATTATTGTTCCGAACTTCTTCATATTTATTTTTTTTGTACATGTCAATAGAGTAATGTATAGTTTATTTATTTATTTATTTAAGAAAAAAGAAATTGTGTATTGGAATGATGATTGCTGTTAGAAGACGAAAAGAAAGAATTAAAAACCTTCTATAATACAATAAGCTTCCAATGTGCTTAGAAGGACATATAGCAGCCATGTAATTATGAATACACCAAATGAAATATATCGCCAATTGTTTGGACCACCGAGCTCTCCGCGTATTGATTTATTGAATCTGAAAATTGGATTGGGTCGCTGCAAAAAGAAATGCACTTTTTGAAATATTAAATGAAAGAAGACGTTAATTAAAATGTTAATTAAAGTAATTATGGGGTTTTTTGAAGAAGAATTTGAAAAGAGCATGAAAAAGCATAAAATATAGACATTACCTTCGATATTGCAATAGGAATACGCAGATGATTGATCCGATGAGGAACATGGTCACTGAAAATGCCAAAGAACCCGTTGCAACCATGAATCGTGTGCCTCGATAGGCGTGAACGCACGCGGCGATCGCCCACGCGATGCCAATTCCGAGGAAGACGTTGACGGCGTTCGAGCCGGTCACATTGCCGATCGACGAGTCGGCCCATTTGTCTTGAATCGCGGCGGTTTTCGAGGCGAACGTGTCGGGAAGCGACGTGCCCATGGCGACGAGCGTCAACGCCGTCACCGAGTCCTTCATTCCGACGGTGCAGCCGAACGCCGACGCGAGATCGCCGATGATGGCCGTCAAGACGCCGATCATGAAGATGGCGACGACGAAACACAACCAGCCGTTGAAGTAGTCGGTTGGCGGGATCAACGCGAAGAGAAGCTTCCATGGAAGGGAAACGTAGTGGATGATCTTCTCCTTCGTCGTGATCGCGCCGCCCTCCTCTTCTGGAAATGGTTGACGTTGGGAAATGGATGCGATTCTCGATTTTGGAGTAGTCATACCCGGTTCCAGTGTCAACGCCTCCTGGAATTGCTGCTTCCAACTCGACGTGCCAACCATCAGCGACGTGTTGGCATTGACGACCCATTTGTCGACAAAACTCTTAAACTCGCGATCTTCGGTGATGACGACCTTGCACTTTGAGAATCCCAGAATCGGTTTGCCTTCGATTCCTTCTTCCTGCAGTTTTCGAGTTGCCCTTCCCCTTCTCATCGAGGTGCACTTCATCTCATAGGCATGCGTGCAGGGTGAGTTCACAATATTGTGGTGGATCGAGAATTTGAATTGCCGCCTTGGGTCTCGTGACGTGGAAATTGAGCGTCATAGCGTATAATTTGAAGAATTGCGAATAGGGATGGGGGGTAGGCGAAATTCAAAATGGTCCGTCCACGACAATACGACATCCCCAATGCATATCAATGTGAGTTGGGTGAATTATTGTAGTTCGAAAGAGAAAAAAAACAAGAAACAAATAAAAACATGCATCATCAGCAATCACCCGATGCCAAATTGGCTCGCCGAGTTCGATGTAGAACTCTTCGCTCTTCTCGTATTCGTCGTCGTTCACGATTGGAATGTGAATCTCAGCTCTAGAATCATGCTTGTTCGTCTTCCCCGCGAAACTCGCCTCATTTCAATTTTCTACCTGGTTTGCTCGTCTTTGAATTTGAGGACGCCTTCTTGATGCAAATAATCTCCCGGCGATTTTGCGACGCCGTCAACGGTCTTGTACGGAATCGAGACTTCGCCTCGCGCGCCGCGTGATCGAACAACCTATATGAGAAAGCTGAGTCATATGGGGGGGGGGCTGGGGTGGACGAATCAAAACCTCGGCGACAAACGTTCCGCAACTCTCGACGCATTTGAATTTCTCCGAAGCGAACCCGAAACAGCCGGCGTGATCGTCATCGATGACAATCACGGTAGCGGTTGAAGCGAGACCCAAACGCGATGGGACCGATGAGAAGTGCTCGGAGCGGAATGCGCGCACCTAAAATGTTCAATCAGTGTTTCGCTGCCGCTCGTCGAAGCAACCTGCGAGAGCCGCACAAAGAATTGCTCGTCGTCCTCATAAATATCGTTGTCGACAATTTTAACTTTGATGTGCTGCTCGGTGACGCCCGGCGCGAACGTCAGTGTGCCTTCGACGGGCTCGAAATCGGAATGCTCTTGCGCGGTGTCGGCGATGGTCCTTCAAAAGTGTCTTTTTTTTGTGTTGAAGCCTATTTCAATTGAATACCGATAATGCACGGTAACCGTCGTGTCGTCGGGAACACTGCCGCGATCGCATTTCACTGTCAATCGAACGTCGCCGACATTTTCGAGGCACGTGTAGTTGGCGGGTTCAAATCTATGCCAATGCATTTCGATTTCAGCGCCATCAATGTTGATCAACTCACTCAACTGTCGCAAAATCCGCCTTCTTAACGAGTGGATCCTCTTCGACCTTCTTCTTCAGCTTCTTCTGAATATCACCAGATCCGATGAGTTTTCTAGTCGTCTGAAATCATTTCATCATTGTTTTTTCGAGCAAAAACGCTCAATTTACTTGAATTCGATAGAAAGCTCGACTTTTTTTTTTCTCGCTCACTACTTTCTCCATTGCGTGCTTTTCGAGCTCATCAACTGGGCAATCCGGATTCTCTTGTCTGTAATTTTCAACGCAAACTTGAATCATTGCCAATATCCTCATTTTGCGTGCAAATGACACACTATAATGTAGTTGCAAAAGAAATTGCCTGGGCTCATTTTAAAACTGTCTCATTGTAATATAAAAATTATAATAGCATAGTTTGAAGAAGCACATAGAAAGAGCATTCAATAAGCTTTCGAATAATATATAGCAGTTAAATTTCTAGTAATGTTTTAATGGAATAAAATAAGTTTTAAAAATCACTGAAATCTTCAATTTTTGAACAAGCCTGAGCTTTGCAAATATATTTTTTAGCTTCGCGAATATATAATTATCTAACATCATCTATTAATTTTTGAGTTCTGAGAAGTCAGGTACCTCAACTTTTTGAAAATATTCAAATAGTGCTGCCGCTGAAGCTCATAGGCCGCTGCGTCGGCGTCGCCGATCAACGACTTCCGCTGATCACCGCCAGCTTCAATATTCTCATCTCTTCGCTTTTGCGATCGACGAGGCGATCGGCGAAGGAATGATGATATCGGGCCTCCGAAGAATCTGAACGTCTAGATCGAATTATTCCAAGCTTCTTATAATGCCTACCGTTGCCCGAAGGTGCCCGCATAGGTGTCGGTGAAGTAGGCGGTAAGAACGGTCAACGGGAAGAAAATGAATGTCAAAATGCCTTCCCAAACCTCAAATTTTTTGTTGTTGTGAACTTTCACAGTTGTGATTTTTTCGTACCTCGACTTCTCCAGGACTGAAAACGCTCAAAATGAGGTAGAGCCAAATATAGGCGAACGTCGACCAGACGACGGTCACCCAGAATACACCATTATGCTGAACTCGACGAATTTCGCCGTTGGGAATTGCCTACAATCGAAAATTTGTTGGTTTGATCAATTGGATTCATCTCACAATAATGCAGATTGCAATAATCACAAACAAATTGAACGCGGCCGATCCAACGATTGTCGATGGTCCCAAGTCGCCAGCCTCGAAATTGTTGCCGAAAATTTCGATGACAGAGAGCAGAATTTCGGGAGCCGACGAGCCGAGTGCCATCAGCGTCAGATTGCTGACAGTCTCGTTCCAAACTTGAATGAGCACCGTGTACGGCTCGCCGTTGAGCTTCTTCATTTTCACCGATTTCGTTTGCGACGTGATCACTTCGATCGACGCCATGAAGCGATCAGCAACGATCGAGACGCCGAAGAACATGTAGGCGAGAGCGACGAGGTAGACGATCGCTCGGAACCACACTTTGCATTCGGAGATGTTCTCCTGGAAGCTGACGAGTTGCTCGAATTGCTAGTAGTAAAGCACATACCGACGGCTGCCATACCGGCAAAACGACGCCTGGCTGACACGGCTTCGCCTTGCTGCACGTCTCTTGCGGAGAGGGCAATCTTTGAGAGACGACCTTTATGACCTACAAGATATTATCAAGTCTACCATTCAGCGAGGACGACACGGATTTTCAAAGATTATATTGGGGGGAGGGAAAAGCATTAGATAAGCTCATGAATGATATACCATAAAATCGGATAATAAAGTCAAATTTTGATGGAAAATAAATATTTAAAATCTTGGTATAGTCGGCGTGTGCTCGGGTAGATTTACGGGGATGAGTCTTTCTCATGGTCTCGCACGGACTACTAAACGGTTATTTCAAATTTTGTGGACCGGTTCGATAATTTTCTTTTGACGTTGGAAATTCAAAGAAATGGGAAGCTCATCAAGAAAAATTGACCGTTCACCCGAAAACAAGAAAATAAGCGTTCACACGTGGCGAGACCTTTTCAAGGCGCATGCGCGTAAATCTACCCGTGCACAGCAGTCGCCGGACGCCAACTATATTATAAAATCTGAAAATAAAGTCAATTTTTGATGGAAAATAAATATTTAAAATCTAGGTATTACAAAGCGAAAACCTGCATTTTTTCTTAACAAACTGATAGGATCGATGGTCCCCAATAGGAGGTACCTCTAAAGGGGGATTCCAGTTTTGACTAGAAATGAGAATCTGGAAAAAATGAGCAAACCTCTTCAGTTGGTTGAGCCTCACCAACGCAGACTAGTGCGCAGAAATATAGGAGGAGCAAGTATGTGTTGGTCATCGCATTGATCACTCTGAAATTCGGCAAAAATGTCGAGAAAATTGGTGGGAGAGGTCTCGTCGCGTTGTGGATGCGCCTTTAAACGAATGGACGATTTTTCGGATTGAAAAATGGGAAACAAAAAATAATAGATGTGCGATTTTGCTGGAAACCCTATACTTTTCGCATTAAGACCTCCCATAGTCGAGAGAAAAAAAAACAAATGAAAACAAAACATCCGCATTTTTTTCGTGTTGAAAGACTAAAAATCGCGGGTGGTGTGAAAGTTCAAAAAGATAAAATAATAAGGAACTAGAAAATACGAAGGGTATGTGATTCGTCGAAAAATCGACTGTAAAATATTTTGAGATTCATTGAGAAACTTGAGGCAATCTAGAATTTGCTCAATAAATTTTTAGAAAAAAATTATTTTTTTTTTTAAGTTTGTCGAGTTTCAAGAAGTTTTAGAAAGTAACTAGAATTTCTCATAATATTTTAGAGTTTTTTTTTACTGCATTTTTTGATTCTCAAAATTTTTTATTTGATTTCCCTGAGTGGATGGATACCAACTGTTAGAAACCTCAGGAAAATCAAGCAAAATATTTTAAGAATCAAAAAATTCATTTATAAACTAGAAAATATTATGAGAATTTTGAGAATCTTGAAAACACGTTTTAAAATTTTTTTTAAGATTTTCTAAAAATTCTAAAATCTTATAATAATTTCTAAAGATCATTGAGAAAAATCTAAATGATTATAGAGACATTTTAGTTTCTCAATGAATCTCAAAAAAAAATGCATTCGATGACTTTAATTGAATCGAATTGAAACAATCCATTCAAAACGCGAATGTCCATTCAAATTAGCGTGAAATTGAAAATTTTTCATGTGTGTGATATAGCAAATCGAAAATTAATTTGATAGGGGCAATTGGTTGTCTTCTCATCATCCAAAACCGACCACATCAGCGCGATATTCATAAATTATCCGAAATCGGTCACGATGGTGGGGTTCGGGCGATGATAGGAGAAGAAGAAACTAAACAAAAAAAAATTGGAAGACGCACCAATAAAAAAATTTTGTATTCGATGACGACCTTGGCCTCTTAGCTTGTTCTCTAATTTATTTAGGCGTTTTGAAGAAGAGAAATGATTGCCAGCAAGAGTAGCAGTAAGCGAACAAAATTGCGACCACCCCAATTCGTTTCGTTTCGAATTTGCGGTTGGGGGACGAATTCTCCACTCACGAGTTGATTCGCACCTCGTTCTTTCAATGCGAATCGAAGAAGACGATGATGGCAAAAAAAAACAATACCAACAACAACAAGAGTGGGACGAGAGAGAGAGGGAAAAGAAACAAATTCGGCGTTTGTATATGCATTTTAGACGTCGTCTTGTTTTTTGAAAATAAACAATTCGCCAGATGTCGTTTATTCAGCGAGATCCGTTTCAATGGCTTAATAAGAAATTTGAGCATTTCTAGGAAAGTTGTGGAAAATTTCGATGGAATTGAATGAGATGCCCAATTTGGCTGTCAGAAATATTTTTCCCGAGCTCTCAATTTTGATGACTATTTATTTTTTTGATCTGCCGACATATTGCGGGTGCGGGCATTTCTGAATTTAATTCGAGAATGATGTCTGATTCGCAGGTTATCCGTGTTTTGAAATTTTTGGCTTCAAAATAAATATATATGCGGAAAATTGGCTAAATGCCAAAAAAATAGTGATAGTGGTCTTGGCACAAAACGTATAGTGTAGATTTACGGGCTTATGCATAGAGCACATCGGGACCTCTTTTCAATTTTTTTGGCATTTCGCCAATTTTCCGCAGTTGCGTGACGTCTACTATATTACGTGTAGTATTGCGCGCGTTCTGCATTGAGGGCAGCGCGTGTCTGCGTACTCTGCATTTTAGCGTACGCGCAATTATTATTTAGCTAGCCGGGGGGGAAATTTCCATTTTGGTATATCTATAGTGATTGTGAAAAATTGAATTTCCCGCCATCGACCATTTAAATGAAATTTCATTTTCCGATCAATTTCATCAGAGTTAAAAAAATATATATCACGTGGCCTAAGATTTGAATAACGCGGACTAACTTTTGAAAATATTGAAAATTGTAATTAAGCTGCATTTTATAGCGATTTGGGTCCCTATTGTCGGTTGAAAACAGCGGTTGATAATTTCGCGAAAACAGTGTAGATTTATGATTTTCTGAATTTGGCATTGACTGAGTATTAAATGCACGATAATTTTTTACACATGCAATAATTATTTGTTTTCTTTTCAAATTAAAATCAGTCCCTAGAAAAAAATATATAATTTTTAAGGAAAAATATTATGTCACTAGTATTTTTGTAAATAAAAAGGGTGGTAAAGTTGGCGGTTAATAGTTAGCTCGTTGAAAAGTCATTTTTAAACTAGTGGACCCGGCCAAGAGGAAGGCCTCCCATGAGATGGTCGGACTCGCTTCGGAAGGAGATCACTACAAGAACAGCTGAAGGAGCCGTTATCACCCCCTGGTCCACCCAAGCCAAGGACCGAAAAGCTTGGAAAGCTGTGGTTCGCGCCTCAACAGGCGAAGGACGAACCGACTAAGTGACTAAGTGACTAAGTGAATAGAAAAAGTTGATTCAGGGTTATTCTTTTTCTAAAAATTGTTGGAACACCTTCCCTATCGATTGACAACAGTGGCTGGCCGAATTAGGCGTGGCCGTGGCCGAGTCGCGTCGGCGGCCTCATAATCCAACTACAATAAAATCAGAATAATATAATATGTATCGCTTTTATTGAAATCATTGTCGTTATGTCGTTGGTATGTTAAATTCGTGTTTAATTACCCATGTTTGATGGTGCAATAAAATGTTTTGGCGCATTCTTGGTGAACAAACAATCGATCATTCCACCCGAAACTATGCACCAAAAAATTGCATTAAAAAAAGACAATGAAACGTGTGGAAGACAGGAATGTTCCATTCCAAATATGTCGAATAAAATAAAAGAAATTCCGCGTCGGTTCCGCGGTGAAACCTAATTACCCTTGAGTGGGGTTTTCTCGAATGACAATTTGGACGAAAACAAAAAAAATAACATACAACAACCAACTTTTTTTTTCTCTTTTGTCTTCTCATTTTTGTTGAAATCGACAAATCTCCAAGAAAATCGCCCATTCGAAATTCATGAGAGCGGCAACGCCGAGAAAATTGAGCAGAAGAGAAAAGGTGCGACCGACGCACATATAATTTGAAATCAAAATTTGGGTGCGGGCGACATTCTCCCAACCTTATATGGTCGTGTTCGCCTGTTTAATTGGCAATATTTCAATTAAACTCGTTTTGAAGACAGCAAAACGACCACAAATTTCGCTATTGATGAGGATTCCGACATGTACACCAACTTAAATTTAGCTGAGGGGGTTGCTGCCAGTGGAATCGAGCCCCCCTATTATTTCAGATGAGCAATGAGTCTGGCTCATCAATGGGTTCTGAGGAATGCTTGAACAATAAACACTTAATAATTTGCGAGTGTGTAATCGCTCATAAAAAAGACTATTGGGGACCGAAAAAGAAAAAATCGGGGCGCCTTTAAACTTTTAACGAACACTAAAAAATAATTGAATTGGTCACAGAAATCTGCTGGGCCATATGAGATCCGAAAACCCTTTCTGAAATTTTTTAAATCATCATACTAGCTGACGCCTCTTTTTAAATTCGAACAACCCCAATTCAAACTTAATTGATTACCTCTTTGGCGTTCTTTTTTGCAATTGAAAAACGAAAAAAAAACAATCGCATGATTGGAAGACGAAAAAAATTGGATTAGTCCTCAAAGATTGAAAAAAAAAGGAAAACGACAAAGAAAAAAATGGTTTAATGCACAGATTTCCAGTGTCTACATCAAAAAAAGGAATTGGGGCATTTGAAAATTTTTTGTTATTTCAATGCCTGTGTTCTGCTAATTTCCAAAAGGTGACCTCTCTGGACTTGACATGAATATTTAAATGAGCTTCTCTACTCTTTCAGATCACCTTTCCTTAAATGACGTTGACTTCTCGTATATTAATAATGTATATGTTGTATATACAGGAATTATAAATGATCAAGGCGAAAAGTTGTGGAAGGCTGACAATTAATTGGCCGTGAAAACGGCGGCCACGCTATTCACGGTCATCGAGTTAATCGCTTTAAAATAAATTCGTGAACGGTTTTTCATTGTATTTGATTGCTTCAAAAGTAAAAGTTAAACAATTTTATGGAAAAGATTACGTAGAAAATATTAACTTTGTGGAAAAATTTTATCAAAACTCAATTTTGTTTCCGACAACCGCAACCGCCCACGTAGAAATCTTGGCAATTCTAAATACGACATTATTTCTTGCAGAATGCGTCGTAAAATTGCGGAAAATGACACACAACGAAAGCCGAGTGCCCGGATTTCGTTTTTTTTTGGTGTACATTTTTTTCTTTTTCTTTTTTTTTGTGAAAGCTATTGAACGTGCGAGAATTTCTTCTCGTCACCCAAAAATAAACGCCATTCGATGTTTGCCTATTTTTTTTTGAAAAAAAAAAACGAATATTTCCAAGAGGTGGCACAAAATGGGATAAGAATGAGAAGGAAATGGGAAAGATGGAACGAGCTCCTCGAAAAGTAATGAGCAATTATGTGGTGAGCCGGCGAGGCCAATGAATGACACGAGATCCATCAATCTGTTGGCAGAGTGTTCCTTTCATCATTTTTCTTCATTTTTATTTTGCTCATCACGATTATATCTCAGAAAAAAACGTAATTAGATGAGCAAAAGAAATCATAATTTGTGGGCGGTTTCGCACGTCAAACATCGCTCCATGGAAACTGATACTTTTCATGTTTTGTCGAGTTTAATAAATATTTTAGAAAAGCTGTGTCGTCTAGAATGTGAGATCTCATTTTTCGGAATATAAAAAAAGGGATAAGGAATGGATTTTTAATTGCACAATATAACGGGGCTGTCGTTTCGACCGCAATGCACGTGTGGACTAGAAATATGTCTTAAAAATTAGGTTCGGCCACGGCCACACTTGATGGATTAGTTAATTTAATCAAGTAGAACCAACTGAATGAATAAGTATATATTGAGTGTGCTTACGATTTCAAAAACCCGAATATAGTTTCGCAAGAAAAACCAAGCATTCTAAAATCATTTCCAATAATAATTTCTTCACTGGAATTGCATAATTATCCATTTCTGATCCATCAAAAATTACAAAAAATCATTAAAAACCCCACGATTAATTATAAACAGAAAAAAACGACTTTTCACTATTTTTTCATCGCAATTTTAATTAAAACCGACGCCAACCGCGACGCATACGCTACGCGATCAATTTTCGGCCGTCTAAGCGCGCGAATTTGAATACTCGGCTTTGGTTCGGCTCGACTTTGAAAAGTCAAGCCTGCATTATAGGAGCATGACATCTGAAATTCAATTGAATCGAATTTTTTTTGAAATTTTCGAAATAATTGTTTCAAGGGAGTGTGTTGATCAATAAAAAAAGAAAACTAAAACTTTTCAATCTGTGGTCTCGCAACGAAAATCAAGTGAATTCAGCAATCTTAAATTATATCCAAATAAGTGGCTTATAAATGAAATGCTGAGATTATTTTTCTCTACTTCAGACAAAATTTGAAATGTTGAAATCGAGGCCGAAAACGAGACTCGAGGATGACTCATAAAAATATTTGTGACTTTCAGAGTCAATCCATGAATCCTTCAACAATGGATGATTGAAGTTTCCATAACAATGGGCACGCAACAAAAATTGAGAATGAGGGTAAGCATTTCGACAAGGAAAAAGAATAAATGAATGATGGTTCGCTTTAGTGGCATTTTTCATTAAAATTCCAAAGGCATTCTATCGAGAAATGAAGCTAAGAATAAACATTTGAAATATGCATATCAATGACTGAAAATGGCCGAGTGAAAAAAGAATCTTTTGGACTCTAAGTAGTTTTTTTCTTTTTTTCTACAATGAAATTTTCTCTATTAAAAAATGTGCAACTTAAAAAGAAAGGCAAAACATTTTCCCAGTTCAAAAATCTGTGACATTCCGTTTTTTTTTTGAAATTTGATTTTTAACAGATTTTTTTGCTAATTTTTGGCAATCAGTTCCGCGGAAATCAGAAAATAAAGCCGCCATCTTCAGTGTTGAAAATTATTATTTTTTCGCTTCATAACTATTTTCGTGTAATTCACACGTGCTCCTTTAAACATCTACAGTAATCATTGCTTGAAAATGTTTCGAGATGTTTCAACTTTTGAGGTGATTCGACAGAATGAGAAAATTTCGATTTGCGTTGATGCGAAGACGACGGCGCGAAACAAAACATCAATGAATTTCGCCTTGAAATTTACGAGAAAATCTTCCCATCAAAAATCACTCGGGCCCAAGTCAAGTACATCGTAAAACAATGAGAAGCCAATAAAATCTGGAGTGACTCTCATTAGCCATCTGCACACCAGATATTGAACCGCCGGAATAACAAAAAAAACTGATGAACATGTGGGAAAATCCATGAAATATTCATTTCATTAAAAAATCGCCTGTTTCGAACTTGTCGCTACAAGACCCAGCGCATTGCATTATTGAGCCTTTGATCAATCATTTCAGTTTTTTTTAAACACTTCGCGATTAGAAATTTTATTTTTAAAACACGGGAATTAAAGGCGCACGCAATTTTCCCATTTTTTCAAACAAAAAAAAATGAAAATTGAAGACTTGTGTGCTCATTTTGAGTGCACACGAACCCGAAACGTCCTCAGTTTCCATAGCGATATTTAAAATTCCAGTCTCCGAAAATTCGGCTCGTAAATGAGCTAAGAGACTTCTCAAAAATAATGCTTCAATTCTTCAAACACTATATTTTTATTCATAAGCCGATTTGAAAAAAAAGTAATGGTAAACAGAATAAAGAATGGTTAATCAGAATGTAAATGTACACAAAATTAGATCGAGACTAGCTGCATAAATGGTTAGGATTTGATTCCAAGGATTAGAAAAAAAAAGAAGAAGAAAGGAAAACACGTTGTGAAAAGTGGTGGATGGGAAGGATTGTCATACCGCAAGTCTCTTATAAATATTTAGCACCCAATTCGGGGAGAAAAAGTAAGCATTGAATATCTCTGTACATTTTTTTGCAAAAGCTACACGTGAGTGTGGTTATAAAGGGCCAACGATTTACGTGTTGATGGCAGTCACGAATCCTTGCCTCTCGAGTATTCGCAAGCGTTTCTCGACGGCCGCTTTGTACCTAAACGCAAAATCAATTAGGAGGCTGATTCAATTAGCAATCATTAATTAATTACCTTGATAGAACCGTCTTGTCCTGTTCGCAATTCACTTGTTCTGACAATGTGTGCAGCATCATATAGGCTGTTTGATATCTGAAATTGCATTAATTATTTTAAACTAAGTACATATCAAATTTTTCAGTCGGAATTCGAGAAATTAAACATTTGAAAATCGCCAATTTCAAACAAATCTAATCGAATTTGTTTCAAGGTTACACCAATTTTCACCTTTTTCTTTAAATCATCAATTTACCTTTGACTACATTGTTGCGGATTGCCAAACAATTCATCAAGAGCTGCCGCCTGACAAAGATCAATAGCATGTTTGTACATTATACGCTCAGCGGATATCACTGCCATTGATGGATCCTGTCCAGGAAGGCCAAGTGAAGCCAATTCTTGTGATCGTACCTGAATAGTCAATTGTGATAATAATAATACTAATAATAGAGCAAAAACTCACCAAGCACTGATGATACTTGTCGTTAAGCTGATTGAGAACTGTCTGAACCGCCACCGACGGATGAAGAACGTTATTGGCAACATTCGTCTGCGCGAGAAGCAACGCCGATGAGAGCATGTGAAGTGCTCTCACATACACGACAAGCTGCTCAGCTCGTCGATAGGCCGTCGATGACGTATGCGACGAGGTGGTGTCCTTCTTCTTGGTGGCCATCGCCAGCGGATTGTCCTTCTGCTCGGCGACATGCATCAGTGTGTCGACGAGATCCGACACGAATCGCAATTTCGCCAATATTTGCTTGTGCTCCTCCTGCATTACCGTCTCCTGCTCAAGAGCCGGCGGTGGAACCGGCATGTCCTCATGCTCATCCATTCCAGTCTCATCGGCGAACAAAGCGGGACCATTGAATGGCAATGAGGACTGAAAATGAATATGAAACAAATTCAATTTGGGTTGTGAAGTTACATTTTTGAACGACACCGGTCGCTCAATATTCAGTGATTCGTCCAGTTTGTTATTCGACGATACTGGCTGTGACGACGACGAATCATCTCCAATGCTATCCGTCATTCGCGACATATCTAAAATTGAAAAAAAATTTACCAATATAACATTTTCGAATAAAATTACCTGTCTGGATTGGATTCGAAGCAAACGGCAACTGAAGCTGATCGCGCGAATCGTCTTCCTCATCATCGGAAAGATCACTGCAAAAAATCGAGCTTCAAAATCGCAATTTTCTCGCTGTTTTAATGATTGACAATTTATCATAATAAAAAAAAATGAAATGCTTCTTCTTGAGAGCAATCAGAACAAAAAGAAAAAAACAAAAAGACTCACGTCGATCTGCGTTTATTGACGACGAACGGCTCAATCGGCCGCGTTGATGATGATGATTGCGCGTCGGTCGTCGCGTTCGACGACGTCTGCTGATATTTCGCGTTGTCGAGCGGCTCGTTCTCGCGAATCGGCGACGCGGCGAGCGGCGAGATCGCCAACGGCGCCGTCGCCGATCGATCGCGCTGCTGCCGCATCAGCTCGAGGTTGGTCGTCGTCGCCGACTTGGGAATCGCCGACTCTACAGTAGGCGGCACTTGACCAGGCAACAACGCGGGCTCCTCCGACGTCGAGAACGTCGATCGACGGGTGCGTGTCGTCTCGACCAGCGAGCGTCGAGAGGTGCCGTTTCGCACAAGGAATGTGGCTGGAAATTGGAAGCAATTACGTCATCTAATCTAAGTGTTGCTGTTAGTGAGGAGCATGTGAATAAACGTATGATTCGCATTCCAATTAATCGGACAACTACACTCACTTTGCGGTAAGTTGATCTTCTCAATACTAGCAGCACTCGGCGGCGTCATCGAGACTAGCGGATCGGCAGCCACCTGAATCGGCGTCGTCGATTTGATCGTCTGTGTCGTCGTCATCGCGTCTTGTGACGACGGCTGCTGATTCGGCGACACCATTCTCGCCATTCGTCGCTCTTCCATTTTTTGGTACGCCATTCGTTGGCTCGGCACCGGAACCGCTTTGATGTTCGAGTTCGGATTGACATTCGTGTGCACTTGGACCTAAAGCGAGTTTCGTTCAAATTCGTTTCTCGTTTCACACGAATCGGTTAAAAAAAAAAGAAGAAAGGCACGGCAAACACGACCGATTCGATGGGATGGCGACTCACTTGTTTCACTGGGCTCGCTTCTTGACGCGGCGGCAAGAACGTGAAATCGCTGCTGTCGCCGATGTCGTTCAACGTCGGCTGCGTGTGCGTCGTCTGAATATGCCGTCGCGAGGCTCTCGGTGAGTCCGTAATCGAGCCGATTCGTCGACTCGGCGTCGGACTCTCGACTTTGCTGCTCATCGACTTACGCGCTGGAATTGGCAACGCCGACGTTTGAGGACTTCCAGCGATTCGTCTGCAATATTCGAATCGTCCGAAATTCATTGCGTTGCGTTTACCTAGCCGTCAACGGCGATCTCGGCGACATTCCATCCATTAATCTTCTCGACGGACTTGGCGTTGGAATCGGGTTCACAAGGAATGGATGTGTGAAGAAGTCTTCTGCAAAAGAGAAAAAAATTGTTGGTTATTGAAACAATTGAGTGATAAAACTCACGGAATGTAATGCGATCCGCCGCGTTTCGTTTGAGAAGTCTCAGCAAAAGATCACGAAGGCTCGGCGAGCACCAATCGGGAATATTCGGTCGAAGTTCGCGACTCTTCTCATAAAACGCTTTGAGTTGTGGGGGTGTCGAAGCCTAATAATGGAAGTTTTCAACAAAAAAAAAAGACAAGCTCATACCACAAATGGGGCTTTTCCCGTCAAACACTGATACAAAATTGTTCCAATCGACCACAAATCGGCTTTGGCGTCATACGCCATCGACATTATCACTTCTGGCGCCATATACATTGGCGAGCCGCATAGTGTGGCAGCCATCACTCCTTCGTTCAAAAATCTCGCGAAGCCGAAGTCGGCAAGCTGAAATTTCAAAATTGGAATGAAATGATTCGAAGAAATGCCGGTGTTTACCTTGATGGTGATTTCAGTGTAAGGCGGATCTTTTTGCCGAACTGGTGTGCATAGCAAAATATTCTGCGGCTTCAAATCGCGATGAACAATTCCGAGATTGTTGATGGCTTGAAGAGCTCGGGCTGAAGTTCAAAATTCGATTAGAAATGTAGAGTTTCAAGTTTGACTGATAAATTTTTCTTATTAGCTTGCAAAAGGAATGCAATTTTTTAAACCTTAATTTTAAAGAAACCCATTTCAACATGTGTTCATAAAAATAATTATGGCATATTTAAAAAAATATATTAGAATTCGAATGATAAATAACATTCTATATTATAGTAGGTTTTTTGTTGGAATAAAATAAATATTGAAAATATGCAGAAACTTGTATATATCTTTTGCAACGATATTTCGAAATGAAATATTCAAAACTGACCAATTTGGATGACGAAATGCTGAATGACCTCCTCTCGAAGCGTATTTTTATTTTGCAAATAGTCGGCCAAATCGCCACTATTGCAATATTCCATGACGAGGTACACGTGCGTCGGCGTTTCCGTGCATTTTAAAAGGCCAACAAGATTATTGTGTTTGAGTCCGCTGAGCTCTTTTAGAATTTTGATCTCCTTCTGCAGTAGATTCTTCGATTTCGAGATGTTCTTCTTCGCGATCGCTTTTATCGCCACCGGTATGTCGGGCCTCTGCAAGAAACTCCATCAATTGCCAAACTAATCCCATGGATTCGGCGGCGGCGCTGACCGCCCGCTTCAAAGACCAACAACAAAAACACATTAGGGGCTTGAAAGCGTATTATATTACGGAGAAGATAGCCGCTGCCACCGACAGACACTCGGCTCACATCGAAAGTATCCCCCCCCCAACCGCGAAATCGAATACCTCTAGACAGATTTCAAGAAAACAAAATTCAAAAAAATTCCTTTTTTTTTATTCGCTACCCATTAAGCTGACGTCATTTCGCAATAAATCCGTCGACACTAATTATACATATACGACTTCATATTATATTCATAGAATATCGAGAATGGTTTAAATATTTATTCGGAAAATTTCCCGCATTTATAACCATTGGTTCTATAAGATGATCAATCTTGAGACAAGATAAGAATACACTTTTTTGCTTTGAAATATTTTCTTTCCTACAAATATGCATATTCGAGAAGCATTTTCTCTCGTTTTCCACCTAGCAAAACGCGAGCAATGCCGTAAATCAATCAAAAGAAAAAAAAGCAAACAATTTTTTTTCTGTTTCCTTTTTCCATAACTAGATGCACTTTTTCAGAGCAGTCAGTGTAAAAAGACGAATCAGCTGAGAATTTTTTGGCCAGGTTTTTTGCTCACGAAAAATTGTCACAAAATCCTAATAATTGGCCGGCAACTGGTTCCCAACTCCAAAATTCTTTTGCGATTGAAACACATGATCAGTTTTTGTGTAATACTGATCTTTGATGTAATGATAACAACCGATTTACCTCGATATATCGGCCGCGGTAGACGATGGCGAACGCACCATGTCCAAGTAGATCCTTTCGATTGTACTCGAAACCGTCAAACTGCTCCATTTACAGCATTCGTGTGGCGCGGTTTAACGAATTCTGCAAGGCAATCGATAATGAAATTCGGCGAACATAAAGAAGCATGAGCGCGTGTGCAAACAATCAATGTAGTTTGGATACCTGATGAGGTGAATCGAAAAGGGAAGAAGAAGAAGAAAAAAAATGAAGTCACAAAGAAAATATCGATATAGAAGCTCGATAGACGATGAGGGGTGCCGAAGCTTTGCTAGTCAAGTCAGAGGAGGTAGCAGCGGTCTTTGTCTGTCGATTCTGGCCGCCCTCTTGTTTTGCGCCACTCTCACGCCCGCCATTTTTCCATGCCGCTCTCCGGTTTGCCGCGATATCTCGCCAGTCTCGTGTTGTAGTTTTTCCAAGGAGGCACCACTTCTCTACTCGTCTCATTTTCCCTCCGAAATTCTCTCTTCCAGTCATTCGGAGTCGGGAAACAGAGAGAGAGAGAGAGAGAGGGAGGGAGGGAGAACGAAGCGCGGTTGATGGGGTGAGGGGGGGGACATATGGGAATTCTTCGGGACCTACACGTCCCCCTTCTTCTCGCAATATTCCTTCTTTGTGATGCTCACAAATTTTTGCGCGCGTGTGTGTATGTTTTTTTCTATTTTCTTCTTCTTTAGGAGAAATGACGTCATAATTTGAAAGCCCACACGAACGCATTTTCAGCATCATTATAGATTTTCTGAAGAGGGAGAAAATTTGGAGAAATGAGTAAACAAACAAGGGCAAGTGCACTGTTTTTTTTTTTTTTCAGAATGCACGAGGTTGTTGACCTTCGCGAAAAACAAGAGACTCGAGAAGAGAATTCGGGTTTTGACAACTGTACAAAAATTGTTTGAAAATAAATAGAACACTTCACGTTGCAAAAAATGCCGGTGCAAACCTGAAAAAAAAAAACGAAAAATGGAAAATTAATCGAAAATCTGGGACAACTATAAATTTCTGAAAAATTGCGTAATGCTCGACTGCGTACATCCAAGCTCTGCGTACCGTAACCCTTCAATAAAAATTCCAAAATTAGGAAAAAATTGAAAGCTAAATAAAAAATTGAAACAATTTATAATAGGATCAGTAATAATAATCTGTACACAATTTGAGAGGTTGCCGATTTCGACGTATTTACATTGCCAGCGGGTAATCGCAATTCCAATAAAAACGGATTGTTTTTACGAGAACGTTTCGCAATGGGGCACTCAGAATAAATTACATGGAGCACGACGGAAATTGGAGTGCTCACGAGATGATTTTTTTCGTCGCTAGATTGCGGCCAATTATAATCCGGCGGCAATTTGAAAGAAAAAAGAACGTGACAACTGTCATTTCAAACTTTTCGGTGATTCGAAATGTATACAAATATACGCAAAAAGAAAAAAAAACTTCTGGTTTGTTATGAAATAGACAATTTGGGGGATGCAAAATTAATGAAGTGTATTAAAAATTTTTAAAAATGTTTGAAGGGAGACCACTTAATATCAATATTTTTTAATTGCTAATAATTCCGATGAAAAAGATCATAAAGACCTTTGAAAAAATGATGGAAATGCAAAATTTAAAAAAGGAAATGAAATGCAAAATTTTTACTTTTTTTCTCCATTGAAATTTTCGACTTTTCTTTAACCCATTATGAGTTATAGCTCATGCCCATATATGGCATTCTTACATTATTTGCCGTAAAGAGAAATTTTTGAAAAAATGCTAATTCAATTGTGGTAAAGAAAAGAAAACCTTCTATTTTCACTTTTTTTCCAAAACTTAAAAAATAAATATATTCATAATATGGTAATTAAAAAAAAAATTCAATGCAGAAAAAAATCATTGTTCTTATTTCTCGCTGTAAAAATGCTGAAAAATAAAAAAATAATTTTTTTACTGAATTAACCCTTTCTCGATTTTTTTTTTCAATTAGCGCAAAATGATTCCAGCGTTGCATGCTTAATTCATTGCCTTGAAAACTGGAATCGAATAGAATCAAAATCTTACATCCCAATTCACTTCGATATCAATTTAAATTTTTCGGCTATCATCACAATGCAGTAAATTAGCGATGTAAAACATAAAACCATGTCACTGCCGGCGGCGACATTGACCCGTTTCAACTAACCAATGTTTTCATTTCGGTGCGCTCCCTTTTTTTTATTAAATGAATAACTTAGTCCGAATTGGGCAGGCGGTACCGTCGTCGCGAGAGACGGACACGCTAGGCGAAAAAAGATAAGCACTGTCGTCGAGATGTCGTTCGGAATCATAATAACTTAACACGAACCAAGTCGACGACATGTCTACTGGCTGCCAGCTATTCGGTCTTCATTGGGACAATTCATTCTTCAAAGGTATACTGTAGCAATTGTTAACGATGTGCCTTATAGTTTTGGGAATTTTGCAGGAAGCGGGCTGTGGATCTTCCTGCTCGGTTTCTCTACCGGATGCCTTCTATTGACAGTGGCGTATTCGCTAATCTTCATCTATTACAAAGCGACAGCAGCGAAGTCGGACGAATTTAAAATTCGAGTAGGTTTTGAAGGCGAACAAAATTTGTAGAAGCAATATGTCATCGTTTTAATTTTACCATGAGGGAAAAATGATTTGAGTAATCGAGACCCTCTGATTAGAATAAGCCTTTAAATTGCATCGTGATATTATTAAAATGGCAAATCAACGAGGAATTTATAGCTGTCAGTGTGCTGGGGCGAGACACAATACATTCTCAGTGTTAAGCGCCTTTAATCAATTAATTCATTTTATTTTTTACATTTCTGAATTAAGATTTTTCAGAATTTTAACAAAATTTCTAAATATTAAAAAAATAATTTAAAATTTGACACAAAAAGCCAATTTGAAAGGTTCCCAAATTTGGCAAAATATATTTCAAGAACAGATTTTTTTTGTATTTTATGGTCCCAAAAAAAATTTACCGGGCCCTCATTTTTTGCTATTAATTGATTTTCTCCCATCAATTTCTGAATTACACGCCTACAATGCCTTAAGTGTTTTCGGAATATCAAATTTCTAGCAAATTTGGATGAATCGAGCAAAAATTTCAGAAAAAAAGCGAAAAAGAAAAGACAATAATTTTTTTCTGCATTGATCCTTTAAATAAACTCGTCGAAATAAATTGAATTGATGTTTTTCGATGAACTGAATCATAAAACACGAGACGGATTCGAATAGTCGACGTTCGCTTATTTCTATTCGCGTCGTCGCAGCGGCAATTAAACGCGCCGATTAGCATGATTGACCATTTTATTTATTTATGCAAACAAAAAAACCGAAAATCCTCATCAAATTTATCCAATTGAGGGTTTTATTGGAGATATGATTCTTGTTTTGCGAGTATCATAGCTATACATGAGTTTGTGATGACGGCAATCATTAGTCTTCTCGCGACGGACGGACAAGACCACTTGACCCGTGATCGAAAAAAAAAGAAAAGTTTCTTTGAGATGATCGCGAACATTGAGCAAAATTCAGAGATTGGCCTCATTTTTAATTGGAGACGAATCAATTTATTCATTTAAGAAATCGGTCTGGTCCGGTTTGAAAATTCAAATCCCAAAAAATTTGCGAGGGGAGGTGTTTCGAGCCGCCGTTCTAGAATTGTTTAAAATTTCTGGCTCATCGGTAGAATTTGAAATTCTGAATTTAATGGTTAGTGTGCCACTATTTGAAAAAAATGCTGCAAATTTTTTTTCATCTGAAATTTGTGCGAAATTTAAATGGATCGTAGTGGGGCTACTATGTATTAAAGGCGCACGCAAAATGTTGGCCACTACGATTATTTCAAATTTTTTCAATGTTATTTTTTCGATTAAAAAAAAAACAAATATCGCCTCTCTCAAATGAAAAAAGATTTTAATCAAAAATTTCAGTAGTCATATTGAGATGGAACCTTTAATTTTTCGCGTGCGCCTTTAAAATTAATGGGAGTGAAATGCGAATTTTTTTTTTGCATTTTTCCCCACATCTAGGGAATTCCAATTCTTCATTTTTTGCAGTCATGATACTATTGGATCCAATCGTGACAAGACCTAAACGCATCTAGCCAATCAGTTGTTGCGTGTAAGAAAAAAAATTGTCATTCATAGTGTATTCCTCGAAAGTACTGAATAAAATAAAAAGCGTAATAGGTTGCTGGCAAAAACCCAAAAAAAGTAAATGCGGTTCAAAAATTTTTCCCCGTCTCGTCTGTACTCTCTCAACTTTCGTTGTCCCTCGCTCTGCAAATCAATTCCGTATTTTTTTTTACAAAAAATGAATTATAATAATTTTTCATTAAATTCAATCAAAAAGAGCGATGAAATTAATGGTACTACGCAAAAAACCAACCAGTCTTTTGAGTTTTCTTCCCAAAATCTACAGCCCGCCCTCGCCCGCTCATTTTTCGCTTGAACCATTAAATTAAATATAGTATTTTCTTGGGCGAATGAATTCGCGAAACCTTTCTTTAAATATTTGAAATCCCGCTTTGAGTCTCGTATGGAAGGAGGTTATTGATTGGGACCCATGAAATTGATTCCTGTACATTTTAAATCTTCAAATTCTTCCGTCAAGCAATACATATTCTTCGCAATTCTTAACATTCAATCTAAAAATTTGATTGTTTTTTAAAATATATTTAACGCATTTTTAAAAGAAATCACCGAAAAATTCTTTAAAAAATGTCATTAAAAAATTTTTGAAAAATTGGCGGACGTCAAATGTGCCATGGCCGAATAATTCGCGGCCGCGCTACAATCAGCTTTCTATTCATGAATAGAAACCTTAATTGCATCATGCAAATATAATTTCGTACAGCTCGATTATATTTTTGGATATTTCAGAGCGTCGTCGCGTTACCACCGAGGATCATTGGCAAACATATCTGCTAATTTGTAATTCGCGCCCACCCGAGCCCTCACCCACCACCAGCTTTACGATTACCGATTTGTGGCGACAATACTAATCGGCAAATAATTAATTCATGACGATATAATTGTTTCACACCGCGAATAATTGTCTCGCTCTCGCTCCTCCCCTATCAGACTAAAGTAGTCCTTATAAGGCCCATTGGAAATGTGATACCTTTTTCGAGTTGGAGACGCGAGAAAACCAACATCCGCGCACCCCCAATTCGTATACATTCTTTCGCTATTTGGTTTGCTTTGCTAGATTTCCAGAATAAATTTTTTTTTGGGAAAAAATTGACAAGATAAAAATTTGCCCAAAAGTTCGGTCAGATGCTGTCGGATGTGTGTTTGAACACTCAACGAGCGACAGCTGCTGTTTTTTTACGCTTTCGATTTCATTGATTTCTCAGGTTGAAAGTGCTTCCATCCAACCAATTTCTACCCATTCTAATTTCAAAAATTTCGAATACCAACTCTAAAAAATATATCCATGATATATACAGAATTCTCCCCAGTTCAACCGCTCAAAATATATTTCAGAAAAATATTTTGAAAGGCTTTTTTCCAAAAAAAATCCACAAATTTACTGCTTGACTCAAAAAAATTGAAAAATTGACTGCAACCAATATCGCAGGTTTCGCTTCATCACTAAATTGCTTAGAATTTAAATTTTGAGTAAAAATTCAAATTCAAAATCAATTTTTTAATTCCCCCAAACCAATTTTCGTCAGAATTCGATTTTTTGAAATTCTCATTTTTGACAATTTCTCTAGTTTTTGCTCACAATTTCAACAGCGCTATTTCAAGAATCCCAGGCCTTTTCCAAAAAAGGGCTACGAAGAAAAAAAAAACTTCAAAATCCTAGCTAGCAATAGTGTCGTCGAAAAATGATATCAATCGTACTCTCAATGAAACAGGTCAGCCAGCGATTTGTCTCGATGAACTGTTTGAAGACGACCTTCACCACTACCACTTTTTACGATACTTTTTTGTAAAATCCAAAATAGAGAATTCCCGCAATATTATAGGGGATTTCAAATATTCATTGATTCCCAGAAAATTTCAAATTCATTCAAACCCCCAAAAAGGATAGCTCATGAGAAAATCGGCAGCCTTGAATTTCAATAATAAACAAGCCAAGTCAAAACATGTTTTTCTACGCATAAAATGCAAAAAACTTTCGAGAATTCCACCATTTTTGGCACCATTTCAAAATTCTTCTTTAAAATGGACGAAATAAATTTTTTTTTATTGTTGTAATATCATGTGGAGGTCAAAATATCATCATGATTCATCACTTTCGCTCTCGCCACTCATTTCTCTTCAATAGAGAGAGAAAGAAAAAAACCGAATAAACGATTTTTAGTTGTTTTATTCTCTATTTTTTCTGTCTTATCTCGTTGTATAAACATTGGTGGGGCGAAGGATAGCAAAAAAAATGACAAAGTTTCTCGCACCGTGTAAACTGTGTGTGGCACACAAAAAAAAAAAAATGAAATGAATGTATGTATATATAAACACAATTGTGTTCGAGCCACTCCTCTCTAGCGTCGAGAAAAAACCTGTCAAAAAATTTGAAGCCACATTTTGACGGCCATTTATTGATTTGATGTGTCGCTCTTCGAACTTCCCTCTCCACCATTTGTGTATGTTCGATTGGCGAGAAGTAAATAATGTTGTGGGCACTCGAAAATAATTATTTCCGCTTCTTTTGTTTCTTCCACCTAAAAATCGTTGCCCCCCCCCCCATTTTATTTTGGGTTTCTTTTTTCAGAATCATGGCCAAGATAACCAGCATTATCCTGATTTTCGTTTTGGTTCTCTCAATTGGTAAGTGATTTAATTGTGTACGCTAGCTATCGTCTCTTCAAGTGTAAATTGTAGGCATTTTGTTTGTTTGATGCTGAAACTGTCGTAAAACGATAATTTGAGAGAGGGAACTGAAGGAAAATTGAAGTTTTCGGGTTCTCAAACTTCCGCATTCATAAAACTACCTTGTCTATATTATTATACTTTCTGAAATATTCAAATTCTTAAATTCAAAACTTTCTAAAATATCCAAATTCTCTGGAATTGTCAGTTTCAATATTTTTTCTTATTTTTGAAAAATGAAATTACTCGCGATTCTTCACAACTTTCAAAATTCGCTCTAAATTTTCTAATTTATCTAAAAAAGCTAGAAAAATCCCAAAACTGTTTGAATTTTGCGCCTTTTACCTATATTGTTTTAGATTTCAACAAAAATTCATTTTTTCTTTGACAAAAATGCATTTTTAAAATGGCAATTTATTTGAAAAAACAAATGTGTGCAATTTTGCGCGCACGTGTATGAACCTTTACGAAGCGACCGCGTTGTTTTTTTTGAAATTTTTCTTCTTTTCCCTTAAAAAACTTTTTTATTTCCTTCAAAAGAACTAAATGAAATCAAAATTCCACAAATCTTTAATTTCAGAATGCGCCAAACGCTGCTACTCTGGCTCGAAAGATCGCTACGAGTCGCGACAATGCGACACCGGCGTCAACGGCAATTTCGTGTGCCAAAAGTTCACGTGCGAAGGCGGTCGATGTAAGTGAAAAAAAAAGCACCAGCATGATTAGCCGAATTAGTCGATATTTCCTCCTAACCGTCAATTTTCGTTGTTTTACCCGCCCGATTTCAGCGCCATTCGTTCTGCGAACGTGTGCCAATAAGAATACCGGATGTCTCGCCGGTCCGGCGATCTGCAAGTTCAGCAAGGGAACCGGAAGCTGTCAGAGATGCGACACCGACAACTGCAATGCCTAATGCGGATCTCCCTCTCTCTCTCTCTTTTTTGTTAATCGATTATCTGCCACACCTCCCCCCTCTCAAATTTTTCGTTGTTCATCGTACTTCAAACTGCTCAATGATTACGTATTGTGTCGTGAGAGTATGTAAATATTTCAGCAAAAAAAATGTCGTTTTCAAAATATTTTTATCGAGCTATTAAAAAATGCACATAATTTAAAAGTCAAGGTTGGAATCGTCGAAGAAAAAAATTATATTTGAATCTTCCTAGTTGACTATTTTTTTAAATAAGACTATTGAATGATAATATTTTTGAAAAAAAAAATGGAATGATGAAGCTGGATAAGAGAAGACATCGAAATCGCGAAAAAAACGAGTACCCTGGGAAATTTAAATTCCGATTTGAATTACCTTTCTACGATCACAGGGTGCTCGTTTTGTTTCGCCTGCCGGAGATTGTGATATAATTTTTTGGACGTTTGTTGATTCTCCAGGAACTCGATTGATTTCAGTGGACGCGAACTTCACCGTAAGAGCTTGTGCTCCCGAAGGATCACGTTGTGAAGCGTCGAGCACCGTGTGCGCCGATCAAGGCGGCACTGGCTACTGCAGCATTTGCGACGGCGACGACTGCAACTCATCCCCCGGATTCAGCGCGCTCATCGTCGCATTTTTTGCCATTGTGCTGCTCATTTAGAAGTGTGCATTCAATTATCAATCAGCCGTCTATTGTCTCTTTCAATTGTGTGCTTTCCACTTGTCTCAAGAATCTCAATTAAAACCGGCCCATTCCTTTTTGTTCCATATTTCGATGATTAATATTTTCTTTGTTTTTTTTTCGAGTAGAACACAAATATATTTATAGGCCAAATAAACCACTGTGCTCTTGAAATGGAACATCTTAAATTGGGGGATTCTTGTAGAAGCTAGCTGAATTTTCCATTGGGGTTCTTGAAATATGATGAAGATTTGGAGCCACCAGAAAATTATTATTTCCGAAATTTCACCGGTTAAAAATATTTCTGGCTTGCGTAGACCTGTTAAAAAAAGAAAAGAGGATTCTAAAATAATATTCCTATGCTCCTTTAAAGAAAAAAACAATAATTAAATTAAAATACTTTTTGAATATCTTTAATGTTTTTTTTTTTTGGTAATTTTACTTCCAGATTTTTTCTTTTAAATTTGTCATTAAAAATCAACAAAAAGATTCACGATTTAATCTTTTTGCAAATTTAAATTTCTTGAATTATTTATAGATAGGTTTGGAAAAAAAGCACCGCCTTCTGCGAACCCAATGCCGTCAGACGCGTTGCGGTTGGCGCGCGGTCAGATTTTTTTCCAGCGGAAACCAATAACATCTGAAAATGATGATTATAACTACATTCTGGAAAGACGGGAACGTGCATATTGCAAAGGAAATCACGAGCACAGCTGGCCGCAACATACAGGTGGCCTAGAAAAATGTCTTCAAAAATTAGGTTCGGCCACGGCCCTTGATTTCACATCAATTCACTTGAAATTTTCCCCACACAATTAGAGTATTTAAAAAAGTGATTTTCAAACCCGTTCATTCTTGGATTCAGTAAAAACGGGACCATGTGAATTGGCATTTCAAATTTGCTCATGTGTGCAAATTGGGTCCCCCCTCCCAAAATCAAGCAAATATTCAAGTATACAATATATTAAGCGAAATTTGGCCGCGAAAACTGGCGTTTCAAATATGCAAAGTTGCATTTGAATAATTGAGAATCGCCGACTGGACACACACTCTCATTGTCACTCGCTTTCCACATAAAGGTGCTTCTTGAAAAACAATCGAAGAGCCATCCTCCCAAAAAAAACAATTAAGGTGATGTGTGGCGCATAAGTTTTTATTCGATAAGAAAGTGTTTTTATTTTTTTTTTTGAAATAAGAAATGATGTTTTTTCCTTTTTTTTTCGTTTTCCTCTTTTTCTTCTTCTTCAAATACCTCGCCAAAATATTCATACGTGCATCGAGATTTGGCGCGACATAACTCGATAACGTGTCTGTCGAATTGAGGCTTTTGCACATTTTTTTCACGCATTCTTTTTCGGGTTAGTGTATTATTCAATGGTCCGTAATGATGTTGCAAACAATTGGCGTGAATTTTGAGACAATTTTAATTGCTCTTCAATTTTTTCATGATTTGTCTGAATTGACCCCTGAATTTGCTAATTTTTGAAAAGAATGAAATTTTTTTGAAAAATCTGTACCCTTTCAACTGGAAAATTGCAAAAAATCGCTTTTATGGGATTTTTCTAGTCGAGACCCAACGCGGCAATTCAAAATTCCACAATAATCATTTATGCCAATTTTTCAAATTCAATGATTGTTTATTCACGTCACATATATTTTTTTTCGAAAATTAGCTTCATATTTTTCTGGCTTATAGATATTTCTATATTTTTTTGCTAGATAAATATTCCCCTCTTTAAAATTCAAATTTGAAAAAAAGCGGTATTTCGACTTTTTTCTAAAAAAAAATTGGCTACCGAAATTATTCAATGTCGGCAGACGCGTTGCGGTTCGCGTGCGTCTAATGTTTAATGTTTTCTCAATTCTTTATATTATCATCGCAAGAAACATGACAAAATATGGACCATTGAAAGTTTTTAAGCGCACCAATTCAAATTTGCGCTGTATTTTTTGGATCGCATTACGCATATGATCCGCAAATCAATTTCAAAAATTTCCGGTGCTAATCGGTGGGGCACCGGAATCAACCTGGAAATTTAAGCGTAAAATATGCAAAATGTGAGATCCGATTGGTTTTAATTTTTCAATTCAAATCGATTTCGAAAATATTCAAAATTTTACTCGGATCCCACAATTTCAAAAATTTGTATCCTTGGAATTGCCTTTCTGGTCCGGTTGATTCCGGAGCCAAATTTTGTCGGATCCGGTTACTGTTGAGTTATCAGATATCAAAAAAAAATCCTCGGTGTTTGTTTGCCAGGGTCTTAAATGTGTTTGCCATTCCAAATCAATCTGAAGGGAAAATTCAAAAATTCCAGTAAACCGGGTTCTCTTTTTTTCTCGCTCAATTATAATATATGTTAGCTACATTTGAACGTCTCGATGTTTTGAGAGTCTTGATATAATAAATCATGAAGCAAAAATTCACATCCCTTGCATTTCCATATTTGGTCTTGCAGCTTGCTTCGCTTTTAGCATCATCGGCTCGGGGCATTATTTGCAAATTCATGCCAATCATTGGATGTTTCCTTGTGTCGAAATAATTCCCTCGTTTAAAATGTATACGTTTTCGGTATTTTGTTTCGTCGCATTCATACATTTCGGTGATGAGTGTCCGTCGATCTCATTAGGTATTGTTTTTTTTGGAGGGTGGGGGGATGGGGCTTTGCTTTCATTAGGCGGGTCCCAAATGGATTGCAGCTCGAACAAAATGAACAAATTGCCGACGAATGGACGTCGAATAACTGAATTAGGAAGAGACTTTAAGTTTTTTCGCAAAAAAACCATACTCTCAAGATGGTCGAATTTTTGCATTTTCAAACATTACTTCGAACTGGGTCCCGAACCAATGGGGCCCTTTAGTCGCACTATCTCCAATTTCTCAACCATATGTGAGTTTGATTTTACAGAAAACATTGTCTGAAGGGGGCAGGGGAGGGACCAATGATATAGAAATGTCAAAACGGGGGCCCGGACCCTACTTTTTAAATCGTTTAATATTAATATTTAAAACCGCCTTGCAAATGTGCGATGGTCCACAATTTGCAATACGCTCTGATTTTATTTGAGTATTATATATTTAACAAAATTTCCTGGCTTCAAGGTTAAAATTTCTTGGAGTCGTATTCATATGAAAATTAATATATTTATTTCACATTTAATTTCTAATTTCATAAGGAAAATAACAAAAAAATTACCAAAAATGCGAGAAAAACCCGTTCTTACGACACTCCGCGTTAACGGTGCCCTTTGTTTAGTGTAAATAGCGTCAGCGGCGATTTATGTAAACAAAGGCGGTAGCCCGGTTTTTTTTTGATAAATCTGAAAAAAATTAGTGTAGATTTACGAAGATGAAACGTTCACTGAATATTAAATGCAAAGAACGCGACAATAGGACTAATTAAAGAGTATCTTTTTCATACATATGTAGAAAAAAGGAAAAAATATTTTTTCATGGATTTTTTCGAATTCGTGGCTTTTGGACTCAAAAAAGCTAATCCTTAGTGAATCATTGAGGTATTAGACCTTAGAAGCACTTTTTTTTTCTCCAACATTTTGATCGATGAATCATTTTTTTAAAACAACTCCTCATCAATTAATATCGATGTAATCGTTTCATGTAAACTTATTTAAATATCTCATTCGACGTCTCGTATTACACCAAATTGCTCGTGCGACGCCGCCGTTTGAGCCGATGTGTCATATCAGCGAAAGAGCAACAATGATTGTCATCGACGAGGCGCCGGCAGTGTTATCACAACCGCTTTTCGATTTATGAGAGTCTATCCGTTTTGTGTTCGGTTTCATTCGCTGACTCGGCACATTTATCGCTTTCTTGACCGCTGCATTATTCGTCCTGTCAATTTTCGCAACTTTATTGCTCTAATTAATAGCATGCAATTAAAGCTAGATTAGATAGCCAACCCCTCGATTTGATCCAACAATGATACCAAATAAGGGAGCCTCTAAACCCCACCTCCATTTAGGTCCACTTGGGTGGATTAACATACACAAACACAAAGTACATGAATACAATAATCCGCGGAATTTCAAGGTTTTGGTGAAATTTGCTTCACGAAGTGACATGTGTCATCGAGAATGCGACAAATTGAAAAGAAGACAAAAATGTAGATTTGCGAGCGCTATTTTGGATGTCTTCCCGCAATGATAATTCGAATTTTGTTCCGGCACAATTAATTTTTTTTTTAGCAAACTAAAGATTTTAAAATGCGAGTTGAAGCTTGCAAAATTGGCGAAATTCTCAATCATGTCGCATCTTTCAAATTTGACACTGAAAATTTTTAATCTTCCCGAAAATTACTGTAGAATTTAGAGTTTCAGTGGGATAACCCTTAAAATACAAACATAGGGATTCATTTTTATTTCTCTCGGCATTCTTGCTTCAATTAGAAAATAGTTTTTTTTTAATTTTGGAAAAAAAATTGCTGAAGCTGCTAAACGTCAAAATAGAATATTTGGACCGAGAAAAAGTGTTCCAAAAAATATTCCTGAACTATTTCGGTCAAAATTCATTTAAATTATTTTTACAAATTTTTTATGCGTCTTTAACTATAATTTTCTAGCAGTTTGACACTCGGCCAACGAGAAAATTATCGAGAGGCCCCTCTAGAATTCCTCACAATATTTAATAGACAGTTTGACTATTGTTCTAGTAAGAATGACGATACTCACATCCTGATTACTATTCCTCATCAAGGGTTCCTAAAAATTTGCAGAATGCCTTGTGCAACTTGAGCAGAATTCAATATGCTGTCAGTCAGCGAGCACCTCGATTTCTCCTCCACGTTCTTGGTTGTTACTGAAAACTCTATGTGTATTGGCTTTATGGAACGAGAAAAAGAAACAATAATTAATTTGCGTCTTCTGATTAGTCGGAAATTACACGCCATATATGTCATTCGACAATTATAACGTATTCACACAATTATTATTTTATTGGCCTTTTCAATTTTGGCTCAGAAAAAATAACTGAAAATGGGTCCAAATTTGGTAAACATTTATATATGTATATGAGTTTTTTTATATATGTATATCAGTTTTGACCCAATGGGTTTTAGAGATTAAAAAAAGGCGAACAGCAATTTGAGTAGTCCGAAATCGGAAATATATAAATTAGAACAATAAAATAATAAGTACAAAATACAAGAAATAATATCTAGTTAGGCTAAATGCAATACGACACAAGAAAATAAAAGCAATCGCTTAAAATCAGCCTTCAACTCAAAACAAGGACAAAAACTCAAAACTCTGTATGTGCGCGTCAACTAGTGTGCATGTGTGCATACACCGCAGTGTGTACCGTACACCTCGAATATATATGTTTTCGGCTCCTCGTAACAATTTTTTCTGCAATTCGTCATCCGTTAACTATGCGTCTTTGAGCTTTTTTGTATCTCGAAAAGAAAATGCATCATCAAGAAGGTTTTCGAGCATAATCGTCATAGCGATAAGAGCAGCGGAAAAAAAATAAGACACTCGATTCGGTTCCCGACGAAATCAAAACGAAAAAATTGTGCGAAGAAGGAATTCGTCAAAATTGGTTCCGGCAATTATTTTTTTCCACATTTCTTCGGCCACAATCCAGTGCGACATTTCTCGATTTCAATTTTGGTGCGAAAAATAGAAATTTGAAAAAAAGGAGGATTTGTGCGAGATATCGGCAATCCTTGTTTTTAGTGGGGGGAAAAAATAGTCGGAAATTTTTAGGCCGAGTGGTCGAAAATCTTTGGATTGTTTATTTTCAGCGTCCGCTTCTATTCACTAATCCAGTGTGGCCTTTTCATTCGCAAAATATTTAAACATTCCAAATGTTTCATCTATTTATGAGCTCTTCGATGAATTCTATAGATCACATTATTACTTTTTCTTAAATTCTTTTTCTAATTTTCTAATTTTTACTTTTAAAACTCAACTTAAACATAATTGATGCTTCTCCTATCTGAAACTTTGAATTTTTTTTAACTTGAATCATTTGAATTTTTTTATCGATCTCAGTAAAACAAAAATGTCGAATTTGTAGAAGATTGGATTCCTTGCTAACATATTTTAGGTTCTTTAAAAAATTTACAAAAATATGCTCCTAGAAGATTCCACACGAGATCCAAGGCGGCAATTCAAATTTGAAATCAATCGTACCCCCCAAATTCGGTCGTCCAATATTTGATGGTCCAATGTAGTCTAAGGGGGAGCAGTCAGAAATATTTCGGAAAACCAATTTTCGAAAGAAAATGTCTATTCTGATTTTTTAAAATTAATTCTCTGAAAATTAAAAAAAAAACGATTTTCTGCCACTTAAAATTTTTTTTTTACTTAATGATTTTCTTGCTCTCATATTTTTGATCTACTCTCATTCCTAATTACGGGTACTTTTCAAAAATTGCGAAAATTATAATATACTGTAATTGAATTTAAAATTTTGTTTTCACTGAATCCTTTAAATTATAATGTAGTCCCAAATAATGGAATGCACTTTTTCGCCGAATTTCGATGAAAGAACAAATTCTTGAGAAACACATTCGATTCTTTTTTTTCGCATCCACTCATTAAATCAAGTTATCCAACATCTGACGAGCAAACATCTCCCAATCTTTTGCGGTGTTGGCCAAATTTGGAAATACACTGGGTAGCCAATGGGCGGAGCCTAGAGGCGGCGACGTAGTGACTGACTCAAAAGAAAATAAAGGGCGGAGAGCTGATCCAGTAGGAGACTCTTGAGGGGGGGGGGCGAGCACAACTCTTGAGAAAATATGTATACAAGGTTCCTTTTTTTTTTGCTTCTTCTTCTTCTTCTTCTTAGTCTTCTTCGCCCTCTAATTTCAGAATTTTTGGCGAAGGTTCGTCTCTCTCATTTTTCGAATACCTCACACATCAATCGAATTATCGAGAAGCGTCCTACTTGTCCGAAAATTCCTCTTCCGATTGGAACGTGAGAACACCGCGGATTTTTTCTTGAAAATTCGAGACATCCCATTTTTTTTTTGGTGAATGTCATCATCATCATCATCACCTCATCATTCCGAACAGAATTTTAAATTGTGCCCCAAAAAAAAACCCCTTCGCTTCGAATTCTTTTTCCTTCTGCTCGACTATATTCCACACATTTCACTTCCATCGAGAAATTCACAAAAAAAAAACGATGCTCATTTGTTGGGGGGACCCAAATTTCCAGCCCTTCAAGCCAGCCGTATTTGATCTACGCAAATTTTTGCTGACCATCCAACTTTCTTTTTTGTTCTTCCAATTCGTTGCCCAAAATATTTCAATTTTAGACATTTTCCGAACACACGTTTTTTTCTGTAATGGTCTCGCCGCGATGAAATGGTGTTTTCATTCATTCTCACTTTTACCATCAGCGTGGTAGCAGCGTTTGACGACGGTGGGCGATTATTTTATTTTATTTTTTTTGGACCACTCTTTTCAACTCTCGTTCAATTATAGAAGAAAAACCTACTTCCTTCCGCTTTCTGGAGGGTTTTCATTGAATTTCACACAATTATCTTAATAACACACATAATTGAACATTTCTTTTTTGAAGTCATGGCGAACGTTCCAACCAACTCTTTGAAACAACCTATGTCGTTAGACGCGTTGCGGTTCTAGTGATCTACGCCATGAACCCGCAACGCGCCCGAAATTTGTTGAGTTCATTGTAGCGATGTTTGATTGCAGACTGCGTCCGCTGTGATCTACGCTCGTCGTACTGTAAAACATGGGAGAACAGCACGAAGAGTTGCGAGTGCCGCGAGGGATTCGCGCGCGTCTCGAATGGCTCATGCGCAAGTAAGCGATTAAAAATTGTTGTATCCAGAAATCACTTGAGTATTCCATGCGATATTTACGAAAACACATAAGCGTCTTCAAGTGTAGATTTCTTCATACGCACTCCGTGATTGCTTCTTCTTCTCCATTTCATACTTCTCCCCCCCCCCTTTTTTTTTCTTTTCTCATTTTGATTATTTGTTTTTGCGAGAAGCGTGGAGGGGGGAGTTCTTTATTGCATATTTTGTGTTGATTTCCAGTGGTTAGCGAGCTGGCGAAAGGCATCAAATTGGGAATGAGCGATTCCGATGAGGATGATGAGGAGCCGTTTTGTGTTCTCGGGCAGGCTGAAAAAGCGGCGACAAGGTGAGCTGAAATTTGAGACGTTTCGTGCTAAAGGACAACATACATATATACTGATAGATGATATCATACCAGTGTGGATCGCATTTCGTGTTAAACATGTACCTGGTTGGGGGGGGGGGGGGTAAAACGACAAGAAGATCAATCTTTGTGGGATGGGATTTCGCGTGCAGTAAATTATTATTAGTAGAGATTAAAAAAATGTATATAATCAAAGAAGAATAGAAATCATTGACATGAAACTGAAAAAAAAACATTTAATTTTTCCCGCAAATTTTTAATGCGGGCAAATGCAACAAATGCGCTCTATTGCAATTGACGAATATTTTGAAAATCCTTGTGAAAAAAAAGCTATTCCGAAAAAGAAATAATGGCTTTGGGGGCGGAATTGAGAAAAAAATAACAGCACATCATTTTTTGGATATTACATTTAATTAATTTAAGAAAAAATGTTAAATCAAAAAGCGCGAAATTCAATAATTTTTTGTTGTTGAAAAAAATATCGGCGGGCGAGTTGTGTGCAAAAACCGGACGCGCAAATGCAGACTACGCGTCCATGGCTACAGTATTCTTGGGCGAAAATATTTTTCTATGAACTAGCGTTGGGTCTCGTGGCGAAAATTAAGTTTTGTTTTTTTTTTTTTCACGACAAAATTGCACTATTAAATGGTGCAATTTTGGGGTGAACAAAAAGGAAAAAATTGCACTATTTAATGCTCGATTCATTTTTCCATTGAAATCACATTCGAATGGTGGTGAAACTTCGCCAAAAACATTACCTCTTTTCCATTTTTGTTTCATTGTGCTGTTTTTTTTTGTTGTTGACACTATGATCACGAAAGCCGTTGACGCACTATGAGGAAATGGATTTATGCGGGCATTAGTGAGCACGCACACGCGAGTTTTGAAACAAGACAAAAAAAAAGAGAAGACGATGATGTGATTTCCAAAACGGGAATTGGCGACGTCGAGAATCACCATTTTGAACACATGCGGCTGCAAATTGCATATTTTTTTTTTGAAAACAAAAAAGACGCCCGCTGAGAGCATTTCGAATCACGCAATTCCGTCGAATCAAAATCTCAATTATTTTTGTTTTTTCGAATTTCAGAATTCTCACCGAGCTTCTCAGCAAATACGATCGAAATTTGGTGCCGAAAATGACGGGTGTCGACGTCGACGTCGAGCTTCTCATTCAGAGGGTCTCCGAGATCTCCGAGATTCAATCCGCCTCAACAATGCACATTTTGTTCAGTCAGATTTGGCACGATCCGGGATTATCGTTTGAGGTGAGATGCCAATTGTGAAGCTCAATTGACAACGAGAAATTGCAGCACGAGGAAGGCGCGCATTGTCTCACAAATCTGTCGCTTTCGCATCGAATGGTCGACAACATCTGGCTGCCGAATGTCTGTATAGTCAACTCAAAAGGTTTCCTCTGCGAGAATTTTTATTACGTATTAATTATAGTCAATTTTTAGGCTCGACGATTCACAAAAGCCCAACGCCGAATATCTTCCTGGCCATATTCCCAAATGGCACTGTCTGGATGAATTATCGAGTTGTCGTCGAGTCGCCGTGCGAAATGGACTTCAGCTTCTTCCCGATGGATCGTGTGATGTGCACAACGATATTTGAAAGCTATGCGTTCAATGTTGGAAAGGTTAGACCGAAATTTCGTCAACAAGCCCGCTGATTTGTTTTTTTTTTTTTCAAGGTCCGATTACATTGGAAGCGGCAAGGCCAACCGGTGGAATTTATCGACGAAGTCAAACTTCCCGACTTTCACATGACCACATTTATACACGAGAAAGCGACATTCATCTATCCGGCTGGGGTTTGGGATCAGGTACGCAATACACAAGTTGTCAATCGTTTCGTTTTTGACATATCGCAACACGCACACACACACAAAAAATAATCAAACACCTATCCGTTATTTTTGCTCGTCATCGCTCAAATAGCGATTGGCTGCTGAGATGATGAGCAGTAAGGGAATGGGAGGAGTGAGGGAGGGGGATCGACATCCATCATCAATTATCCTCTCGTCTTGACCTTACGAATTTGACTAAACGAGTTGAGAGACCGATCGGGGGGTGAACTTTAAAATAAAGGTGACGAGAGGAATGAATGATGATGAGAGGGGTTTTGCGATTTTTTAATTGAAAAAGGGATATCAGGATTTTTTAATACTGCACCTTTAATTACAGTATCCAAAAATGTTAGCAAAGTCAGAAAAAAATCATCGATTCTGATAGATTTTGCCAAATTCCAGCTCAATATAAAATTATTCTTTCGCCGCTCTTACGGGTTCTACATTCTTCAAATCTACCTCCCAACGTATTGTATGGTTCTCATCTCATGGATTTCATTCTGGCTTGACAGGTAGGAACCATTGAATACCACAACCGAGTCGCTCGATTTCAGACGAAGTCTTCCCGCCCGCGTCACATTAGGCGTTTCATCGCTGATGGCGTTGACCCTTCAATATTCGAACGTGTCACGAAGTCTTCCAAAGGTACGCGCTCAATCATCTGAAACTCTTTGAACGTTTATGGTCAAGGCTTATGGCTTTTAGCAATTTCAACATGAGCTATCCCTTATACCAGCGGTAATTAAGCTTCTAGCCTTCACCACAAGTTTTTGTGATAAGCTGCTTTTTCGAAAACCTCACATTGTGTTTTCACCACGGCTATTTTCTTTTTGCTGTTGGTTGGCTCGACATTTCAAGCTCTTTTGTTATACAGCATATGGCGACAAATATTGCGAACATAGGCCCAAAATATGAATAAATTTTGTTTTAAATGGATTAAACCACGTGTTGAGTGAAAACAACACAACAATTTTCGAAGAGAGATGAAACTGGAAAAAAAAAACATATTTTGGTTTTGAATGAGGGTTTTTTGTGGCCACGAATTGCCCATGATCATTGATGCACACTGAATTCATTTTTTTTTCATCATTGCTAGGTATCATATGTCAAAGGTCTCGACTTGTTCATGTTCGGCTGCATCGTCTACATTATACTCTCGATCGTCGAGCTTGCTGTCGTCGGCTCACTGGAGCAACGCCGGAATCGGTAAGCCGACACCTTCCAGGCGGACGCCAGAATTGTGGTTACCGAATTGCAGACTAAAAGACAGCGACGAGTTCATGTCCGACGAGGAGATCAAGAAAAACGTGTTTCAGCGAACATTTTCGACGAAATCGTTCCGATCGGGCTATGTGAGTTTTGATCTACAAAAAATGATTTGCAAGAAGCCAAAAAAAAATTACACGAATGGGGGTGACTTGAGAAACATCACTTTTTGTTTCCTTCCATATTAAGTACTCTCGTGGTCCGCCGCTAATTCATTTTCATTGAAAGTATTCCATAAAGCGTGTACACTTCGTATTTACTTAATCTCGCCCTCGGGCGATCGGTGAACAGTGAATGATGGCTGGATGAATGCGTCAATTGTTTTCAGGGAGCGCGACATCATCAATTTTCCGAGTGCGCCAGTCCAGATGATCCGGAGTGGGCGAAGAATCGAACGGATTGGACCGAGCGGACGTATGTCGAGTGTCCCGAGCCGAAACCGCCTGAAAGTGATCGATTGCCCGAAATGGAGAATGATTCCAACAATAAGGTTTCCCTTATTATTATTATTTTTCAACAAACCAATAAAATGTATCACCAAAAATGCTTCAGATGCTCGTCTTTGTTCGCGATCGTCGAGAATCCCGAAAACGTCGAAAACGCCTAGCCCGCGGAAGGTTGTTTTCAAGATGGACTGGCGAAGACATGGACAAGTGGGTTATTTCGCTATCACATCTAATTAATTCAAACGGTTGTCCTGAAAAGTGCAATTTAATACTTGCTTATTTTTTGTTTGTCACGTCGCCAATAAAAATAGAGAATTGCGAATTCAAAAAAAAAAAGAACACAAAAGATACACTGCTTTCAGATTCTGCCAGAAGATGTTCCCGATCACGTTCACGTTTTGTAATTTGATCTATTGGATGTACTACACGGCAAAATCCAAAGACTAATAATAATAATGAGTTGCCTGATAATTGCCTCCCACAATCGTGTTGTGATACTATTATTGAAATCGTACCCCTCCATCAAAACATTATGGCCTTAATTTGTTTGTGATACTTATGTGCCATTCATTCAAAAGAATATGTCTCAAATAAACATTTGTGATCTTTGAAAAGAGGCAAAAAAAAATGAATTGAGAATTAAACGGCAACTAATTGTGTCTTCCTTTTAAAATTACCATATTCCGCAATTTGGCATCAATTTTTTGATTGGCAAATTGCAAGTCCCAAAGGGTTTTCAAGGATTTCGAAATTAATGGAATCGACAGAGTGAAAATAAACAAAAAGACGAGGGAATAAAGAAAAAAGACAAAATTACGAGAAATTCAAAAAACTTCTCCCGGGGACTAGGTTTTTGCGGCCATTTCTCGCCGGCCAGCAGTTTGAAAACAATAACTTTTTATGGATATATTAAGTGATGTCGTTTTTGTCGCAATAAGCGCTTAAATTTTCACAATGAAAAAAAATTCAAGCGTTTTTAATCGAAATTTTCAACTGAAATATGTTTTTTGCAATATTTGTTGCCTTAAAAAAAAATTTTTTTAATTTCAGATCTTTCACGGCTGTTTAAAAAATCTGAAAATTTGTCACCACTATGCTTTTTTTTCAAGAAAAGGGATTGTTACGATCAATATAAAACATAAACATTATTTAGGTACTTTTGGCTAGAAAAAAGCGCAAAAACTCGGTTTAAAAAAAAACTATCAAAGAATTAAAAAAAAAAAACTTATTCTAGTTTCTTAGAGTTTTTAGAGTAGAGAGTTGTTTAATTTCGAATCATTGAATATATTCATGAGAAATAAAAAAAACGAAAGAAATTAGTTTTCTTGTTTTCCCTATTTTCGGAATCGAGTTTTTCCACAGCAAAACAGATTCATTAAAATTCAAACCGTTCTTAAATATCATTGCCGTCGAAATTCTTTAAAAAAAATAGCCTAATTCAAAACGGAAGCAGCGAATTTTAATTCTTGCTTGTGAAAATGCGATTAGGACATTCGAAAACACCACAAACCGTTTGAACAGGTTTGGTTTCGCTCGAGAACATTCCAGTAATTACCACTTGACGAATATGGTCGAAATATTTTTCGAACCGGCTGCCAACAATTCTTGACCGGTTTTCGATTGGCCCAATTTTGCGAATTTTTTGCGTGTTGCTAAAATTCGCCCAAATAAAATTCACACCTTATCCGAAGCTCTCAAAAAAATTAAAAAAAAATTTTTGATATCAAAAATATTTTTTTTTTATGAAAACAATGTCGACACACCTTTTTTCCTTCCTAATTGAATAAAAACTGCTAATGATTTGAAATTATGCGTGATGATTTTTTTTTTATTTTGCGAAAAGTCACGTAACAAGGATGACAGGATGATCATCTTGGCCCGTTTTTTTTTGGTCGACGAATCAAATTAGATTCAGATGACCCATCAAATTATAAGAGACCGAAAAAATTATTATTTACAATCGAAAAAGGGAAGAGAAGCTTTACTATAATAGTCAGTGAGCTTGATTCGCATTTTGTCGAATCAGTACGAAACACTAATTCCCACTGTTTCAATTAAAAATTCGAAACAATCAATGGTCCATAAACACGCAGAACGGTCGTTTTTTGTAATGGCTATATAGTGCGTTTCTCAAAAAAAAACGGCCAGTTCGGGTTGAACTAAATTAAATTTAATCAAATTAACTAAATTCTCAACTCATTCGAATTGTCGATGAGTTAGCTTGGCAGGTAGTACGATATCTGAACTCCAACTGTTAAAATTCAAATTTCAATTTTTAAAAAGCCAAAGCCGCCCGTTTCTGCGATTATATTGAATACATAAAAAAGTATCATTTTAATTAAATCCCAGTTTTTTTCTAAAAAAAATATTCATAATTTTCTGCTTTGAGAGAATTTTTATCGCATTCTGAAAATTTGGTTTTTTTTTGCAGATTCGCTTTGCTCATAGAAACAACTCTTTAAGGACAAATTTTAAAATTTCAAATTCATCAAATTTAAGATTCTCTAAAATTTTCCAAACTTTTCGTTTAATTTCGAGAAAAAATTGAAAAAAGAAATAAAATTTCTGAAAATTTTCGACCAGCGGTTCCCTCAAGAAAAACGACTTTTCCCATCGATTCCTCGCGATCCTCTCAAAAATCAAAACTCGCACTTTCAAAGCGCAATTCCCTTCCACCGCCCCAAATGCACCTTTAACCTCTCGCCAATGATGATTACGTTTCTGATTTTATCATCGTATTTTGGCGACGCTCGAAGAACATTTGAGGTAGAACGTTCTCTAGACGTTCGTGTCTGGCATTTTGCCAGCAAAATTTCATCATTCGACCCCGTCTATGTAGTTAAACAATCACGAGAATTTCCTCAATAAAACTCGGCTGGCCTATCGCCAGACATTCAACAGCCAAGAACTGGATACGTTGATCTTTGAATGTTTTGTCATCGTATTGTTGTTGAAGTATTTAACCTAGTGCCAATCAGGGCCAAATCGGAACAAATTTATGGGCGGCCGCGAGAAATGACAAAACGAATGCGAAACATTGGATTGTAGGATGACGAAAAAAATAAATATGCCATAATTTATTGTACACAAAAAAACGTGTAAGAACAAAATATGTATACGTATATACAGAGAGGCTACCCGAGATTCTAACGATTTCGATGGATAAAGCAGAGCAGAGGCTTGAATATGCACATTCAGCTATACCAGTCGATAGCTCATATGTTGCTCTTCGGATTGCTCGGCCTCTTCCTCATGGTCTTCTTTGAGCAAATCGTCGTTCTCGAGACTGTCCGAGCTCTTCAATTTGTTGAGCTTCTCCTTGAGAGAAGTCGTCGATGCAAATTGCGAGATGCATGGCGCCGATTGGCGACGGCTCGCCGGATTCTTGGCGTATTTGCCGGCGTCGACGAGATTCGTGCCACTTTGGCAATTTCGTTGCGGCAACACCGGAATCGCATCCTGAAAGATGAATTTGTTCGATGTGCGTCAGCAGCAGTTTGATATCGACGTACCACGCCGACGGCGATATTGACCGACTGCCGTCGTCCGTGCGCGGCGCCATCGCCGCTGTGCTTCCGCACCGGCGACGATGTGCCCGACGTCGGCTGCGAATGGCCGTGGCACGGCGACGAGCAACGACGGCACTGCTTCGAGCGAATCGGCTTGAAATCGGGCGTCTTGTTGATGCCGGAGAATTCCGACACAAATTCGGCAATCGCGTGCGGAATTTTCATTTCACTCTGAAACACCAAAAAACAATAGTCAATGATTGACAGGAAATCAATTTTTAGATGATGTTAAACGAAAGCAAAATCGGAAGAAGAGGTGAGAAAATGATTTGAAGTGTTTCCGCACAATCAGGTCGTGTTTATATAGGAGACGACGTTTTGTGAGTGGAGTCTCCGCCCCAGCAGAGGCACGAATCCCCCCCTCCCACTTCGTCTGTTCTCATCGAATCATCGAACGTCGGCCGTTTTTGAAAAATGTTCTCTGACTTATTGATCGATGACATCATGATTTATGGTTTTTTGGGAATTATGCTTGAACATAAACGAATTCAATGTGGCTGACGCCCGATTTTCAGCTCAAATTTTAGAAAGAAATTTTTTATTGGTCCCACTAAGCTAAATGGAAATTTACTTCGTCAATTTGACATTTTTTGATAGCATACTAAAATCTTGGTTAGATATTGTGTGGAATTTTTCCTTGCGAGACCCAAAGCGGCAAATGAAATTCGTTAAAGGAAAAATTCATTTGTCTGAAATATTATGTTATATATCGCAAAAAACGAGCGTATGAGTTTGATTCGCAGGTTATCCAGACTACTGTACCTGAATTTCCACTGTTTAAATTGAAATTTGAATTGCCGCCAATAATGCAAGCAATTTATCAAAATTTGACAGCTTGAGGAATTAAAAAAATATTCAATGACCCATATTTAGTTTAGAAATAAATAATTGGGACCTGAAGGTGCAATTATACTAACAATCCCTAATAAAAAATGAATTTCTTTTCAAAAAATATTGATTATTAAAATTTATTTCCTTTATCTCCGATATCGCGCAAAATTGACCATCATTATCACTTTGGGAAACCAGTTCAAGGCTGCTCTTCGGACATTCATTTCCTTCTTAGCATCATCGATTCCTAAATAAATAAAAAATTGAGTTATCTCGATGATTCTTCTCTTTCGTTCCAAAACTTGAATCCACTAATCGCTTCGATCATATGATTCGTGAACACATAATCCCTTCGTATCATCTCAATTTATCATATCAAGCATCATGAACATTTGTGTAAAATTCAGGGTGTTAATTAGCTCAACTTTGTAGTCAGCAATTAAAATCGCGGCCGCTGCAAGACCCATGTCGCCAAGCGCGTTGCGGTTCGCGTCACGTGCAAAATAATATTTATAAAGAATGCCATTGAGCATTTTCATAAGAGAAAAAAATGGCAATAAAAAACGGAAAAAATGACAAAGAAACAATTTTGGAGGAAATAATGAAAACGACCGCACGCGAACCGCAACGCGTCTGACGTCACTCTCAAAAACAAACAAAATTTCATAACTTTTTTTTGGGAATTGTGTCTTTAGTGCATCATACTTTTGTACTTCTTATTCCAACACCACCCAAAACACTTGTGAACAATACTGGGATACACTCGAGAGCGTAGTCAATTTTTGGTGTCACCACAATTTCAAGCAACATTTTGGACTCGACTATATCGTTGCGTACATATTTGGAAAATGCATGTTAGGGGGCGAAATACGACGGCTACATTCGAAAAGCGTTGTACCGTGAATTAACGCGATTATTCCTTTCGCGGGGAGCGAGGTTTGTCAGCAAAATGCTGATTGGTAGTTGTAGTTTGTTTTTGGAAATGATGACGCTTCTCAAGCTTTCATTTAATCACATTCTAAAACATCAGACAACATACGATTGGGGGGAGGGGGGAATTTTTTTCTGCAAGTTGTATAGTCGGCTTCCGGCGACTGCTCTACTCGGCGGTCGATTTACGACGAATGCGCCTACAATTTTCCACCCAAATTTGTTATATCATTGCATTTCTTGTGTTCCGAAGCCCTAGAATTAAAAATAATGAGAAATGAGACCATGGCGAAAATTGCTTCAAGCATACATGATATAGTCTGTTTTTTTTTTTCTTGGAAGAAAATTAGGGAAGCTTAATTTAAAACCATCCCTGGGTTTTATTATTAATTCCAATGAATGCACGAGGAGCTCTTGGAGCAGTCTCGACTGGGGGCCGTGAATAACGCGGCCGCAAAAAACTAGTCCAGTTCTATGCGTAAATTTTTGCAGCAAAATTTTCAATCTTTAATTTTAAAAATTGTTCATATTTTTCAATAAATTTCGATTTCGCAAACCAACGTTCAAATTTTGAACCGTTTCACTATCATTTTTTGTTCCAGACTATTTGACGCCGTCAAGGAATCTTCCCATCAACTCGATTCACGTCACACGTGTCAACTAACAACACCCCACTTTTTTTTTTTTCGCATTTTTAAGTCTTCGATCATTTGATTTTGCACGTTGCAAGTTATTCATACATCAGGTTAAATTAATTAGAACGATCAAACTACCAATCGATCAGAGACAATCACGTGGAACACTTCCAACAAAATATTTTATTGCGCATGAATGTTTAGTTTAATGATTTCGTGTTGATCATAGCCATCAATTGATGACAAATATTCTCATTAAGAACGCTTGATGTCAACTGAAAACAAAATTTGTTGAGAATTTGCAAAAAGAAAAATGAAAGCAAACCTGCTCGAGACGATGTTTGGTATTGATTTTTCCATATTTCTTAATATCCTCTTCAGTTTGTGTTTTTTTGCCTTCAATAATATCCTAAAATTTTTAATTTCGCAATTAAAACTCAAAAATGATCAAATCGACCTTTGTGAAAATTCCCAAAAGTCTATTGATCTCTTTGAAGTGCTCCTCGTTGATCGACTCGATTTTCGTAGCAGATCGAAGATTCTGGAAACACACGAACCATATAATTAAAAGACAAATTCAAAGTTAAGGAACTCACCAATTGATCATACCAACTTTTCTTATTCAGACACATCAACATATTCTGCTCATGGTGTGTCAACCGATAAGTGATATTCAGCGAGTAATACCTATAAAATGAGTACAGACCAAAAATGAAGAATTTGATTCGCCGTTTGGCAACCAGTTTTAATGAACTGTGGCCTGATAAGAGAGATATTGTGGTTCAAAAGTCGTTATTTAATAGTGAGTAGGCAAAAATTTTATTACCGTCCACGTTTTTAAGATTTGCCTACCTATAAATATTTTACGATCAAGTGACAATTTTGAATTTTGATTTAATTCAATCTCATCTAAATTAGTGATCGAAAAAAAACCTACTTGGTCCCTAAACCATGAATCACCGATATCAGCGATGGTTTGCACAAACTTCCCAAATTTGACGTCGTTTGTCTCGGTTCCGCTGTCGGCGCTAATGGACGAATATGGAGATTCAATGGGTTAATCGAACGGAACGCATCAAGCATAACCTAAATTCATGTGAATACTTTTGAGAAATTCTAGAACCGCATTCACTAGCCTTTCCCTTAACGCTCTGTATCGGATCAACGACAACGGCAACCGCTCTTGGATGAAGAGCTTCGAAAGACTGTTGAGTGTTGACATCCACCGATGAGAGCCAGCAGCCAAATCCAGGATGCGAATGGTACCAGCCAACGACATTCTCAGTCCTTCCGACAAGTTTGAGAAGGTCCATGTGTTTGGTTTGATAGACTGGATCAACCGACTCGACAGTAACGCTCTATAATTGAGCCAATTATTCATTAAATGACGGGAAATTTCAAACAGTTCCACTCTGCGGCATTGCGAAAACATCAAGAACATTGATGGTGTATTCATCAACAAAGTTGCCGAGCATGAGTCCCATAACCTCAAGTGGGACTCCACTACGGGCATGTCGAAGCATTTTCAAAAGAGCCAATGCGGAAATGTTAACCCTGAAATTGAAGTTTTAATATATTACGCAAAAAAAAACCGAGCACCCTGTGTAGATTTACGCAAAAATCTCCGAAACAATCAAGAATTCGGACAAAAATTAATCGGTTCCGAAAATATTTAAAAAAAAATCGGTTTCAGTAATTTTACAAATTGATCCGCATAATTTCGAGTCGGATCGTGTCATTTCCGGATTTTTCAGAATTCGATTAGTTTTAATTCATAGGAATTTAAATTCAAATTTGAATTATCGCTCCCGAAAAAAAATCGATGGTAAATAAACACACAGGACGCTCATTTTTCTTTTGCGATTGTTCATATTTTACGTTTCACTGGTGTCGGGATGGTTCAGATTATCAGCGGCCGCGCGGGTCTGACCCTAAAATGCAAAAAAAATCATCTTCTCAAGTTGTGTCAAACGCTCAAACTAACCATCATAAGCGATCGCAAAAGACGCTCCATGTTTGTTAAAGATTTTGAAGAATTCAACGAAAGAATAAAGCAGAGGAAAAATGAATTAAATGAGGGAAGAAGAGAAATGAAATAATTTTTTGCCACGCCACACCGAGGTCACGTATAACAATAATTTATTTAAAAAAAAAATAATAATTAATGCTCCAAATCGGAAAATGTTGATTCATTATAGTTCATCGATACCATTTGAACTCTACCAGTTGGAAGAACTCGAGGAACGGGCTTCTTTTTTTTGTTTGACTATAATATCTATTATTTTAAGTCGTTATTATTGCAATCCGAATAATTATAAAGCCCTGAGCTTAATTCCAACAAAGTTTTTCAAAATAATGCTGATAAATTGCCAATTTTTTCTCCTAATTAGTACCACTCTAAGATAACTCCATACCGGTGAAATGTCGGAAGATTGCGTTTTCTCGATAAGCAGAGGATGATGCTGACGCTGCGATTCCTGGGTGACGCCAACTTTTAGCGAAGGTGTTTGATTCGGCAAGGCAGTCTTCGCCTTTTCCGGAGTGGCTCGCTTAGTTTTCTTTTGTACTGCGCCCATATCATGGTCCGTTTGTGTCGATTCCAATTCGATAGGACTTTCCATGTTCTGAAAATGTTTCCTATAGTATAAGTTGAAGGAAATTCGTCTATATACACGAGGGCTAATATACTCATTGATCCATCCTTGATTAGATTCCAATTGAGAATTTTTCTCCGCTTTTTTTCGAAGAACATAAACCACAACTCCTTCAGCGGTCGAATATAACACAACGATTATGCAGCAAATTGTGATGAGGAGAATGTATTTGAAAACTGGTCCAAATCGTAGGTACAGCCTGCCAAGCTAAAATAAAGAATTATACTTCAAATAGGAAAAATGGGGTTCATACAATAATATCCTGAAATATCAACGAGTGATAATACATGGTAAATTTCGCCGCTGGAACATTGCAGTTGTCATAACGGCAGCAACATGCAATTCCTTTTTTTAGGGGAAGAAATGAGAACTTGTTGCGAGTTATGAAACACACACGATCATCTGAAATAATGATAATAGTTGTGAATTTTTATTTGAAAAAAATTGAAAAAAAAAAAGCTATCCCAAGAGAAATGCTGACTTTGAAACATGAAGTCGTCAATTAAAATGCAAGTTCGCAGAGTTTACGCGACGTGTTTGCACTATTTTAATATTGGGGTTGCGATATCTTTTTTTTGCAAATTTCCAAAAAAGAGCAGCTTATTAATTAATTTCTCCTTTTCAACACATCATTCTTACACATACCAGGCATAAAACTGCATTCAAATGGTAGCTGATACAGTGCAATGTGCCCTTGCCACGTGACGGAATGTGTATCATTTCTCGAGTAAAATATGACGCAAGTCTAGAAATCTCAGCATTTTTCGTATTATTCACGAAAAATTCCATACGGGTTCTCCGACATGTCGCACCTCCTGCCCTGATTTATTATAACTTATTGTGTATTGCGTATCGCTCAATTTTAATTCAAGACCGACGATAGCTTCAATTTTCTGTAAAATCTGAAATTAACTATTTTTAATTATACGAAAAGTTACTTTTGTTTTTAAACATGTTAAATTATTTTGACAAGATGCATAAGCGAGTAATATTCCAAATATCGCAATTTTGGCCTCCATTTTTTTGAAAATGATTTAAACGCGTGTACGATTCAATATTTATTTTTCTCCTTTTTTAGGCGAGCTGTAAAACCTAATCATAAAGCTGGTTGGAAAATGTCATAATAATAATGGTTTTTGAAATCTCGAGATGGAACAATAATACATATAGTCAAAATCAAAAAAAAAATATTAAAAAAAAAGTTGTGGAAGCTATTACTACAACTTGCGTAATTTTCACTGGTCATTTTGAAGTGGGTGAGAGATAGATGGGATGGGGTTGATCGAACAATTCTATTGTATATATCATTGAAAACGTTGGTTTGCGTAAAAATACAAGTGACGAGCATTAGAAGATCATTTTGAAATGAATGTGATTAATGGAAAAGAAAACAAAATGTAATGAATGAAACACAAAATTTTCAGTTCAAGGGAATGATGGGAAGAGGGAGGGATGTGGAATTCAACTCATTGGCTGGAATTTCCAGGCGTCCACATTATACGTGCCATTCGTTGTCGAATTGGTTTGCGCATATTGGAAATAATCTTGATAGTTTGCTATAAAAATGTAAGAAATGAGATATCATCAATTCAATAGTAATATGGCGTTATACCATATGGGTATTGCGCCTGGGGCCTGAAAGACGTTGTATTGTACGCGGACGAGGTGGAAGATGGTGAAATCTGTGCTATATATGACGTGGGTTTCGTCTCATCTGATGAAGGCGATGTCGATGGTTCAGTGGTATCAATCTCTTGCTTCACCTAAAATTTTAGAATTATTTATTTTGGTAAAGTTTAAAATTAAATATATTTTAATTGTTCTGGCAAATTCTAGAACACAAAGCCTTAATTGTATAAAAAGAGAAAAATAAATGATTTCGAAAATAAATGCGCGCATTTTGAAACGGTCCGCAACAGCACTCGACGCACAAATGCAGATTTTGCGCAGTGCGCTTCCCAGTAAAAACGGCTTTCAGAATTTTTTGCTGCGAGCTATATGTATAAAGAATTTTACATAAATTAAATCGTTATATGAAGAGTTTCAAACAATAAGCCGAAGCGCACGATAAAGCGTCTAACGGCATAGAAAAATTAAATATAATATATTCGAGATGTTCAATAATTATAAAGAAACGATTTCGTTTCAAAAAAAAAAGCAAAAAAATCGATTTAAAGAATTTTTATCCAAGGACGTTAATTTGTGCGTCGGGTTCTCCTACGGACCATATTAAAACATACTAGTCTATTTTTTTTTCTTTTTTTCGGAATGGCTTTTTCCATTTTTTTGTTTCACCCAATAGATCAAAAGGATAAACATGGCCCAATTTCAACCAAAATCTAAGCGCCTCATCAAATTTTTGACCAAATTGAAACGAAAAGTCCAAATTCCATTCCAAGGCGCATTATAAATTCAAAATTGATATTTTTTTTGAAATAATATTTGAAACAAAGAATTCTCCCAAATTCTTACCGTTTCCGAGTATTTGAGATCTCCTTCAGTGGTCGCCGGACTCGACGGCTGCACCTCGCTGCCGGTCGATCCGCCGGTCGATCCGCCGCTACTCGCCGTGCTACCAGCGCACGCCGAATGCGATCCCTGCTGCGATTTTTTTTGCTGTCGCGCTTTGGCGCGCCGATTCTTGAACCACACCTGCAACATCGATCGATTCGCCAAAAAATTCGCGTTTCATTTTTCTCTTTCGCCTCTACGCGATGTGTTTGATTTGGTTCTGCCGCATGTTTGTCAATTTTTGTGGTGGTGGCGCGTCGTCGAAAACACAAAGACTACGGTAGGGGGCGAAAGGCGAAATGAAGACAAACGATTTGAAAAGTTGATCGTGCGCTCGCAAGCAAAAAAAAAATTTAAAAAAGAAATGTCTGCATTGCCTATTTTTAAATTGCCTCACCTGCACACGGCTCTCCGGCAACTGAATCTTATGCGCCATATCCTCGCGCATGAAAATGTCGGGATAGCGCGTCTTCATGAAATAGCTTTCAAGAATCTCCAATTGATTTCGTGTGAACGTCGTCCGCTCGCGTCGCTGTTTCCGCGAGAAGCTCGGCGGATTCGCGTTCCATCCCATCGAGCCCATCGTGGCGCCTTGGCATTCCGCCAAACTGCCGCCGATGTAGCTCATTCCGGCTGGCAAGAAATTGTGCGACGCCGGTGTCGGAAAGCCGAGATGAGTCGCCGGATAGCCCGTCTGAAATCACCGAAAACCTATATTGCTATCCTTGAGATTTTCTGGATATTCCTTGCATACAAGTAAATAGCAGGCGGTTGGGTTTTAATAAAAAAAAATAGGAGTGAACTATATATTATACATTAAGCAATTAGTATTATACCTTATTTCCGAAATATGCCGCCGTCATATTGGCGACACTCTGCGCTGATGACACCGACGGAATGTAAGACATTGGCTGAAATATGAACAAGGTTATTCATCAACAAAAAATGAAGCATTCGGTGCAAGGGACCCCCAGCTCACTAACTAAAAAAATGAAAAATCATGCGGGCAATAACCAAGAGTTAATTTGAAGCAACAAAAAATGAATCAAGAAAAAATTGACTAAACCGATAATTGAAAGTAAAGAGAAGTTGAGTCAACGCTGGCACTTGGCGCCGAGCTAGGATAAGCGTTTGACTGTGCCGCTGCTGAGCTCTGCGGATCGACAATCGACATCGATGGTTTTGTCTCGTCGCCGGAGCCACTTACTACCTGGAATTAGGAAAACGACTACACACAAAAAAATTTATGAAAACGTTGATGAGCTTCTAATAAGATGTGTGGCGATTTCAAAACACAAAAGCAATTAGTCGAATTTCCAAAAAAATGAAGAATTCGAGAGAATTCAACCACAACAATTTACAACATTTATTTTTTTAATGAGCTGATCAAAATTTTTCTAACATCCTAGGCGCCGTGTGGGGGTTGAGGGGGTAGCTGGTGGGATATGTGAAAACCAATAATACACGATTTAAAGCTGAAAAAGGAACTTACGAAGTTTCCTCCGTTCATCGCACCGGCAATTGGGCCTCGATTGCTGGTGATCTGAAAAAAATAAAAAAATAATAATTGACGAATCAATAGATCAATAAGGTTGGTGGAGGGGGTGGCGATCATGGGTGTTCCTAGGCTCTTACTATTCATCGCATATTCCATCATTATTAATTTTGTGATTGAATTTCCAAATTGGCGGCGGTTGTTTGAACGAGAATGAATGCCAAACGCACATACAAATTGTGTGGAAACACTATTCGATGGTAATAAAACATGCATGAATAGGTGTTAAGCCTATCACACCCCCATTGATCCGCCAAAACTCGGATTACGCTAAATCTTAGGGTATTAAAGCACTCAAAACACATTGGGGAAGGGGGGGCGCACCGGCTCATCCAGCCAAAATGCGATTTTGGTCGCCGGCAATCCGCCCTCTCTCTCGCGCGAGCGCGCGCGCGCCGCCTCTCCTCACGCTGCCTCCAACATTCGCTGTCTCTTTCGCTCTCGACAACCGACACCGTATGACGGACGAGGACACGCCCACTTCCGAATGTGGCCAATCGGGATGAAAAATGCGAGGACGCGTCGAGGCGGAGGGGGGGGGGCGTGTGCATTCCGTCGGCGGTTGGTGAATGCTCCAGACGGCGACACCTTACCAACCAACCACCCTCTCTCTCTCTCTCTCCAAACCTTCCTCACCCATCCGAACCAATTATACTAATTATCTGTCATTTATAGGGTCTAAATGAGCGAGACGAGAGTTTTAAACGGTCTTTTGTAATGATCATTGGGTTGCGAAAGGTAGATCAAAATCGATTCAAATTGAATATGAAGAGATGGCGGGGAATTGGCTAAATTCGAAAAAAAACAATGTCAGCTATTGGCATTTAGCCAATTTTCCAAAGTCTCGACAATATTACAATTAGAAATAGGTGGGCCAAAAAATTTTAGGAATCAATTTGTAGATCAAACATCTCCCTAGTAATATCTGTCGTCAGCTTTTGCCAATTGCAATAAGCTAAATCGTTTTTTGATCCAAACGCCAGGTGCACTTAAAATTGACTATGCTCGCTGACATAATTGAGTCATCCGTGGCCCCTTCGAAACGGCAAGTGTGCTCCATTGAGATGGTCTCAATTTTCAAAAGTTCTTTTGAAGTGGGTCGAACTACTTGTGGGAAGAGCATAGCTAATCAAGCAATCAACCTTCAATTGGGGGGTGTTTTGGGAAGTCACAAATCCGCGGACATTCTTCGAGGTTTCGCCTCAAGTTGACATAGCCAAATGTCCGCAGCAGAAAATCATTATTAGTATTATTATTTAAATCTATTATTTTAATTGGTCAGATCATTTGTACACAATTGGAAGCAAATCAAATTATGTATGAATAAATATACACCAAGTTTTTGGGTGGTGCCTCGCGGATACGGTAGCCGAAGAAGCAAACACGATGCAGTGGACACACGAACGAGGCCACGGTTGGATGCGAAAAACAAAGAAAAACAAGATGCGTCCCCCCGGGAGACGTCTGATAAAAGGAAACAGGGGGGGGACGGGAGAGGAAGGTAGGAGGAGGGGGAGAGGGATCCACCACCGCTTTACCTATAGATCCGGATAAGGATCGCCTCTAATCGGATCGCGCATCACTTACCAATGGAATTGAAGGTGTTGTTAAATTGGTTCTTGTTGTAGAATCGTCTTGAGCCGACATTAGCGCGGTGATAAATCGCACAAAATAGGCTCGAGAGGAGGCAAATCGAAGCGCGCACGAAGTGAATGAGGCGCACGAAAAAATGTGAGGTGTGAAGGGGGGGGGGGGTGAAGATTGAAGACGACGTCAATTCTGGTAACGGGGGGCAACTCAATCAGCTAATGCATTCTTAAGCCCCATTTTGCTCGCCATCTATAACTAATACCGTAATGAAGATGCTCCGGCTCAACAACGGATTTCCGAGAAGGATTTTGTCGCGCCGCGCACATCATCGGTTTTGTAAGCCGCTTATTTGGCAAGAAAACATTTTTGCCATTAAAATAATTCGAGAAAACCATCAAAAATCGTTTGGGGGGCGCGATGAATGGGAAGGCAAAAGAATGGAAATGGCAAGGCGAGAGCGAGAGGGTGAAAGAGTGAATGAAACTCAAGAAAATTTGCGAACCGAACACACATTATCTTATCGCGGAATTGTGACTTTCAATTTTTTTTCCTCTTCGTACAGTTCACCTTTTCATCGAAAAATGCGAACAATTGGGTGCGTCCCATTCATAGCTTCCTCAATTTCCCCAAAAGCCCATCACAATGATGAATGATGGTCCCCGTCGGAAGGCTGGCAGCAATTTCAACAAGTACACCGTCATAAATCAATGTCTATCAGCACATCATCGCCGCGATATCAGATGGCGTTATCAGTGCTCCTCCCTGTCGCCGCGATGAGTAACCAACGCAAACGCATTCCAGCAGCCGGGCGTCGAATTTCCGGGGGCCCGAGATTGACGCGGCAAACTACCGTACTTCGACCTTCGATCGAGTACTGCCACCTAATCCGTCGCCAATGAATATTCTATATAGAAATTTTTTTTTGCGAACGAAACCGGTTCGGTTCGGTTATCGGCATTTCTGATACACCTGAGTATACAATATTCACAAAAAGGTCAGTGTGTGGATTAGCGCGGACCGCAATATATTTGTGCTCGATGGCCCCGAATGTGTTAATACACTTGTCAAACTTTTTGCGGCAAAACCCCAAGAGCGTGTGTGTGTGTGTGTCGGCTGGCTCTTGATAAAATTGACAGACCTGGCGAAAGACAGAGAGAGAGAGAGTATATGTGTGTGTCTGTTGACAACTCTTCAGTATTCGTATGCAAATATGGTAGTTTCATGACACTTTTTGCCCGACGACAACCAGCCAATGAAGCTAGGGATTTCCCATGGATCCTGTGGATTATGAATATCATATGACAATATTGCCGAAGCCAACAATCGGTTTTGGCAGGTCGATGGCGTGTGGTTATCAGCGGTCCATTGACACTCGAAAAGAAAACAAAACGCGATAACACCTTTGAGTCGATTACAAGTATTGAATGGCTACAGATGGACACCAACAAAAAAATCATTTGGTTCACGACGCGAGTTTGACATACAAATACAGATTATTTTTGTGTGCGTGTGTGGGGGGCGACGACGACGAGTTGTATTTGAAATGGCAGCTAAGCACCGGCTCATCCCTAAGCTCAACGGTCCTCTTTGCTTAAATCGGTCGGTTTCGTGGGCCTCACTCGCACACTTCTTTTTCGCGTTTCCATTCAGACCACCGTCCTACAATTTTTTACATTTTTTGGTACTTGTACAAAAATTTGAATTTAATTATATAATTAGAGCACTAGCGAATCTTTTCTGCCATTTTTTGAAACTTTCTTCGCCCCAAAAATTATTTTCCTAAAATGGGAAATTTGAATTCTTTTGTTCTTTTCTGAAACCATCAAATTCTACAATTTTCTTTTGTTACGTGGAGCCGAACACACTCTCATTATTTTGAGAGTGTACGGTACACGCAGTGGTGTATGCACACATGCACACGAGTTGACGCGCATATACAGACTTCTAAGTTTTTGTAATTTTTTTTGAGTTGAAAGCTGATTTTAAGCGATTTCTTATATTTTCTTGTGCCGTTCTGCATTAACGCTAGTAATAGCCTAACTAGATATTATTTCTTGTATTTTTGTACTTATTATCCTATTGTTCTAAATTATATCTTTCCGATTTCCAACTATAATTGATGTTTGATATTTTATTGCTAAAACTTATTGAGAATTCAGAATACGTATATTACAACATCTTCGTTCTACAGTATCTGATGGCTTCTATTGAATTTCCTTATGAGCTTTGAAAACTATTCTCTAAATTTGGCGTGCGGCGAATTTTGAGAGAAACTTGATCATTAAAAAAAGATAAATTTGTGTTTTGAATTCTTCCAACTATCATTTTCCAGAATTTCTCGATTCTACGCCTTCATAATGATCTGCCAAAAGAAAGTGTAACATATTCTATTCTAACAAAAACGGTTATGTCATCCGCAAGAAAATAATTGCGTCATTTGGGATTATCCTCAATACTTGTCAATCAGTCATATCAACAAATTCGCGACAAATAACCGTGTTGATCATTGTGTTGCGCAACGCGCTTCTTCGGACCATCACAACCCGATACGGTAGGCATTCGCGTTTAAAAGTGAAACCGCGCTAGTCAGGGGGGGGGGGGAATCTACCGTAATCGTGTGTTGCGGTTGATCTCATGAATCGCAACGCTCTCTCGTTCACTATTTGTCATTTCGACGCTCTTCCAAAAATTTCGCTTCCTCTCCTCGCTTTCCATTCCATTTTGCCTTCAATCGATTTGTTTGGGGGCGGCCAACTTTTTTGTTGGGTTTGGGACGAGAATGTAGGGAGTCTCTATGGGGGAGGGGGCACTAACTTCAACTAGACAATAAATCAATGTGCTCGGATGGAGGGGAAGATTGCGGGAAATCCATGCCGCCGTACCGCCATATCGGGTGTCATCAGAAATTATAGACCGGCAATTGTATCATGAACAAAAATTTTTGCACGCATTGTTGAGCATTCAAATAGGTACAGTGCGTTCGATCCGCTCGCAGAGCGTATTAAAGAGGCTCCGGAACGAATAGACACTCTTCCGACGGCGACCACGGGAGGGATAATCCGTCGTCGACCCCGGTTCGACGACGACGGTACCGAGGTTAACGGAACGCGATCAAAAGAGGAAAAGGGGGGCGCGTTCAGCACTTACTTACGCCAGGTGGCGACAACTGGGACCGGATTATGAGCGCGTCGTACCTATGCGAAAAATCAAATTTCATCCGACACACGGGACCGTTGCGAGGCCGCTTCAAATACAAGCGGCGACTGATCCGAATAGAGATTAGCTAGGTCATATTATAAGTGCCATGCATCTTGTCTAGGGACCACGTAATCCATGAAAGCTCCTGGTTAAGGCGGATTTTGGAAATCAAACAACTTTTAGCCAGTTTTTCGAGAATCTCCAGCTTCAAACTCACATCAAAATTTAGTTATAGCTTCACATATAGCTTAGCCTTATAGTATAGAACTAATATATAATACGCGGCGCAGTATTATAAAACCATCCACCGCCGGGTATTTCGAAATCAGCCAGTATGAAAATCATGTTCGTATTTTTGAGGAGCCAATATAAAAATAGGTATACCTAGAAAATTTTACAACGATTTTTAAACTGGTTACTCTCAAGCGGTCGATATTATAGCTTGTGGAACAAATTCGGTGGGATGGCTTTATCTCAGTAGTTGCTCACTCTTTCAAATCCCCAACCAACCTTCGATTCCAAGAAGGCGTTGCTCATTAACTGTATACAGCTGTGAACTCATTAGCAATTAGCTGTATGGGTTGGGCCGGGTTGCGGCACAGATTAGAGCAGCTCGGCACCCTTTAGTGCAGTTCGAGCAAATAAAGCGTTTTGTAATTGTCGCATAACAACCATTTGAAAATAAATAACAATTTGTTGATGAATTGTGACGTCGGATGATTAAAAGCGCAAAAAAATAACGTTCCGAGCTACCTACAGTACCCCCAAACCTGGTACGTCAAAAGCTTCACTCAATAATAACAAAAATTGTTGGGAGTTGCATCGAAAGAGGCGGAATAAAAATGGAAATGCTGTTCATCGATCTTGCCGTTGAAATGGGGTTCACGATGAAATCCAATAAAATTAACATATTCCTTTTTTTCCGAGTGCGTGTGGTTTTTTTTTCGTCGACTCGCCGCCGCCGCGCTCGAACTCGATCCAATTTTGCACCGTATTAGTTGGCGTTCGCCAATTCGCAATTCGTCGAATCCATTAGTGCGGTATGCTAAAGAGCCAGAAGGCAGGAGGTCTTTTCGACGAAAACGTCAAAACGTCTTCGTGGGAAAATTGGCCATATTTTCGCGCATCCTCGTCGCCGTCATCCTTCTGCGCGCGCGCGCGGATTACGGTAGGTGGGATGGAGGCGACGCGAAAATCGGAAAGGCGAGAAAAAAAATGCCAAAATCGAGGGACCCACCAACGAAGACGAAAGCCAGGTGCGGCGCTCCTCACCGTTCGCTGACCGACCCATCTAATCTCAAAATAGCTCTACTGTAAATAATTAGAGTTTTGAATTGTGCAACGCGCGCGTGCGCTCGGCGATTGTGCAGATGCAGCCGTTGCGCATTGCGTAAGGTGTTGCCAAATTGAGACCAACCCAATTTGTGTGGACACCACAAATTGACATCGATACATTTGGCGACATTTGCTCTTGCCGTAATTGTTTCAGCAAATAAAGTGTTTGGTAATAGATATTGAGTAGGATTTGGAATTGAGGGGACCCAAACTTGGAATTATTCAACATCCTTTATTATTATAAAAAAGAAAAGCTACAATACATTTCAAAAATTTTAATATGCAATTTTTTTCGATGTCTAGAATTTTTTTAGATCTTATAGAGCACACATTTTTAAATCTCAGCTTTGAAGTATGCCAATAAAAATGAAAACATTAGAAAGAGAATTATGAATATATAAAATTTAATATTGAAGTGACGGTCTCAATGAAATATGTATTTAATTCTAAACAAGCCGGCATTTCTTTTGTTTGCAATGATTTAATAATAAATGCCATAATTTTTTATTTTTCACATTAGAATTCTTGAGGAATCTCAAGTTACATAAGCGATAGTTTCCCCAATTTTATTTATTTTCAAAGAGTCCGGGTTTTAGAGACCCAGACGGACCCGCTAAAGCCAGCCGAGATTTCGAGAGACATATAAGGTGTCATCTGATTGCGTCATTAATTCAGCGGTGCTTGCTCTAACTATTAACATATCATAAATGTAATGTTAAAATTATGAACGGTTCATATTGAGGGGGATTAGTATTATATAACCGGTATTGAATATCGGTCACATCATCTTATTTATTATTTTTAATACCTCATTATTCTGGTTTTATTTTTTCAAAAATTGATCCATACTTTTGCTTCATATTCCAAAAATGTGTTCCTTTTGGAAAATTATTTATAATTCAATATTAACCCTTTCAAGTTAATGTATTAAAAACGTAACAAATTCAAAGTTAAATTAGAAAAAGTTCAATGGTCCACAGTTATTCAAGCTACCTTTTTATTTACGTTGGTAATAATTTTGGTACTTTCTGTTTTAAATTTGTAGTTATAAAAACTTGTCGCTTATTAATTCTTAAAGCAATTGACTATTTATTTCTCGCTTCAAAGCTGAATACGATACTTTCTTTTTCATCTATAATAAATCAATTAAATATTATAAATATGATATGTATAATCCTGACCTCTGTTTAACCTATATGTATTCTTCAAAAAACAAAGAATTGTTCTTGTGTGTCACAATCTGTCGAATGATCGTAAATCCAGTTATACAACAAAATATATCGAAGTTTACAATCGCCTTCTCCAACTTTACAACATTGCGCTGAATCCAATCTGACGCCTAATCCTCGTCATCATAATTAGATGATGATGGTTGGGCGGTAAATAGTGCCATCCTACCGTAACCACGATTTATAGCCATAATTTTCGTCTTAACTTTTTGTGAATTGTGTGTTTCGCTCTCAAATCTCTTAATTGTTTCAACGAAATGCGCCTCGTTGTTCTTGCCAAACAATTTCTATTTCAGGAGGAGGGGGCCGAGCGCGTTATCAGTGGTCCGCAATTCGAAGCGCGATAATCCTTTGCTTATCAATCTACCGTATACCAGATGGTGTGCATTTCCCAAACTTGCGTCGTTGTGCACACACTGATGACCACAGGAAGTTTTGCATTGTAGAATCGGGGGGGGGGCGAGTTTCGCTGGCGTCTTGCTCTTGTGTGTTTGTATTCAATTTACTGTAACAAAACGTGTGGACGAATGGACGAGCTCGAATTTGTGTTGCAGATTACTGTGCGCGACGCGCGAGCAGTTTTGTTTGTTCTAAATAGGGTCATCGGTTCGGTGTTGACTCGTGCGAGAGACACTTGATTAAGGAAGGGGGCTTCTTCAGACACTTCAATCACACATTTCTATTGTTTCACATCTTCTTGAATAAAATATGATGCATATTTTAAAAGTTTTCCACACTATATATGAAAATAAGGCCTATTATGCAAGTTTTTCGGAAATTGATTGTGTCAATTTGAATTGAATATTCAATATAATTGATGGATCTGTTCAATGCTTGTAAAATTATCATTTTACGTAATATTTTAATGTATCTAATTTAAGTACTATTTTTTGCTTGCCGCAAAATAGATCCATGGGATGCTATAAGCAAAAAGCTCATTGTACTAACTGATTTATAAAGCATTATGCTTTTACCAGTGTGGTTCGTATTTTTACAATTCGGACCAAAAATTTTGGAATTTTTGCAAAAAAATGATGACAGTGGACTTGAGGAATTTGTGGAAAATTAGTGGAGAGAAAGGGGAACAGACGATTCCAAAAAAGGGAAACAAAATTATTTATTTTTTTTTCATTTTTCCTGCAACTTAAGGGATTCATTAAATAATGAAATGGATCTGGGCGCTCTGAAAAAGTCGAATTTTCTCTTTTTTCACCTCTTATTAACAAATAATTAAAATTCAAATAATTAAAAAAAAAGTCACTTTTTCTGAAACAACAAGTTCAGAAAAAGAAAACGAAAAAATGTTCCAATAGTCAATAATATATATGTATTATTTATCAAATCGCAAAATTGCTTCTCATTGCGTGTGCATTCAGCCATTGACTAATTTGTATGTATACAGTAGTTCGGTGCGAGTCTCGACGCGCAACCCTATGATTTTCTTTCGGCCGAGGACACGCAAAACACTAATACGCTAAATGGCATCTACCGAGATGTGCATCACCGATAAGCCGCCGATCTTTTCGTGAAAAACATCTGCACAAAATAGTTTTTACGTAATACATGTCGATTTGTTTATAAATATGATGGTGAAAAATAAAAACGCCTATTTATCTACATATTCGTTGCTTAATCAAACAAATCACACTAAGACCAGGTCTCGTACTGAAGTCGTCCGCTGGCTTCAGCTTCTGCCAAACAACTGTGCGGCGTCTTCACAAGTTTGGCAACGATTTTGTCGAGAGCACCCATTACCGCTTTTGGCATGTCGCCGGAGCTTCCAGCAATGAAAATGTAAGCTGAAAAAACAAATAGATGAAGATTTAAGTTTGATTTTTTTTTTGAAAAAAAAAAAAATTACCTCCTTCTGACAACAATTCGGCAACTCTATCCCTGTGCTCCAATATTTTGTCTTGCACGTAAACCTATAACAATTCAATTTATAACCTCATCCCTTTTAATTTAAAATTTTACCTTTTTCTCCGAATCTCGACTAAATGCCACATAATATTCGACATGTGCTAATTTTGGCCACTCATCGGCAAAATAATAATCAGCTTTTTCTTTTCGGCATCCAAAGAATAGCAGGCTATTTCTCTCACTCGTTCTGAATTCCAAAAATTATTTGCTAATAATGCCTCATTCGATGAGCGATTATACAATGCATTTCGTTGAGTCAAGAAACTTCTGAATGGCGCAATTCCCGTTCCGGGACCAACACAAATTACTGGTTTATCGGCATCCGGAAATTTGAATGTTCCCTTGCGAACTCGACAGAAAACCTGAAGATCCGTCTTTTCATGGACAAAAATAGAATCGATCAACACGAGACCCGGAACAACTATTAATATCCTCATAACTATTCTAGAATATTCGCAAAAAAAACGAGCGACCTGTGCCGATTTACGCTGAGTTAGTTTTACAGGTTATCTAGAGTACGGTATCCGAATTTCCACAGTTTAAATTCGATTTTGAATTTCCGCCGCTAAAAAGTGCCATGGTCCACAATTTGTCAAGGTGCTCGTTTTTTCTACGATGCTAACCACAAAAAATCTCGTTTAATTATTGTAAAATCTATCATTTTCATGTTCATTAATTATGTGAATATTAAAACTAACAAATTTGTGAAGCGAATTCAAAATAAACGAAAGAGACGTTTCGCGAATCCTTGGTAGTAGTCTTTTTCAAAAAAAAATCTATACAATATTTCGATTTCAAAACAGTTTTTAGTTACCTTATCGCCAAGCTGAAGTCTTGAAAGATAAGTGCTGCAAAGACCTCGTCGTTTATCCGACAAAATCGATTTGTATTCAACCTAAACCAAAACAAACCGAGAGTTGTTGAAAATTGCGCATCTCACCTTGGCGACTAGAAGCTCAATATATTCTGGATTAGGCGCGGATGCAATACTAAAAGCTCTAGGACGCATCATGCTAATCAATTCAAACAAGCGTTCTAAAAATAATAACAACTCATGATGAAATCTTAATTATTATACCCGGCGCGATTTTTTTCGCAGTATTCGGAAAATCTCTCAACGTCTCCGCCATCGTTCGCCGACATCTTGGAGAGTAATCAAGCAGAGTATTCAGTCCTTCGGGGCTCGAGAGCTCAATCAATTTCTCCTTTTCATCGATATGGTCCGACCAGGACGCCATTATTTCGAAAAACGAGCGCTTCGGCACCTGCTGCAGATCGAAATAACGATGAAGACATGTTCTCAACGTTGGCTCATCTGTAATAATCGAAAATTCGTAATCTGCCCAAGTATTATTGAGTCCCCCCACCTGAATTTATTAAAAAATTTTTACCTTTAATTATATAATACGGAAATGGCTTCACAAACGGGCTGTTTTGCATAATGTTGATTTTTCGATCCAATACTTCATTCGTGTATCCCAGAGCGTCAATTGCAATTTTCACAGTCTCTTCCGGATTGTATGGCCAAACCATCAAGACATCACCAGCTTCATATCTAAGCAGTTAAAATAAATTGTTGAAATATGCATTTCACGACTTACCTAAAATATTCAGCGACTTTGGCATTTATATTCATTCTAATAAGGCGAGTGTCCTTAAAATATTTTTTCAAGAATAAAAAAAAAAACCGATTTTCTTAGATACTTGAAAATGGTCATCCGTTGTCACTCGCTTATTAAAATTGACAGACAAATGCCGATATTCTTGAGCGCCATTTTCATCTTCGCATATTCCAATGTCAACGAATCGATAATTGGGCTCGATTTCGATAGTAGTATCCGGTTCTGCGAGCATCTCCTTCAAATGGAATTATATAATTCAAATTTGATAGATTTTTACCTTGAAATATGACAATTTGTAGATTTCGTTCCAAACCGCTGTCTTCCATGGAATATAAGCGCCATCAACCCCAATTTCATGTTGATCGTCGGCTTGAAAATATATTATTTAGTAGAAAAAAAAAATGATTTTTCTATTCGCCGAATTAAAATTTTTCCAGTTTGTTTCACCATTTTTGCCCGATAATTTTTTTATTAATGGCTTTTTTTCGTACCTAATCCAATAGGAGTGAGCATTGTGGCTCCTAATTGCAATAGTCTTCTATATAACTTCTTTCCGGCAAAATTGAATCTCGCATACGAAGAATCACCAAGGGCAAGAACTGCTGTATGATGCTAGACAGAAGAAAATCATAAAATATTTAAATAGTTTGATCAAATTACTCACGTTGCTCAAAAAAGTTTTGGGTAGCGATTTTTTGAGAAGCATTTTCCAAAATTGCCGCATATTCGGCGGCATTTCGCCTTGTCCCGTAGTCGAAACCACAAAAAGGACAACTTGTTCCGATCCAAAGTTCTCCAAGTGAAACTCGTCAAGCTCCATAACTCGAGCTTCCAATTTTCGAAAGTTCGCCTCTCGACGCAAACTCTCGGCGATATCTTGAGCTGTTCCGGTTTCACTCCCGTATAGTATGAGCAGCGACATCTTCAATAAACTACTATACCAATTATTAAACGCATATATTAATAATTGAGCAATAATTTGAAGAGTTCGAAAACTCATTAGCAGTCATTTTTGTTTTCAACAAGTTGAATCAATAATTTATTCGAGATCAAGCCTTTTCGGCGGCACCGGCTTCTCTATACATAGTCATTAACTGATCAGAGTGCCTTCGAGTGAATGTCAATGTGGCCAATTCATAAAATTGCGGGCAAATTTTCAGATTATTGATGACATCATCGAGAAGGATTGCGGACATTGTAGTGCTTGCTGGAGCATCGTACTTCAAACTGAAAGAATTTTGTGATTTCTAGAAAAACAAAGCATTTAAAGCTTACTTGATAAAATGCACATGAAGATGATAGAATGTTGGCTGATAATGAAAATAGCACTTGATTTGATCTTTTCTCAACCCATATTTATTTTCAATTGCTTCTAATGATTTGTCACGAATGTTTTCAAGAAGTGGAAGGTGGTCGGCGGTGAGGTCTCGAACGGATTTCAATCCGTGTTGATGGCAAATTGCCAGCACATAAAGATTCTCGATGGTTTTACCATCCCATTTAATGTCTTGTAGAAGAATAAATCCATTGGTTTTATCATCGTCTTCATAGATGATTTTGTCAACTTCCGATTTTTTTTCGAGGCAATTGTACACCCACTAAAATGAAATTTAGAATTTTATTCTAATAAGAAAATCTCACGTTTAAATTTAATTGATATTTTTCGATATAAGCTTTGGTGATTTTCTGGTAATTTTCTGGAGTCTCGTGAATGATATACTTCTCTTCTTGTCGGTATTTGGAAATTAGACGGTCGGTGGCAGGATAAATTAATTGGCATTTGAGTACTGGAACAAAAATAAAAAAATCGCTTTGATATTTATGGATTTTAAGTTACAGTTTAGATCTGATGGTATTTCGATTTCGTACGAGCCGAAAATATCGTTCTTTGAAATTTCTTTGAGTTTGGCGTTGTTCAGAATATTTGTGATAGCGGTCTCGTTTTCAGGGAATGGCGATTTGTTGGCCAACAAAATTCCTTTCTCGCCATTCTGATGCGTGAGTAGAAGGAAAATTGACTAAAATAATTTTGATTGCCAAAAAAATAGCTTTAAAAAATTGACAACCTTGTGAGAAGAATCCGTTGCCAGGAGCTCTTCGAATGTTGCGTTGGCCAACCATTCTTGCGCCAATTTTTCAGTGCTATTCGCAGGCTCAGGAGTTTCTACATCTACCGGCATTGTTGAAAAAATGTGAAATGTACCTGTGAATATGAAAAAAACTTATACGGCCAAATTCATCAGACGATTATGGGCAGGTTTCATTTTTTCAAAGAAGACAAAACAATTTGCAGTTTTTTACGCCACAATTTCTATTAAAATTTGCGTAAAAAACCCCGTGTTCCACCTCATGAAAAATTCGAATAATAAATTTAAAAAATTATAATTTTTTTTGGTTCGAAAATTCAAATAAATTGCGTGGCCGGCTAGGAAACTAACGGTCACGGCCACATTCAATTGTCTGCGTCTCATGTGAACGCCTACTCTCTCTGTTCTTCAAAAAACATTGAAATTTTCATTTCTTCCGCTTTCCCCTTGAGTTTTTTGCTTCTTTTCACCCCATAGAACAATCTCAACGTATCAATATGTTGATGGACGTATAAATATAATGCCTTTATTGGGGACAAGTTTCCATCCGGTCTCTGCTTTTTGAATGCCAAAACAAATATCGTCGTTGATCCATTTCAAAAACAAATATACAAACATGCTTCGCTAGATCATTTCTGACATGCTCTTTTTGCTGATTTTCGTTATTCTCACATCTAATATTCATTCTGATAGTGTCAACCGACTTGAACGATTGCGAAAAATCAGCGAATATGAACGAGAACTGGCCAACAACATGACAAAAGGTTTGAATCGAAAAACCAGCCACAAAATTAAATGATTTGACTTCAGAATGGATGCCATCGTGTAAGCTGAAGTTCTTCGCGTCAACGTGTCAAGACGCATTGCCAAGATTTTGCGAGTCGGGAAGAATCTGCAAGGATGTTCAGAAGCAGTCATGCTGCTTCCCAATGCCCCATGAATGCCCGACGCCAGCGCAAATTGGAATCGAATGTAAAGTATGTTTCAAAATTTAGAAATAATCTGAAATCTCTGCATGCGGTTTCTAACAAATACTTCATTGTTTTTTCAAATTACATACTAGATTTTCCCTCTTTTATGTAACATTTTACCAAAAATGCAGTTCTAGTCATGATATTTCTTAATAATATGATTCAAAATGTTGGAATAATTGTATACAATTATTACGGTTCAGCTCCCTTTTTTTCCACCTATGCTATAGCTCATTTCAGCAGCATTCCCCAATAAACTGGTGCCAAACTCCGAAGGATTGCTCGAATGGCAAGCATCGATGCTGCGATACCGGATGTAATTATAATATTTGTATATAAATTAAATTATTAACAAAACGATTTACTAGTCTTAACGAGAAGACAAAATCGTATAGATGGGTCCAATATAACTGGTTACTGTACGATCACTGGATCACATTGTTATTCGAGATCAACGGAGGTTGGATGAAAGGTGTGACTAGCAAGGGACAGGTTGACTAATGAAATGGCGATTAAGCAATACAGTGGGAATTGTAAAAAAATTATTGCTGGTTTGCAGTTTGCGAAGCCAGCGACCAGATACTTCCGTAGCCGGACGAAAGAAGCGAGGCTCTTGAGTATCGTCTTTGTGAGAGTGGCGGGAGTGCGAAAAGCTCGCGTTGAGACCACTTGTCCTCTTCATCATCAACAGTTAGGTTTTCGATGGATGGAAGTTGGTCGCTCCACGCCATTTCCTCCTTCCACCAGCTAAAAATACATCGCGGTTACTACAGAAGCCTTCCGATTATGCCCGTCTTGCCTTTCAGCTTTGGTTCCCGCCAATTTCGCTTTGAAGATTGCGTCGATGCGATCACTCTGCTCACGTGTGAAATAATTCTTCCAGTCGCGTTTGCCGCCCTTCCTAATGAATTCGGCCTTGTGTCTATAAGATAAAAAAAACGACTTCCAATGAATTGATACGATATCAACCGCGCCCAAAAATCTGTTTATTTTTTGTTTTTGGCCGCGACATGCGTTTTTGCGTTTCTCGCGCGTTATCACTTACAATTGTGATTCTGGGAACCAACGTTTCTGATCTTTTTTCATCGCGTCGATCGTGCTGTTGTCGGCGATCTCGCAAAGCGTCGCCAAGTCCTCGACGCGTTTCTTCGCCTCGCCGCCAATGAATTGCCCGATCTGAACCATTGAATACTTCCTTCATCGTGTCAATCAACCCGAATCAAACCTTGTAAATCGTGCCCTCCAAATCATCAATCATATCTTCATACTTGAGGAATAGCACGCGCTCATTGTCAATATGCGCGATCCACGATAGCAAATGATCAAAGTAGTCGCCAAACGCGAGTTGTCCCGAAGCGAACAGATCGACGAACACGTCCCATGTGCCATTCGCCCAGTTGTAGATTTTGAAGTTTCGATTGTGATGGAAGTAGCTGGTGAGGCAATCTTTCGGATTACGGACACAATAAATATATTTGGCGTTTCCATTTTTCGGAATATTGTCATGATTGAAATGCGTTTTCAACACTCTTGGACCTTTGATCTCATTGGCGAATTGAGCACCCATGCGCTCAATCATCGGGCTTTGAATGCACAATTCTGAATTATAGGAATCTTCTTCAGTTCGTCCGCCCAACCCCTCTTACCATTTCCTTTTCCAGCCTTGTAGTCGACTCCTTTGACGAGCTGCGATGTGATGTGCTGAAGCCAAGTAGTTCCACATTTCGGGTAGGTCGCAATCACCACATCCGTCTCATTCAAATTCATCATTTTGGCGCTTCTGAAAATTGTCGCTCAAGAGCTCCGAGTTTCATTTTCAATTCGGCATACCGAACATTTTTCGGCTTGAATATTGGCGGCCAAATTTCGCCGTCAATCACCACCTGCTTCGGATGGCCGTTCGGCTGGTAAACAACGGATCTTGCAGGGCCTAAATTTCGCAAGTGCTATTCAGACTTTGAAAAATGCCAAAAAAGCTATTGGAGAGGTCTTGCCGCGAAACTAAATGTGTGGATTTACGAGCTAATAATATAAAGAGAAAATATAATTATTAAAATAAAATGTATGCGAGTTCTGGCAAGTTTATCAATTTTTCGCGGCCTCGCTGTGAGATTTATGGAATTTCATCTGCGGACATTTTCGAACATACCTTTTCGGAAGCAGAACGATGTCGATTTGAGATCGAACGGCGAGCACGGTGTCCTCGGCGGACTCAGCGGATTCAGAAGTTTGGGCGTCATCGGCGGTGTACGATCGCAGTGCGGCATGTCGCCATGATCAATACGCAGGTGTTTGAGGAACGATACCATATTCCGAAGAAAACGCTGATTCTTTTCGGAGGCGGTTGACACAAAAATGAGGAATTCGTTCGCTCAATGGCGCATTTTTAAGCGCCTCTCTTCAGACCACGCCCACAATTTAATTAGCGGTTTGACAGTGAGACCTTTCTCCGTTTCTTTTTTGTGGTGTCTTTCTGGCTCGCCAAAATAGCAACTAGTGATTAGCCCACGCGGATTGCTCACGCGGTTGTTTTAAACAATTGTATTCAGATGCGTTTTGTTTTTCGGAGGCGGTCTTCCTTCAAGGATTACGGTAGACAAATGCGATTCGCTTTGGGATGTTTTTTTTGTCGCCGATTTTTGATACGACCTGTCGGAGAATAGAAACCGTGATGATCTATGAGAACTACGCCCAAGGTTCTCATTATTATCAGAGAAGATCTGAAGTGAATATATGTTAGCCAGAACATCAAAGTGGATTCGTATTATCTTGAATGAAGTCCTTAGATTGTACCAATTAATCAAAAAAAATTTGATATTTGCTATTAAGCCCTATCGGACCATTCAAGGTTTTTTTTTCTACAAAAAATTTACTAGGTACGTAATAATCGATTTCAGCTTGATTTTTGTTGCCAATTTTTTTCTCTAAAAAAAATTGGCAACAAAAATCAGGTCCGAAAATTATTCCCCCCCCCTTCTACAACACTATAATTATGACTAGAAGAAGCGTGGGCATTTGCGAGACGAGAATCGATGATGATTTATGTGTGTTTCGAATTGACGATGGCTTATTTGTTGAGTCGAAGTGGCGGCAGTTCGCGGAAATGCGGCGGAGTGACGACTCGATTCGGAATTCCGCTGATTCCTGAAAATTTTTTAATTTGAATCGAACAATGCTGGATGGTTTTGCATACCATCAATGTAAACCGCCAAATTGCGATCATCAATGGGCTCCGAATCATTTTCTGCAAAAAGGAAACGAAAATTTTTTGTTTCTTGTTTTGAACTTGAAGTGCAATTTTTAAATGCTTACATCCGATAAAAACCTGCGCCGATTTACGTTTGAAGACTACTTAAATCGAAATTTGAATTGCCGCCCACCGAAAAATTCCGATGGTCCATTAGTGGTCCTTTTTTGCGATGGGAATACATTGTTTGAAATGTAGTGACATCAAATCCTTAAAGAATTTTGCCATCACAAAAACGAACGGACCATGGAATGTTCCATTTTAGGAATTCTGGTTGATGGTCACTACAACTGGTAAAAGGGAAAAAATTATTCAGACTCTCAGAGTATCTATTTTTCATCCAATTTTTTACCTTTTTCGGAATTGCAGTGGGAAAATGGGACCCCAAGGTTTGAAAATTTTGTAGATAATCACATTTCAGATTACCAACACCATTTTTTCCGTAGCTTGAGTGAAATGTATTTTTTTTAAATAAAATTCAGACATAGGTTTAAACGCGTTTAAGATTTTTTAAAGGTTCGTCTTGAGCAACCAATTACGTAAGATATTCGTAAAATTCCCAGCTTTTAGTAAATATTGCTTCGGGCCCATTTGGCAAAAATTGGGCTGGAATTTTTAAGGTCCGGAATTCGGCTAACCGGCTCTTCCAGATATCGAAATTACAGTGTTTCGCGCGACACCTTTTGCAAAGCAAATATTTTCTTTTGCAGCAAATATTTTTCACACGCCTTTTCTAGTGATGACGTAAAAATGGGTAGTTATGATATTTTTGACAACAACCGAGACAGTACTCTACTAATTAAAGGCGCTTAATTTCTATTTTCTCGAGGTTCTACGAGCAAAAAACAAACACGACGCAATCAGTGTTCGAGAAGTTCACGGGTAGTGCAAAAATCGTACTCCAAAAAAATATTGCTCTGTGCAAAATTTTTCTATTTTTGGCACCGTAATTTGAAAGTACAAAAATTCGTAAAAATATCAATTTTTTGGTTACGTATTTCAATGATTTTGCCAAATTCCCAATGGATGGTCTTGAAACGAAAATTCTCGTTTGTGTACTTCACACGGACCCCATGATTTTCGTATGTTCAGAGATCAACGCTCAACTCGCATATATCGTGAACTATTCTCGACATTTAATAATATGTCTGGTCTTGGTCGGCAAAATTTTTTTGTCGCTGTTTCAAGCTATTTTGTGATCTCCGTCACGAGGTGATCTTCGAAATCGGCAACCTTTTTGGAAATTCGACGAGCCGATCGGATTGCTGTAGGCGGCCGCTGGAAGTGGATCGCGTCGGCCGTACGCCTCGAGATTACTCGACGAGTTTTGGCGATTCTCGAGATGCTCTTGACGCGTTTTCGACTTCGAATTGCAGCAGGCGCAGCAGAGTCTGAAAATTGGGAAATTTTTTGGTACGTCTCCCCAATTCTGTCTCGAAATTCTTTTTGAGCTTTATTACATAGATGGATTACAATATGTATTGAAATATTCGTTAACATAAGTGCTTAAAACATTCAAGTGAATATCAATCAGAGACATGGAAAATATATTCCATGTCTTGAGAGAAATCATTGAGGTAAAATTGGTGTGCCTTTAATATCCAAGTATTTCAAGGCTAGACATTTTTTAAACCCAATCGATTATTTTTGAGACATAACATTCTACCCTAAATAGTTTGAGTTTTGGGACCACCGTGCTCGCCTACAATCCAATTTTAAAGAAACTCGAATGGTGTCGGCGAAAGGGTAAAATGGGAAGCGTATATTAATTAGACCTCTAGAATGTTTTAAGTTATTAACGCAACGGGCCCATATTTAATGGAATATTCGAGGTTTTGAGAAAAACCGATGAATAAATTGCATTTTCCAAAATTTTCATAGAATCCTTAAAGATCCCCCCCCCCTAACTCGATGTATCGTTAAAAGTTTTGAAAAAATCAAAACAGCTTATACGGAATTTCTAATGGGACCAATAGTAGATAAAAGTTTTAAAATAATTCTTTTTCTGCGAAAAAAAAAACTACAATAGAAAAAATATGGTATTTTTATGGAATTTCTCGCTCTGCCAATTATTTTAAACTTTTCTAATCATTTCAATCTCAAATGCTTATAAATTAAGATAAAATACCAAAAATGAAAAAGGCAGCGATTCGAAAAAGACGAATCGCGGTTGGTTTTGATGCACGGTTCGTCTCTGAACTTTCAAACACTACCAGTACGACACTCCAATTACACATCGGCCTCAATTTAGCGTGTTTGTTTTACTAATTAAATTGCTTCCTATTTTTGTACCAAAATGTTCCGCCGGTTATCCCAAACCAAAAAATGGTCCCCTGTTCGTCCTGATCGAATCGCTGAGACCCAATAGAAATCAAAAGTCGTCTGCTTTGGCGGCAATTCAAACACCTGCCCATTTCCAGCAAAAAAATCGAGTTTGTGTGGCCCTATTTTAAAAAATTGATTGCATTTTTTTAAATCGCATTTATAATTTCATTTATTGTCGGCGTTGCGCGAGGGTGAACAATTTAAAAAAGGTCTCGGTGTGCGCCTTTAATCTATTCGAATGCATAGGCCCGTAAATCTACCAACACCACTATCATTGTTTTTTTTTGGCATTTCGCCAATTTTCCAAAGTCGAAAATATCTATTAATAATACCTCTTCCAGTGAACATCTTGATCATACGTGTTAACCAATACCGGATCACTTTGCTGGTTGATAACACGTCTGAAAATTGATATCAATAAAGAACAATTTCAATTCTTCACTTTTTGTGCTTCATCACCCATATAATGAGCAAAATGATAGTGGCGAGAACCAAAATCAATCCAATGCCTACAATTAAGTATACTAGCCATCGATTATCACCTGAAAAAGTCTTAAATTGGATTTTATTTTGTCATACGATACCCATATAATCTAGAAGAGCATTGAGATCGAAGTGATATGAGGTGTCGGTGCCATTCGTCCATTTGTCGTCAGTCTCGGTGATATTCACATATCCGTCAAAAGGGTCCGCTGGAACTGGAAACGGATCAGATTCGTGCGACGTCGAAGGGACCTCGATATTTTGAATGTCCTCTATTAAGCTGTTATTGCTGCCGAGATTTTCCATTCTGTAATATTGTGCAAAATTATTCGGCTGGAGAGCGAAAAATGATGATTGCCAACAAGAATGGGTGTGAAGAGAAGAATCTAGTCGCAAATTTCTAGAACTATCATCTAAGCATCAATTTTTATTTGTTTCAGTGTCACAATAATTACATTCGATTGGCCATTCAATCATTTTTTATTTCTTCACGAGTCATACATGAATATAAGCATACTTTCGACATAAATGGAGAAGTCTAAGATTGAAAATGTGTTTCCTATTCGGCTTATCTGATTTTCAAACGTTTCCCGGAAAAAAACGACATATTGAAAGAGGGGTAGTAATGCAAATGTTTTGTCTTTTTCGGACCACTTCAATTTCTTTTTTTGTCACGAAAAAATTTGAATCAAATTCGGTGTTCGAAAGGTCAAATTTCTTTTGCATCTCAAATTTGGACGGAAAATTGAATTTTGCAGAATTTCAAAAATTCTTTATAATTTATTGAAAAGCTCGGAATTTTTTTTTCGGCAAATCCTCATTAGTTCATGTTTTTTTGTGAAAACACCCAAAGTGGTCGAAATTTTTTGATTGAATTCGAATTTTTTAATTTAGAAGAAACGTATTTGAGATATTTGCAGGTGATATTAATCACATATATAAGGTTTCTCGAAAATAAAAAAAAAATTTTAATATGAAATTCTATACAGGGTGTCATTTAAGTTCCCGCACAACTTTGAAGACGTATATTTCTGAGACTAAAAGTCCAAATCAAACGAGACTTGAAATATTTTTTATCTATAGTATAACAAATAATTTTATATTAACTCTTTTCGATTCGGCCTTCTTTCGGAGCTATGACTTCACAGAGACGCTTCGGGTAGGATGCGACTGTGGTACGCAGGTATTCGATGGAAAGATTGTGCCATGCCGCCAGTAATGTCTTCTTCAGAGCCTCTACACTTTAGTGGGGTTTTGCGTTGACCTTCTCCTGCAAGACCCCATCACGGAAAAGTCAAGCTGATTCAGGTCTGGGGAGCAATCAGTCCATTCGGATGACTTGATAAAGTCGGGAAAATGGGTCTGGCACCACTCCTGAGTAGTTTTGGCATTGTGGGCGGGTGCTCTGTCCTGTTGAATGACCCATTTCTGCCCACCGAAATGCGTTTGAGTCCAGGGCATCACATGCTTCTTTAAAATGTCCCAAACGTAGACTTCTTTGTTCATTTTCACCCCCTGATCCACGAAATCCAGGGGGCACCTCCCGGTTGAGCAGATGGCACCGAAAACCATCACACTGGCAGGATGTGAGGCTCGATTAATTGTTCTTCCTTTCTCAGAAGCTTGCTGGGATGTCTGGGCAAGTACTCAATGGTTTTGTGAGTAGAATGCCGTCTCCATAGTGAATAGCTTCTCGTCGGAGAAGACAGTGACGAGGTGTTCTCCAGACCGCGTGCGCGCAAGAAGTCGTTTTGCTTTTTCGAAGCGTCTCTGCTTGTTGACGGCCGATAGAATTGCCGCTTTTTGGACACGATATGGGGTCAGTACAAGCTTCGTTTTGACGATTTGTTCCAAAGCGAAGATGCTCATTCCCACGTCTGACGCCATCTTTCTCATGCTCCTGTAGGGGTTTCGCCTGATCCTCGATTTGACGGCGTTGATCTTCTGAGGAGTGGTTACCGAGACGGGTCTTCCTTGTCTGAGACGGTCACTGGTCGTATTTAGCTCCTTGAAACGTTTGAAGGTGTCGTAAAGCGTTCTACGAGGCACACCGAGGCGTTGAATGATGGCTCTCGGGCTCACATTTTGCTTATGAAGTTCGATAATGGAAGCGCGATGAATGTTAGCCTTCGCCATTTCTCGGAAACACATCCGAATGAAGTGAAACTTGGAAAATAAGTAAAATATACCTTATTTAACAAAAATAAATTGTATTGTTTCACGAAAAGTGCGACAGCCAAGCTCTTCATGACGTCAAACTTTTGTGCGGGAACTTAAATGACACCCTGTAGAAATGTTATATCGATTAAAAGAGAGATTAGCGAAAACGTTTGGAAAAAAATGAAATGAATGAAGTTATACATATATTTCCGGTTCGAACATATTCAACGTCCCCCCCCCCTTTAAACGCGTTATTCATAACTGCCCTATTTGGAATTTTATCACCTAAAAAACTAGACCCGAATTTAGAATAACTCACGTCATATTTAGAAATTCATTTTTATTATAATATGAATGAAAACTATAGTATTACAAAAAAATCATTATTTATAAATTTTAGGTTGAATATTAATTTTCTACAAAAATTGCAATTTTTTCAATGGCATATAGTCGACGTCCGGCGATTGTTGTAGATTTACGGTGTGCGTCTTTTTGAAATGGTCCCGCCACGTGCGAAAAACTATTTAACTGTTTTCAGGTGATGTGTTCAATGTTTCTTGATGGGTTTGGTATTTCCTCGAAACTCTAACCTCATTCCAATTAACAATTATGAAACGGACCATTGAAATTCGAACTAACCCCGCAAATCCTGTCGGACCCCTAATATAGATGAATTTCTTAAAGGCAATAATGAAAGTAAGAAAAATAAATTTAAAAAAAAACAAGTTTTTTTTTTTAATTTGGAAATTTCTCTTTTTTTTTTCAATAGGGCCAAAAACTTTTAAAATTGCACATTCCTACGAATCGTTTTGCAAAGAAAAATTTGTTTTCACTTTTTAATAGTTCATTTTGGCTCGATTTCTAAATTTAGAATGCTCAGCTAAGTCACACTCTTATTAGCAATGGATGATTATTCGCACATGACGGTCTTGAGGTTCTTTTTTTCGATTTGAACAACAACAAATCCTATAATTAAGGCAAAACAGACGATTGATAGAAACATATTTGGTAGGTGTCACGAGAGAAATACGTATCTTGATTGCGAATGCGGTCGGAGGGGAAATTAGTATACATACAAAAAGCTTCGGCGGGCCGACGTGAGCAAATGTTTTCTATGGCAACGGAAGACGAGAAACAAACCAAGTGTACGCTGATTCACATTATTAGTAGTCAGTCGGTGGGGCTTCTTAACGAATGCCCCATATCAACAACGAATGGTGAAGAGGGGGGTCTCCTTATTTAGATAAAGAATTCGTTGTTTGAAATGGTGGCTCGAGACAAACAAATGAGGGGAGAAATGAGCAAAGTTTGGGAAAAAGGGACGAAAAAGGAGAAGAGGAAGGTCTGACTATAACAATTCTCATTTGTTCGGAAGGAAAAGAGCGAACTGATTTCAAAAATGCATTTTTTAGTGCAATAGCGATTAATGAGGCGAGCTTGGGTCTGCATTGTTGGAAAAAAAAAATGTTGTCAATGGGGAGAGAGAGCCAATAATAAAGGTTTTTTTCTCATTGCTCGAATAATATGTTGGAAAGAAAAAATTGGACCAATTTATAATGCGAATTTTCGATTTTCAATAGCTTGTCGACGAGTTTTCGACGAGTTAAAGTTTGCTAAAGTTAAAATTGGATAATTTGAGATTTTCATTTTTTAAAGCTGGCTCGTTAGAGAATTTTTTGTTGTCGGCGTCTGCGGAAAATTGGCTAAATGCCAAAAAATTAAATAAAGGTCTCGATGCGTGATGTGCGCCTTTAACCTACACTTTTAGATTTGCCCCAAGACCACTTCCATTGTTTGATTTTTGGCATTCAAACAATATTTTTGTTTTGTGAATAAATAAAATGAAATCCTAATTGCCCTATTTATTAAATACAATTTACTAGAATAATAGAAAGGTCAACTGATCGAACAAAAATGAAATTACTTTGCTGAATGCAGCAATTTAAGGGAAATTTGTGGTTCCACTAATTCAATTTGCAACACCAAGTTTTTCAATTTTTATCTTTTTTGGAACTTTGAAGTTTTTCGGCCTTCTAACTGCAGATTTTGTTGAAATCTCGTAAAATTTATTTGTCGAATGCAAAAAAATGGCATTTTATAATTGAAAAATAAGAAGACCCTTTCATTTTCAGTTGTTTTCGTTCATTTATTCTTTTCCACAAAATTATTCAACGAATTTTTTTTTGTTATATTGTCTTTTTGAGTCGGATAATAATAATTATTTCGAAATAGTCTATTCAACGGCAAGCCATTTGAAAAAGTACAAAAACGAGTGCTATTTTTAGTAATCGAGGAACAAAGCGAAACAGAAGAGAAACTAAAGAAAGTTTAAAACGAAAGAATCCGGTCCGGCATTAAAAATGCCGTCCATTAAATCGGCGTGTAGAATAAGAAAACGCTGTGTTCGAAAAGATAAAAGTGAGTTGCGAATATATTGTGGTCACGAAGTGACAACTGCTCGAGCAGTTCCAAAGTGATCCCGACCCCAGGCGTTGTCCATTTTTCATCGGTTTGCCACCCCCCTGCTGCGTCTCATTTTTACTCAATTTGCTTTCATACCTCCTCGCGAGTTTGGTCCGAAGAAAAACGATGGGAAAAGAATTCAAATTTTTTGTGAGCGGAATTCGAAAGGCCGCAATAGTGCGTCACGGTGTTTTGCACAAGTAGATTTTGTTTTTTTTTTCAAATCAACAAATATTTATTTTCATTCGAAATTTTTACATTTCTGGTTTATTTTTTTCCAAATCTAAAATAAAAACATTTAAAACCCTTTCATAATCGTGTTAAACAATGTTCCAAACAATATAGATATATTGTTGTTAATCCAACCTTCACTAAAGCCCCTTTAGATTCTCATATAGTCGTGATGAGTGTACTAAAAGACCATTAACAATTCAATTAAGCGTTCGTGACTGCCGTGTCGTTTTTTTTGTGAAGCTCTCCACCATTTACACTTCTTTCCTTGATTTCTTTCGCTTCAAGTCAATACTTCTCATTTTCATTCTCGGAACAACTATAGTGTAAAGGGACACCAAAAGTCGCAAAAAACCGGCTCAGGTAGTTGAAGCTACTTGAATTTGAACTTTGCGAGAGTGCACGACGTCGTTGGAAAAATTCGCGTCGAAAACCCAATTTCGAGCCGCCAAGATTTCCGCAACCACCCAAAACAATTGTAAATTGACACATGAGCGGGGAGACGAGAATAACATGTGATGCGGCGTGGTTCGTTTCATTTTGGGCCCTTTAATCCCATTCGTCCCGTTTTCATCGAAATTGAGCAACGCCCTTGTGTCCCCGCGTCCTCTTGTCACTCTCATTTATGGAGCAAATATACATATTCTCCTCCCCCACTCTTGTCTCTTCGTTCTTTTCCCTTCGAGTATCACATTGCCCGCTTCGGTCACTACTATGTATACCCTCTAACCCAGCCAAAAAAAATTGTCGTTTTCTTACTTCCATTCGACACCTCTCTTTTCCAAATATTTTTTTTTCACGGTTCAAAACCAATTATACGAAATCTGTTGCCAAACTCTTCCGCTTCCTGTATGTTTCTCCCCATTCCGCTATCCCTCCCAGCGGCCCATTTTTGCTTTTTTCGAGCCGACAAGCAAAACAAAATTTTTTTTCTTTGGTTCAACATTTTGACGAGAATTTGTCGATTTTATAAATGTGTCCATCTTTTTCTTTTTTTAAAATTATTCTTTACTGTTCACAAATTTCTGAATATGTCAAGCTCTTCAGCGCCGAATATCTGACATTTCTCTATTTAAAAATTGAGCCTTTCTCATATAAACGTATCTTGTTAGAATGAGTTTGCAATTATATTTCTACTCATTTTCCAATTATTATCAACATTTTCTGCCTTTGCTGGTTTTTCTTATCGAACTTTGAAGTACAAACAAACTTTTAAAAAGGTTAATTAATAATGTAATTTCTCAATATAAGATTTCATACAATCTTATTATATTTCATCAATCAAATAATAAAAGATTATAAATCTTTAAAAATCGCTTGAAATATTTCTTTCATAAACCAAAAATTAGTTATTTAAATTATTCCTAATCTCCCATTAGTTTCTTTAAAACATTTATTATCATTTCCCGTTTATCTTAAATTAGGCGCCATATAAATATTTTTTTATTAATTTTTTAATTCTCATTTCTTTTTTATGAGCCGATCATAGTTATATATCAAAAATGTTTTTTTTTAATAATAAATCATTAAAAGAATTTCAAAATGCGTGGAAAAAACTGTCGCAATGAATTAGAATCAACTTAAAAAATTATTGCAAAGAACATTCGCAACATCGAAAATAAAACCGGAAGAGAACCAGTTTTTTTTTTCAATGTTTTTGATATATGCATATATTTTTAAATCACATGAGCTCACGCCTGAATTAATTTCAAATTCAACGATTTATATGTATATGTAGAATTTATAGTTCAAACTTGCAACAAATGCGTTGTTTGTCAACATTCCTAGTCCAGTTTGGAAGATTTTCCACAACAAAATTGCGTTTTCGTTTTTTTTTGAGCCGATGAGCACGAGGAAGCTTTTAACCTAATGAAATGTTGGTCGTTGCATTTTTTTTCATTGAACTTTGAACTAAAATTCTCTTTTTGCGACAGCAATCCTGCACTGTAAAAAAAGATGCACCCATTGTTGAAAGTCTCAAATTGAAATGTGAAAAAATTAATATTTTTCTTTATTTCTGCATTGCCCTATAAAACGTGATTTTCAATTTAACCTCTAACCCCCATTTGTTGTTTATTTTATAGAAATCCAGTTGCGACGTGCCAAATGTAACCTTTTTATTCATTTCCTATTTACGGATTTAAGAAAAATTCACGAAGTTCATTTCTGGAACATATTACTTCTCCTTGAAAAAGTGAACTAAAATTTTTTTTTGGAACTTCCTGGAAGTACATTTTGGAATGCAAATAAAACGATCGAACCGTGTAATATGTGCAGAAATGCGAAGAAAATGAATCGTGACCTGAAGATTGAAATTTCGGTTTTTTTTTTTGAATTATAGTTCCGATTATTTAAAAAAAACTGATTATTTTCCAGGTAATAATAAATAATTGGATACAAATTAAAGATTGAAGTTTTCACATTCAAACGTGTGAAATTCTAGACTACAAATCGAGGTAAGGTGCAAAAAAATGTGTAAACCGGTTCCTACAATAGTTCTGCACGTAGTTCGAAATTCAACGCTGGTTTCATTCATCAAATTTGAAAAAAAAAGATATTTTGTTATTTCGCAACGGAAGCGCAAATTCGTGGAACATCGTGTCTGCGAAATTGGTAGCCGGTGTATGCACAGTTCTTTGTTTGATTCGCATAAATTCAAAACCCCGCGGTTTCGCCTTATGGTTTTGCTTCTGTTCGTTTGCAATTCTTTTATTTTCGACACATCAATTTTGCATTCTTCGTTCTTTTTTTTTTCATATTTTTCTTCCTTTCGTATTAACACTGAAGATTGTGTATATTCGTCATGCGCTCTCTGCGGCCATTTTGCCGCGCGGTTTATTCGTTGCCTTCTGTTTCGCAGTTGTCTCGTATGATGAATCAACCAAGCGCCGCACACCCGCCCGCCGTCGGCAGACATTCGTGTTTTATTTTTGGGTATCGCATTTCATTCATAATGTTGTGATTATTGTATAGGTGACGGCAACGGTGAAAAAGGTAGGCGGCGGCGGCGGCGCGATCATCGGAAATTGTCGAGACCCGACGGAAGAATGTGGTGAAATTGATCGGCGAGAAATTGAAAAAAGAAAGAAACGCCGCCCACGATCGACCAATTTTTCAACATGGAGAACAGCAATTTGTTGGCGATGCGACTGTTCGCGACATGGGATGTCGATCGAGCAACACCATCCACAGTTCCGAGGTGATTCCCATTTTTCGTCGTTTTTTTTTTGAAAAAATATAATGTAGGTTTTGAGAATGAACCATTTTTTTCAATCCCTAAGATTCATTTTCAATTCCAAATGACCATCTAAACAAACATCAATATTGCCATTCGTATTGCTTGAATGAGCGTCCTCAAAAAATGTCATTAAAATCATGACGACATATTTTTTTTTTCAATTTCGTAAGCCTATCTCGTGATTTCTGAAGAAAAACAATAAACTCATTTCCTCCCCAGTTTATTTGCTAAGTGCCCAGCAATATAAAGTGGGCGTTGGTACTTTAATAACATGATGATGAGATATATAGGACAAGTTGATTTCTACCCCAAAAATAGAATTGTTATTATCACGCGGTGTCGGAATAACCGGGAGGTTTTAAAAAGAGCAAGTGCAAAACAAACAGTCATTCGCAACTCATGACCGGAATGGCACAAATTGAGTGTAAACACGTGCTCGCAAATGACACATTTCAGAATATTCAACGTTAGTATTAATCGAATTGTGCTTGATGGCGTCCCACCGCAGCTCACCTCGATCAACGTCACCGCCAAATTGCCGCTGTCGAAGCGCAATCGAAGTTTGCGAAGCAATGAGATCAAAGTGACGCCGTGCCACGGTCGAATTGATCTCAATTGCGACATTTCATTTACAATTCAGGCATGTGAATTTTTCGTCACGATTTTTCCAAAAGAAAACTGTGCTCGTTTTTTGCAGTACCCTCACTTTCTTAAACGAAAAGCGAATATTTTGCAAATAATGATTCAACGACGGCGAAAGTACAAGAATCGCCTTCCCGGGGGATTCAAGGATATCGCTGCCGGTGTGATCAATTTGAGCAGTGTTATGCAACAAGGCGGTCTGAAGGAGATTCCGCTATGCGCTTTGGATCCCGATGATACAAAAGGAGCAACGATTACGGTTGGTCGAATGATGTTCACCTCGTGCTATTCGCAAGCACCCGAGCAGATTGAAGATCGCGATAAGACGCAGAAGGTTGCTGATGATTCTGAGGTACAACATCTAGTCATTAAAAAATAGTTATATTCAAATTTTAGGAGGACACCGAAACTGACTACGATGATGTGCCGCTTGATGAGCTCGCTGATATGCCAACGAGCAGTCGAAGTCTCAAAAACAATAATCCCGAGAGACGGCAACGCCAGAAGAATATCAAGCAGAAGTTGTCAAAATTGATTCGTCGATTCAAACTGCCGCCCGATAATCGGGCGATCAATCGTGATCCGGGAGACGACGATGGAGATATGTTCGACGATTTGTCGGATTTTTCCGATTCGGGTATGCTCAAATTGGAATTGTGCTCATTTCAATGAATTTAACTAGGTCCCGAAATGATGTTGAACGATGACAGCTCAATATGCAGTAATCCGAGACCTTGCCTTCAACCATTCTTCACGAGAAGTCGCGAAATTTTGCCGGCCATTTATGATGGGGTTTGTCTATTTTTTTCTGCATTTCGCCCATATTCAATGATTTGCCTACAGGGTGTCATTTAAGTTCCCGCACAACTTTGAAGACGTATATTTCTGAGACTAAAAGTCCAAATCAAACGAGACTTGAAATATTTTTTATCTATAGTATAACAAATAATTTTATATTAACTCTTTTCGATTCGGCCTTCTTTCGGAGCTATGACTTCACAGAGACGCTTCGGGTAGGATGCGACTGTGGTACGCAGGTATTCGATGGAAAGATTGTGCCATGCCGCCAGTAATGTCTTCTTCAGAGCCTCTACACTTTAGTGGGGTTTTGCGTTGACCTTCTCCTGCAAGACCCCATCACGGAAAAGTCAAGCTGATTCAGGTCTGGGGAGCAATCAGTCCATTCGGATGACTTGATAAAGTCGGGAAAATGGGTCTGGCACCACTCCTGAGTAGTTTTGGCATTGTGGGCGGGTGCTCTGTCCTGTTGAATGACCCATTTCTGCCCACCGAAATGCGTTTGAGTCCAGGGCATCACATGCTTCTTTAAAATGTCCCAAACGTAGACTTCTTTGTTCATTTTCACCCCCTGATCCACGAAATCCAGGGGGCACCTCCCGGTTGAGCAGATGGCACCGAAAACCATCACACTGGCAGGATGTGAGGCTCGATTAATTGTTCTTCCTTTCTCAGAAGCTTGCTGGGATGTCTGGGCAAGTACTCAATGGTTTTGTGAGTAGAATGCCGTCTCCACAGTGAACAGCTTCTCGTCGGAGAAGACAGTGACGAGGTGTTCTCCAGACCGCGTGCGCGCAAGAAGTCGTTTTGCTTTTTCGAAGCGTCTCTGCTTGTTGACGGCCGATAGAATTGCCGCTTTTTGGACACGATATGGGGTCAGTACAAGCTTCGTTTTGACGATTTGTTCCAAAGCGAAGATGCTCATTCCCACGTCTGACGCCATCTTTCTCATGCTCCTGTAGGGGTTTCGCCTGATCCTCGATTTGACGGCGTTGATCTTCTGAGGAGTGGTTACCGAGACGGGTCTTCCTTGTCTGAGACGGTCACTGGTCGTATTTAGCTCCTTGAAACGTTTGAAGGTGTCGTAAAGCGTTCTACGAGGCACACCGAGGCGTTGAATGATGGCTCTCGGGCTCACATTTTGCTTATGAAGTTCGATAATGGAAGCGCGATGGATGTTAGCCTTCGCCATTTCTCGGAAACACATCCGAATGAAGTGAAACTTGGAAAATAAGTAAAATATACCTTATTTAACAAAAATAAATTGTATTGTTTCACGAAAAGTGCGACAGCCAAGCTCTTCATGACGTCAAACTTTTGTGCGGGAACTTAAATGACACCCTGTATATTTTAGCAAGAAGTCGAAGCTTCGGAAAGTGAAGGCGATCGCGAAGAAGGATGGTCGTCTGAAGCGGACAATATGAAAGAGAACGCCCATCAGATTGTTCGTGTTGGGTTGTCGCAAAATGATTCTGTCGGATCGTCGTGTGCCGACAACGCGCAAACGCCGAGACGGAACCCGAATCGCACAATTTGCGCGTCATATACACCGGCATGCCTTCCGCATTCGAATACGACGCACTCGATCGGGAAGAATGAGATTCATCGGGGAACGAGCCTTCCTGATCAGGTTGGATTAATATAGTTTCGGAAATCATCTATCGTTTTGCGCCGATTTAGCTATCCTCGATTCTTGGAGCCAACATTTCATCAGAGGGCGATGTCGTTTGGATGTGCAACATTAGCGAGTTCACATCGTTCGCCGAATTGTGCAACTCGATACCCCTTGTAAATTGTCCTACTGCTCAACACGTTAAACAAGCGATGAATCACATTGTATCCAGAATACTCTCTTTGTAAGACTTTGATATTCATCTAGAAGTCATAGGCTGTTTCTAGCTGTCATTCAAACTCGTCGAATCCTCCAATGACTACTATTGGAGTGATAGGATCAGACCGAATATTCGCACGCGTGTTGAGAGCTTACGTTGATTCGCTGGCTCATAAATCATCGTCGAATTGGCTCAAATATATTCAATTTTTGCCTATTCCATCGACTAGTTCGATGTTTTATAGGCATATTGAAGGTATGATATCAATTTCTATTTGTGTAAATTCAAATTAGAAAAAAATTCAGGTTGTGATCCGCAACTTGACAATTTATGTCGAGACCTATGGGATCGATTCAATGATATGACGCCGAGTGAGAAGCTCAGTATGGGCCAAAAATTGAGCGCGTGGTCGAACAACAAGAATGTGGCACGTTTGAACTTGCCGATCGGCGAGGCGATGCTGCAATTGGTTGCCGACAAAGATCCGGACCTCGGTCGAATATTTTTGCCGTTCCTATGCGAGGTTCGCGTCGGCAAACCGCAAATTGATTCGACGCTTATCGGCACCGATGATGATTCCGGCGGTAATGTGGCGACACAGAACGCCGCGATATCGCCGCGCGATGAAAAAGACTCGTCGAGAGGCGAAACGTCGCCGCCGCAAAGTCCACATTTGCGGAATGCCGATGGCCAAGAATTGAGCCTTGATTTCCTTATCAACAACAATTTGACGTCGTTCTCGAATAGTAATGGTTTGGAAGTTCCGAGTGGAAACAATTTATCCAATACGCCAACGCCGAAAAAGGATCGCATCACGAATAAGGCGCATTTTAAAACACTCATAGTATCAAGGTATCCAATATTATTATTATTATTCGTCTTAGATATTGAATGTTTAGACAAGTCAACAATAATCTTCTCACGTTAACATATCTCAAAGAAAAACGAAAAGATAAAATGCTCCAGAAGCTTGGAATGAAGAAGGGGCAGGTTTGTATTTTTTTTAAATCGTTGTTCATGCTCTCATTGAAATATTTGAAACAGAAAGTGGATTGCGAGGTGACGCCGAATCAGGTGCTTTCAGTTGGACGTGTGCTTTGCAGCGCTTCGGGGAAACATAATGATCTCACGAGTATGTTTTGAATTTGTCAAAAAATGTTGTGTTTGACAAAGTGAACGTTCGAAATTCTCACGAATCTTTTGAATTCTTTTCTTTTGAATAGCTTGCCATATTTCAAAAAAATATTTGAATTTTTTTCTTCGAATGAAAAATAAGTGTTTTAAGAGCAAAGTTTTGTCGGTTATTGTTCAATTTTCATTCATTTTTTAATTCGTCAATAATTCTTCATTGTTTTCTAGAAAATTCTCTTTCAAATCAAGCAAAGAAACTAGTTTTGACCAGTTAAAAAATGAATTTGCATCATAGTGTGGTCCTTTTACGATAAAGTTTAAGAAATAGTGGGGAAAAGCTTTGCTTTTTCTTCCAGCCTTTTTTCGGAATCCCTTTCTTTCATTTTTTTTGACTACAACTGAGTCGCTCCATAATTTTAAAATAAATTTGAATGCAGGTGCTTTAAAGTTGTATTTGATCAAATTTTGAATTGTCACGAAATATTACTTAAAACGAATATTGGGAGTTTTTTTTCAGTATTTGTTGACGGCACCGCTTATTCCGGAGTTCGCTACTTTCAAGCTTCTCCCCAATGGCAAACGCATATTAAATCATTTCCTATCGCGCTTTTATCGACAAATCCAAACTGAGTTGCCTCTCTCGATCGTTTTAATATCAATGATTGTATTGTATGTAATAAGTGTGAATAATATATTTTTATGATAATCATGTCAAATTTTGAGATAACCACCGATTTTTCTCTTGCCTTTCCAATCGAGCTTGTTGCTTTTTCTGTATTATATTCTGCATAATTATTATGGTTTTATCCACACGCACACAGAATTCATCATTGGCGCTTTTCTTATTTTCCTTGACGGTTATTTTTACCTGCTGACAGTTTCTTCTTGTTTTTTTTTTAACTTTTTCTTCGACATTCCCCGTTTTTTTGTTTTCTGTGAGCTGTAATTAAAATAAATGAACATTTAAGCATTTTGTGATTATCTCATTGAGTTTAACGACAATTTTTGTTTTAATGTTACATGTTGGTATACTTGTTTGTGGCGGAGACACGTCGATGAGAAATTGTTTGATTTTACGATTTCAGTTGATGAACCCGAATGTCAGCATCGTAGCGACGATGAATTTTCAGAATTCGACCAGCGAGGTGAGTGGCTGAAATAGAAGCACGAATGAGCTCATGATTCGATTTTGAGAAGCTGATATTATCTCCGGATGAGCTATTATACCATTTCCTTAAAAAATATTTGAATATGTTACATTGTGGGCTTAAAAGTTGTCGAAATAAGTGTTTTCTTCGAACAATAATATTTTTATTATAACTTAAGAATTATATTTGTGGTCTTGGACAGATTTTTTTAAAATTTGAGTTAAATTTTTTTGAGGGCTATTTAAAATTAATATCAAAAATTATTCTTTTTGACATTATGATGATTGAACAATATACAACTCGTATGTGATTTTGCCTACGAGACCTAAATTGGCATTTTGAATGATAAATTGACCGCACCACAAATTCTAATAGGTCAAAGAACTCCCTATGAGAAAAAAAAAACGTCAATTCGATTTTGGTTCAATTCATCTCTTTCTTATCATTCGCCTATTCGAAATTTGCCTTTTTTGGAAAATCGTGTTGCGAGGGATTTAAATTTCGAGTTTTTTTTTTCAAAAACAAACTGTTTCTCAATTTTTTAAAATATTATAATAAATCTTTGGAATAGCTGCGAAATTGTTCAATAATTCAGGACTGGAAATTTGAATTTAAAAAAATCGCCAATTTCCCGAAGAAAAAACATCGAATTTTGTAAAGAATCGTCAAAATTGGTTATATTTTCAATTTTTTTTTGACAAAAAAGTCGACAAAAATAATTTAATTTTGTTTTTCTCGGGTTTTTTTGTTCGCGCACTACACAAATTTCAGAATTCTGGACGAGCCCGAATCCTACGTCCGGTTCGAGATGTGACAAATAATTCGAATCAAACAGTTTTGACGGCGATGCGTAAAAGTGAGACGGCTGCTTCATCGTCTTCAGCTCAATCTCAGCAACAGACGGCATCACAAAGGCAGCATCAAAAACCGAGACAGACTCAACGTGAGAATGGTGTTGTGACATCATCGGCTCCTCTCGTGAGATCATCATCAGAGTTGAGTCGGAGCACAGTTGAAAACGATATAAAGATATTGGAGCAATGTAATTATTTATTTTAAAAAAATACAAATTAGAAATTGATTTTTTTTTTATTTTAGTGCTAAAACTTGTTCGAAAATTGCGAGAATATAGTTTGAAGCAGCAACGCGAATGTCTCAAAGTGATGGAATTTCCGAGAGTCAAAAATGGAACGAAAATCGAGCAATACAATTTGATAACGATGAAAACATTTGAGTAGGAATTGTTTTTTAACTGATTTTTTTTTGAATCATGAAATTTTAGGGAGATTCAGCGAATTGCGAAGACACCGATGCGGCGGAATCCGAATGTTCTTGCCGGCTTCAATCATTTGACCGCCCATCAATCGATGGTTGATGTTAGTAATGATTAATACGCGCCTAGAAATGAGAGGTTCATGTGTGATTGTTTAGAATAATTTTTGGAGTAGAAATGAATGCTCCACGATGGATGAGATTGTCGACGCTTCAGCTTACCGAGATAATCTTGAGGTTTTGCTCAGAGAGGTTGTCGTTGGGGGAGTTGAATTATTTTCCAGAAAACGAGCGCACTTGTGTATGAGACATTCAAGCAGCCGTTGATCCAAAAGAAATCAATGTTTGCCGTTTCGCCGCCAGTGTCCATCAACAATTTTGCGGTTTGAAATCGATTTTTTTTTTTGGTGAATACAATTTTTCCCTAATTACTTGTCGTTTTTTCAGGGTATTCAACAGAAATTCGTGCAAACGATGGAGACGTTGAAATCGAAAATGAATCGAGAGAAAACGTTTTGGAAATTCACACAGAGCAACGAGTTGAGTTTAAGCGGCGCGTGTTTGACTTATGAGGTTGTCTATTCGCCGAAAATGAGCGCCGGCGGATTTGTGCCGTACTTCAAATCAATGATATGTGTGAAAAACGGTTTGTTGGCGGATTTGGTGATTGGTGCGACGAACGAGAAATTGATGGATGAGGTAAAAGCGGAAATGAAGTCGACAGATCGACGAGTGTTTTCAGGACGGCACGAAACCATCGAAATATGTTGTGTATCGTCAAATGACGAAATTTGTGAAACGAGCAATTGTTGAGCGGAATCGCGACTTCTTCAAGTAACTGATTAGTTGAAATAATAAAAATGAGTTCCCATTCTAGGCATGCTGTCAACTTTTATCAATGCAATAACTACATTCAACAGCTTACGACGTGCATGAAGTCACCTTGTCATCGTTGCAGGTTCGAATTTCAATTAAAAAAATTGTTAATTATTCCTTAGCAAAAATGAGCTAGTGTAATTTTAAAATATCCATGAGGTTGATTAGCTACACGAATTCCCATGAAATTTAATTGGGTGCACCCTTTTTTGGAATAGTTTAAATTTCAGAAAACTCCTTAACAATTTCATGCCGCCGACGATGCTCGTTGCCGAGGATTCGTCATTTCTGCTTTATCATCCGTCATGCTACATGTATAAACCATAATGCGGACTTCTCGTGTTTGACTCGTTAGATCTTGTCCCTTTTCTAACAAAACGGTTGAATTGCTTTGCCGTTTTTTTTGCCTAAATTGGGCTATATATGGTTCCGCTCTACCTCGCTCTCTCTCTTGCTTTCCTTCTGTCATTTTTGTCATCATGTTGAATAAAGTTTTTTGTTTAGAATGTGTTTGCACAGGGGCAAAGGTGGGCACGATTCATCATTGTTCGGCATTGTTTCAATTATGTTGAACATGTGTGTCGATTGTTCGCACTTGCGAGAAAGCGAATGCATAATTTAAAATAATATTGTTCGCGCGAAATGCGCAATAAAGGACGAGGTCTTGGCGCGAGGAGTGAACCTTTAAATTTTGAACAGATGCTATTTTATGTAGATGCAAAATTTTTGCGGGGATGATATGAGCGAATTTAGAGAAAAATTATGGGATATCCTCTAAACTTAAAGGTACACACTTCGCGTCAAGACCTCACCATTCATTTTTTTTGTCAATTAGTTTAGATGAATCTTTTTTGTTTGTTTTACGTGAAGACCGATGACGTTTAAAATAGTATTATTAATTTTGAAACCGTTAATTATGGTTTTCTCAATTCAAATTCCCATTATTTCCATTTTCAGAGGATATTTTGATAGGTGTTCCAGGAGCACGGCTTCATGCCAATTTTGAATAGTGACAATAATGTTTTAATTGCTCAACCTCGACAATGTACATATTTACATTTTTGCACGGAATTTAATAGCAACAAAAAATGCAAGCGTCTTGCACAATTGTGGACCATCGCACTTTTTCGAGGCGGTAATTCAAATTCTAATTTAAACTGGGAATTCGGATATCGTACAGCGATATCCTGCGAATCAAACTAACTGTAAATCGTTTCAGGTGCTTGTATTTTAATAGCTAATCTAAACAAATATGAGGATGAAGAAATTAATTTTATTTTTTTCAAAGATGTTAAATTAAGAGCGTTCTAATTGCACTATTCTCTTCGAATTTTTACATTTTTGCATTTTGCCATAATTTTTTAATTGGTTACTGTCCGATGACTAAAGAAGATCCTTTGAAATGTGCATGAACTCAAAATTTGAACCCATTTGGTAAACGAAAATGGAAGGCCAAACCAACATTAATGTATTTTTAATTTGGCTTTTATAATTAAAATAAATATTTAACAAATTAATGAAACCAGCTCGACCCGAAATTCACAAAGTTTGAACATTCATTTATTGCTCAATGTGTTGTGCTCTTGTTCATCGATATATCAAATTTCCAACGCCCCAAGAATTTCTGTTCAGCCACCCATTCAAATGTTTTCGCGGGGCCAACATCTGGACAAGGCAGTGTCAAAATAAAAACATTACTGTTTCAAATGTAAATCGAATGGGTCATTTTGGTTGGAATTTGTCGCATTTCAAAATGTTCTATTGGTTGTTAGCGTCGTCGAAGGTACACAGGAAATCGTGTGCATGAATCTGCCAGCCATCTGAAATTGGTGATAGGCAAACATTGGTGTTTCCTTTATGTCCTTCTCTCACACATGTCGGCCGTCTTCACTCGCCGTCCCTCTTTTTGTCGCTCCGCTTCTGCTCGCTTTTATTCTTTGACCCCCTCCTATATTCCAGTGATGTCTCGCCACGAATGAGGCTCAACATTATAAAGGTTCCATCGCAACGCTTTTTGTATTCTAGTTGACAAATTTTATTTTCGGTGAAAATAATAATAATAATTGCCGTTTCAAACATCGTCTTTTAGAAATCGCTATACTTCGCGGTTTTTTTTTAATTTAGAATTCTGTGCTTCAATATCATATATTTTCTATTATGAGCGTTCGGATCAATAAGCGGGTCCCGCAATCGGGCAGCTGTTTATCCGTCTTTGATGTTATCTCAAGTAACTGTCGATTCCTGATTTTGTCTTCAAAACCTGCCGACTCGGAAAAAGCCGCATTCGCGACAATATTCATTTTTCAAAGAAAAAAAATTCTAATATAGTTGGGTTCGATCCAAATTTGAAACGTCAACACAAAAATGTTGTGTTAATCCGAAACAAAACATTGCACATCTTGAATTCGCCACTCATCAGTGTTATTCGGAGAAGGGGGGGGGGCTTGTTTGTTCTTGTCTCATCGGCCACGGGTGCCGCCAAAATACTTTTCACTTTCGAACCGTCTCTTTTCGGCTAGTCACCTACTTGACACCGCAAAACTCTTTGCAGGTTATGCTCGACGGCCCATCATCGGTTGCTATCGATCAATTCCGTTTTCGTATAACTAACTAGGCCGTTTTATTACCGATCTCGCGGGTAGTCGAATCGATCGAAAGAAAGGGCTAACGGTAGGTTCGCCTATAATCATGATAGTACTAATTCGATCATTTTACGACATTTTCGCCAAATGTCTGTCATATATGTAATCGCAGCGAGACCCAACTCATTTTCTATGAAATGAGCCTTTAATAATATATTTTTTTAGCGTTATTTAACAAAAAAAAATCTGAAATTTGTGGTTTCGAAACCATTTCAAAATGTTTCTAATAAATACGGTAATTAAAGACGCATGCCATGTTTAGAACGGAGCCACCTATTTTTTTAGAAGCAGACTATATATATGTGCGAATAGGAAAATATTAACATCCAAATTTTAAGCAGTGGAAGTTGAATTTTGAAATGCTTCTGAAATTCTTGAAATGTCAGAATATGAATGAATATAATTTTGTTTTAATTTTTGAAATATCAGAATATGAAAAGCTTATTTCGCTTTGCCGTTTTTCATACTTTTTTTTTCAAAAAAGGGGCTAATAGATTTTTAGGCATCGAATAATTGCGGTAGTATTTTTTTTACTGAAAACTGACTATATTTATCTTTTACTATCAATATATAGTATTTCGATTATGGAACTGAATTACCTATAGAGATGACAATTAGAGATCCATTTTCAGACAAACTCAAAATGGTGTTGGCCGCGGTGTTGTCGATGCTGCGCTACGTCGCGGGCAGCGATGATCGTGATTTCGTCGATCGCCTCCATTCATACTTCACATGCAACATTCTCATTGGGTTGGCCGTTTTGGTGTCATTTAAGGTGTGCGGCTGTTTTTTTTTTTAAAGAAAATTCCCATCAAAAAATTTTTTTTGGTCCTTTTTTTTAGCAATTTGGCGGCAAACCTGTCGAATGCCTCGTTCCCGATATATTCAGCAGTAGTTGGGAGCAATACGCCGAGAATTATTGTTGGGCGAGCGACACATATTTTGTGCCGATCGGCGACGCCGTCGCCGGAATGCACACCACCGAAAAGCGGCAGGCGAAAATCAGCTACTATCAATGGGTGCCGTTTTTTTTGCTGCTCGAAGCCGCCAGTTTTCGTCTGCCGAGCCTTTTATGGAAATATCTCGCCGGACATTCGGGCATCAAAATCAATGAGATTGTGAAGCTCTCATCGGATCCGAACAACATCAAGCCCGACATCAAGCGCGCCAACATCAAATCGCTCACTGTCCATTTACAAGTAGGCGGCTCATTTAAGGAATAGCCAAAACCCAATTGCAGGGTGCCCTTCGATTTCATCGTCGACTTCAGAAGAAGCAAATCCGACCTCACAAATTTTTGTGGATGTTCAATCTGCCGTACTCGGCGTTTTTTGTGACCGCAATGTACCTGTGCACCAAATTTTTCTATCTCGCCAATGTCTGCCTGCAACTCTCTTTGATGAACCGGTGAGTATCGGCCAATCAGGAATCAACACTTTTTGAGCGTGTGAAAGCAATTCCATTGTGGGAAAAGAAAGAAAAAAATTCCAATTTTTTAATCGCAATCACTCACCAAAAAAAGAGTGAGAACTTGAAAAAACAGAAATTCTGAAATTCCTTATAAATGGGTTTCGAAAAAAATAAATTGAATTCAAATATTAATTAATATATTGTCGGCGTCTAACTATTAAAGGAGGCAGGGACTTCAAATTCGCGAAATTAGTGCATATTTAAATTTTTCGTTGACTGAATATTAAATGCGCGTACACTATAATGCAATGTACGCAGTCACGCGTGAGACGCATTCACACATTGCCAATAATTTTTTTTTTAAATTTCGTCAAGTAGTTTAACTCCGACAATAATATTTTTTAATTATTCGAAAATCCAATTTAAATTTATATTATTAAAGGCGATTTTTTTCTAACTATTTTTTGCGAATATACTCTTTGGAAAATTTCCAATCGATTGATGTAGGTCCCATAGTTACACAAACTTCTAGTTATCGAGATAGGGACCATCAAAGTTAGCAGATCCCTCTTGTGAATTTTGCATAGAAAAATTTGTTGAAATTAGATTTGCTAAAAAAATATATCTCAAAATTTCAAACCCCTTATAAATTCGATTTATTTTTCAATTTTTTTCAAAAAAAAATTTTTGCTAATTACAACTGCATAATCATCAAATTGTGTATTTATCTACGATTTTATTTAACGCATAATTCGAAATATTTCAGATTCCTTGAAACCGACAAATACCGATGGTACGGTTTAGGAGCTCTTGTTGATTTGCTCAATGGAACGACTTGGGAGCAATCTGGCATGTTTCCACGAGTCTCGCTATGCGATTTTGACGTAAGATGCCCCATTCCAACCAAAAACAATTTTTTTTTCAAAGATCCGCGTGATGGGAAACCTCCAAGAGCACACAATTCAATGCGTGCTGGTCATCAATATATTCAACGAGAAAATTTTCATATTGCTCTGGTTTTGGTGAGCGCTTATTTCAACTCCTATCAAAACATAATCATATTAAGGTATTTGATTTTATTATTTTTCACATCCGGCTCATTCCTCTACTGGCTGATCGTCTCGGCGTGGTCGAGACTCAATCGGCGATTCATCATGAGACATTTGGAAATGAGCGATATTGCTCTGGACACAACTGGTTTTTATTTGTGTTATCGAATATTGGTGAACTTTTGAATTTTCAAGATGAGGATGTTGAGAAACAAGTGAAAAAATTTATTGACAACTATCTCAAATTGGATGGCGTATTTGTGATAAGAATGATGACGATGCAATCAGGGGTATGACGCGAGCCACGTCGGTGTTGCTGATCAATGATTCGGTCTTCTAGGTGATCTTTGGAACCGATCTTGTGCAAGAGTTGTGGAAGAATTTCTACGGATTCGAGCAACAATTGAAGAGGAGCAATTCGATGCCGAAAATTGAGGGCGCCGAGCACTCTCGCAAACCGCACCATCACGATGAGACGTGGTGGCCGGCGCCGCCAACGCTTGTCTCGCAGCCAAGTCAATTAAAATTGATGAAATTGTTGAAAATTGTGAGATTTGAAGATTATCGCGATGAGAATCAAGCGAACGCGCTACGCTGGCGTCGAGCTCTCGGCGCCAACACCGCCAATAATCTCACTGAGCAAGATTTGATGGAAAAACTTCTGAATGATGTGAGCGATGGAAAAGATTCGAGTTTGCTGTAAGTTTTACTAGTCAAATTCTAATTCACTTTGTTTTAAAAATAAATATCAAAAAGATCGTTTTCAACGTTTTCAGAGATATGAGCGTTGCCGCATTTCATCAAGGTTCCTCACGAATACGTGATGAAAATGAGGAATAAAAATGACGTAGTGAGAAAAAAAAAGAAATGTGAGAATTGTATGGTGTGGTGTGATGTGTCGAAATCTTCTGAAAACTCTTATTGTTCTTGTTTTGTGAATTTCAAAAATTGCCAAAGGTGAAATGCGCTGGAAGTCTGAATGTGCTCAATATTCGTGAATAGGGATCGTATATTTGATAAAGAACAATTGGTGCGCCTTTAATCAGTCTTAAATGGCCTCCATATCCATTATATAGCATTTATGAAGGTATGGGATAAAAAAAATCGGTGACGCCACACGGCTAAGAACCTTATTTGAATTGTCTTCACATCTCAGCGTTGGATTCCGGAAAATGTCCGCAGATGTGAAAAATTAAAATTTCTCTTATTAGGAATTGAAAAACAAGACTTATGGTCTGGTCCTGACAAATTTGGTCTCATAGGGATGCTCAATGCTAACTCACGTTTATTCAGAGCTCCTATGGGTCTTTTATACTTTCAACCGAATTTCACCAATGGTGGTTTTTGTGAATTAACAGCATGCTCTATGTGCGATTTAATTTTTGCTAATTTTTTTTCCGATTTAGCTACAATCTTCGTCGACCCGTCTCCGTGACCGCATACATCGATGATGAGAGAAGCTCCTCACCAAAAACGGCAGTGTCAAGACCAAAATCGGAATATGACACTAAAAAACCGCCCCCTCCACCACCACCACCAATGAGCACATTTCGATAATCAGGTGCATCATTTTTTTCTGGGCATAATCTACCTCGCATTTGTTTTAAATCCTCAAATTCGGTGCCTTTAACTCTTTGAAATTTGCTGGTGTATATATTTTGTGATTTAACGCAATCTTTGTATTCATTATTTCGTTGAATAAAAATCGTTTCATAATTATTTTTGGAGAGATTTAGCGAATCCGACTTGCTGGTTTCCAACATCGTAAATCTGAAAATCAACCGGTGATCTGCTAGTTAGTTCGACTTACATTGCAGAATTGACGAATGAACGGATCACCAAGAATCCAGCTCGGTCCGAAGCCACCACTTCTGAACGGGAATATGGCGAAAATGCAGTTGCTGCTTCCGTCACCTACAATTCAGATATTACTAGATTATGTAGTAGAAGCTCAGCGTACCCAATGGAATGATGGTGTTGCTGGAGTCAAGGCTGTACACATGGGTTCCAATGGTGATGTCAACAGTTGGGATCTTCGCTGAGCATGGAATAATGTAGACTCCGTAATCCTCGCGCCACTAAAAAAAAAGATACGGACCCTCCCATTTGCTTACGAATCGACTTACAGTAGCTCCAACTGCCTCGGCGAGCCCGGCAACGTATGTCTTCGGTCCACCGATGAGAGAGGTTCCGGTGTCGGAGATGACTTGCCATCCCTTCTTCGCCGAGTATGAACCGGCCGCAATCGCGCTCATCTGGAATCGCAGTTGAACATCAAATTTTGAATTCTGAATTCTCACCTTGAACTGATAATAAGTGGCCGATGAGAGCTTCTGATAGGCGATGACTGGTCCGCAGTTGGTGGTGTCGACGCCGCCGTAGGTGTAAACTCCTCCGGGCACGTTGTTTTGATCGCCCTCATGCTCGAGGAACACGGTGAACAATGGCAAGTCGACAAGCTTCTGATTGATGGCGTTGATGAATGGCGGAACAACTTTGTCGACAGCGATCGATTGGAAAGCCAAACCGAGGATGCCGTCAAGCGGTTGCTGAAATCAATCCAATCAAGTGTCGGACCATTTTGCTAGCTCGGCGTACTCCTTCAAAGAATGCTGCCAGCGAGGTGGCCTGTCCGAACACGGTGTTCGGCACAACGAGCTGCTTCTCGCCGATGCCACCGAAGGTGACGGTGTCCTGTCCGAGGAAGCCTCGCGCCGATCCGGTTCCATATTCAATGATGAAGCTCTTTCCGTTCTTCACGTAGGTTGATGATTTGGAGGCGTCGAATTTGGCTTGGTAGAAGCACGAGTCGGTGTAGTTGGGACCAGCTCCGCAGCACGCTTGATCGTCGCATTCAAACTGGCAAAGGACTGAAAATTTCGAATTGTCCCATCGGGCCTAGCATTTTTTTTGTTTTACTTCCGTGACACGTCGGAACCGCTGAGCAGTTTTCCGGCTTCGTTCCGCACGTGATATCCGGAATCCAAAGGTTCGATGATCCGGTGTCAAGAATAACCCGGAATTGCTGTTGTGGCGTTCCGATGGTGATGTTGCCGACGTAAGCCTCGTCTTCATAATCATCGACACCTTGTCCGATCGAGTTCAGCTGACTCTGTTTGTTCATCATGAACCTGCGCACCTCCTTGTCTTTGCGGTATTGCACCCATCTTCCTTGAAACGAAATGAATCCTAATGATCTTATTTGAATTGATTCAAACCTTCGCGGATAAGTCGGTTTCGATAGGGCTCGACCTTGAGAAGGGGCACCTGGACGACGGCGGCGTAGGCGAGCCCAACAAGGGCGATGAAGATGAGCGATTTCATCCTGAAGAAAAAAAAATTGAAAACGATGAGCACGAAACATTTGACGGTGAGAAATGAGGACGAATCGAGTTGGAAATTGCGCTTCAAGCATGCGATAAGCGAATTCAAACTGATAAGGAGTCGTCGAAACCAATTGAACTTTTGTATCCGGTATCAGAACGCTGATTAGACCCTGTTTAATTATTTCGAATGATAAAGTGGCTACAATTATGTACGCATGTACTAATGGGCGTTTATTGTGAAATACTTCTGATTTCTTGAGGTCTGGAAATGATAGAACTGGAAGCTTTCAGACCATTAAGGCTTGCCGTCGAAGCGCGTAAAGAATCTGGATGATCAAAATCAAAGCAAGGCTGAACTGGTTGAATATTTTCAAATTAAAATTGAGATTTGAACGTATCAATTCGTACATATAATTTCAGCTTGAATCTGAAAATACATACACTAAGAGAGAATTCACTTAAAATTCACAAAACCTCATTTTTTAATGTTTAAATTGTTTGGCGAAAAAGCTTCAAAAAATCTTATCAACTTCCAAACTTCAAAAATAATTCAATTTATCATTTTTTCCATCTTCTCTATAAATTAAAAAAGGTTTGAAACCCATCAAATCTGAAGTTATGCCTTCATTTGATCTCAATTATATTTGATACCGCAATTCTTCTCAACAGTTCAACATTGGAAGGGGAGGAGAATCCCATTAATAGGATTCGTCGAAGATTTCGATCGACAATCGTCGTCTCATTTGGATTATATCGGTTATGCAATTCAGTTCGACGTCAAGGAAATTCGATCAGCTCGCAATTTTCATTCTATTCCTCCTCCTCATCATCATTCTATATTTGAATTCTCTGAATATCTGCCGAACGATCACATTGTAATGCATGTTTCCGATCAACATTAATCCATCGATTTTCAGAATTCCAACAGAATTGTATTCTCAAGATCCCAACGATTTTATAGTTGGATTTGAAGCCTTTAAGTACGAGTCAAGATATTTTAAGAGTATGATTAATTTTCAGATATTTTCCGAGGACTCATGTCCAGAAGCTATCAGAGGGAATTGTCCATTCAAGTGGAACTCAGAATCTTCCCAATAACGGCTCATTGTTCTGTTTCGTCGAAACTGCCATCAACAATTACAACCATCGGGTGCCTGCAATTTGGGCCACGTGGCTTCCGAGATGTCCGAACGGAAGATTTTTCACACCGACCGAGCTTCGCAATAAATCAATACCGTATTCGACAGTGTTCCGCAATTTCGACGACTCCTACGAGGATTTGTTTCGAAAAACATTGTTCGCCTTTTATTACACCTACACACAAATTTCGAGCGATTTTGATTGGTATTTAAAGGTGGGAAAGAAAAAAAGCGAAATGATTTTTTTAATTTTGAATATTGGCTTGTTTTCAGGCCGATGACAACACCTATGTGATCGTTGAACGCCTTCAGAAATTCTTGATGAAATTCGATCGCGACGAGCCGCATTTTCTCGGGTTCCGAATGAAGCCGTTTTTGGTAGGCGGCCAATTTTTAGGCGATGAAAATGCATTTATAGTTTCTTTTTAAGAAGCATGGTTATAATGCAGGCGGCGCTGGCTATGTTTTGTCGAATCGCGCCGTGAAAATGTTCGTTGAGAAACTCTATAACGACACGACGAATTGCCCGTTCGATTGCGCTGAAGATCGCGGCATTTCGAGGTTAATCGTGTCGATTTTTAATGGTCGAAACGAAAACTCAAAAAAAAAGAACACAAATCATTTAAAGAGAGTGTCGAATTATTTGTCATTCGATCAAATTCCTATTTTTTCTGAAAATTTTTACACCCAACAATCTCGCGAAAATGTTTTTGAGAGAGGCGACAAACCGAATCGAATTCTGAAGAAAAAAGAAAAAAATCTTTTGTCTTGAATTTCTTACAATAGCGGTTTTCTATCGATGCAGGATGTCGTCGGATTCTGGGCTTTGGGATGTTTTTCGAAAAATTCGAAAAAAAATAATTTAACGAATTTTATTTTTCGCGCAGCCCTGGTATTTAAAATTTTCGGATTAAAAATCGGATTATTTCTATTAAATCCACTTTTGCTTTTATGAATCCCACACTTTCATAGATAGTAAAAATGAAAATATTCAAATCCCTACAACAAAGTTTATTATTATTGTGGTGAGATTAACGCATAAAATATCAAAAAACAAAAAAAAAATATTCAATGGAATTTTATTGCGAATTATATATAGGGTTTCTCGAATTTCTATAGGAGATCAGCTATTCAATTTGATTATTTAAACAATTGAATTTCAAGATTCAATTTAATCATATATATATATTCAGATATAAAAAATAAAAAAAATGCTCCTCATTCTTTGGAAATCTGTATAAATGGCCGTGGCCGGCATTTCAAACGGTCACCCGAATTCGGCCAAAAATGTTGAACACCTTATAGAGTCCAAATCAGTGAAAATTAAAAATAAAATAAAAATTGGATGAGGAGTAAATGACCATCTAATAAATGATAGTGATTTTAGAAGATTTTGAAATCGAGGTTTAAAAAAAATGAAAAATTGAAAAAAAATTAAAAAATTAAACGGTGTATTCAATTATCATTTTTAAAATCAATAGTTTAAAAAGAGTAATGATTCAGATGTCTAGCGTCGATCGGAATTTATCCAGGGGACACTCGAGATGATAACGGAATGGAACGATTCAACACCTTCATGCCATTCAAGTTGGACGAGAACGACGAGGCCATGGATTATTTCTATTACAATCATACGGTAATCGCGGGACCATTATTCAAATGCCAATCGATTTTAGAGCAACTTCTGGCTTTCAAACGATTGGATCAGCCTCCATCAGCTCTCGCCCGACTCGATTCGCCTCGTCGATGAGATGATTCGTCGAAATATGACAGACCAGTGATACGACAACTTTTTTTTGTCTGTCCCGATAATTGACCGTCCGCTGATAATCGCCAAATTGCTTCTATTTTTTTGTGCGTCTGCAAAACGCTTGTTTAATAATACCACAATCGCACCTCTCTCATCACACTATCTCATTCGTTCTTTGGTGTTCGGGTTGTGTTTCTCAGAAAGTGCATACATTCATGTTTTTTATTATATCCAATTCAATTGTTTATCATATTTACTCCTAAAAAATAATTGATCACAAATCAATTTATCCCAATTTTTTTGCGTCTCACTTGTAAGTATGAATTTGTTCATTGCATTAGGTTTTTGCCAACGAACTGCAGGTTTTTGTGTTTTTCAAATATTTCTACTTTTTTCCGATGAAACTTTTAGAAAAATCAAATTCTATATATAATTTAAAATATAATATAATTCTCTTATACCTTGCATATTTAATAAATATTCTTGGTGAAAATTATGGCATTAAAAAAATGAAAAAGCTAGTTTGAATGCGATTTTTCGTACGCTTATCACATCGGACCCCCAAAATATGAGTGGAAAAATTTTTGAAACATTTCCAATATAGTTTTAGGCTAAATTTTGAAGTGAAACAAAAAATATGCCATTATTCATTTCATTTTCGCTTTTAATTGCGATTAATTGCAAATTTTTATCAAAATTAAAAATTTTGAATTTCGTTTTCAACAACTCTATATATAATTGTTAAGTTGAAGAAGTCTTCTTGGTGGGACCCTTCTTATTATTTTTTAATATTTGATATATTTAAATAGTGTGCAAGATTTACAAAAATGAAAAGGGTCCCATCAAGAAGACTTCTGCAACTTAACAATTTTCCATGCACTTAAAGCACGTCTCTCCACAACTAACAATATACTATATATAGTAATCACCCGAGAAATACTTATCTAATTAGGACAGTACAGCAAGTTTATGAGAATATGATTTCGAGTGTAGTAAAGCGACATTTCTGGAATTCGCTAATTGGGAGTCTTGCTGAAATTTGACAGTGTCAGACCACCAAGTTTGAAATTTACTGCTGGTTGAGAATTCCCAGAGATGAAATTGCTGTAGAAAAAATTGCGTTTGTTGAGAAGAACCAAACAGTTACAATTTCGTATTTTTTTTTCTAAAATTTCATTTTTCTCGAGATCAATGTCAAAATTAGAATTTGATATTAGCTCGAAATCGACAAATTTTCAGTGCATTTCCATCTAGAACAAATCGAAAATGATTATGGCGTCAAAGTTTGAATTATAGGCCCCACCCCCCCCCCCTCTAGCGAGGACCCAAGAATTTTTTGATAGGATTCAAAGAAACCAAGAACATCGTTCACATGACCTTACTCGCAGAGGGGGGGGGACGAGGTGTTATTTATCAATTGATTTTGATCAGTTGCACACACACACACCCTATCCGTTCTGCTTTCTTCGCCGACCCTCTCTCGTCAACAATCGCCCGTAGCGGATGGCGAGAAAAAAGAAAACATACAACACAAATGGCGATATTCTTGATTAGACCATAATTTTCTTTTTCGAGACCCCAATCGCTTGTTCGTTCACTACTCCTCCGGCGCCGTCATCAATTCGGTCGTGGGGGTTTGCTGGTGTTGTGTTTCTTATCAGTTCTTTTCGCATAGGTTTACACTTTCAATTTTTTTTTGCTGTCTGTTGTTGCGCCTCTTCAGCCTCTTGCAAGCCCCCCCCCAAAAAAAAATAAACACTCTATTCGATTTGCAGATTCTAATTAAATTATATTTATACACATATTGCATGTTATTATAATTTTGTGTTGCTATCAAAACGAGCCGACGAGTGAGAGAATTGGTGAGAGAGAGAGATGAAGGGAAAAAAATTATCGACTCGAAATGGCCGCTCAAAAAAAAAAATAAAATAGATTGCCAATTTTTTGTTTATTTTTTTTTCATCGGATCAATTTTTGACGCTTTTTTGATGCCCTTTTTTGGGGGGTTCAAGTCAATTTTTCTTGATTTTCGGACATCCTGCCAGTCATTTGAAATTTGCGTTGATAGTATTGGCATTTGCAAGTCAAATACGGTTTAGTCGATTTTTATTTCGATGGGAAAATGTGACAACATACTTTTTTTTTATTATTTTTTTCACTTTATTGTAGTTTTACAGACTTTCCAGAATATGGAAATGATTTTTGAGAGAACACATCAATGCTGAAAAAAAAGAAAAATGAGAAAATTCAATTGCAAAACAATTGGCCTTAAATTTAATTCCTCCAAAAAAATAAGCGTTGAAGAAGAAACTATTGAAACACGCCGGTTTTCATTTTTATTGTCCGTCTACACTCTCACGCAATTTTGCACACATTTCATTTTACAGTAGTAAAATCAAAAAATGTGTTTTTTTTTAACAATTTCAAAAATTCTTTATGACTTTTCTATTTTCTAAAGGTTATTCGAAAATGGATTAAGCTTACAACTATCATAAAATTGATTTATTTCGCGTGCACATTGTCACAAAATGTCGCAATGCTTCAGAGTACCCATGCGCTCAAAATGTCGACATAAATCAACATAATCCCTTCAAACCTTTTTTTTCTCTTGTCGAGAACACAAATTTCCGGCTAGCATTGTCTAAGATAGTTATAATCGATAGTTGTAGATTTACGCGCGCGCCTTTCGACACATGGTCTCGCCACATTTTTAGCCGTTTCTTTTTTATTACCAGTTTCGCATTTCCAACGTCATTCGATTCAACAATTATCGAGCCGACACATAAAATGAAAAATAACCAATTTGTCCGCGCGAGACCAAAGACGCATCTCCGTAAATCGACAACAGACGCCCGACTATATTGTCGAGGAGAATCGATTAGGTTTTTGATTTTTTTCTAGGTGTCAGAAAATTGGCAGAATGCCAAAAAAATAATGGCAGTGGTCTTGGCGCGAAACTATAAGTGTCGATTTACGGGCCAATGCATAAGGCGCACAATGCGCACTGAGACCCTTTTTTCAATATTTTGATAATTGCGAATTTTCCGCGCGACGCCGATAATACGCGTGTAAATCTGGCAATTGAAGGAATAAAAAATTCCGCAATTTCATGTCACGGTGTACGGCACTGTTGCGCAAGTTACAGTACACTTCGCCGAAAAAAATCTGGTTTTCCAATTTTTTTAGAGAAATAGGACTTCTCTTTTTCAAACTTCAAACCCCATCTTTTTTTGCCGCACGATTTTTCCCAAAAAATCAAAGTGTCGATTTACGGGCCTATGCACATGGTGGGGGTTAAAGGCGCACACCGCGCGCGTCGAGACCTCTTCTCAGTTTTTTTTTGGCCGGACGCTCAATTTCTTCAATGACCCCCTATTTTAAAGTCTCTAGTTTTATGGAATAATGAAAATGACACTTAAAGTTTTTTTTTTTAATTTTAAGAATGGGATGGGTGTGGAGATAGAGGTAGGCTTATCCCTGGAAATGAATTGTTGTGTATACTAAATGAAAGCGATTATTGGATTACCTCAATAGTGTTGGTCGGCTTGCTCGAATTGGCAAATCAAAATTGAGGGCTCGAAAAAATTAATTGGCAAATTTCCAATTATTTTTTTACTTTAAAATATTTGAATCATCGATTCAAAAATTTGAAAGCGTATTTTTCCTAAATTGAAAATCCATATTTTATTATTCGAAATCATTGTTCCGTTAAAACCCACTTTTCGAATAAGCCATAAATAAGCCAAAATCGCAATTTCGGCCCTCCCTGACAACGAGTCACCGGTTGTGGAGGGGGGGGGGGTCTCGCTCAACGAATTATTAACCTAATTTCGGCGGGTGGCTCGCCTCCTACACCAAAAAAAAAACCGCGAAAGTTGCACGTAAGCCTGGCCAGCATTTTCCATTCAAATCTAATTAAAACACCTCGCCGCAATTTTGTTTTGTTTGGTTTTCTCAATTTGACAAAAAAAAATTTTTTTTTTGCTGTCTGATCCGATCAATCACATCGCACGTTTTTTTCAACATCCATTTGCAACTGTACACTTTTTGTCAGCTCTTGTGTTGGTGTTTAAACAGATTGGATCGCCTCCCCCCCCCCTTCCAAATATGGGCTTGACGATGCTTTCGAGTAGATCTCATTAAAAAATGCGAGCGGGTGCTTTGAAGAAGAAGAAAGCCAGGCTAAGTGAATCTCTAATGAAGCTTATTATAAAAAAAAATGGTCGTCACAAACCCTAATTGCACTTCTTCTTCTGCCATTCAACCCCATTTTTTTTTCTATTCCGTCTTCTCAAAAAAAAATTTTTTTCATACATATTTCTTCTGCATCATCATCATCATCATCATTTCTTTTCTTTCGTTGTGCCCACCTTCTGGGCGAGAGCTCTGTTTTTTTGCTCTCAGTCGAGATGGAAAGAAAATGAAAAGCGAGAGAGAGAGAGTGAGAGAATGGACCGCTCGGCGGTTGCGGGTGACCCTCGAGCCTCTTGCGCGCACAAGAAAAAAGTTTTCCTCATTAATATGAAGCAAAGGGAAACTTGAAGGGACGGCAGCTAAACATGCACACGAAAAAAAAAAAACGAGAAGCGTGAATTTCGCGCCAAGCTTTTGTCGCCGTTTCTTTTTTGTTCGAGCCAATCAAAAAATGTTGAAGACTGACATTCGACATGCCGAAAAAAAATGCATGGCATTTCCTTTAAAAGTTCATTTTTGCCGTGAATTGTCCGCAGAACGATTCCTATTTTTTGCCAATTTTCTCTAGAAAATTTGGCCAATTATATCGATTTTTTGGCCATCTATAATCACGAATTTGTAGAATATCAAAAATCGCAACGTCTAAATATCAGATTTATGACTCAATTTTCTTTTTTTTTCTTAAATAACCCTAAAAGGTTATTGGCATTTACCAAAAGATCATTGAAAAGATTATTATTGAAACACTGATTTTTAGATTCATTATGTTGAGCTCATAAATTTAAGCATTAGAAAAAAAGAGGCGTGGACTTTCATCATGAATTGTTTGCTTTAAAA